TTCAATGTGTTTCGCATCATGTCAATAGGTAAACAACTATTGCCTTCAGTTCCAATTTCTCCGTCGACTTCTAGCAGTCATGACAGATCTCTTGGATCAAGTGTTTTGATTCCAACTCCGAGCGAGATCGATGCATTGCTGGGCCACTAGTATCGGTAAACTACACTGTGCTGCTAGACGAATTCATTCAGTATCGAACATCAATAGGATCGGGTTTGCTGAAATGAGGACGCACTTTGATAGCTTCTGCTTCAAACAAGATGTTTGTCAGTAGAGATTAGAAGCACCATGCACAAAGTCTGAGTTGAAACGAATGCTTGTCATGAGGGCGTTATAACAACTTACTGCAATAGTATGAATTATCAAGATGATGTTGTGTCGTACAAGTTCATGCTTATTTTCGTATCAAGAGTGCGTTGCGCTGTGTAAGCATATCGAGGCAAGTTAGGTGAAGTGAGTAGATTGGGAGTACGCGGTGGAATGATGAAAGAAGGCAACACCTTTTTATCACGCTTGTGGCGCTCTAGTAATGCATGATCTTGTAAGTGAATTCAACGGAGTTAAACATCTTGAGCTTACAATCGCTTGCAGTTTCTCAAGAAACATCGTGGCACAGCGAGGCAGACGAACAGCAAAATAGATAAGGCTACCGTGGCGCGGCTACTGGAAGCTCCAAACCGTTGCAAAAGGTCTTGCAATGAATGATATCGGCTAGTCAAATGCACTAATTCCTACCAAAAATTCGGTTAGTGCATTTATGTCTTTACGCATAGAGAGCAACCGCCAGAGGCACGGGTGCATCTGCAAATGAGCATGAAGCTGCAAATTAGCTACACTAACTGATCAGGAGGCGAATGGAAGGTCGAGATATTGTATGTCTTGAATTGCCGAAGTTTCGGTACATTTATCGTATATTTGAATCAAGCTAAGGTTTACTTGCGGGATGGACAAAAAGTAGTCAACTCGGTGTCAAGCATTGCAGTTTAGTGAGACGAGACACTGTCACTAAATGAAACTGCTGCGTGATGGAATTAGCTTGTCCGATTCCATACAACCAGATGGGGCGCAGGTGATTTTGAGGTTGACTGGATCAATGCAATTGGTTTTAGAATTCATAGAATCTCTAGGGTATGGAATCAATATTGTGGTCGTTCAAACACTTGACAGACTATATATAAATATGTGACTAACTCCTAGTAGAAACATAACGGTGCTTTTCACTATTTGAAGACGACATGCAGACCCAGATCAGGTAAAGAGGACAAACAAAGACACAGATCGACGCAACTGCGCTCAGTATCAGTCAAATCGATTGTAACAACATGCCAATCAACAGTTTACGCTTCTTTCCAAATGATGCTTGATTATGACGAGAGCACACCTGACGTCTCCGTATGCGTAAAAATCAGGTACAATATCTGGTCTCGAACGTGTGGTCGGTATGCCAGTGTTCATCCAGTCTCATCCACGAGCACTTGAGGTAAGTGGTTACGATTGAAACGACACATGTCCAAATTGGACAAAACCTCGAAAGACCATGCGCTTGAGCCAGTTTCTTCTACTCGTGACACTAGCCTTTGTTGCTTGTTGCATCACATCGACGGGCGCAGAAGATTTGACTCAAATAAAGAGCTTGAAGACAGACTCCAACAATGAGCTAGTGGACCAAAATCTCCGCACGATCAAAGAAGGAAGTGTTGACGAAGAGAGGGGATTTAAGATCCGCAAGGTTTATAAAAAAAAGTGCTAAATCTCATCAAGCGAACGGCTGCAAAAGTGGCAAAAGCGGCAAAAGCGTTAAAGAAAAAATGGAAGAAGCGTCGTCGTCGTCGTCGTCGTCGTCGTCGTCGTCGTTTCTTTGGCGTTTAAGGTGAACCCGCAGTGTTACTGCTCGTTGCTAGGCAGGTGAGAATAAGAAATCCTGATCGACTTACCCATGTTCGAATGAAGTATGTACTCGAGTGTAGACGACTTTTTTCGTATGTCCGTCACAGTAGATAAAGATGCAGTAGCTGTTGTAAATCTTATAACCTAATAGCATGTTGTCCGTTAAAAATAAAGCCCCCAACTTGCTTGCTGTAAGCAGGAAATGGGAGAAACAGAAGATCACACCAAAAGTTGTAGCACGAAAGCATAATGTCGTCGGTCACTTACTGAACGAAAGCCTCAACAAGTGCTACCAGTATCGTTTACCTTCTTCACAGCCTTGGTTGGGGTTGTAGCGTTTCTTCCGTTCATGCTGCCGCCCTTTCCATTCATCACGACCTAGGTGTGGCTCACCAACTTGTGCGCGTCTAGCAGCTACTATATAGCTTCATAGCCTTAGCAGTAGCGTCACAATACCGTTTCACAGCACGAGCACCCGCAGCTTCTTTTTGATCTTCGTGACGTGATTCACAAGACCGTCTACCTGCTTTGAATCTTGTGCTGCAACGGTACCAAGATTAAGGTCTGCTGTGCAGACATTCGACGATGTGCAGCTTGTCAATAGCATCGAGCACAATCTGCAGCTTCGTACCATACTCTTTGGTTTTAGCAGCAAGGTTTATACGGGAACACGATCCGTCAGAGGTGATGCTAAAACTGCATGAATTTGAGATACACGCCTGTTATATGAAGCGGAATACTGGAGGTTGGTATGGCAGATGCACCACTTGGCTAATGGCGTACGTCGTCTCAGTCAATAGAAGTTAAAGTCGTTGTGGCATCTACTTTGGAACATGCATGGTCAGCTTGTCTGAAGTGTTGTTACATATTTTCAACAGGCTTCTAATAAGAAACACTAGACGACAAATTAGAACGTGTTGAAGCTAAGAGACACGTTGAGAATGCAATATCTCAAGCTGAAAGATTCATTGCAATCGTCAAAGGATTATTCAAGCAGTGCTAGAATATGGACGAAGCAGTTGCAGACTACGAGCCTAAGTGATCTGTTCTCGTTTCATCGTTCACCTCAACAGAGATCTTAACCCGCCGCCTCAAACGGCAAGTGTGGAAGAATGGAGCGCTGTCTTGTGTGAGTGATCAAGTCCCAGTGTTGCGATAGGTTTGATGATTCAGACAAAGACTGGACAAAGAGACGAGAACAATCTGATGGTCGTACCTACTCCTTACTGACTGGAATGGCTTCAGCCGACCGTACAGCAGTAGCACCTGTACCATCAAAAATGCTTGTCACGATCTGCTCAATTTCTTGAGGCGTCTTACCACATCTTGCAAGCTCCACGACAAAATTCTGACGGTCTTTACCAGCAAGAACATGACGCTGATCCAAAGCACGTTGGATTTGGCTGGTGGTAGCAATAGAGCGGGGCTCCACGATTCTCCAGGCCTCCCAATATTGACGGTTTTCATTCGCACACCTGGCTACATTATGATCGTCACAATGAAGGGTGTTTCCAGTATGGCACGACACGAAGTAGAGAGCGCAATCTGAGTCCGTCTCCATGGTGAAGCGCTCCCACTCGCCAGGATCAGTGGAGTCAAATACGCATTCCCCAGATACGCGGACATGGAGGAAGCGACCGTTGTGACCAGACTGAATAGCGACCTTGTCGTCACGAACTCGGTGTAAGATGAGTTGCTCGTACACATCACGGTTATCTGTTAGACAACGAGCCTTCTTGGACCCAAGAGGATTTTGCAGATTTTTGTTGACACGAATGGACTGAAGAATGACAGGCACGTTGAACGGAATTTCAGACAGATCCATAGGAGATTACGTCTGTTGCAAGGTTGAGCGCTAAAAGGAAAATGCGATGCCTGATTTCTTTGTTAAGGATCTGATTCAAGGAATGACGTCACGAAATGACTGGCCAAAGACATTCAAACGACGGTATTGATCAATGACTTCGATTTTATGCATGAGTGATGAATAGTCGTAGTTCTTCATTCATAACATCCATCATATGACGGTTTAATAATCACCTTTTCTCAAATATTTTTTCAGGTCTAAAGAATATCGACTCTGCTCAGCTAAGCACTTGGATTCGTAAGGAAATGTATCGACTTTACCATCATCCCTATGGTCTCGTTTACAATTGGTAACAGCATGCTTATCGTGTACATACATATTGCCGCCAAATTGTAACGTATAATCTTTCTTTGCGATAGAAATGATAACCATTGTGCGTCAGATCGGAGTCCAAGTAAACATCACGACTTGTGGCAGGTTGCGATTGTTAAGTATCATATGTAAATCTCATACATTTGACTAGCAAGATGAAGTTTTCTTACCTGATATTGTTCCTACTTTAATTGCTAACCTATGACATGGGCAGTAGTGATAAGTATGACATGGGCAGTAGTGATAAGTATGACATGGGCAGTAGTGATAAGTATGACATGAGCAGTAGTGATAAGTATTGAGCACTTGCACACTACTATTATCTCATTACAATAGTGCATGTGTGGCATTTCGCAGAGTACGCATTGCTACCTGGTCAAACAGAAGCAAATACTAAGGTAGAGACTTAGAGAAAGCGGCTATGTTGCACAGACTAATTGACCACTTGTGTTATCAGTAACATGATGTTGATAAAGACCAAGAGCTGTGGACGTCATGGTTGTCGATAACGGGTCACGCCCCCTTATTGGTCGTATTCGTACAAACTGATTGCGGAAATACTGGCACACCACGCCAATTGGAAGCCTTCCATCGCAGGTCAAGAAATTTGCAGCTGTAGTACTCAAGCACAAGTGTTCCGTATCACATAGTATGGATCTTATACGATATCCAGCTACACATAGTACGACTGAGCACCACACCCGTGTCCATTAGTGCCAACGGCGCTTTTGTCTTTCACGACAAAATCGAAAGTCCATTCAAGACCAGCGCGATCATGAAAACAACTAGAACATATCAGGACTTTTCGTAAGCGAGGGTCACGTCACCACAGTTTCCATCCTTTGATTGAATGCCTTCCTACTTTCTTTGTACTACTGTAGTAGTACTGAACAAAATTCATTGCTGCCTTTCCTCCAAACTTGTCGACAACAACATGCAAAACAACGGTATTCCAAGAGTGTCAACACTACCATCAAAACCGGAACTAAGAGAAGATTTGCAGATATCACGTAAGATTTCCATGAACGACACCATGAGGACCCCTCAAATGATCATTGGCGACGGTTCCGTTTTGAAGATGGATCAACTTTTGACCTTAGATTTCGATGATCATCAATCAAATGCTTTACTATTTATAACATCTCACCCGTCTAAATGCGATGAGTGCGAACAACGACCTGGTCAAGTGACCTGTAATGATTGCGGTCTAGTCTATTGTGCCGAATGTGACACTCATAGACACCGTAAAGGGAAACTGCAATTGCATCAGCGAAAGACACTAGCACAAAAGCAAATTGAAAGTCCAGAACTTGAAGAACTTGAGGAGGAACGGGAGAAATGTATTGCCAAGTGGAAAACCTGTGACGTGTGTGACTGGCTACAAGCTCACGACTTGGATTTGTTTGTGAAAGAAGCACAACGACAAGGACTTACTGGAGAAAGTCTATTGGCTTCAAATGGACTAGACAAGCTCTTGGATGCTTTAACGGGTGTTAGTCGTGGGCACAAGAAAAAGTTGCAGAGAGAAGTTTACAAGCTTCAGAATTCAATCGAACGCTCGTTAACTTTTGAGGACGAAGTATTACCTGAACCTGCACCTTCACCACCGATAGATCCAGACAAGAGTTCAATGCAACGTGTCAAACTTGATATCCGCGGTGCTGTTGAGTCAATGGTAACGTTACCAGCTCGGCAACTTGCGCCAGAATTGAATCCGTTAGGATTTAGCCCATTGAAGATTGACTTGGATGAAGATGATCGTGTAGCAAGTATAGCTCCCAAGCGGAGCAGAGGTGGGAGACAGACTTTACGTGCGCTAGAACTGGATATTGCACAGGTAAAAAAGGAGGAGAAGACAGTAGCTGCGTCTTTTGATTTCTCGGCAACAGGAAGACTGCAGACCCAAGGTTTTGAGATTAATGTAAGAACCTCATTCGAAATCGATGCACGTGCTGACTTGATAGTGGACTAATCTGTGCTTATTGTAGACACGTGGTATGGCTAACGTGCCTTTTGCAAGCCCCCAGCAGTGCGAAGCACATGGAAAGAAGTCTGCATCAACGGCAAATACAGTCAGTACGAAAGACTACTTGCTGCTGCTTGAGGAACTTGGCCATGGAGCTGGTGGAAAAGTGTACAAGGCGCTGTATATGCCAACGTTCATGCTGGTTGCTGTAAAGGTCATTCGTGTCTACGACCAGAAGAAGCGTCATCAAATGGTGCGTGAACTCAAGTCATTATACGTGAATTTTGTGCCGCTGGCTACTGCCACTTTGCCGTCTACTTTTGCTGCAACATCATCCGTTGCACAAGCAGCATGCAAAGAGCTTGTAGTCTTTTACGACGCGTACACAAATCCTGAGGTTGGTTCCGTATCGATTGTTTTGGAGTACATGGATGGAGGTTCTCTGGAAGATTATGTACAGTCTGTTACCGAAGGCGATGAAGAGAACGCGGGTTGCTTGTCCGAAGAGAAGATTGCGAATATTGCGATGTGCGGATTGAAAGGTCTTGCTTTCTTGCATGAGCATCACCAGCTACATCGAGATATCAAGCTTAGCAACATGCTGATAAACCACCAAGGTCAAGTCAAGGTATAATAACCAGCGACTTACTTTTTGACTTGTAAATTCGTACTAACGCAGAACGTTCACGCTAAATGTAGATATCGGATTTCGGTATTTCACGCGACCTCGAGAGTACTTTGGCCAAGGCAACGACATTCACGGGCACACTTTTGTAAGTCTTTTGGAACCATTTCTCGAATAGTACTTTACGTAAGCTAAACTTGACCAATGATGCCAGGTACATGGCACCTGAAAGAATCAGTGGGGGTATGTACTCGTATCCTTCCGACCTCTGGTCTTTTGGGCTAGCAATCATGGCTTGTGTTATCGGAAAGCTTCCTGTCCCGACCAGCGACGGCTACTGGGGTGTGGTTCACGCTGTGCAAGAGCAACCTTCACCGCGGCTTCAGGACTATGGCGACCACTTTTCCCCGGAGTTGTGCGATTTTCTCGACCAGTGCTTGCACAAAAACCCGCTATATCGACCTCCTGCTGCTACCCTCCTTGAGCATCCGTTCATTAAGAAGAATTACTTGCCAAGCGAGCAAGCAACCGTTGATTTGAGTCGAGGCCGACAGCCTCTAACAACAAAGCTACTTGAGCGCAGTCGCAAAGACATGATAAGCATTGCCGTGAAGGCTCAAAGCTGGTGTCGAGACCATGTCAATGCTTTTCGACGACTTTCGTACATCAATGAGGGAACGGAGGTACAAAGCACTTCCAGCCAGAGCAAGATCGAGGCTCTAGCCAAACAGCTGCGCCTACCAGTCGACGAAGTGGCGCCACACTTTACGTTCCTAGATGAGTATTGCAAATGAGCAAGCTTGAAAGGTGGATGCTCCAATGTCAGATATCTTTTGATCTGCAAAACCCACCGCGAGTGTGTTCTGTCATTTTATCCGGAACTTGGTTGCTGCTTGTATGAAGCAGTTGCAGAGTCGTTTGCAGCGTAACAAAAGGAGTCAAGATAGAGAAGATAGTCGAATGCCGTCCTTACTTGCGGCCTTGACGTCGCTAGGATGTAGAATATCCAACGCTCTTGATGCACTCGATAGCAAAGTGTTTACGTCCCTTTGCCGGTAACACATATCGAGTTGGTGGCGTCGCAACATTGGCATAGAGCAGTGCTGAGCTTGGCTCACCACCATGTTCGATAGCTGCGATCACCACTCAATATGCTAAGCGCGAAGAAGCGTTTGACAGCAGCGAAGGTTATGCGATGGTGGTGGCGATGGCAACAGCAAAGGTTATGCAATGGTGGTGGCGATGGCAACAGCGAAGACTTTCATTGCGACAACATTGTCTCCAATGAAGCAGATAAGTGCAGTGTGTTTTCTACACCCATCACACGATCCTGTAGCTGACAGTCTGTACAGCCCCAAGCCATGCACACAGGCATGACGAAACGTGGTCACCGATCAACGTCGCTATCATCCGCAAGATCGCAGTCCAGCGACAAGAGGTGAATGTGTTACTTTCATTATTTTTCAATGCGTTTCGCATCATGTCAATAGGTAAACAACTATTGCCTTCAGTTCCAATTTCTCCGTCGACTTCTAGCAGTCATGACAGATCTCTTGGATCAAGTGTTTTGATTCCAACTCCGAGCGAGATCGATGCATTGCTGGGCCACTAGTATCGGTAAACTACACTGTGCTGCTAGACGAATTCATTCAGTATCGAACATCAATAGGATCGGGTTTGCTGAAATGAGGACGCACTTTGATAGCTTCTGCTTCAAACAAGATGTTTGTCAGTAGAGATTAGAAGCACCATGCACAAAGTCTGAGTTGAAACGAATGCTTGTCATGAGGGCGTTATAACAACTTACTGCAATAGTATGAATTATCAAGATGATGTTGTGTCGTACAAGTTCATGCTTATTTTCGTATCAAGAGTGCGTTGCGCTGTGTAAGCATATCGAGGCAAGTTAGGTGAAGTGAGTAGATTGGGAGTACGCGGTGGAATGATGAAAGAAGGCAACACCTTTATATCACGCTTGTGGCGCTCTAGTAATGCATGATCTTGTAAGTGAATTCAACGGAGTTAAACATCTTGAGCTTACAATCGCTTGCAGTTTCTCAAGAAACATCGTGGCACAGCGAGGCAGACGAACAGCAAAATAGATAAGGCTACCGTGGCGCGGCTACTGGAAGCTCCAAACCGTTGCAAAAGGTCTTGCAATGAATGATATCGGCTAGTCAAATGCACTAATTCCTACCAAAAATTCGGTTAGTGCATTTATGTCTTTACGCATAGAGAGCAACCGCCAGAGGCACGGGTGCATCTGCAAATGAGCATGAAGCTGCAAATTAGCTACACTAACTGATCAGGAGGCGAATGGAAGGTCGAGATATTGTATGTCTTGAATTGCCGAAGTTTCGGTACATTTATCGTATATTTGAATCAAGCTAAGGTTTACTTGCGGGATGGACAAAAAGTAGTCAACTCGGTGTCAAGCATTGCAGTTTAGTGAGACGAGACACTGTCACTAAATGAAACTGCTGCGTGATGGAATTAGCTTGTCCGATTCCATACAACCAGATGGGGCGCAGAGTGATTTTGAGGTTGACTGGATCAATGCAATTGGTTTTAGAATTCATAGAATCTCTAGGGTATGGAATCAATATTGTGGTCGTTCAAACACTTGACAGACTATATATAAATATGTGACTAACTCCTAGTAGAAACATAACGGTGCTTTTCACTATTTGAAGACGACATGCAGACCCAGATCAGGTAAAGAGGACAAACAAAGACACAGATCGACGCAACTGCGCTCAGTATCAATCAAATTGATTGTAACAACATGCCAATCAACAGTTCCGCTTCTTTCCAAATGATGCTTGATTATGATGAGAGCGCACCTGACGTCTCCGTATGCGTAAAAATCAGGTGCAATATCTGGTCTAGAATGTGTGGTCGGTATGCCAGTGTTCATCCAGTCTCATCCGCGAGCACTTGAGGTAAGTGGTTACGATTGAAACGACACATGTCCAAATTGGACAAAACCTCGAAAGACCATGCGCTTGAGCCAGTTTCTTCTACTCGTGACACTAGCCTTCGTCACTTGTTGCATCACATCGACGGGCGCAGAAGATTTGACTCAAATAAAGAGCTTGAAGACAGACTCCAACAATGAGCTAGCGAACCAGTATCATCGTAAGCTCTGGAAAGATCAAACTGTATTGAAGCTCAGTATGAACTCAGCTATTCTACAATCGATAACAACATTGTAAATTGGATTGAAAAGACGAGGCTGTCAATAAAGAATTTGCTCAGCAAACGAGCACCGTTGTAACAAGAAATGGAGATGATTCCGATGTCGCAAGCCGAGCATCCCAGACGGGCTGAAAGATTTCGTAAATCCCACAACGTTAAAATCGAATTAGAAAGTTAGTGTTTCTGTCCCAGTCGATAAAGTTGCGGTAGCTATTGTAGGCATTCAAACAAATAGCATTTTGTCTATATAGATCAAAGTTCCCAAGTTGCAAGAGAAAACCTCTTAATAAAAAGCCATCATCATCCCATTTCAAAGTTTCTAGCTTACGTTGTATTAATGATAAAAGAAGCCATGATCAGACCAAACATTGCAGCACGAAAGCATACTGACGTCGGTCACTTACTCAATGAAAGTCTTGGCAAGTTTCATAGCCTCGTCCACCTTTTCCATAGTCTTGGCCTGCCCTGTAGCATTTCGATCGTCCTTGCCACCACCCTTTCCATTCATCACAACCATGGCGTGGTTCACCCATTTACGTGCGTCGAGTTGCTTTGAGTCAATGTGCTGCTGGCTCACCTGCGTAAAAGCTGCTGTCTTGTTCGCGTCCGAGTCCGTACTAAAGATCATGAAGCTGCCCGTCGGAATAATTGTGCTCATAGCCTCCAGCATCTCACGGCCAAGTTTCGAGTCCGTACCGACGTCGAACTTCACAACAACGATCTCCTGGCCAGCCGCCTTAGCCTTCACGGCCTCAGCAGTAGCGTCACGGACACCGTTTGCAGCACGAGCAACTGCAGCTTCCCTCTTGATCTTCTTAACGCGGTTCACGAGACCGTCTACCTGCTTTCGAAGCTTATTCTTTAGCGGTAGCGAAATCAAAGCCTGGTCCAACACAGGCTTGAAAGAAGACACGTGCTCCACGAACTCGATACCGTCCAGCTTGTCAATAGCATTGAGCTCAGCCTGCAGTTCCATACCGCGCTTCTCAGCATCAATGGCGAGGTCGCATGTGTAGGCTGACACACGACGAATGCCCTTCGCAATGGCACCCTCCTCGTACAGAATGAACTTCTTAGCCTCCTTTGTATTCTTCAAATGGGTACCACCGCAGAACTCTACAGAGTAATTGCTCCAATCGCTATTCTCAGGGTCCTCGAGCATAGGAGCGATCGGATGCCCAATCGAAACAACGCGGACAAAGTCCGGGTACGTCTCACCAAACACGGCACGCAGGCCCTGGATGCGCTTGGCTTCAGCCTGTGCGGAATCTTGCGTGTACACATCCAGCTGCTGCTTGATGACGTTGTCGCAAATAGCCTCCACATCTGCCAGCTGATCGACCTTCAGCGCCTTGTTGTTCGTGAAATCGAAACGCAGACGCGATTCGTCCACAAGCGACCCACGTTGATCCACAGTCGTACCTAGCACCTTGCGCAGCGCAAAGTTGAGCACGTGCGTCATGGTGTGGTTGGGAGCCACCTTACCACGGCGGATATAGTCCACCTGGCACTCCACGGAGTCACCAACCTTGATCGATCCAGAAGCGATGGGCCCCATATGCATCACGTATCCAGCGTACGACTCTACTGAGTCCACGTCCAACTTAAAGTTCGCGCCGTCAACTACACCAGTGTCATAAATCTGGCCACCAGCCTGAGCGTAGAACGAAGTCTTGTCCAGAATAACACCTACACGCTCAAAATCACCAGCATTGACCTCCTCCACAAAGTTCGAGCTGGACTCCGTTGTCGTAAAGATAGCCAATACGTTAGCTGGCATCTTGATGTTCCAGTCGTACTTGGCCATGTCATCCGTAGGGTTAATATGCTTACCAGCAAGTGTGCTGGTCTCGCGGGCCTCTAGGACAAGCGGACGTGTACCATTGCTGCCACCCTTCTTACGGTCCATCTTGGAGCGCTCACTCTGTAGACGCATGCACTCTTCGTATCCCTTAATGTCCACCGTCATACCCTCCTCCTCGGCCATGATCTCCGTCAGATCGATAGGAAAACCCATCGAGTCGTAAAGGAAGAACGCGTCCTCGCCAGGCACAACAAGAGCCTTATCTGACCCCGCATGAGCGTCACGGATATTTTGCGCAATCTTTTTAAAACGCTCAATGCCTTTGTTCAAAGTACGACCGAACGACTTTTCCTCGTCTAAAACGATCTCCTCTACCGCTTTCTGCTTCTCAATAAGCTCCGGGTAAGCCTCGCCCAGCATATTTATCACGACCGGTACGAGCTCCGTGAGAAAACCACTCGGCGCATTCAGGAATTGCTGGCCGTAACGCACTGCACGACGTAAAATACGACGCAGCACGTATCCACGGCCGTCATTGCTCGGCACCGCACCGTCTGTTATAGCGATCGTCAGTGTTCGCACATGGTCCGCTACAACACGGTAGGCCATGTCCTTCTTGTCCGAGTCTTCCTCGCCCAACTTGCCCGTGTACGGCGCCGAGTTGGCGGACTTTTGAATAGCTGCAAAGAGCGGAGTAAATACGTCTGTGTCGTAGTTCGAGTCCTTGCCTTGCAAAATCGACGCCAATCGTTCGAATCCCATACCTGTATCCACGTGTTTGTGTGGTAATGGCACGAGTTTTCCATCCTGTTCACGGTTAAACTGGATAAACACATTATTCCAGATCTCAATTACATCAGGCACATCGGCATTTACTAGACTAGCAGCATTCCGGTTACCAATGCGGTCATAGTGGATCTCCGTACAAGGTCCACAAGGACCGACGTCTCCCATTTCCCAAAAGTTATCTTTGCAGTCAAAAGGTAGCACTCTTTCTGCAGGCAAGTAATCAAGCCAAATAAGATGCGTCTCCTCATCCGATGGAAGACCTTGTTTCTTGTCTCCACCAAAGTACGTCGCGTATAGTCGATTCTTGTCAATGCCATAAACTTCCGTCAATAGTGTAAAGCTCATGTGGACTGCCTCTTTCTTAAAGTAATTACCAAAGCTCCAATTACCTAACATTTCAAAGAATGTATGGTGATAAACGTCCTTCCCCACGTCGTCCAGATCATTGTGCTTACCACCAGCGCGAATGCATTTCTGCGAGTTACACGCTCGTTGAAGCTTTGCCATGGGATGCAAAGGATCCACTTGACCTAAGAAAATAGGTTTGTATTGATTCATACCAGCATTAATGAAAAGTAACGTCGGATCATCCAGTGGCACAACGGGACACGATTTGTAAAATGTATGGGGAAGTTCCTTCTGTGATTTAAAAAAGTCAATGAACGTCTTGCGAATACGTGCAGCAGGCCACATGTCAGCTGAAAAAGAAGAAGAAGAAGACAGTGCAGGAGACTTGCTCTCCAGTGTCTTGACACTACTAGTCGAAACCTCTTCAACCTGCTTCAGCGATACCACTTTACTCTCCATTCTAAACTTGTCCTAATACGCAAAAACAGATGATTGGCTGGAAATGAAGGGCTTGAGAATAGAGGAGGGAACCAGGAATACGTATCTGATAGCATCATTTGACTGTATATATTAGGACGTCACCAGCAAGCGTTTGAACTGATAATTCCGCGGTTGAATCAATACAGGGGATCAAGTGGTCAACAAGGGTCGAGCGTCAAAAAAAAACGGCCGGATTAACGTCACACTTCAACATTCCGCCATGTTCTATCTCATAATTGATTGTTATGCAATTGAATACGAACTGGGAACATATCGTGCGCCTCACCGTCGGCTACCACTATAGTTCAACGCCAAATTATTCCTTTTGCAATATCGATGATTAGACGCAGCCGCCGAGCGCTGGTGGAAAGGTTCCTCGTGGATCCTCCAACCTTTACGATTCCGTCCCTACACGAGCGGTCGAGGATCGTTTGTTGGCGGGTGCTCTGCAGCGGTTCTAGGACGCAATCTCATGTCGTGGATTATAGGCAGATCTTGTTGAGCTGCGACCGCGCCACTACAACCGAGTTGTCAATGGTCCCATCAACACTTTTGGCATCAAGCAAACGAAGCGGACAGAATACGCCTTTGTTTCCACCGTCTTCCCCACGCCATTCGCCACTATAACCACTCAAGTTACGCCGCTGGTCCATTGCTGTCCTGCTATCCCATAGCAGTCCTGCTGGCCTCACCGCGCCTAATTACTGGGCCATCTCTCCACGCAACCAGTGCACTCACGCTTCGGCAGTCTCCGACGTTTTTGCAAGCTGTTCTTTGGCAGGTCCATGCCCCAAGGCGTGATTGAAGCGAGCCCGTAGGTCGCCAAAACAACTCCTGGCGCCAGACGGGGACCAGCACTGGGATTCACTGGAAAATTGATGGAGATATAAAATTGCTGGAGCTGGAGGCCGGCTGTCGGTGTCGTTACAGCCGCAATCTGAGGGACACGGGCATCCACGAGTTTCCGTAGGCCGCGTCTTAAACGATCTACACGGCTGCATGTTGGTCTACTACCTCAACTGACTGGCGTACGCCCATTTTTATTGCAAACACGAATGCAGCAAAAGCTTGCTTGCTATCGCTCACCGCCTTGCAACCAAGGCGGTAGCGAGTAGCTGACAGCACGACCTTATGAGCCAAAACCAACAGACCCGGTGGGATCATCTGCACGCCCTCACGGACTATCAAGTTTGCATACCAGATTGTACATCTACTCTTCTTTTACAGAGTCGCCCGTTTCCCGGAGATTTGTCCCACACCGGAACCCAACGCATCGACAATGGGAAAACATACGAGCACTTTTCCTAGAGCTTTCCGTTTCTCAAGCGACTTGGGCACAACTCATTAGTCACTAAGGAAGGCGCTAAGGCGCAGCCTGAGCGCTTGCAGTGTGGGAATTGCGAATGTGCGGCTCGAACCAGGCCGTCCTGCTTGTCCCGGGTTTGCTCCCAATGGGCTTGTTGCTAGACGGTTCTGCGCGGTCACAACCACAAGCTTCTGGATCAAGCGATTTTTATTGTCTGTCGCAGCGAACAGATGATGGCACAGAAGGAGCAGTGGTCTAGTGGACTACGGCAATGCGGCAACTTGGAGCCGTCGCCAAACGCGACCGCCGCAAGGCGGACGCTGTTCTACACGGTGTCACACAACGCGCTTGCGTCGATAACGTTATTTTCACACCGAGACATCCCATGGAGCTCTATAACGAGTGGCCTGACACAACGTCTCGCCTATCGTCGACAACGTTTTCATGTCGGCTTTACAAGACGGACATAACAGGAATCTCATACTAATTAGAGTAAATAGATATGTCAAATCTCTCTGGATAGAAGGTTAAATCCTTTAATTTACATTATAAATTATATGTAAGATTTAACCATATTCATTCATTCGTTTCGAAAGGGTTTATGAGACAAATAGGGGTCCCTCCTCTATTCTCAAGCCCTTCATTTCCAGCCAATCATCTGTTTTTGCGTATTAGGACAAGTTTAGAATGGAGAGTAAAGTGGTATCGCTGAAGCAGGTTGAAGAGGTTTCGACTAGTAGTGTCAAGACACTGGAGAGCAAGTCTCCTGCACTGTCTTCTTCTTCTTCTTTTTCAGCTGACATGTGGCCTGCTGCACGTATTCGCAAGACGTTCATTGACTTTTTTAAATCACAGAAGGAACTTCCCCATACATTTTACAAATCGTGTCCCGTTGTGCCACTGGATGATCCGACGTTACTTTTCATTAATGCTGGTATGAATCAATACAAACCTATTTTCTTAGGTCAAGTGGATCCTTTGCATCCCATGGCAAAGCTTCAACGAGCGTGTAACTCGCAGAAATGCATTCGCGCTGGTGGTAAGCACAATGATCTGGACGACGTGGGGAAGGACGTTTATCACCATACATTCTTTGAAATGTTAGGTAATTGGAGCTTTGGTAATTACTTTAAGAAAGAGGCAGTCCACATGAGCTTTACACTATTGACGGAAGTTTATGGCATTGACAAGAATCGACTATACGCGACGTACTTTGGTGGAGACAAGAAACAAGGTCTTCCATCGGATGAGGAGACGCATCTTATTTGGCTTGATTACTTGCCTGCAGAAAGAGTGCTACCTTTTGACTGCAAAGATAACTTTTGGGAAATGGGAGACGTCGGTCCTTGTGGACCTTGTACGGAGATCCACTATGACCGCATTGGTAACCGGAATGCTGCTAGTCTAGTAAATGCCGATGTGCCTGATGTAATTGAGATCTGGAATAATGTGTTTATCCAGTTTAACCGTGAACAGGATGGAAAACTCGTGCCATTACCACACAAACACGTGGATACAGGTATGGGATTCGAACGATTGGCGTCGATTTTGCAAGGCAAGGACTCGAACTACGACACAGACGTATTTACTCCGCTCTTTGCAGCTATTCAAAAGTCCGCCAACTCGGCGCCGTACACGGGCAAGTTGGGCGAGGAAGACTCGGACAAGAAGGACATGGCCTACCGTGTTGTAGCGGACCATGTGCGAACACTGACGATCGCTATAACAGACGGTGCGGTGCCGAGCAATGACGGCCGTGGATACGTGCTGCGTCGTATTTTACGTCGTGCAGTGCGTTACGGCCAGCAATTCCTGAATGCGCCGAGTGGTTTTCTCACGGAGCTCGTACCGGTCGTGATAAATATGCTGGGCGAGGCTTACCCGGAGCTTATTGAGAAGCAGAAAGCGGTAGAGGAGATCGTTTTAGACGAGGAAAAGTCGTTCGGTCGTACTTTGAACAAAGGCATTGAGCGTTTTAAAAAGATTGCGCAAAATATCCGTGACGCTCATGCGGGGTCAGATAAGGCTCTTGTTGTGCCTGGCGAGGACGCGTTCTTCCTTTACGACTCGATGGGTTTTCCTATCGATCTGACGGAGATCATGGCCGAGGAGGAGGGTATGACGGTGGACATTAAGGGATACGAAGAGTGCATGCGTCTACAGAGTGAGCGCTCCAAGATGGACCGTAAGAAGGGTGGCAGCAATGGTACACGTCCGCTTGTCCTAGAGGCCCGCGAGACCAGCACACTTGCTGGTAAGCATATTAACCCTACGGATGACATGGCCAAGTACGACTGGAACATCAAGATGCCAGCTAAGGTATTGGCTATCTTTACGACAACGGAGTCCAGCTCGAACTTTGTGGAGGAGGTCAATGCTGGTGATTTTGAGCGTGTAGGTGTTATTCTGGACAAGACTTCGTTCTACGCTCAGGCTGGTGGCCAGATTTATGACACTGGTGTAGTTGACGGCGCGAACTTTAAGTTGGACGTGGACTCAGTAGAGTCGTACGCTGGATACGTGATGCATATGGGGCCCATCGCTTCTGGATCGATCAAGGTTGGTGACTCCGTGGAGTGCCAGGTGGACTATATCCGCCGTGGTAAGGTGGCTCCCAACCACACCATGACGCACGTGCTCAACTTTGCGCTGCGCAAGGTGCTAGGTACGACTGTGGATCAACGTGGGTCGCTTGTGGACGAATCGCGTCTGCGTTTCGATTTCACGAACAACAAGGCGCTGAAGGTCGATCAGCTGGCAGATGTGGAGGCTATTTGCGACAACGTCATCAAGCAGCAGCTGGATGTGTACACGCAAGATTCCGCACAGGCTGAAGCCAAGCGCATCCAGGGCCTGCGTGCCGTGTTTGGTGAGACGTACCCGGACTTTGTCCGCGTTGTTTCGATTGGGCATCCGATCGCTCCTATGCTCGAGGACCCTGAGAATAGCGATTGGAGCAATTACTCTGTAGAGTTCTGCGGTGGTACCCATTTGAAGAATACAAAGGAGGCTAAGAAGTTCATTCTGTACGAGGAGGGTGCCATTGCGAAGGGCATTCGTCGTGTGTCAGCCTACACATGCGACCTCGCCATTGATGCTGAGAAGCGCGGTATGGAACTGCAGGCTGAGCTCAATGCTATTGACAAGCTGGACGGTATCGAGTTCGTGGAGCACGTGTCTTCTTTCAAGCCTGTGTTGGACCAGGCTTTGATTTCGCTACCGCTAAAGAATAAGCTTCGAAAGCAGGTAGACGGTCTCGTGAACCGCGTTAAGAAGATCAAGAGGGAAGCTGCAGTTGCTCGTGCTGCAAACGGTGTCCGTGACGCTACTGCTGAGGCCGTGAAGGCTAAGGCGGCTGGCCAGGAGATCGTTGTTGTGAAGTTCGACGTCGGTACGGACTCGAAACTTGGCCGTGAGATGCTGGAGGCTATGAGCACAATTATTCCGACGGGCAGCTTCATGATCTTTAGTACGGACTCGGACGCGAACAAGACAGCAGCTTTTACGCAGGTGAGCCAGCAGCACATTGACTCAAAGCAACTCGACGCACGTAAATGGGTGAACCACGCCATGGTTGTGATGAATGGAAAGGGTGGTGGCAAGGACGATCGAAATGCTACAGGGCAGGCCAAGACTATGGAAAAGGTGGACGAGGCTATGAAACTTGCCAAGACTTTCATTGAGTAAGTGACCGACGTCAGTATGCTTTCGTGCTGCAATGTTTGGTCTGATCATGGCTTCTTTTATCATTAATACAACGTAAGCTAGAAACTTTGAAATGGGATGATGATGGCTTTTTATTAAGAGGTTTTCTCTTGCAACTTGGGAACTTTGATCTATATAGACAAAATGCTATTTGTTTGAATGCCTACAATAGCTACCGCAACTTTATCGACTGGGACAGAAACACTAACTTTCTAATTCGATTTTAACGTTGTGGGATTTACGAAATCTTTCAGCCCGTCTGGGATGCTCGGCTGGCTGATTGTTGGTTGCGACATCGGAATCATCTCCATTTCTTGTTACAACGGTGCTCGTTTGCTGAGCAAATTCTTTATTGACAGCCTCGTCTTTTCAATCCAATTTACAATGTTGTTATCGATTGTAGAATAGCTGAGTTCATACTGAGCTTCAATACAGTTTGATCTTTCCAGAGCTTACGATGATACTGGTTCGCTAGCTCATTGTTGGAGTCTGTCTTCAAGCTCTTTATTTGAGTCAAATCTTCTGCGGCCGTCGATGTGATGCAACAAGTGACGAAGGCTAGTGTCACGAGTAGAAGAAACTGGCTCAAGCGCATGGTCTTTCGAGGTTTTTTCCAATCTGGACATGTGTCGTTTCAATCGTAACCACTTACCTCAAGTGCTCGTGGATGAGACTGGATGAACACTGGCATACCGATCACACATTCGAGACCAGATATTGTACCTGATTTTTACGCATACGGAGACGTCAGGTGTGCTCTCATCATAATCAAGCATCATTTGGAAAGAAGCGGAAACTGTTGATTGGCATGTTGTTACAATCGATTTGATTGATACTGAGCGCAGTTGCGTCGATCTGTGTCTTTGTTTGTCCTCTTTACCTGATCTGGGTCTGCATGTCGTCTTCAAATAGTGAAAAGCACCGTTATGTTTCTACTAGGAGTTAGTCACATATTTATATATAGTCTGTCAAGTGTTTGAACGACCACAATATTGATTCCATACCCTAGAGATTCTATGAATTCTAAAACCAATCGCATTGATCCAGTCAACCTCAAAATCACTCTGCGCCCCATCTGGTTGTATGGAATCGGACAAGCTAATTCCATCACGCAGCAGTTTCATTTAGTGACAGTGTCTCGTCTCACTAAACTGCAATGCTTGACACCGAGTTGACTACTTTTTGCCCATCCCGCAAGTAAACCTTAGCTTGATTCAAATATACGATAAATGTACCGAAACTTCGGCAATTCAAGACATACAATATCTCGACCTTCCATTCGCCTCCTGATCAGTTAGTGTAGCTAATTTGCAGCTTCATGCTCATTTGCAGATGCACCCGTGCCTCTGGCGGTTGCTCTCTGGGGGGGGGTATGCGTAAAGACATAAATGCACTAACCGAATTTTTGGTAGGAATTAGTGCATTTGACTAGCCGATATCATTCATTGCAAGACCTTTTGCAACGGTTTGGAGCTTCCAGTAGCCGCGCCACGGTAGCCTTATCTATTTTGCTGTTCGTCTGCCTCGCTGTGCCACGATGTTTCTTGAGAAACTGCAAGCGATTGTAAGCTCAAGATGTTTAACTCCGTTGAATTCACTTACAAGATCATGCATTACTAGAGCGCCACAAGCGTGATATAAAGGTGTTGCCTTCTTTCATCATTCCACCGCGTACTCCCAATCTACTCACTTCACCTAACTTGCCTCGATATGCTTACACAGCGCAACGCACTCTTGATACGAATATAAGCATGAACTTGTACGACACAACATCATCTTGATAATTCATACTATTGCAGTAAGTTGTTATAACGCCCGTCATGACAAGCATTCGTTTCAACTCAGACTTTGTGCATGGTGCTTCTAATCTCTACTGACAAACATCTTGTTTGAAGCAGAAGCTATCAAAGTGCGTCCTCATTTCAGCAAACCCGATCCTATTGATGTTCGATACTGAATGAATTCGTCTAGCAGCACAGTGTAGTTTACCGATACTAGTGGCCCAGCAATGCATCGATCTCGCTCGGAGTTGGAATCAAAACACTTGATCCAAGAGATCTGTCATGACTGCTAGAAGTCGACGGAGAAATTGGAACTGAAGGCAATAGTTGTTTACCTATTGACATGATGCGAAACACATTGAAAAATAATGAAAGTAACACATTCACCTCTTGTCGCTGGACTGCGATCTTGCGGTTGCGACGTTGATCGGTGACCACGTTTCGTCATGCCTGTGTGCATGGCTTGGGGCTGTACAGACTGTCAGCTACAGGATCGTGTGATGGGTGTAGAAAACACACTGTACTTATCTGCTTCATTGGAGACAATGTTGTCGCAATGAAAGTCTTTGCTGTTGCCATCGCCACCACCATCGCATAACCTTTGCTGTTGCCATCGCCACCACCATCGCATAACCTTCGCTGCTGTCAAACGCTTCTTCGCGCTTAGCATATTGAGTGGTGATCGCAGCTATCGAACATGGTGGTGAGCCAAGCTCAGCACTGCTCTATGCCCTATGCCAATGTTGCGACGCCACCAACTCGATATGTGCTACCGACAAAGGGACGTAAACACTTTGCTATCGAGTGCATCAAGAGCGTTGGATATTCTACATCCTAGCGACGTCAAGGCCGCAAGTAAGGACGGCATTCGACTATCTTCTCTATCTTGACTCCTTTTGTTACGCTGCAAACGACTCTGCAACTGCTTCATGCAAGCAGCAACCAAGTTCCGAATAAAATGACAGAACACACTCGCGGTGGGTTTTGCAGATCAAATAGATATCTGACATTGGAGCATCCACCTTTCAAGCTTGCTCATTTGCAATACTCATCTAGGAACGTAAAGTGCGGCGCCACTTCGTCGACTGGTAGGCGCAGCTGTTTGGCTAAAGCCTCGATCTTGCTCCGGCTGGAAGTGCTTTGTACCTCCGTTCCCTCATTGATGTACGAAAGTCGTCGAAAAGCATTGACATGGTCTCGACACCAGCTTTGAGCCTTCACGGCAATGCTTATCATGTCTTTGCGACTGCGCTCAAGTAGCTTTGTTGTTAGAGGCTGTTGGCCTCGACTCAAATCAACGGTTGCTTGCTCGCTTGGCAAGTAATTCTTCTTAATGAACGGATGCTCAAGGAGGGTAGCAGCAGGAGGTCGATATAGCGGGTTTTTGTGCAAGCACTGGTCGAGAAAATCGCACAACTCCGGGGAAAAGTGGTCGCCATAGTCCTGAAGCCGCGGTGAAGGTTGCTCTTGCACAGCGTGAACCACACCCCAGTAGCCGTCGCTGGTCGGGACAGGAAGCTTTCCGATAACACAAGCCATGATTGCTAGCCCAAAAGACCAGAGGTCGGAAGGATACGAGTACATACCCCCACTGATTCTTTTAGGTGCCATGTACCTGGCATCATTGGTCAAGTTTAGCTTACGTAAAGTACTATTCGAGAAATGGTTCCAAAAGACTTACAAAAGTGTGCCCGTGAATGTCGTTGCCTTGGCCAAAGTACTCTCGAGGTCGCGTGAAATACCGAAATCCGATATCTACATTTAGCGTGAACGTTCTGCGTTAGTACGAATTTACAAGTCAAAAAGTAAGTCGCTGGTTATTATACCTTGACTTGACCTTGGTGGTTTATCAGCATGTTGCTAAGCTTGATATCTCGATGTAGCTGGTGATGCTCATGCAAGAAAGCAAGACCTTTCAATCCGCACATCGCAATATTCGCAATCTTCTCTTCGGACAAGCAACCCGCGTTCTCTTCATCGCCTTCGGTAACAGACTGTACATAATCTTCCAGAGAACCTCCATCCATGTACTCCAAAACAATCGATACGGAACCAACCTCAGGATTTGTGTACGCGTCGTAAAAGACTACAAGCTCTTTGCATGCTGCTTGTGCAACGGATGATGTTGCAGCAAAAGTAGACGGCAAAGTGGCAGTAGCCAGCGGCACAAAATTCACGTATAATGACTTGAGTTCACGCACCATTTGATGACGCTTCTTCTGGTCGTAGACACGAATGACCTTTACAGCAACCAACATGAACGTTGGCATATACAGCGCCTTGTACACTTTTCCACCAGCTCCATGGCCAAGTTCCTCAAGCAGCAGCAAGTAGTCTTTCGTACTGACTGTATTTGCCGTTGATGCAGACTTCTTTTCATGTGCTTCGCACTGCTGGGGGCTTGCAAAAGGCACGTTAGCAATACCACGTGTCTACAATAAGCACAGATTAGTCCACTATCAAGTCAGCACGTGCATCGATTTCGAATGAGGTTCTTACATTAATCTCAAAACCTTGGGTCTGCAGTCTTCCTGTTGCCGAGAAATCAAAAGACGCAGCTACTGTCTTCTCCTCCTTTTTTACCTGTGCAATATCCAGTTCTAGCGCACGTAAAGTCTGTCTCCCACCTCTGCTCCGCTTTGGAGCTATACTTGCTACACGATCATCTTCATCCAAGTCAATCTTCAATGGGCTAAATCCTAACGGATTCAATTCTGGCGCAAGTTGCCGAGCTGGTAACGTTACCATTGACTCAACAGCACCGCGGATATCAAGTTTGACACGCTGCATTGAACTCTTATCTGGATCTATCGGTGGTGAAGGTGCAGGTTCAGGTAATACTTCGTCCTCAAAAGTTAACGAGCGTTCGATTGAATTCTGAAACTTGTAAACTTCTCTCTGCAACTTTTTCTTGTGCCCACGACTGACACCCGTTAAAGCATCCAAGAGCTTGTCTAGTCCATTTGAAGCCAATAGACTTTCTCCAGTAAGTCCTTGTCGTTGTGCTTCTTTCACAAACAAATCCAAGTCGTGAGCTTGTAGCCAGTCACACACGTCACAGGTTTTCCACTTGGCAATACAATTTCTCCCGTTCCTCCTCAAGTTCTTCAAGTTCTGGACTTTCAATTTGCTTTTGTGCTAGTGTCTTTCGCTTATGCAATTGCAGTTTCCCTTTACGGTGTCTATGAGTGTCACATTCGGCACAATAGACTAGACCGCAATCATTACAGGTCACTTGACCAGGTCGTTGTTCGCACTCATCGCATTTAGACGGGTGAGATGTTATAAATAGTAAAGCATTTGATTGATGATCATCGAAATCTAAGGTCAAAAGTTGATCCATCTTCAAAACGGAACCGTCGCCAATGATCATTTGAGGGGTCCTCATGGTGTCGTTCATGGAAATCTTACGTGATATCTGCAAATCTTCTCTTAGTTCCGGTTTTGATGGTAGTGTTGACACTCTTGGAATACCGTTGTTTTGCATGTTGTTGTCGACAAGTTTGGAGGAAAGGCAGCAATGAATTTTGTTCAGTACTACTACAGTAGTACAAAGAAAGTAGGAAGGCATTCAATCAAAGGATGGAAACTGTGGTGACGTGACCCTCGCTTACGAAAAGTCCTGATATGTTCTAGTTGTTTTCATGATCGCGCTGGTCTTGAATGGACTTTCGATTTTGTCGTGAAAGACAAAAGCGCCGTTGGCACTAATGGACACGGGTGTGGTGCTCAGTCGTACTATGTGTAGCTGGATATCGTATAAGATCCATACTATGTGATACGGAACACTTGTGCTTGAGTACTACAGCTGCAAATTTCTTGACCTGCGATGGAAGGCTTCCAATTGGCGTGGTGTGCCAGTATTTCCGCAATCAGTTTGTACGAATACGACCAATAAGGGGGCGTGACCCGTTATCGACAACCATGACGTCCACAGCTCTTGGTCTTTATCAACATCATGTTACTGATAACACAAGTGGTCAATTAGTCTGTGCAACATAGCCGCTTTCTCTAAGTCTCTACCTTAGTATTTGCTTCTGTTTGACCAGGTAGCAATGCGTACTCTGCGAAATGCCACACATGCACTATTGTAATGAGATAATAGTAGTGTGCAAGTGCTCAATACTTATCACTACTGCTCATGTCATACTTATCACTACTGCCCATGTCATACTTATCACTACTGCCCATGTCATACTTATCACTACTGCCCATGTCATAGGTTAGCAATTAAAGTAGGAACAATATCAGGTAAGAAAACTTCATCTTGCTAGTCAAATGTATGAGATTTACATATGATACTTAACAATCGCAACCTGCCACAAGTCGTGATGTTTACTTGGACTCCGATCTGACGCACAATGGTTATCATTTCTATCGCAAAGAAAGATTATACGTTACAATTTGGCGACGCAATATGTATGTACACGATAAGCATGCTGTTACCAATTGTAAACGAGACCATAGGGATGATGGTAAAGTCGATACATTTCCTTACGAATCCAAGTGCTTAGCTGAGCAGAGTCGATATTCTTTAGACCTGAAAAAATATTTGAGAAAAGGTGATTATTAAACCGTCATATGATGGATGTTATGAATGAAGAACTACGACTATTCATCACTCATGCATAAAATCGAAGTCATTGATCAATACCGTCGTTTGAATGTCTTTGGCCAGTCATTTCGTGACGTCATTCCTTGAATCAGATCCTTAACAAAGAAATCAGGCATCGCATTTTCCTTTTAGCGCTCAACCTTGCAACAGACGTAATCTCCTATGGATCTGTCTGAAATTCCGTTCAACGTGCCTGTCATTCTTCAGTCCATTCGTGTCAACAAAAAATCTGCAAAATCCTCTTGGGTCCAAGAAGGCTCGTTGTCTAACCGACAACCGTGATGTGTACGAGCAACTCATCTTACACCGAGTTCGTGACGACAAGGTCGCTATTCAGTCTGGTCACAACGGTCGCTTCCTCCATGTCCGCGTATCTGGGGAATGCGTATTTGACTCCACTGATCCTGGCGAGTGGGAGCGCTTCACCATGGAGACGGACTCAGATTGCGCTCTCTACTTCGTGTCGTGCCATACTGGAAACACCCTTCATTGTGACGATCATAATGTAGCCAGGTGTGCGAATGAAAACCGTCAATATTGGGAGGCCTGGAGAATTGTGGAGCCCCGCTCTATTGCTACCACCAGCCAAATCCAACGTGCTTTGGATCAGCGTCATGTTCTTGCTGGTAAAGACCGCCAGAATTTTGTCGTGGAGCTTGCAAGATGTGGTAAGACGCCTCAAGAAATTGAGCAGATCGTGACAAGCATTTTTGATGGTACAGGTGCTACTGCTGTACGGTCGGCTGAAGCCATTCCAGTCAGTAAGGAGTAGTAGGTACGACCATCAGATTGTTCTCGTCTCTTTGTCCAGTCTTTGTCTGAATCATCAAACCTATCGCAACACTGGGACTTGATCACTCACACAAGACAGCGCTCCATTCTTCCACACTTGCCGTTTGAGGCGGCGGGTTAAGATCTCTGTTGAGGTGAACGATGAAACGAGAACAGATCACTTAGGCTCGTAGTCTGCAACTGCTTCGTCCATATTTCATGTAGCACTGCTTGAATAATCCTTTGACGATTGCAATGAATCTTTCAGCTTGAGGTATTGCATTCTCAACGTGTCTCTTAGCTTCAACACGTTCTAATTTGTCGTCTAGTGTTTCTTATTAGAAGCCTGTTGAAAATATGTAACAACACTTCAGACAAGCTGACCATACATGTTCCAAAGCAGATGCCACAACGACATCACCTTCTATTGACTGAGACGACGTACGCCATTAGCCAAGTGGTGCATCTGCCATACCAACCTCCAGTATTCCGCTTCATATAACAGGCGTATATCTCAAATTCATGCAGTTTTAGCATCACCTCTGACGGATCGTGTTTCCGTATAAACCTTGCTGCTAAAACCAAAGAGCATGGTACGAAGCTGCAGATTGTGCTCGATGCTATTGACAAGCTGCACATCGTCGAATGTCTGCACAGCAGACTTTAATCTTGGTACCGTTGCAGCACAAGATTCAAAGCAGGTAGACGGTCTTGTGAATCACGTCACGAAGGTCAAAAAGAAGCTGCGGCTGCTCGTGCTGTGAAACGGTATTGTGACGCTATTGCTTGGGCTATGAAGCTATATAGTAGCTAGACACGCGTAAGTTGGTGAGCCACACCTAGGTCGTGATGAATGGAAAGGGCGGCAGCATGAACGGAAGAAACGCTACAACCCCAACCAAGGCTGTGAAGAAGGTAAACGATACTGGTAGCACTTGTTGAGGCTTTCGTTCAGTAAGTGACCGACGACATTATGCTTTCATGCTACAACTTTTTGGTGTGATCTTCTGTTTCTCCCATTTCCTGCTTACAGCAAGCAAGTTGGGGGCTTTATTTTTAACGGACAACATGCTATTAGGTTATAAGATTTACAACAGCTACTGCATCTTTATCTACTGTGACGGACATACGAAAAAAGTCGTCTACACTCGAGTACATACTTCATTCGAACATGGGTAAGTCGATCAGGGCGTCTTATTCTCACCTGCCTAGAAACGAGCAGTAACACTGCGGGTTCACCTTGGACGCCTAAGAAAACGCCAAAGTAAACGCCAAAGTAAACGACGACGACGACGACGAAGCTTTTTCCCTATTTTCTTGAACGCTTTTGCCACTTTTGCAGCCATTCGCTTGATGAATTTAACAATTATTTTAGGAATCTTGCGGATCTTAAATCCCCTCTCTTCGTCAACACTTCCTTCTTTGATCGTGCGGAGATTTTGGTCCACTAGCTCATTGTTGGAGTCTGTCTTCAAGCTCTTTATTTGAGTCAAATCTTCTGCGCCCGTCGATGTGATGCAACAAGTGACGAAGGCTAGTGTCACGAGTAGAAGAAACTGGCTCAAGCGCATGGTCTTTCGAGGTTTTGTCCAATTTGGACATGTGTCGTTTCAATCATAACCACTTACCTCAAGTGCTCGTGGATGAGACTGGATGAACACTGGCATACCGACCACACGTTCGAGACCAGATATTGTACCTGATTTTTACGCATACGGAGACGTCAGGTGTGCTCTCATCATAATCAAGCATCATTTGGAAAGAAGCGGAAACTGTTGATTGGCATGTTGTTACAATCGATTTGACTGATACTGAGCGCAGTTGCGTCGATCTGTGTCTTTGTTTGTCCTCTTTACCTGATCTGGGTCTGCATGTCGTCTTCAAATAGTGAAAAGCACCGTTATGTTTCTACTAGGAGTTAGTCACATATTTATATATAGTCTGTCAAGTGTTTGAACGACCACAATATTGATTCCATACCCTAGAGATTCTATGAATTCTAAAACCAATCGCATTGATCCAGTCAACCTCAAAATCACTCTGCGCCCCATCTGGTTGTATGGAATCGGACAAGCTAATTCCATCACGCAGCAGTTTCATTTAGTGACAGTGTCTCGTCTCACTAAACTGCAATGCTTGACACCGAGTTGACTGCTTTTTGCCCATCCCGCAAGTAAACCTTAGCTTGATTCAAATATACGATAAATGTACCGAAACTTTGGCAATTCAAGACATACAATATCTCGACCTTCCATTCGCCTCCTGATCAGTTAGTGTAGCTGATTTGCAGCTTCATGCTCATTTGCAGATGCACCCGTGCCTCTGGCGGTTGCTCTCTGGCTATGGTGTCGATTTGCAAACTACTTGGTTTTCTAGTCATCATCATTTGCTTCGCGTTGATTGATATTTCTGCAAATGGAAATCGTTGAAAAGCAACAACACCTTCAAAACCTCTCGAGGTCGTAGATGTTTATTTATTGACGAGTCGCTGGATACCACAACCAACGAACGACGATTGTAGAATTATATGCGTAAATGCACTAACCGAATTTTTGGTAGGAATTAGTGCATTTGACTAGCCGATATCATTCATTGCAAGACCTTTTGCAACGGTTTGGAGCTTCCAGTAGCCGCGCCACGGTAGCCTTATCTATTTTGCTGTTCGTCTGCCTCGCTGTGCCACGATGTTTCTTGAGGAACTGCAAGCAATTGTAAGCTCAAGATGTTTAACTCCGTTGAATTCACTTACAAGATCATGCATTACTAGAGCGCCACAAGCGTGATAAAAGGTGTTGCCTTCTTTCATCATTCCACCGCGTACTCCCAATCTACTCACTTCACCTAACTTGCCTCGATATGCTTACACAGCGCAACGCACTCTTGATACGAAAATAAGCATGAACTTGTACGACACAACATCATCTTGATAATTCATACTATTGCAGTAAGTTGTTATAACGCCCGTCATGACAAGCATTCGTTTCAACTCAGACTTTGTGCATGGTGCTTCTAATCTCTACTGACAAACATCTTGTTTGAAGCAGAAGCTATCAAAGTGCGTCCTCATTTCAGCAAACCCGATCCTATTGATGTTCGATACTGAATGAATTCGTCTAGCAGCACAGTGTAGTTTACCGATACTAGTGGCCCAGCAATGCATCGATCTCGCTCGGAGTTGGAATCAAAACACTTGATCCAAGAGATCTGTCATGACTGCTAGAAGTCGACGGAGAAATTGGAACTGAAGGCAATAGTTGTTTACCTATTGACATGATGCGAAACACATTGAAAAATAATGAAAGTAACACATTCACCTCTTGTCGCTGGACTGCGATCTTGCGGATGTGCGACGTTGATCGGTGACCACGTTTCGTCATGCCTGTGTGCATGGCTTGGGGCTGTACAGACTGTCAGCTACAGGATCGTGTGATGGGTGTAGAAAACACACTGTACTTATCTGCTTCATTGGAGACAATGTTGTCGCAATGAAAGTCTTTGCTGTTGCCATCGCCACCACCATCGCATAACCTTTGCTGTTGCCATCGCCACCACCATCGCATAACCTTCGCTGCTGTCAAACGCTTCTTCGCGCTTAGCATATTGAGTGGTGATCGCAGCTATCGAACATGGTGGTGAGCCAAGCTCAGCACTGCTCTATGCTCAGCACTGCTCTATGCCAATGTTGCGATGCCACCAACTCGATATGTGTTACCGACAAAGGGACGTAAACACTTTGCTATCGAGTGCATCAAGAGCGTTGGATATTCTACATCCTAGCGACGTCAAGGCCGCAAGTAAGGACGGCATTCGACTATCTTCTCTATCTTGACTCCTTTTGTTACGCTGCAAACGACTCTGCAACTGCTTCATGCAAGCAGCAACCAAGTTCCGAATAAAATGACAGAACACACTCGCGGTGGGTTTTGCAGATCAAATAGATATCTGACATTGGAGCATCCACCTTTCAAGCTTGCTCATTTGCAATACTCATCTAGGAACGTAAAGTGCGGCGCCACTTCGTCGACTGGTAGGCGCAGCTGTTTGGCTAAAGCCTCGATCTTGCTCCGGCTGGAAGTGCTTTGTACCTCCGTTCCCTCATTGATGTACGAAAGTCGTCGAAAAGCATTGACATGGTCTCGACACCAGCTTTGAGCCTTCACGGCAATGCTTATCATGTCTTTGCGACTGCGCTCAAGTAGCTTTGTTGTTAGAGGCTGTCGGCCTCGACTCAAATCAACGGTTGCTTGCTCGCTTGGCAAGTAATTCTTCTTAATGAACGGATGCTCAAGGAGGGTAGCAGCAGGAGGTCGATATAGCGGGTTTTTGTGCAAGCACTGGTCGAGAAAATCGCACAACTCCGGGGAAAAGTGGTCGCCATAGTCCTGAAGCCGCGGTGAAGGTTGCTCTTGCACAGCGTGAACCACACCCCAGTAGCCGTCGCTGGTCGGGACAGGAAGCTTTCCGATAACACAAGCCATGATTGCTAGCCCAAAAGACCAGAGGTCGGAAGGATACGAGTACATACCCCCACTGATTCTTTCAGGTGCCATGTACCTGGCATCATTGGTCAAGTTTAGCTTACGTAAAGTACTATTCGAGAAATGGTTCCAAAAGACTTACAAAAGTGTGCCCGTGAATGTCGTTGCCTTGGCCAAAGTACTCTCGAGGTCGCGTGAAATACCGAAATCCGATATCTACATTTAGCGTGAACGTTCTGCGTTAGTACGAATTTACAAGTCAAAAAGTAAGTCGCTGGTTATTATACCTTGACTTGACCTTGGTGGTTTATCAGCATGTTGCTAAGCTTGATATCTCGATGTAGCTGGTGATGCTCATGCAAGAAAGCAAGACCTTTCAATCCGCACATCGCAATATTCGCAATCTTCTCTTCGGACAAGCAACCCGCGTTCTCTTCATCGCCTTCGGTAACAGACTGTACATAATCTTCCAGAGAACCTCCATCCATGTACTCCAAAACAATCGATACGGAACCAACCTCAGGATTTGTGTACGCGTCGTAAAAGACTACAAGCTCTTTGCATGCTGCTTGTGCAACGGATGATGTTGCAGCAAAAGTAGACGGCAAAGTGGCAGTAGCCAGCGGCACAAAATTCACGTATAATGACTTGAGTTCACGCACCATTTGATGACGCTTCTTCTGGTCGTAGACACGAATGACCTTTACAGCAACCAACATGAACGTTGGCATATACAGCGCCTTGTACACTTTTCCACCAGCTCCATGGCCAAGTTCCTCAAGCAGCAGCAAGTAGTCTTTCGTACTGACTGTATTTGCCGTTGATGCAGACTTCTTTTCATGTGCTTCGCACTGCTGGGGGGCTTGCAAAAGGCACGTTAGCAATACCACGTGTCTACAATAAGCACAGATTAGTCCACTATCAAGTCAGCACGTGCATCGATTTCGAATGAGGTTCTTACATTAATCTCAAAACCTTGGGTCTGCAGTCTTCCTGTTGCCGAGAAATCAAAAGACGCAGCTACTGTCTTCTCCTCCTTTTTTACCTGTGCAATATCCAGTTCTAGCGCACGTAAAGTCTGTCTCCCACCTCTGCTCCGCTTGGGAGCTATACTTGCTACACGATCATCTTCATCCAAGTCAATCTTCAATGGGCTAAATCCTAACGGATTCAATTCTGGCGCAAGTTGCCGAGCTGGTAACGTTACCATTGACTCAACAGCACCGCGGATATCAAGTTTGACACGTTGCATTGAACTCTTATCTGGATCTATCGGTGGTGAAGGTGCAGGTTCAGGTAATACTTCGTCCTCAAAAGTTAACGAGCGTTCGATTGAATTCTGAAACTTGTAAACTTCTCTCTGCAACTTTTTCTTGTGCCCACGACTGACACCCGTTAAAGCATCCAAGAGCTTGTCTAGTCCATTTGAAGCCAATAGACTTTCTCCAGTAAGTCCTTGTCGTTGTGCTTCTTTCACAAACAAATCCAAGTCGTGAGCTTGTAGCCAGTCACACACGTCACAGGTTTTCCACTTGGCAATACAATTTTCCCGTTCCTCCTCAAGTTCTTCAAGTTCTGGACTTTCAATTTGCTTTTGTGCTAGTGTCTTTCGCTGATGCAATTGCAGTTTCCCTTTACGGTGTCTATGAGTGTCACATTCGGCACAATAGACTAGACCGCAATCATTACAGGTCACTTGACCAGGTCGTTGTTCGCACTCATCGCATTTAGACGGGTGAGATGTTATAAATAGTAAAGCATTTGATTGATGATCATCGAAATCTAAGGTCAAAAGTTGATCCATCTTCAAAACGGAACCGTCGCCAATGATCATTTGAGGGGTCCTCATGGTGTCGTTCATGGAAATCTTACGTGATATCTGCAAATCTTCTCTTAGTTCCGGTTTTGATGGTAGTGTTGACACTCTTGGAATACCGTTGTTTTGCATGTTGTTGTCGACAAGTTTGGAGGAAAGGCAGCAATGAATTTTGTTCAGTACTACTACAGTAGTACAAAGAAAGTAGGAAGGCATTCAATCAAAGGATGGAAACTGTGGTGACGTGACCCTCGCTTACGAAAAGTCCTGATATGTTCTAGTTGTTTTCATGATCGCGCTGGTCTTGAATGGACTTTCGATTTTGTCGTGAAAGACAAAAGCGCCGTTGGCACTAATGGACACGGGTGTGGTGCTCAGTCGTACTATGTGTAGCTGGATATCGTATAAGATCCATACTATGTGATACGGAACACTTGTGCTTGAGTACTACAGCTGCAAATTTCTTGACCTGCGATGGAAGGCTTCCAATTGGCGTGGTGTGCCAGTATTTCCGCAATCAGTTTGTACGAATACGACCAATAAGGGGGCGTGACCCGTTGTCGACAACCATGACGTCCACAGCTCTTGGTCTTTATCAACATCATGTTACTGATAACACAAGTGGTCAATTAGTCTGTGCAACATAGCCGCTTTCTCTAAGTCTCTACCTTAGTATTTGCTTCTGTTTGACCAGGTAGCAATGCGTACTCTGCGAAATGCCACACATGCACTATTGTAATGAGATAATAGTAGTGTGCAAGTGCTCAATACTTATCACTACTGCTCATGTCATACTTATCACTACTGCCCATGTCATACTTATCACTACTGCCCATGTCATACTTATCACTACTGCCCATGTCATAGGTTAGCAATTAAAGTAGGAACAATATCAGGTAAGAAAACTTCATCTTGCTAGTCAAATGTATGAGATTTACATATGATACTTAACAATCGCAACCTGCCACAAGTCGTGATGTTTACTTGGACTCCGATCTGACGCACAATGGTTATCATTTCTATCGCAAAGAAAGATTATACGTTACAATTTGGCGACGCAATATGTATGTACACGATAAGCATGCTGTTACCAATTGTAAACGAGACCATAGGGATGATGGTAAAGTCGATACATTTCCTTACGAATCCAAGTGCTTAGCTGAGCAGAGTCGATATTCTTTAGACCTGAAAAAATATTTGAGAAAAGGTGATTATTAAACCGTCATATGATGGATGTTATGAATGAAGAACTACGACTATTCATCACTCATGCATAAAATCGAAGTCATTGATCAATACCGTCGTTTGAATGTCTTTGGCCAGTCATTTCGTGACGTCATTCCTTGAATCAGATCCTTAACAAAGAAATCAGGCATCGCATTTTCCTTTTAGCGCTCAACCTTGCAACAGACGTAATCTCCTATGGATCTGTCTGAAATTCCGTTCAACGTGCCTGTCATTCTTCAGTCCATTCGTGTCAACAAAAATCTGCAAAATCCTCTTGGGTCCAAGAAGGCTCGTTGTCTAACAGATAACCGTGATGTGTACGAGCAACTCATCTTACACCGAGTTCGTGACGACAAGGTCGCTATTCAGTCTGGTCACAACGGTCGCTTCCTCCATGTCCGCGTATCTGGGGAATGCGTATTTGACTCCACTGATCCTGGCGAGTGGGAGCGCTTCACCATGGAGACGGACTCAGATTGCGCTCTCTACTTCGTGTCGTGCCATACTGGAAACACCCTTCATTGTGACGATCATAATGTAGCCAGGTGTGCGAATGAAAACCGTCAATATTGGGAGGCCTGGAGAATTGTGGAGCCCCGCTCTATTGCTACCACCAGCCAAATCCAACGTGCTTTGGATCAGCGTCATGTTCTTGCTGGTAAAGACCGCCAGAATTTTGTCGTGGAGCTTGCAAGATGTGGTAAGACGCCTCAAGAAATTGAGCAGATCGTGACAAGCATTTTTGATGGTACAGGTGCTACTGCTGTACGGTCGGCTGAAGCCATTCCAGTCAGTAAGGAGTAGGTACGACCATCAGATTGTTCTCGTCTCTTTGTCCAGTCTTTGTCTGAATCATCAAACCTATCGCAACACTGGGACTTGATCACTCACACAAGACAGCGCTCCATTCTTCCACACTTGCCGTTTGAGGCGGCGGGTTAAGATCTCTGTTGAGGTGAACGATGAAACGAGAACAGATCACTTAGGCTCGTAGTCTGCAACTGCTTCGTCCATATTTCTGAGCACTGCTTGAATAATCCTTTGACGATTGCAATGAATCTTTCAGCTTGAGGTATTGCATTCTCAACGTGTCTCTTAGCTTCAACACGTTCTAATTTGTCGTCTAGTGTTTCTTATTAGAAGCCTGTTGAAAATATGTAACAACACTTCAGACAAGCTGACCATACATGTTCCAAAGCAGATGCCACAACGACATCACCTTCTATTGACTGAGACGACGTACGCCATTAGCCAAGTGGTGCATCTGCCATACCAACCTCCAGTATTCCGCTTCATATAACAGGCGTATATCTCAAATTCATGCAGTTTTAGCATCACCTCTGACGGATCGTGTTTCCGTATAAACCTTGCTGCTAAAACCAAAGAGCATGGTACGAAGCTGCAGATTGTGCTCGATGCTATTGACAAGCTGCACATCGTCGAATGTCTGCACAGCAGACCTTAATCTTGGTACCGTTGCAGCACAAGATTCAAAGCAGGTAGACGGTCTTGTGAATCACGTCACGAAGGTCAAAAAGAAGCTGCGGCTGCTCGTGCTGTGAAACGGTATTGTGACGCTATTGCTTGGGCTATGAAGCTATATAGTAGCTAGACACGCGTAAGTTGGTGAGCCACACCTAGGTCGTGATGAATGGAAAGGGCGGCAGCATGAACGGAAGAAACGCTACAACCCCAACCAAGGCTGTGAAGAAGGTAAACGATACTGGTAGCACTTGTTGAGGCTTTCGTTCAGTAAGTGACCGACGACATTATGCTTTCATGCTACAACTTTTTGGTGTGATCTTCTGTTTCTCCCATTTCCTGCTTACAGCAAGCAAGTTGGGGGCTTTATTTTTAACGGACAACATGCTATTAGGTTATAAGATTTACAACAGCTACTGCATCTTTATCTACTGTGACGGACATACGAAAAAAGTCGTCTACACTCGAGTACATACTTCATTCGAACATGGGTAAGTCGATCAGGGCGTCTTATTCTCACCTGCCTAGAAACGAGCAGTAACACTGCGGGTTCACCTTAAACGCCAAAGAAAACGCCGACGTAAGACGCCAACGTAAACGACGACGACGGCGGCACGACGAAGCTTCTTCCATATTTTCTTGAACGCTTTTGCCTTTTACTTTTGCAGCCATTCGCTTGATGAATTTAACAATTTTTTAGGAACCTTGCGGATCTTAAATCCCCTCTCTTCGTCAACACTTCCTTCTTTGATCGTGCGGAGATTTTGGTCCACTAGCTCATTGTTGGAGTCTGTCTTCAAGCTCTTTATTTGAGTCAAATCTTCTGCGCCCGTCGATGTGATGCAACAAGTGACGAAGGCTAGTGTCACGAGTAGAAGAAACTGGCTCAAGCGCATGGTCTTTCGAGGTTTTGTCCAATTTGGACATGTGTCGTTTCAATCGTAACCACTTACCTCAAGTGCTCGTGGATGAGACTGGATGAACACTGGCATACCGACCACACGTTCGAGACCAGATATTGTACCTGATTTTTACGCATACGGAGACGTCAGGTGTGCTCTCATCATAATCAAGCATCATTTGGAAAGAAGCGGAAACTGTTGATTGGCATGTTGTTACAATCGATTTGACTGATACTGAGCGCAGTTGCGTCGATCTGTGTCTTTGTTTGTCCTCTTTACCTGATCTGGGTCTGCATGTCGTCTTCAAATAGTGAAAAGCACCGTTATGTTTCTACTAGGAGTTAGTCACATATTTATATATAGTCTGTCAAGTGTTTGAACGACCACAATATTGATTCCATACCCTAGAGATTCTATGAATTCTAAAACCAATTGCATTGATCCAGTCAACCTCAAAATCACTCTGCGCCCCATCTGGTTGTATGGAATCGGACAAGCTAATTCCATCACGCAGCAGTTTCATTTAGTGACAGTGTCTCGTCTCACTAAACTGCAATGCTTGACACCGAGTTGACTGCTTTTTGCCCATCCCGCAAGTAAACCTTAGCTTGATTCAAATATACGATAAATGTACCGAAACTTTGGCAATTCAAGACATACAATATCTCGACCTTCCATTCGCCTCCTGATCAGTTAGTGTAGCTGATTTGCAGCTTCATGCTCATTTGCAGATGCACCCGTGCCTCTGGCGGTTGCTCTCTGGCTATGGTGTCGATTTGCAACTACTTGGTTTTCTAGTGCATCATCATTTGCTTCGCGTTGATTGATATTTCTGCAAATGGAAATCGTTGAAAAGCAACAACACCTTCAAAACCTCTCGAGGTCGTAGATGTTTATTTATTGACGAGTCGCTGGATACCACAACCAAGCGAACGACGATTGTAGAATTATATGCGTAAATGCACTAACCGAATTTTTGGTAGGAATTAGTGCATTTGACTAGCCGATATCATTCATTGCAAGACCTTTTGCAACGGTTTGGAGCTTCCAGTAGCCGCGCCACGGTAGCCTTATCTATTTTGCTGTTCGTCTGCCTCGCTGTGCCACGATGTTTCTTGAGGAACTGCAAGCAATTGTAAGCTCAAGATGTTTAACTCCGTTGAATTCACTTACAAGATCATGCATTACTAGAGCGCCACAAGCGTGATAAAAAGGTGTTGCCTTCTTTCATCATTCCACCGCGTACTCCCAATCTACTCACTTCACCTAACTTGCCTCGATATGCTTACACAGCGCAACGCACTCTTGATACGAAAATAAGCATGAACTTGTACGACACAACATCATCTTGATAATTCATACTATTGCAGTAAGTTGTTATAACGCCCGTCATGACAAGCATTCGTTTCAACTCAGACTTTGTGCATGGTGCTTCTAATCTCTACTGACAAACATCTTGTTTGAAGCAGAAGCTATCAAAGTGCGTCCTCATTTCAGCAAACCCGATCCTATTGATGTTCGATACTGAATGAATTCGTCTAGCAGCACAGTGTAGTTTACCGATACTAGTGGCCCAGCAATGCATCGATCTCGCTCGGAGTTGGAATCAAAACACTTGATCCAAGAGATCTGTCATGACTGCTAGAAGTCGACGGAGAAATTGGAACTGAAGGCAATAGTTGTTTACCTATTGACATGATGCGAAACACATTGAAAAATAATGAAAGTAACACATTCACCTCTTGTCGCTGGACTGCGATCTTGCGGATGATAGCGACGTTGATCGGTGACCACGTTTCGTCATGCCTGTGTGCATGGCTTGGGGCTGTACAGACTGTCAGCTACAGGATCGTGTGATGGGTGTAGAAAACACACTGTACTTATCTGCTTCATTGGAGACAATGTTGTCGCAATGAAAGTCTTTGCTGTTGCCATCGCCACCACCATCGCATAACCTTTGCTGTTGCCATCGCCACCACCATCGCATAACCTTCGCTGCTGTCAAACGCTTCTTCGCGCTTAGCATATTGAGTGGTGATCGCAGCTATCGAACATGGTGGTGAGCCAAGCTCAGCACTGCTCTATGCCAATGTTGCGATGCCACCAACTCGATATGTGCTACCGACAAAGGGACGTAAACACTTTGCTATCGAGTGCATCAAGAGCGTTGGATATTCTACATCCTAGCGACGTCAAGGCCGCAAGTAAGGACGGCATTCGACTATCTTCTCGATCTTGACTCCTTTTGTTACGCTGCAAACGACTCTGCAACTGCTTCATGCAAGCAGCAACCAAGTTCCGAATAAAATGACAGAACACACTCGCGGTGGGTTTTGCAGATCAAATAGATATCTGACATTGGAGCATCCACCTTTCAAGCTTGCTCATTTGCAATACTCATCTAGGAACGTAAAGTGCGGCGCCACTTCGTCGACTGGTAGGCGCAGCTGTTTGGCTAAAGCCTCGATCTTGCTCCGGCTGGAAGTGCTTTGTACCTCCGTTCCCTCATTGATGTACGAAAGTCGTCGAAAAGCATTGACATGGTCTCGACACCAGCTTTGAGCCTTCACGGCAATGCTTATCATGTCTTTGCGACTGCGCTCAAGTAGCTTTGTTGTTAGAGGCTGTCGGCCTCGACTCAAATCAACGGTTGCTTGCTCGCTTGGCAAGTAATTCTTCTTAATGAACGGATGCTCAAGGAGGGTAGCAGCAGGAGGTCGATATAGCGGGTTTTTGTGCAAGCACTGGTCGAGAAAATCGCACAACTCCGGGGAAAAGTGGTCGCCATAGTCCTGAAGCCGCGGTGAAGGTTGCTCTTGCACAGCGTGAACCACACCCCAGTAGCCGTCGCTGGTCGGGACAGGAAGCTTTCCGATAACACAAGCCATGATTGCTAGCCCAAAAGACCAGAGGTCGGAAGGATACGAGTACATACCCCCACTGATTCTTTCAGGTGCCATGTACCTGGCATCATTGGTCAAGTTTAGCTTACGTAAAGTACTATTCGAGAAATGGTTCCAAAAGACTTACAAAAGTGTGCCCGTGAATGTCGTTGCCTTGGCCAAAGTACTCTCGAGGTCGCGTGAAATACCGAAATCCGATATCTACATTTAGCGTGAACGTTCTGCGTTAGTACGAATTTACAAGTCAAAAAGTAAGTCGCTGGTTATTATACCTTGACTTGACCTTGGTGGTTTATCAGCATGTTGCTAAGCTTGATATCTCGATGTAGCTGGTGATGCTCATGCAAGAAAGCAAGACCTTTCAATCCGCACATCGCAATATTCGCAATCTTCTCTTCGGACAAGCAACCCGCGTTCTCTTCATCGCCTTCGGTAACAGACTGTACATAATCTTCCAGAGAACCTCCATCCATGTACTCCAAAACAATCGATACGGAACCAACCTCAGGATTTGTGTACGCGTCGTAAAAGACTACAAGCTCTTTGCATGCTGCTTGTGCAACGGATGATGTTGCAGCAAAAGTAGACGGCAAAGTGGCAGTAGCCAGCGGCACAAAATTCACGTATAATGACTTGAGTTCACGCACCATTTGATGACGCTTCTTCTGGTCGTAGACACGAATGACCTTTACAGCAACCAACATGAACGTTGGCATATACAGCGCCTTGTACACTTTTCCACCAGCTCCATGGCCAAGTTCCTCAAGCAGCAGCAAGTAGTCTTTCGTACTGACTGTATTTGCCGTTGATGCAGACTTCTTTTCATGTGCTTCGCACTGCTGGGGGGCTTGCAAAAGGCACGTTAGCAATACCACGTGTCTACAATAAGCACAGATTAGTCCACTATCAAGTCAGCACGTGCATCGATTTCGAATGAGGTTCTTACATTAATCTCAAAACCTTGGGTCTGCAGTCTTCCTGTTGCCGAGAAATCAAAAGACGCAGCTACTGTCTTCTCCTCCTTTTTTACCTGTGCAATATCCAGTTCTAGCGCACGTAAAGTCTGTCTCCCACCTCTGCTCCGCTTGGGAGCTATACTTGCTACACGATCATCTTCATCCAAGTCAATCTTCAATGGGCTAAATCCTAACGGATTCAATTCTGGCGCAAGTTGCCGAGCTGGTAACGTTACCATTGACTCAACAGCACCGCGGATATCAAGTTTGACACGCTGCATTGAACTCTTATCTGGATCTATCGGTGGTGAAGGTGCAGGTTCAGGTAATACTTCGTCCTCAAAAGTTAACGAGCGTTCGATTGAATTCTGAAACTTGTAAACTTCTCTCTGCAACTTTTTCTTGTGCCCACGACTGACACCCGTTAAAGCATCCAAGAGCTTGTCTAGTCCATTTGAAGCCAATAGACTTTCTCCAGTAAGTCCTTGTCGTTGTGCTTCTTTCACAAACAAATCCAAGTCGTGAGCTTGTAGCCAGTCACCCCACAGGTTTTCCACTTGGCAATACAATTTTCCCGTTCCTCCTCAAGTTCTTCAAGTTCTGGACTTTCAATTTGCTTTTGTGCTAGTGTCTTTCGCTGATGCAATTGCAGTTTCCCTTTACGGTGTCTATGAGTGTCACATTCGGCACAATAGACTAGACCGCAATCATTACAGGTCACTTGACCAGGTCGTTGTTCGCACTCATCGCATTTAGACGGGTGAGATGTTATAAATAGTAAAGCATTTGATTGATGATCATCGAAATCTAAGGTCAAAAGTTGATCCATCTTCAAAACGGAACCGTCGCCAATGATCATTTGAGGGGTCCTCATGGTGTCGTTCATGGAAATCTTACGTGATATCTGCAAATCTTCTCTTAGTTCCGGTTTTGATGGTAGTGTTGACACTCTTGGAATACCGTTGTTTTGCATGTTGTTGTCGACAAGTTTGGAGGAAAGGCAGCAATGAACTTTTGTTCAGTACTACTACAGTAGTACAAAGAAAGTAGGAAGGCATTCAATCAAAGGATGGAAACTGTGGTGACGTGACCCTCGCTTACGAAAAGTCCTGATATGTTCTAGTTGTTTTCATGATCGCGCTGGTCTTGAATGGACTTTCGATTTTGTCGTGAAAGACAAAAGCGCCGTTGGCACTAATGGACACGGGTGTGGTGCTCAGTCGTACTATGTGTAGCTGGATATCGTATAAGATCCATACTATGTGATACGGAACACTTGTGCTTGAGTACTACAGCTGCAAATTTCTTGACCTGCGATGGAAGGCTTCCAATTGGCGTGGTGTGCCAGTATTTCCGCAATCAGTTTGTACGAATACGACCAATAAGGGGGCGTGACCCGTTGTCGACAACCATGACGTCCACAGCTCTTGGTCTTTATCAACATCATGTTACTGATAACACAAGTGGTCAATTAGTCTGTGCAACATAGCCGCTTTCTCTAAGTCTCTACCTTAGTATTTGCTTCTGTTTGACCAGGTAGCAATGCGTACTCTGCGAAATGCCACACATGCACTATTGTAATGAGATAATAGTAGTGTGCAAGTGCTCAATACTTATCACTACTGCTCATGTCATACTTATCACTACTGCCCATGTCATACTTATCACTACTGCCCATGTCATACTTATCACTACTGCCCATGTCATAGGTTAGCAATTAAAGTAGGAACAATATCAGGTAAGAAAACTTCATCTTGCTAGTCAAATGTATGAGATTTACATATGATACTTAACAATCGCAACCTGCCACAGATCGTGATGTTTACTTGGACTCCGATCTGACGCACAATGGTTATTATTTCTATCGCAAAGAAAGATTATACGTTACAATTTGGCGACGCAATATGTATGTACACGATAAGCATGCTGTTACCAATTGTAAACGAGACCATAGGGATGATGGTAAAGTCGATACATTTCCTTACGAATCCAAGTGCTTAGCTGAGCAGAGTCGATATTCTTTAGACCTGAAAAAATATTTGAGAAAAGGTGATTATTAAACCGTCATATGATGGATGTTATGAATGAAGAACTACGACTATTCATCACTCATGCATAAAATCGAAGTCATTGATCAATACCGTCGTTTGAATGTCTTTGGCCAGTCATTTCGTGACGTCATTCCTTGAATCAGATCCTTAACAAAGAAATCAGGCATCGCATTTTCCTTTTAGCGCTCAACCTTGCAACAGACGTAATCTCCTATGGATCTGTCTGAAATTCCGTTCAACGTGCCTGTCATTCTTCAGTCCATTCGTGTCAACAAAAATCTGCAAAATCCTCTTGGGTCCAAGAAGGCTCGTTGTCTAACAGATAACCGTGATGTGTACGAGCAACTCATCTTACACCGAGTTCGTGACGACAAGGTCGCTATTCAGTCTGGTCACAACGGTCGCTTCCTCCATGTCCGCGTATCTGGGGAATGCGTATTTGACTCCACTGATCCTGGCGAGTGGGAGCGCTTCACCATGGAGACGGACTCAGATTGCGCTCTCTACTTCGTGTCGTGCCATACTGGAAACACCCTTCATTGTGACGATCATAATGTAGCCAGGTGTGCGAATGAAAACCGTCAATATTGGGAGGCCTGGAGAATTGTGGAGCCCCGCTCTATTGCTACCACCAGCCAAATCCAACGTGCTTTGGATCAGCGTCATGTTCTTGCTGGTAAAGACCGCCAGAACTTTGTCGTGGAGCTTGCAAGATGTGGTAAGACGCCTCAAGAAATTGAGCAGATCGTGACAAGCATTTTTGATGGTACAGGTGCTACTGCTGTACGGTCGGCTGAAGCCATTCCAGTCAGTAAGGAGTAGGTACGACCATCAGATTGTTCTCGTCTCTCTGTCCAGTCTTTGTCTGAATCATCAAACCTATCGCAACACTGGGACTTGATCACTCACACAAGACAGCGCTCCATTCTTCCACACTTGCCGTTTGAGGCGGCGGGTTAAGATCTCTGTTGAGGTGAACGATGAAACGAGAACAGATCACTTAGGCTCGTAGTCTGCAACTGCTTCGTCCATATTAGCACTGCTTGAATAATCCTTTGACGATTGCAATGAATCTTTCAGCTTGAGATATTGCATTCTCAACGTGTCTCTTAGCTTCAACACGTTCTAATTTGTCGTCTAGTGTTTCTTATTAGAAGCCTGTTGAAAATATGTAACAACACTTCAGACAAGCTGACCATACATGTTCCAAAGCAGATGCCACAACGACATCACCTTCTATTGACTGAGACGACGTACGCCATTAGCCAAGTGGTGCATCTGCCATACCAACCTCCAGTATTCCGCTTCATATAACAGGCGTATATCTCAAATTCATGCAGTTTTAGCATCACCTCTGACGGATCGTGTTCCCGTATAAACCTTGCTGCTAAAACCAAAGAGTATGGTACGAAGCTGCAGATTGTGCTCGATGCTATTGACAAGCTGCACATCGTCGAATGTCTGCACAGCAGACCTTAATCTTGGTACCGTTGCAGCACAAGATTCAAAGCAGGTAGACGGTCTTGTGAATCACGTCACGAAGATCAAAAAGAAGCTGCGGCTGCTCGTGCTGTGAAACGGTATTGTGACGCTATTGCTTGGGCTATGCAGCTATATAGTAGCTAGACGCGCGTAAGTTGGTGAGCCACACCTAGGTCGTGATGAATGGAAAGGGCGGCAGCATGAACGGAAGAAACGCTACAACCCCAACCAAGGCTGTGAAGAAGGTAAACGATACTGGTAGCACTTGTTGAGGCTTTCGTTCAGTAAGTGACCGACGACATTATGCTTTCATGCTACAACTTTTTGGTGTGATCTTCTGTTTCTCCCATTTCCTGCTTACAGCAAGCAAGTTGGGGGCTTTATTTTTAACGGACAACATGCTATTAGGTTATAAGATTTACAACAGCTACTGCATCTTTATCTACTGTGACGGACATACGAAAAAAGTCGTCTACACTCGAGTACATACTTCATTCGAACATGGGTAAGTCGATCAGGGCGTCTTAATCTCACCTGCCTAGAAACGAGCAGTAACACTGCGGGTTCACCTTAAAACGCCAGAGAAACGACGACGACGACGACGACGACGCTTCTTCCATTTTTTCTTTAACGCTTTTGCCACTTTTGCAACCATTCGCTTGATGAATTTAACAATTTTTTTAGGAACCTTGCGGATCTTAAATCCCCTCTCTTCGTCAACACTTCCTTCTTTGATCGTGCGGAGATTTTGGTTCACTAGCTCATTGTTGGAGTCTGTCTTCAAGCTCTTTATTTGAGTCAAATCTTCTGCGCCCGTCGATGTGATGCAACAAGTGACGAAGGCTAGTGTCAGGGGAGGGAGAAAGGGGCTGAGGGGGGGGGTTTTTGGGGGGTTTTTGAATTGGGGGGGGGGGTTTTTTAATAAAAAAAACCAACACAAAAGGGGGGGGGGGGGGGGGGGGGGGGGGGAAGGGGAAAAAAAAAAAAAAAGGGGAGGGGGGGTGTTTTTTTTTTTTTTTGAGAGGGGGGGGGGGGGGGGGGTTTTTTTATAAAAAGGGAGTATTAGGGGGGGGGGGGGGGGGGTTGGTGGGGGGGGTGTTTTTGTGGTTTTTGGGGGGGGGGGGGGGGGGGGGGGGGGGTTTTTGTTTTTTTTTTTTTTTTTTTTTTTGTTTGGGGTTTGGATGTTGTTTTTAAATAGTGAAAAGCACCGTTCCACAAAAGGGGGGGGGGGGGGGGGGGGGACCGGGGGTGCCCGACCAGACTGTTTAGGGGTTTTTTTTTTTTTTTTTTTTTTTTTTTTGGGGGGGGGTGGTGTTTTTTTTTTTTTTAATTAAAAATTTTTTGGAAAGAAGGGGAGAGTTGTTTTTTTTGTTTTTTTTTTTTTTTTTTTTTTTTTTTTGGGGCGTTGTTTGGTTTTTTTTTTTTTTTTTTTTTTCTTTTTTCTTTTTTTGGTTTTTTTTTCTTTTTTAAATAGTGAAAAGCACCGTTGTGGTGCTATAGTGAACCGACTCACATTATATGATGTGTCTGTCAGCCGTTTTATACATTAATATTACTTTATCGAGATTTGAAGACAGCTGCATCCCGTCACGTGAACCTCAAAACTAGAGCATTTAGTTGTTTGGAATCTGACAGACCAGCTATTTCATTATGTCTTCACAAAGCAGTTATAGTAAGTTATCACCAAACTGTAGAGCTTGACAAACACCCTGAGCAATAACCGTTAAACAGTAAGCCAACAAACACGCTGACTTCCTTTGATATGAAAATGTCGATGTTCGGATGCAATCTCGTTTTATTTGAAGCTCGTTGACCTCAGCACAAAACCCTGTTATTCTTCGAGGAACTAGCGGGTGTCAACTTACGTAAAAGGTAGTACCAGTTTACGTCAGCCTCGACAGATTGCAGTATCTTCCGATTTTCCAAATTACTAGCAACACAAAGGTGATCGCACAAGTGTTAAGGCGAACCAAGATGTGTATCCTGGATTGTAGCCCGGTAGAATCAGCTAGTTCTTGGCCGATCAAGAGAATAGATGAAGCGTGAGATCAGGGTAACGATCGGTTAATCTACAGGTCTGGCCTGCACGATTGTATCAAGTACTAATGCAGGTGATCAAGGACATGGTGAATTGTGTCGAAGAGATTAAAGGCCAAGAAAATTGAAGACGATGACGATGATAACAATCTATGCGAGGGATGCGTGATGAGAAAATCGACGGTCAAATGTTCCTGAAGCCAAGATACGGACCGGTAAAAAGTGAGCATTGTCTACAGCGACGTTATGATGGACACAGCCTTAAGGAATATCCAGGGCCGTCGTGATTGTTGTCGACGCTTCTGCTTCAGATAGTACATGTGGACAAAGTAGTTGGCCGATTTGTGAATGCACTGATGGGGAGAACCAGCTGTCCTCGAGATTAAGTGCATCAGGACAGAAAGCGGGACAAAATACATGAACAGGTTGTTGACCAGAATTTGCCAAGAATCCGAAATTGAGCACGAGACGAATGTGCCATATCCAAAGGAGCAGAATGGGCTGGTCGAACGGAGTAGTCGGGCAAGCAAGAGGGATGCTTGGGCACATACCAGATTCAGATTGTCCGACAGCATGATGGCAATATAGGTTTAATCTGAACAAGTTGGCATTTTATAATGTAGTTTATCCTGATCAGATTGAAGGGTACCGAGAGTAAGGACCAAGCACGTACAGAAGATCGGTGAAATTTGGTAAGCGACCTCAAGTTATATACATTGCAAGATACCGGCAGTCAAGTGACCAGATACACCGCAGAAGAGACGACAAAGACGTTATAGCCGTAGAAGGTAAATAAGTTGGATCAAAGACATGGAAGTGGATGACGCCGACAACTAGCAAGATTATGACATGCAAGTTGGAGCGGCAGCAACCGAGGTAGCCAGCAAGAAATGCACTAATGAGGATTATATGAAAGAACAAGGTTGCTGGCCGAAAGTTGAAGGTTGCACGAAAGCGGAAGGGCTCTCAAATCACACATGAATTATACAAGACACAGATTAACCGAAGGCACAGATGCCAAGACTTCACTGACTCCGTCAATACTGGGCAAGAAAGGAGCATACGATAAGATGCATCATCTAATTCCTTACTGCACAAGCGATAAACTAGTAGTAGATCGTAGTGATCTTTTCAAGATATAACATTCTGATGCTTAGCATTAGTTCCTAACAATGTCATCTCGGTTCAAAGGTCTTTTTCAAGTTTGGCCTATGAGCCAGTCAGGTTTTTATGTAACTCATACTAAAAGCAAGTAACAATATCTCGATTGGTTGAAATGAGTGCGCGGCTCACTTTCTTCGTCAAGGCAAATAGCATCATGTCAGCAGGAGTCAAGAGTTTTAAGAACGCCTTCCAAGTACTGACCCCTGTGCGAAATTATGGCGTAGGTATGCGAGTTACGCGTGGCATTTGGTCAAAGTACGTAGAGCCATCGTACTGGGAGGTAGTGCGCATTCGTCCGTCCCCTGACCTCAAGCACGGCAAAGTGTTTGGCAGATTCACCTTTCGGGGTGCGTGAGCATATCGACATTTGAACCTCAATTGACATTCTTTAACTTGAGAATTGTATTTATGTATGATGAGCAGGTAAGACGGATCCTAAAGTAAAGCGCATTAATGGTGTGCTAAAGAAAGATTGGAGCCTTGTTGAGGCGTAAGCAGCGTGATAAACGAGGTTTTGCATGTTTCATCACATGTGATTGATGGATATGGGAGAACAAGAGAGGAGTGAGAAATATCAACAATCTATTTGAGAAGAAAGAATGCGCGCTTGTACAACAATTGTGCTGTTAATAATACATGGTCGAGTACTATGACCTCACATTTGCCATGTTTTCTTAGTAGTATCGGTGTTGTAGGGAGTTGAAGGTAGGCTTGATGCTTAGACAAGGTGATGCAACTTTGTGACGCAACTACTTTGCATCTTAGCAACTCAGTTTTTAAGAGAATGGAAGGTAGAACTTTGCATGAAAACTACAACTATCTATACGAGTCCAAAAAGCTCTTTGGTACTTGTGAAAACAAGAATCATAATTCAAGTGAGGATTAACAAGCCTATTACTAGCACTACTAGACGTAGTTAGTCAATCTCATCCTGACCTGATCAAATGAATGGTTCCAGTCTCATCGTACCGGTATGCCAATCTCGTCATACCTCTCTTCTAGAACCTACCTAATCACATCACCCACCTTCCATAACGCATCGATATTTGACACGTGGGCAAATAGCACAGAATCGCTTTTCCACTAGACTTGACTTGACTTGACTATAGTAATCGCATTCATTCAATGCTCTATATCTACACAGTACTACTAGCTGTCTTGTGTCTCTACTCCCTATCATGGACATATAGCTCCGCACTCAAGACCATAACAACCTCTTTGGAGCTAGATGCCATTAAAGCATCGAATACTGTCCATTTGTTGCTGGTTTTTGCTAAAAAAGACGAGATGAAGGAGAAAAGTTTGGATGAGCTAGTACTCACTGCATATCCATTACTATTGGATATTGAGAAAGATCTTGATGGTTTTGTGACGTTTAATGTCATGGACATTGCATCCGACCCTAAAGGTTTAATTCGAAACCAATGGCAATTCAAGAAACTTCCTGGACTCGTCCTGTACAAAGATCTACCCAAGAAGAATCCCTATACTGGTAAATTATACAGAGATGCAATAGTACTAGATGTGACTATGCTTGAGAACCCTCGGAAGCTTAAAAGGACATTGAATCAAGCGATTCCAATGGAATTTGTACAAGAACTTGAAGGTGAAGCATTAGTATTGAGTAACTTTGAGACGTTGGTGCAACAGAAGAGAGAGAATGAAGAAACGGTGGTCTTGTTGATCTCGACGGAGAAACATGCAACGCCAATGTATCGAGCTTTAGCTGCTGAGTTTAGTGATCAAGGACTGAGTTTTGTGTTTGTGAACCAAGACAAAGAAGGAGCAAAAGAGATTATGGAAAAGTTAGATGTGGAAGAACTATCGGCTGTGGTAGTGGTGAAATCTATGACGGACCGTGTTGTGTTGAAGGAGGAGAACTCGAAGCTGTATATTGACTTAAAGGGTTTTGTCGAGCCTTTTGCAAAGCAGAAAAGTAAGGAAGGTAAGGCTGGAGTGAAGAGGAACAAGGAAGGAAAAAAAGCCTCCAAGTATATCAAGTTCCTTACCGAAAAGGATTTCAATGACTTGGTGATGCAATCAGACGTGGTTTGGATCATTGAGTTTATGGATCTGGAACGTGAGCTAGCTGTGGTGGAAGAAGATTGGAAGAAAGCTTTGATGGAGTTGCATCGCAAAACAGGGGTGGTGGCCATGGGCGCAGTCAGTTGCGAGAAGGAAGCAGAACTGTGTGAGCGTTATGGTGGGCCTGGTATTCGTATCTTTCCGCTTGGCGTTACAGATGCCAATACACTCAAGCGCGAAAGTGTTCTTGCGAAAACATTTACCTCATTTGATGAGGCAAAGATGGCCGCTATTGAAACCATTCCCGACCTCACTGTCACGATCGCGTCTTCATCTGATCTGAATTCATTCATTTCCCACGCTCGAAACAATCACGCATTGCCTACTTTGTTTTTTACAACCAAGAATATTACGCCTCCATCGATAAAGGCTCTTCTGCTGTCAGCCCCGACACACAAAGTCATGTTAGCAGTTATTCGGGACGCTGACGAAGATATGAAAAGGCAATTTTTAGTGAAATCGTCTGCGAGCACTGCACTGGTGTGTCTGGTGCCAACTCAAGATTCTTCGGAAAACGCAACCTCGCAAGAATTTGGTCTGGTTGTGTACAATAAGAACACAATGGGTCCGTACAACGTTCCGAATATGATGCGGTTTATGCTGCAAGTGCTTGCTCAGTATCCACACCCCCAAGATGTCAAGTCAGAGAGTGATGAGGTTAATTTTTCGTCGCTCGACGAAGTATCTGCGCAAGCGCTTGTTCCGTACATGACCAAGCAAAACATCGCTGCTATTTGTGGTGGCAACAAGATTTGTGCGATTGGATTCTTCGAGGACCATGTGGATACGCTAAAAGATCCGGACTCGCGGCTCACAAAGTGGTGGACGACATTGGTACATGTAGCTGCTCAGAGCAAGCAGAACAAAGAACCATTCGATTTCGTGTGGGTGAATGGAAAATGTCAAAAAGATTTTGCTGAGGCGTTTGGCGTTGGCCACTTTCAGATGCCAACAGTGGCAGTGTATTCTCCGTCAAAGCAGCGCTTTGCAACGAACGTGGGAGTTTATGACGTGCAGAGCGCGTCTGCGTTTCTGAAAAGCGTGCTGTCTGGTAGTATCAGCACTGCTCCGATTGGAAACGTCCCCGAGTTGGTTGAAGAATGCTCATTCGATGAGATTTATGATGTAGCAGTAGGAACGGACGATGGTGTGGAGAATAACGAAGATCTTGATGATATGCTGAGCGAGATTCTTTCCGATGAAAAGCAGCAGCGCGATGAGCTGGAAAAGGAACTCAAGTCGGAACTGAAGAAGGACAAGAAGAAGGGCAAGACGAAGGGCAAGAAGAAGAAGAACAAAGCAAAGAAGAAGAAAGCGAAGAAGAAAAAGGCAGCACGTGACGAGCTGTAATCAGCACGTAACATATTGTTCTCAGCAGACTTACAATATACTGTGTCGATTGCTAATAGTCATTGAAGAATGAAGATTGCTAATAGTCATTGAAGAATGAAGATTGCTAATAGTCATTGAAGAATGAAGATTGCTAATAGTCATTGAATAATGAAAAAGGATTGGCTGAATAAGATTTATTGTCTGTTGTTCTTTTTATCCAATATAATGTTGGAATCAGTAGTTTTGTCTGTCTGTTTTGCCCAATCAGTATCATCTTTAGTTATTTTAGGTATTATTCTCCTACCCCTAGTATCTCTTCGTATTATGTCTTTCTGTCGCGAACGGTACGTTCCTCTCAGCGTCCTCCAGTCATTCTCTCACGAGCTTTTATCGTTTCAATGTCAGTGAAGATTCCGATATTCCTTTGACTGAAAAATGGCTAAGCGTACGTAATGTTATCGATTATATGGTCTTCCAATAGCCCAGCATTGCAGTATACGTGTTACATCCATCCTCCTCTCTCTCTTATCTCACGCAGCAGCAGGTTTAGCAGAAAATGATACAGAGCAGTTAAAAAAGATGATTCATATACACAGGGTTGCGAAGTAAGCAGAAAAGCAGTGCAATACACAGACATAAGGAGGAGAGGGAGGATGAAATGATACAGTACAGTTCTATCTGTATTGATGTCTATTATGCTGGCGCAATGGTGGAGACCACGAGAGTATTGTGTGTTGTTGAATTCTAGAACTAACGTTGTGGTATGTTCAACTGACATTTTGTAGACAAACCTTCTGGTATTCGCTGTGCGCGTAAGCTGCGCGTACACCGCCGTACGCAGCGCTGGGCGCAGAAATCCTATAACAAGAGCCACTCTGTGACCGCCATGAAGGCCAATCCGCTCGGTGGTTCGTCTATGGCTAAGGGCATTGTGTTGGAAAAGATTGGTATTGAGGCCAAGCAGCCTAACTCTGCCATTCGTAAGTCGTGTCGTGTACAGTTGATTAAGAACTCGAAGAAAATTGCCGCTTTTGTGCCACGTGATGGTTGTTTGAACTATGTGGACGAGAATGACGAAGTGTTGATTTCTGGTTTTGGTCGTCGTGGCCACGCTGTTGGTGATATCCCTGGTGTTCGTTTTAAGGTTGTCAAGGTCTCGGGTGTTTCTCTGCTCGCTTTGTACAAGGAAAAGAAGGAAAAGCCACGTTCGTAGAGTATGTGCTCGGTCTTATGGAATTGCTTGCATGTAATGGCGTCAGGTGCAGCTCTATCTACGAACGAGAGTCGTCTATTGGTGGTTTGATCTGACTTGTAGGTACTCGTTGGGATAATTCCATCACGAGGTTAGCTGTTATGATGTTTTTACGGCAATTGATTTATCTAAGCACGAATAAGAAGGAATCGCTTGCATAGCATGACCGTCTGTCTGTCTTTTGTTTGTTTTGCTCTATATTATTGCAATTGATAGATAGAGTCCTTTATAATATGCGCTAATAACGTACGATGTCTCTCCTTATCGACTTACTATGTAACCGTATTCCTCATGTATTCCTAAGTAGAATTACATTACGGATAAATTACCTCTAATTGAGAATTCTGTCATGGCTAGAATTGTAAAGTATAAAGCATTGAATCTGCAACCATGTCATTATTTTGACAATCACCATGCAAATTGAACGACTTTCAGTCTTATCAGACAATTACGCGTATCTCCTCATTGATTCCACCACTCGTACGTACATACATACGTCTCTCTCTCTCATCATCATGTATACAACTTATTGTTGCTACTATTACTGTATCAATTGACTTACAATCTTTTCTAGATGTAGCAGCTGCAATTGATCCCGTTGATGCTCAAAAAGTCTACACTCGTGCCAAGGAATTACAAGTGACCATTTCATTGATACTCACGACCCATTCACATTGGGATCATGCAGGTGGAAATCGAGCACTTGTTGATCTTATTCAGGCACGAGAGAACCGTGACATTCCAGTCATTGGCGGACCAGGAGAAGCTGTTGAAGCTCAGACTCAATCAGTGGTGGATGGAGACGTCGTGACGCTTGGAAATTTGAATGTGAGAGTCTACTTTACTCCATGCCACACGCGTGATCATGTGCTCTATAGATGCCAAGATGCTTTATTCACAGGTGATACACTCTTTGTTGCTGGATGTGGAAGATTCTTTAGTGGAACTCCAGCGGAGATGCACTACGCTCTGAACGAAGTGGTGGCCAAGTTACCAGAAGAAACAAAGATTTACTGTGGCCATGAGTATACTGCAAGCAATTTACGCTTTGCTGCACACGTGGAACCGCACAATGAAGTTGTGCAAAAGAAGTTGGCATGGGCCAATGAAAAACTAAAATCAGGTGAAGCTACAGTCCCATCGACCGTAAAGGAAGAGCTGGCGACAAATCCATTCATGAGAGTGACAGAGTGTGCGGTGCAGCAGTTTGCAAATGGAGAGAAAGATCCCGTAGAGGTGATGAGGATTGTGCGTGCTGCCAAGGACAAGTTTGTGATTGGTAAGTAATCGATCGTAGTGAAGTAAGACAAACATGGCCAACGCAGCACAAATGAAACTCTGAAGACTCTTTGTAATTCCTACATCCTGCAATCACATCATAGTCAACAAAGAGCTCGGATAACTTTCACAAACACTTTCGATCACGCTCATCGTCCTTCCTCCTCTCATTCATTACTTGCCAAAGTATTGACAGAAACAATTTGCTGTCCTATAGCTGATGAGAAAAGGGCATTTCTGTCAAGATTGCGACAAGCAAGTTGGTCGACATTCCAGAGGAAGTTATTACAGAAATGCAGAATCATACAAGGTATGCCCACGCATGTAGCTCTTCCTGGTGAAAAAGAAGAACGCGATAAAACACGGGACGCAATGCAACGGAAAAATCAGCACTTCGTCGCATATGGAAGCGCGCGTCACGGAATCTGCAGAGCCTGATGTGTTTGTGTAGCGTATGGCTTACGATCCACTGTGATTGGAGGCGCAAAACACCTGGTTATGAGGAACGCTGCTCAGTTTTGCCTTGCTCCTTATTGTGTATGTTTCTTTACCACGCACAGAGCAGGTCAATTTTCTCACATATCAACACTTCTGATTTCTTATTCTACTGATTCATGTTCGCGACTTTGTGGTAAGAAATTTAAGCTTGGCGATGTAATGAGAGTGTCACCTAGATAGCTCCGTGAGAACCTGGTATGGATGTATAGACGATGTCATTCATACACGGGACCTTGTGCAGTTTCGTCAATCCACCTCACCATTAGTAACTATTTGTCACCCTCCACAAGAGTCTCACTTCACAAATTGATCCGTAATTGCGCCGAAAGTATTGTTGTGTTACATTTTCATATGTCATCTCGCAAAATGGGAGGAACAAATTGATTTGTTGTTTCGCTCTCGTCGTCATCGCTCCATGTATCTTCACCAATTGCAGCAACAGCACCAGAATCGAATCCGTTATGTTGCACTTTTTCATCGCCACTGACATCTTTGGCTATATCTGGATACAAATCAACCGGTGCGGGCTTCCACTTCATGATGAGTCCGTCTTCACCTGCTGAGTAGAGCTCGCGTGTAGATTTCCGATATAGGCATGCACTAACTTGCTGATAATGAGCTGAAGCTGATCCTAGTGGAGTACCGCTATCTCCAAAAACGCGGTATGAGACCACTGCACCCTCTGGTCCGTTCGGAACGAACACTACCGTTGTCTCCCAAGCCGCACCTTCTTGAACAACTGCCATTTGTACGTTTCTTGCAGCACGAGGTTGCGTTCTGCGCACACCTTGATAATTCATAAACTGGTGTTCACCTGACGTAGCATTCCACAATCTAAGCTTTTCATCCATGCCATTACTCAGTACGTATTTTCCATCCGGCGTATATGCCAAACTTGTCACTCCTCCATTATGTGCAACCGCCAGTGACGTACTCGCTGCAATATGCGGGTCATTCCTCTTCTGTCGATTGACAGTATTATACGCACTCACATGATAATTATCTACTCTCGATCTCGTTCGGTGTTGATCTCGACCTCGAGCTTCTGATGCACCAGCACTTAATTTTCTTTTTCTCGATAGTTTGGAAGCAGCTGACAAGCACACTGGTTTATCTCTTGTTACATTTGTATACAAATTCGATCTTCCCGGTACATTAGCTCTTCCTTCATGATTTAAACACAAGAGACAAGCGGTTGCTCCAGATCGTCGAATATCCCAGAATCGAATTTCTCCATCTCTTGATCCCGTCGCAAGTATAAATTCATTATTTGGTGCCCAATCGACTGTCCAGACTTCATCTTGATGACCCAATAATGTATGAGCCGTTGCATGGCTCTCCATATCCACAAGTCTCACTTCTCCATTGGCAATTACAGCTCCAATTAAACTATGACTTGTACTCACCGGTGAGAATTTGGCTCCATATATTTTATGACGTAATGATAATGTGCTGACACAAGAGAATGTTTCTGTATCCCAAATTTTCACATGTTGATCCAAGGAACTTGTGATACATAAGCCATTATCAATTGGGTACCAATCGACCATAGAAATTCCAAATTGTAACGTTTTCGATAAAGTGGATTCAATTTTAGTCCCAATGATTGAAATTGGGTCTAATGTGGTACTTGTGTTATACGTAGGGTTACATAACCTATCTGCTTGATCCAAGGTTGCCAAATCAAAGACCAATAATTGAGACTGCGATGTGCCTACTAATAGATATCGCTGCTCACATGGATCTAGTGCAAAGCTCCAGACACGCATACCTTGACGAAATATATAATTACTACTAGATGGAGAATGTTGTAATAATGTACGAGATTCTTGAGCATGTACATTGTCACAGTACGTACGGCTTGGGACTCCGATACTGCGATCTAATAGGTAGCCAAACGCTGAGGTCATTTTAATACGTCCAAATGGGTCTTTTCTTAAACAAAAAAAGGATACATTTGATCATTTCTATAAAAATATAGAAACTAGCGAGAAAACTAGTGTATGCTTACTCGTTAGAAATGGACACAGTATGGATCCGGTTAATCATAACAGCTTCTAAGCCACTGAATCTATCCATCACCTTAGTATAATATGTCCAGTCTGTAATTGATACAAATGTTCGCGTCAAAAGTTGATCACTTGCTGCAGATTATAGCGTCTCGAGGGGCATGTGTGTCAAATCTAGGGACTTCATTACTGCCAATCAATAATATAGTGGCGTTCTCAGGAGGTATTGATTCGTCATTAGCAGCTGCATTGGTGTATCAAGTATTCCCCAACACAAGCGCGGCGTGTATTGGAAAATCTGCAGCCTTGTCTTCTGTGCAATTGCACCAAGCTCGGGCTATTGCTTCTCATATTGGTATTCCGCTGTGGGAATGTCATACAGATGAAGCCAATGTGGAGGGCTATGTCGCTAATAAGGGCAAAAGTTGTTACTACTGCAAGACAACACTGTACTCGAGGCTTAATCAAGTGACAGAGTTTGCATGGAAGGAAATGAGAGACCAAGTTGGTGAACAAAGTGATACTATCAAACCAGTATTGTATAATGGTACAAATGCTGATGATCAATTAGATCCGACCCGAGTGGGTAAGTTAATGATGATTCGCGGTGTGAAATGAAAAGGTACTGAGGTAAGTTATTTAATCGAAGACGTATGTAAATCTATGGTGTTATAGGATTAATGGCAGCATTGGAATTTCAAGTGGTAAGCCCGTTAAGTGAGCTAACAAAAAAGGAGGTGCGAGATGTAGCGAAGTACATGGGATTGCCAAATTGGAATGCTGCGGCGTCACCATGTTTGAGATCGAGACTACAGTTTGGAGTCGAGGCAACTCAGGTAGACCATGTAGTGTTGTTTTTTTCTCTTGCTTGTTTTGGCGGCGGACACTGATGAATGTAAGATGTGTCTTTGATAGCAACATTTGCATCGAGTGGAAAAAGCAGAAGATTTCATACGTCATTTGATTCATCTCGAGCGGCAAATGAGCATGCGAGTGCGCTTTCTTGCAGGCAACAAGGCTGCGGTTGGTAAGTAGAGCAGACTTTTGTATGAATAATTCATTTTGTTTTGATGACAGTTTTCGATCCTGGCAGAACTTGAGAATGAAGCGTTGGAACAGGCAATTTCTCACTTTGACCTCATTGACGCTGAACTGCGACGACTTGGTAAGTCTTTTGCTTGTTATAGGAAAGGACATTATGTATAAAAGTATTGTGTTCTCTTTGATTGCAGGATTCAGCGCAGTTGACATTCGTGCCTTTCGCTCCGGCAGTCTAAGTGGCTATAACGCGAGTGCTGTAGTAGAGCACACACCCGCAGCTACTCTAGCGCGTCATGTTCACGTCGAATAAATCGATCATTTTGTCCAACGTTTTTACCCAAGTGACGATACGTGTTTGTATTCATCGAAAGAGGTAGGCACGGTCAAAGTGGCTCCGGGGTAGTTGCGAATGCTTATCCAACCCCTTATTTTACAATGCTGTCACCTTATAGCCGACTAGAGCCATCTTCGAAAATGTAGCCATTCTTGTCACACGTCACAGAATATCCATCCTACTTTCGAGCATAAAATCCGAATAAAAGCAATAAAAATCACACTCCATCGCCAATGCTGCGCCTAATTTGTCATGGTCGTAGACTCGTTTCGCGTGCTCATATATCCACTCGTGCAAATGGAATCGTATGTCTTCATCGCCGGTATGTTAGTCATACATATTGTCGATCATCCGTTACAAATTTGCCGGTTGGTGGTGGTGTATTCGCTGAGAATGATGCGACAAAAGTGACTCCGATGGTAACTCAGTACCTCGCTCGGAAGAAAGAATATCCAGGTGATAAAACCATACAACGTGATCCCATTTGCAGCTATTTGGTAGACAAATAAGTCACTATGTATCATGTTTTCTTGTTTAGATTGTATGCTGCTGTTTCAAGTGGGAGACTTTTATGAGTTCTTTGGGGATGATGCAAGACGAGCAGCTCATGTAAATAGTAGCAAAGAGAGAGAGAGAAATGAGGAGGAGGAGATTCTAATTGGTTGTTGTTTGTTTATATGGTGATATGAACCAGTTGTTGAACTTGGCACTGACGAGAAAAAATAAAAAAGATGCAGCATGCACTGAGTGAGATGTGCGGATTTCCAATTGGATCCGTGGATACATTTGTAGAGAAGCTGGTGAGGTTTGATTCAATTGATTTTGAATGGTGTATGGTTGCATCTGATTGAAAAGCGTTGTTGTTTTTCTTGTGGTGCTAATGCAAGTAGGTGATGCATCATGGTGTTAAAGTGGCAATTTGCAACCAAGTTGAGGTACGCTCGAGGTCCTTAGTGGTAGTTTGTGAGTGTTTTGTATCTCAATTCTTTTCTGATATTTGTACACACACGGTATGAAAGTGCAGAGTGCATGGAATGCAAAAAAAAGAGGAGCGAACTCTCTTGTAGACCGACAAGTTGTGCGAATTGTCACGCCTGGGGCATTGGTGGAGGATGCAATGCTCATACCAAAGGAGAACAATTATTTGGCATCTCTATATTTTGATGAAGGTACATGGGGCCTTGCATGGGCCGACTTGTCTACGGGTGAGTTTGTGTCCACCACGTCTACAAGCGACAAGCTTTCCAGCGCAATTTTGCGGTGCTCACCAAAAGAAATTTTGCTGCCAAGTTTGATGATTGCAAATGAGGATGAGAAGGCTACTTTGTTACAGGTCAACATGCCTCAGGAGGCCGTTGCGGTACTGCAGGCAGTGCTCCCTGACACATGCATGAAAACATTTCGACCTACTGCAAGCTTTGTACCGCAAACAGTGGGTAACGGATGCCATCGCCGTCGCGTTGCCATCAAAACACTCGACTCACCGGAGCAAGCAGCAGTCTCAGCGATATTGGACTACGTGGACTTTACCCATCGTGATTCAAGCGCATTAATCCAAGCACCTCTTCATGTCGAATCTTCTGATCATATGATTATTGACTTGAGCGCGTGGAGAGGGCTTGAGCTTGCAAAGTCGCTTAGTGGATCAAAAACATCAAGTCTGCTTCAAGCTATTGACTCAACTACATCGGCTGGCGGCTCGCGGCTTCTTGCGGTAGGTAGAAATGCTGCACACTTGTCATTTGGTGGACAGAGCGACCTGACGGCTTCAAATGTACCGTAGGCTCATTTAGCATCGCCGCTGATGAACCTCGAGATTCTCGAACAACGACTGGATGCAGTATCTTATTTTTATGACCAGGAACGATTGCTTCAGCAAACGCGGAAACAACTAGCGGAAGTCTTTGACATGGAGCGAAACCTCCAGCGGCTGTCAATTGGCATCGGCACCCCAAAAGATTTGAAGAATGTGGCGTCTACGATCGACGAAGCCATACAGTTGGTTAATCTTATAAAAGCTAACGAGCGCCTCAGATATAGACGTCTCCCAGATCTACCTGGAAAAGATATTTTGGGCTTGCCAGCATTACTGAATGAATGCTGCAATGGCCTTATTGCAAGTGAAGAGCAACACGAAAGAATCAAAAAGGCTTCAGAAGAAATCCATGGAGCACTCAAAGACGACTACGCATCGCTCAACTCTAAAACTGGGTTTGTTCGAGCTGGATACTCCTCAGAGCTGGACAAGTGGCAAACGATTCTGCGGCATGATCCAAAATCCCCTGAGAAACAGGAGCTGCAGGCCAAATACCGCAAACTAATAGGATCTGCGCGCCTGCGTGTTATTTTTCAGACAGAAAAAGGTTACTTTCTCGATATACCGCATGATGAAAATGCTAAATTGCTGAAAACGGATCGTGGACGACAAGAGCTCGAGAAACTAACGTTATTCCAGTCTTTGAAAAACTCAGTGCGGTATCGCAGTGAAGAGTTGCGACAGTTAAATCGTGAACTTACAGAAGCCGCGGTGGAGGTAGAGCGTGTGGAAAACAATATCTTTACGTCTCTGCGTGACCAGATTTTGGCCGTGCGCAATGACTTGCAATCTATGGCTCATGCCATCTCCCAGATTGATGTTTTTTGTTCTCATGCTCAAGTAGCTCTCGACCGGAACTTTGCTCGACCGCTACTTGATGGTAGTTGTGAATTGCATGTTGAAGATGGTCGGCATGCTGTTGTGGAAGCTGCGCATCTTCGAGGTTCAAACTCTCGTGGTATGCGTACTTTTGTGCCCAACAGTCTCCACCTGGCAGCAGCCCCAGTGGGTTCTTGCTGGTTGCTTACAGGCCCTAACATGGGCGGAAAGAGCACCTTCCTGCGGCAAAGTGCGCATCTTGTGATCCTGGCGCAAATGGGTAGCTTTGTACCGGCGAAATTTGCTCGTGTCGGCCTGGTTGACAAGCTTTTCTGTCGGGTTGGATCAGCAGATGATTTGGCAGCTGACAAAAGCACATTTATGGTAGAAATGCAAGAGACCGCGACAGTCCTGACGCAGGCAACCAGTCGTTCTCTAGTTGTAATGGATGAAGTCGGACGTGGAACTGCTGTTAACGATGGCATTGCGATTGCTGGCGCTATCCTTGAGGCCTTGTGCGCAAGACAGACCCGCACCTTGTTTGCCACACATTTTACTGCATTAAATGACTTGGTCGGAGATACATGTAATGGTGAGCTTCGACCATATCGAATGGAGGTTCTTGAGCACAAGACTGAAGACCAAACCAAACAACTTGTGTTTTCGCACCGGGTAGTGGAAGGCCTTGCTTTCCAGTCGTATGGAGTCAACACTGCTGCTCTTGCTGGGTGTCCGCCTTCTGTGGTTGCGCGTGCAAATGAACTACTGGGTAAAGTTGTTCATGGTAACAACAAAAACGTGATTCTTGAGACCAACACTATCCGTGATCGATTACACCGTGCTCTAGCAGCAATCGAATATATCAAGGATAACGACGATACTAGCACCAAGCTCAACGTGGACAAGATTCTGGATCAGCTTCGACAAATCCTGATGACAAATAATGAGATAAGTTGACCTGATGCCCTGTCCCGTTCAACGGCAATTCTCAACTATAACTTTTCAGTCTTCCCTGAATGATCATGATACCAAGTGGTTTGCTGTACGATACACCAGTATTCATGCAACCTGCATCATGTTGCAATAATCAAGACTTGCTTTGTTGCTTGCACGATCCCGAGTCGAATGTCAAGCTTGTCGTGCTCCATGAGGTCGCTGAACGAACGGTTGTCATTCAGACGGCAAATGGCGAACACGAGTTGATTGTTGTTGCAAGTGGCGGTTGTTTTTTCGAGTCATCCGTTCTTGGTATGGGTGAAGAATTTAAAGTGAAGGATGCCGCAAATGGATTGCTCGTGTTTGTATCATGCCGAACCGGTAACGTACTTGAAAGTGACGAGAACGGTCTGCCGCGATGCGTGGATACAATCTCCCGCGGGTGGGTGCTTTGGCACCATACGATTAGCAACAGCATCAGTGGTAACACAGCTGTGAAAGCTGTACGAGCGGTGGAATCACTGTGTAACAACTACAGCGATGTCAAGTACAAGAACGCCGAGATTATCTTATGAGATTGGTTTCGCTGGGTCAATCGGTCGATGAGATTAACGCCATGTTGCATGCGGATGTATGTATTGCCAGTGGCTGGAACAATTGTTGTTAAGAAGAGTATTGCTGGTCCCGTGGATGAACCTTCAGCGCTATTGATTTGCTTCAATGGATGAGAAGACCAGAGGGAATTGAGAATGGGCTTGTACTTTGCAGTATTTTTGAGATAAGGAATCGCTTTTTGACTATAAAAATCAATTGACACGTTAGCGCTCATAGTGATTAACGTATGCATTGATTCATGGTGTTGATTTGCACTGAATTGACGCCATGAATGAAATTCTTGCGATTTTTTGAGAAATAGGTTTGCTAGGAATTGGACAGATGAGCATTGTTGTGGTTCGTCACTACAGCAGACGGTTACCGGTACATTGGAGGTAACTGTGGCTAGTACGTTTACTTTATGTGTACCACATAATCTCCATCCAACTCGGACTGTCGCGTCGTCCGTCCGCTCCCGTCCACATGTCGTCCACTCCGAAGCGTACCATCTTCGTCTCGTCTCGCAAGAGTCAATTAGCCATGGCACAGACTTCTAGTGTCATTTCTATGCTAGAATCTCACTTTCCAGACTATCACTTTGTTGTAGGACAGGAGGATACTGTCGGTGATCAGGTATTAGACCGTCATCTAAGCGATTTGGGCATGTCCACTGCCTCTGGTTTATTTACGAAGAGCCTGGAGGAAGCTCTATTCGCCAAGACTGCTAGCTTTGCTGTGCATTCACTAAAGGATATGCCCACGACACTGCCCGATGGTCTTGTGCTGGCTGCAATTACAAAGCGAGAGAGCCCAGAGGACGCAGCAGTCATTCATCCCAAACACAAGGCCAAAGGTCTTACGACGCTAAACGAACTGCCTGAAGGCAGCGTGATTGGTACTAGCTCATTGAGACGTGAAGCTTTGTTACGAAGTCAGTTTCCAAGCTTTGAGATTAAAACACTGCGAGGTAATATCCAGACAAGATTGGCAAAATTGGACAAGGGTGATGATTACGATGCGATTATTGTGGCAGCTTGTGGTTTCCGACGTGGAGACTTGGGTGAACGACTTGACGAGATTTTATCCATGGACACGTTTGGATACGGTGTTGGACAAGGAAGTATTGGTGTCGAATGTCGTGCGGATGATGAAGAGGTGAAGCCAAGAATGGATCAAGTCAGCGAGACGGATCTCTCGATCCCTCTCTTTGTGTTTTTGAGTTCTACTGATGGTTTTCTTGTGCTGGATTTTAGATAATTGAGATGCTCAAGACTATTACAGATGAACCATCGGCGCAATTGTGTATGGCTGAGCGCAGTCTGCTGTATCACCTTGAAGGTGGATGCCAGGTGCGTGTTGGTGTGTATATTTTTTTCTGTATGAGGAGATCTGTTTGAGGTGACTTGTGACGTTATGACATTACAGATTGCAATGGGAGTGAGTGCAACGCTGGAGAATGACACACTGAAGCTGAACGCAACGGTTCTGTCCCGTGACGGCAAGGAGAGTGTCCGTGGTATGCTACTTGACGACTTGGGATGCTTCAAAAACTGGAGACATCATATACTAGCACTCATTTGCAGCTATACATTTGATGCTCTTTGCAGAAAGCATTTCTGGACCTCGTACAGAAGCTGAAGAGCTTGGTAAGCAGCTGGCAGAGCGTTTTTGGAATAATGAGTTGGCTCGGAACGTGCTAGGCAAGACCCGCGAGAAACGCGCTCTGACGTATGGTGATGCAGAAGCTCCTGGTGATGCTGCTGCTGAATTAGCCATGAAGAAGGCCAAAAAAACCTTGGAATAGGTATGTATGTAAGACAACATCCCATACGCATGTATGTATCCATCTGCATAGACGGTATTACTGAAGTGTACCCATGCTTACAAGCACTTCATGTCTTCATATTCTTAAAAACGCTTTTAAGAGCATATAAAGGTTGCTAAAACTCCTGTTGCTACAACACAATATAAAGTATGCTAAAACTCGTTGGTCAAATAGAAATACTTGGCTACAGTTCATTTAAGTACGAAATGTTACATTCCAATCAATTGACAAAGCTACTGTCGACCACCAACCAAAGTGGCTCTGCTCGCTTCCTTTAACTGCACGTCACCGCGTCAATTGGCTTTGTTGTACAGCACGTAGTACATTATTACCAAGCTGTGAAGTTTCTCGATCTAATTCTGTGAATTGCGTGCTCAAACACTCACTACAAGCTTCATTATTTGCTTTAAACGAAATGTCCAGTAGCCCTGTAACGCGTATCCAGAACAGTCGTTTGCTGCAGGCCTTCCGAGCAATTGGTATTGTAGTTGATGATGTGCCAATGGTGTGGTATGGAATGGGCAAGGCCAGTTTTGTCACAGCGTCGCTGGGGAAGTCATTTGTCGTGTACAAATGTGACAAACTGACGCCCGTGTTAGTATCACCTCAATTGCCCAAACGCATCTCGGCGCTGGCCGTGCAACCCAAGAAACACTTGACTTTTACAGCCTGTGGCCGTCAAATTATAGTTTGGAATCGAGTGGATAGGGTCCAGACATTGGTTGGACACAAAGGAGCTATTAAACAGCTCATGACAGTGGGTAACATTCTCTTCTCGCTGGATGATGAACGCTGCATTAAGATATGGGACTTAAAAACAATGGAGATTATCGATACACTGACTTTCCAGGTTGGGTTTACACCTACAACGATGTTACATCCGGACACGTATCTAAATAAGATCCTTGTGGGATCGGAACAAGGAACCTTACAGCTCTGGAACATTCGCAAGATGCAGTGTATTTACGAGTTTAAGGGATGGGGCAGTGCTGTCACAGCGCTGGAACAGAGTCCAGCAGTAGACATTGTTAGTGTCGGTTTAGCAGATGGACGGCTGATGGTTCATCACTTGCAGCTAGACCGCCTCGTGCTAGACTTTCGACAGGAACAGCAGAGTGGAATCACAGCCATGTCTTTCAGAACGGATGCAGGTGCATCGACGACACCGTTAGCCGTCTCGGGATCGCGCTCTGGTGATATTGCCGTGTGGAATTTGCAGAGCAAGCGTCTTGAATCAGTAATCACTGCTGCACACGACGGTGCGGTGGTGTCGCTGCAGTTCTTAGCTAATGAGCCGTTATTGCTGTCGTCGGGTACGGATAACTCGATAAAGCTGTGGATCTTTGACCACCTAAATGGCGGTACTGCTCGCTTGTTAAAGTCTCGTGAGGGTCACCATGCGCCACCGACGCGCATCCGTTATTACGGTAACAACACGCTTGCTACAATGGCAGACGGTGCTGACGGCACATGCTGTCAGATTTTGTCCGCCGGGCAGGACCGCGCCTTCCGTGTCTTCCACACCGCTCGTGAGCAGCAAAGCAGAGAGATGTCCCAGGGCCCAGTTCTCAAGAAAGCGCGCAGCTTAAATGTGCGCGTCGAGGACTTCAAGCTACCGCCTATCGTGCAGTTTGCTGCTATGGAGACGCGTGCACGCGATTGGGCAAACGTAGTTACGTGCCACGAGAACGAAATTGCAGCCTATGTATGGCGTTTTGATCACCGTGCTATTGGCAAGAAGGTGCTTCGTCAGTTCGACCCGAGCAACCGCGCTCCTTCTGGTAGCACGGAGGATTTGCGTCGCAAAAAGACACAAGCTACGAGCGTGGCTATCAGTTCTTGTGGTAACTATGCACTAGTTGGCAGTCTGGGCGGAGCTATTTTTCAGTACAACATGCAGTCTGGAGAAGCTCGTGGTTCGTTTCCGGTAGCAGCAACGCCAAAACCCGAGATTATTCGCTCGCTTGTGTTACCTGGGACGGACTTGTCAGCACTGCAGGATGATAGCTCGGACAAGACCGCTGCTGATGCTCATGACGGACCTGTCAGCGCTGTGGCTGTTGATGCCCTTAATAAGACTTTGGTCTCGGCAGGAATCGATGGCAAACTGAAATTTTGGGGCCTCAAGAAACATGAGTTGCGCTATGAGATCGACGTTGGCTCTCCTATTAGCCAAATGGAGCTGCACCGTGATAGCAATTTGCTATGTGTGGCGTGTGATGACCAGGTGCTTCGTCTCTTTGACGTGATAACCCATAAGCTTGTGCGTCGTTTCTCCGGACATTCGCATCGTGTGACGGACATGAATTTCAGCTCCGATGCTCGCTGGCTGTTCTCATCGTCGGCTGACGCATCACTGCGCGTGTGGGATATCCCGACGGGCAAGTGTGTTGACTGGATGCGGTTCGAGAAACCTGTAACCGGTTTGGCTGTGTCGCCTACAGGTGAGTTTCTCGCTACCACGCATGTTGGCCACGTCGGCATTTTTTTGTGGGCAAATCGCAGCTTCTTCACAGAAGTGTATTTAGATTTAGAGCCTACCAGGCCCGTGCTTATGGATATGCCTGTGGCGCTGAATGAGGTGGACAATAGCGACCTGCTTGGCTTTGGCACTGAGCGAAACCCTCAACTTTCGGTGGCAATGGCTGACAAGCAGCAGCCTGAAAACACAAAGAAGATGGACAGCGAAGAGAGCTCAGATCCACTGGATGCTTCACTCATCACACTGTCAATGGCCCCACGTGTGTTCTGGCAGTCTCTGTTTAATGTCGAGCTCATCAAAAAACGTAACAAGCCTATCGAGCCTCCCAAGGCCCCGGAGCAGGCTCCTTTCTTCCTTCAAACAGCGCGCAAGGATGATGTGCACCCTACATTTGTCCCCATTGTACCAAATAATGCTGGTGAGACGGATGATAAAGAAGATGTGACCTTGAAAGGTTGGGGTGATGACGATGAGGCATGGGTCGATAATGACAAGAAAGGTGATGCCGAAGCGACTACTTCGAGCACACGCATTATCAAGACTGAGGGTATGGTTACTTCTCGCTGCAAATTGGCGACGTTGCTGATAAAGGCGGTGCAGAAAGAGAAAGATGAGGACGACATAGACTCACGGTTTAATGAAGTGATGGCATACATTCAGTCGCTTTCTGCTTCAGGAGTAGACGTTGAAATGAGCATGTTGTGCATGGGTGATTTTGATGAAGAGGGTAAGAAGCTACTGGGTTTCTTTCTGGAATTTCTTCGTGAGGAGATGCACACGCGTCGTAACTTTCAAGTGCTTCAAGCATACTTGAATCGATTTTTAAAGCTACACGACGAGTTGCTGGTTGTCGACTCGGTGCTCTTAGCACAAGTGGACAAGTTGGGAGCTATACAGCATCAACAGTGGCAGCACCTACAAAAGCTCTTGCACAACAATTTGTGTCTGGTACAGTATCTCAGCAAGATCCAGATGTAAGTTAAACGCTTGTTTGAGTTGAACTCAGCACGCTCAAGTTCCTTTCATTGCTTTCTCTCTCGTTGTTTGGTATGAGATGTCTTCAACACAATCGTATCAGAACCTCTTAAGCCTTTGTATTGTATATCTCTGTATCTCTTGCCGTTCACTGTATATGCCTCATATTGGGAGGCTGCGGTATCTTTCACAAAACCGCATTTGGCTTGACACAAGCATCGACAAGTCACGTTGCCAACAATCACATTTGCATCTAATCCAGTCCGACTGATCCATGAATCTGATCCGGCACCATTCCTGGAGAAATCTAGTTTGGACAGTTTTCACCTACCGATCAACATTAACAATTTATTCTACATTTTGTCTGATCCATACCACGCTTTTGATCTGATCCATGCCACGTTTTAATCTGATCGATGTCACGTGTTTAATCTGTCTGATCCATGGCACGCGTTTATAATCTGATGTGGTGCCATTCTAGGAACTACCCAGTTTCTCCGTAAAAGGCACCGGATCGGATTAGATTGTCTGGGTAGTCCAATGAAACATAGTCCCATACGTGTCACTTGAGATCTACAACCTCATCACATTGCATTCGGTTGCCTAACACACAGGCCTAAGATTTAAGAATGCCTCCAAAGACCCATCTTACCACGCAAAGGTGCTGCTTATTGCCGTGCTGATCAAGCTTCACTCAGCTTTGGCCATCGCAGAATCCGCGCATGATGATTTCGTGCCCACATCGAAAGCTTTGGATACGCTGCGTTTGTCTCACGACGGTGTCGTCTTTAACTTTAAACAGTATGAAGAAAGGGATGTGTACGAGTGAGATTGCTCACGCGGCAGAATCGTCTGCGTCACGGATGGTCGAAGAACTTAGACCACGATGAGGAGCATTGACTTCCACATTGAAGAGCAAGATCTAAGAAAACTGGCAAACTACAACCTAGAAAACTACATGAACGCTAACCACTGCGATATATTCGCTTCGCCTGCTGTCCAAATATTGATGAAGTTCTACGAACACCGTGTAAACTTGGAAGGCGTCGTACCGCTTGCATTTCAGATTGAACGGGAGAAAAGCAAGATGGCCATTTAACGACATTGTACAGTTTATGGTGTGGTCAAAGAAACTCGAGTATGCCACGACTTTTATCAAAAGTATTGGCACGAAGGAAAAACCGTCAACTTTGAGCAGCGAGGAAAAGGTTCTTTATGCCAGGATTAAGAAGCATTACGATCGATTCCTGATACAAAAAGGAAAGAGTGACCCTGAACCTATGGATTTATCCAATTAAGCTAGTTTGAAGAGTGAGACTAATTTGGCTTGGGTGAATTCTCATTGCTAATCGTACTTTCAGGTGTGTCTGATGCTTATCATGTGGCATTAGTATATGATAGATCTGGTAAAACAGTAGACACTTGTGTTGACATTTTCCAGCTCTCCACTTTTTTTCAGATGTCGACCATGAACGTAATTGATGAGTGAGCTCTAGCTTGCATATGAGCTAAGAATCTTTTCCAAGTTCTCATAAAGAACAGTGTAAATCATTATCGCAAAGTCACGATTGTAAGGTATCTGCGTTTTGTCTTGCTAGTGTTTAGAGCGGGTTTGATCCATCTAACAAAGCCCACGAGAACAATTAGCACTCGAGACCAGGACAACAAGTAGAAGAGTAAATTTGTACAACATGGCACATTTTGAACACTTTATGCTAGTAAATAGCACAGTCTGTCATCATTTAAAAGAGAAACTGGACAAACGCAGCTCTAGACAGATGTAGCAAAACCAAGAAGTGAACTGTTTGGTCGATGTGCTGTGTATGCTTTTATCTAATTTACTCACCACTCAATCCAGTTGACAACTCGTTGATCACAGGCTGATGTGTGTCAACACCATAACAGGGTATCGAACCCCCATGTCAGCCTGTCCCGATCGAGCTCAGCGCAAGTAGATAGAACGACACGCCATTCTTGTAGTTCTTGTATCTCTCGAACAACATTTCTGGGTCCAGCTTTTTAGATTGCGTGGCATTCATATCTCCCCTTGGACTGAGGACGAGGCAAAAGAAAGTAAGTGGTAGTTGTGGTAGCTCTGCACGGTTTGAAACAACTCAACCTTTACACCATTCTCGGCACTATAAGCTTTGAAGACCTTATGCATGAATGATCTGCACCTGCTTGTCGATAGACGAAATTCGGCAGGTGGAAAATAGTAATAGTAAACCAACCATCACGTGGTACATTGAATATACTTGCACATAGTTGAAGCAGTAGCAGTAAACTGTGTCCCACTTGTTTCATGCCCCAGTGTCATAAATGTGACTATTATCAGCTGTCTTACCTTATAATATCCTGTATAGTCTAATACCAACATTAAGCAAATAAAATACTGTGTACACTCTGTATATCAATAAACTGCACAAATCGGTATATAGAAATTGATCACATTTATAAAACTCTCACTGTAATGACAACCTACTCCTGCTTCGTCTTCTGAAACTGCTCCAGCAGCTCACTTTAGCATTAATCGTCGTCTACATCCAACCCGTCATTTTTTCTACTATGGAATCATTAACATTAACAACAGATGAGCGTTTCTTAGATATTCTAACAGTCGCATCAGCTGTATCTTCGACGCTTTCGATTATTGGTATTTGTTATATCATTGGTCGCTATTGGTATGCACGAAGATTGAAAGCCAAATCGCTCTCGGTCTACGCCGGTTTAGCTCATCACCTTGATGTGACAAAGGAACTTGTACACATTATTGCGTATCTGGTAACGGGTTTCGTAGATGGATGTATCCTTGTTGTACTATCGTATCAATGCATGTTTATTTATGTATGCGAATATCTATTCATAGGACCTGTTTGGTGCCACAGGACGTGCATTTGGGATGCTCCCAACCAAGACATTTAATCAGGATATTGGAGAACCCGTAACAGTCATTTGTAAACTACAAGCTTCTAGTACGACAACATTACATGAATGGAAGATTTGTATCTAGTCAAGAAAACACACACACACACATCTGGACTAACATTGGTACTTTTTGAAACTTGTATGAATAGTCATTACTTTCGGTGATGGTGCTCCAATTGCTTGGAATTTTATTATGGCTCTTAATTTATACCGCTGGGTATGTATTGGCGAGGATCAGCAAATGCTGATGCAGAAAATTAAGTGGTATATTGGTGGCACGATGCTCTTTGCCCTTGGCATTCCCACCATTTGCCTCATTTTTGACAAGTATGGGGACGCAGGCCTCTGGTGCTGGGTCGTTGTCAAGGATGACAGAATCGAAGAAATTTGGTGGATGTCGGGTGCACTCTACTTTTGGGTTGTCGCAGGTGGGGTCTCAATGACCGTCTTCCTCGTGTTGGTCAAAATCAATATGAAAAAGAGGCTCAAGACGTACGAGAACGACGATGCGAATGACGCCTACTACGCCGTGGTGCACAACCTTACAGTCTACATTTCAGGCTTTATCTTGTGTTGGCTTCCGGCCGTGGTGGATCGCACTTACACCACTTTTACAGGCAAGACGTCGTTTACGCTGGAATTTTTGCATGCGGCCATTGTACCGCTTCAGGGCTTTATTAACGCCGTGATTTACGGCAAGCTCCACATTTGGGTCGTGCGTCATGTAAGGGAGCCGTGGACGAGTAATAGCGGTTTGCCCATAAGGAATAGCAAGCTCTCGGAGGACTTGTTGCCACAATCGATACAATTACGGGAACAGGAGCGGCACATGGGCACAGCAACTATCTTTGTTACCACTTTCGATATGAACTGGGCCTCGTGTCCAACCAATCTGGAGGACTGGATACCGGCAGGAAAGGATTTGTATGTTTTTTCACTCCAGCACTGCGTGGAAGTGCAAGCCATTGAGCAGGTTATCCGAGGATATCTTCTGCAGGTAAATTATCCCACTGCCTACCGATCCATTACTTCGATTGCAGGAACGGCTGTACGAGGTCATGTTCAAGATGTAAGTAGCTACTGTTGCCAAGTTGGTTGAGGTGACAAAAAGTCGCTTCGTCTTTAATTGCTGACACGAGGGTTTCCTGTTGTCTTGTGTCCAGGCGTCAGTGTGTCAAATCGTTTTTGTAAACAATGCGGACGATGCTAGCGGCAATGTGAAGCTTGATGCTGTTGATGGGCGAATCTGGGCCCAGCGAAAGACCTTTAATGAAGTTGTTGGTATCCCCATCCGGTACTTCGACGCGTCCATTGCATTTGTCTCGTGCAATCTTAGCACTTCGCTCGTCAACAGCTCGCAACGACTGCGTCGAGCGAGGGAAGATAATGTGTTTGCGAAGCATGCAGTCGCGTCTAGCCTCATCCACTCATTCGGCATGGATGTAGACCGCGCGGCAGTGGACTTTCCGAATTTATACCATCACACAATTATTTCTGGTAATTTGAATTACGATGTTGCCATGCCGCCTTCTGCACTAGCTGCAGCAATTAAGCAAGCGTACAAGGCTATGTCGCTAAAGAAGGCGACGGATACGGCAATTGATGCACAGGTTAAGGCAATCCGCAACTCTGCTTTTTACGCAAGTACAGCAAACAAAGCCAACGCCCAGCTTGACGACTTGGTGATTGAGGAAGGCCGTGAGGGCTGGGGTCGTAGTATTCAGCGAAGCAGTACCGGAGCCTCGTCGTTAGCAAGCGGTGACAGCGTTTATGAAGAAGTCTGCACTTTTTGTGAAGATGACGTTTTGTTTACGGAATTAAAGTCGCCAACTCCTTCTTCATGCCGATCGAGTTTACATTCACCGTTTCTAAAGGAACAAGACCGAGGCATTTTGGCTATTACCATCCACGCGAATATTCAGAAGGCTGACTCACACAAGACGCCTCGACCGACCAACTGGGCCTCTTTCTTGGACAGCCAACTTCCGACACACTCTCTAAAAGGAAGAGAAAGATTGTTCGCTTCAGCTAGCAAGTACCGCGCATTGGCATCTTGCAACCACGTCACACCGCGTTGCCAGAAGAAGATTCGGGACCTGTTAGCTAAATCGGATCTTGTTACCGAAAATACAGCTCGTAAATGGCTTGAAGTCCTTCGTTACGATGAGCTGCGTGCATCAATTGATGCAAAGGAAATATTTACTGGTTTTGAAGAGCCTCCTATCCAATTTCTGCCATCTTTTCCGCGTAAGATCGGCGTGGCTGCTTCGTTCTCAATGGTCGGAGAGGCTTCATGCCAAGAACTGTTCTGTGAGGCCGATGAGGAAATGTTTGTCGGGGATTCTCCACCTGCGTACAAGGACCGTATTTTGGCACATTCCTTGAACGATACGAAGCAGCGAATCAGGAATGTAGGCTATTGGTCTTGTGAGAATATCGTCACATCTACCCACAAGCCGGTGTGCAGCATCTACGAGCTTGAAATCGACCGATATTTTTCATATAACATGGATGAAGCTGCAGTTGCAGATTTACGACAAGGCAATCATGCTTTACGCGACAAAAGAGACGTGCACGAGTTCAAGATTAAATTGGTGAAGCTGGATGCAAATATCTGGACGTATGAGGAGCGTCACAGTGGCTCTGTTGTACAGTCCAATGGGCATCGTTGGCATAGCCACGAATCAAATCACTCAAGTAGTCGAATGCCTGGCAGACAAAGCAGCCGTGGTGCAGTCAATTCAACTAGCACAATCAGCAGCGGGAAGTCTTCTCGGCATAGTGTTCGAATATCGATTAGTCGAAGAAAGTCATCGATAGCACGTGTGGTCAGTCGTGTGCTCCGAAAGAGTCGGCTACGCTCTGGTACTAGCAGTACAAGCTCAAGGTCAACAGCACCTAACCAGTACTCAGATTTTACAATTGGGCCAGCGGGAGCACAACCTTTAGCAATGACTAACGATCGCCTCTCCGCTCTCGCTGCTTCTCGTCTTGAGCTTATACCTGTAGAACCCGTGAGCATTTCGACAATTTTTCCTCTCCCGTCAGAGGATATCTATGCTCTTCAACGTAAAGTGTATGAGGTTGCACACTTGGTGCAGAACGGCTTTCAGTCCAGTGCTCGTATAGATGATGATGAGGAATCCCAGTTAGCTTACACTAATTTTCGCACGGTAGCGTGGAAGAAAGCAATGACGAATGGCGTGACGCACTCGGCCATAACCAAAGCAGTAAACGGCGGAGTGCACATTGCGATCAGCATTGAAGCTGAGAAGGGTCACGGTGGTCAAGGCGTGTTGTGCCTCAAAGAGTCCGACTTGATGACGCATGCGGCATCCGTGCTCTCCGAGGCTGTGCCAATTCCATTTGACGTGACTTTGACGTGGGGAGGCAAGCATGTGGGGTATCTCCACGGCGATATTTTGTGCTCTACCTAGACGTTCCTCAAGTGATTTATTAGTTCACGACACAGATTTGGAGTTTATTTCAAGTATCGTCTTTCAATGCTTCCGCAAGTGTAAGGATAAGAAGGTCTCGGGCTAGTCTACGCAGCTGAGGCCATGCAAGACGCTAGTGCAACTTTTCTGGCGGAAACCGTCCTTGACTTCGCACATGTGACGTAAATATACTGGCGTATTTGGCTTATGCCAGTGGTCATGCGTGGCTAGCAAACGGATATGGAGCTGATAGGAATGGCAATGGGGATACGATGCCTTCCAATCGACTTTGTCTGGTATTATTTTTCGTACGTCGACATCTTTCCCACGTGGACAGCGACGTTGTACTTGGGCGTGACTTCATACGCTTTAGCCACATTCCAACCTGGATCCGTTGACATTGTTCCATGTGCGATTGCTTGCTCAGGGCAGAAAGTTGCTCCAGCATCAAGTCTACCCTTTGGTTGCGCATTGAACTGGAAGCTTGGCTTCCGCTTGCTCATGACTATTACGAAACAGTCATTGTTTTCACAAGCTAGAGAGCAGCGTGTTTCTTTTCCGGCGTGGCTATTCACGGCTCACATACCGATTGTATTCCTCCTCGTGCTCGTGTAAGTTTCCATCGAGTTACCAATGGCACCACATACTTTTGCTCTTGTGAGAGCAAAAGAGCTTGAACCTCTTGCTCTAGAAGTCTCAAACACGAGGCCTCTGTAAGACATTCTTGCAGCTCGACAGACAACATAAGTCGTGTGCAATCGACTGGATGGATCAAAACTTTTCTACGAATGAGGTTGGGATCGTACGACTTTTTTCAATCGTGCAGTCAATTGCAGCTAAGCATCATCCATACAGGCTCGTTCAAACCGTTTTCTAAGCCTTAACGAGATGAGCAAACCTAATGAAAAGCTGCAGTTCCATGATATTGTAATCAATACGTTGTCTTCATGTATTCAACGAGTCACTGGCATCGCCAAGTTCATTTTCTCACTTACTCTTCGACGTCGTGCCAAGCATGACAAGCTGATTTGAGACGATTCGATGACCATTTGGAAATGCGCTTACTGAGTTGCGCTGCTGCTTGAAAATCTCACGCAAAGGAGAAAAGTACTTATGTAGTGCTGTCAATATGATGACCATGTAATTGATAAAGATACTAGTGTACTACTCGACATGTTGTTGCAACCTTAGGCTAAGTCTAAACGCATTATTCGTGCTTCTTCATACAGGAGACATATTGCCATCGTAATGTACTTCCAGAGCTCGATAATCTTCATTTTCCTTTCTTCTTTGTCGTCGCAAGAGCTGACATAAACGTACTTCTAACATCGTTGTCTCTTGCTGCATGTTTTACATTGACGCGCCCTTTTCTCGTTCATCGAGGTCGTAATCGCACCTCTCTGCTTACTATCAGTGGCAACATCTTGACTAGGGTTGACTTCCAAGCTGTGGCAATCCTCGTCAATGTGTTGACCATGTGTTCGTAGCTGAAGCCTTCGTATTTAGACTGTAGCAAGGATAGCAGGCATTTACGAGGTCCTTCACAGCACCAACCATTGACTTGGGTTCCGTCTCTTTTCACTAACTTGTCACCAACAAAGACTCGATAGGTGGCGACATGACAACTCAAAGGATTTTAAACATGTTCAAGCTGATCCTGGAAGACGACCAGTAGATATGGGGTAATCTTGTGAAAAGACAAAGCTTTCGTAGTATACGTGTAACCATGTTGATCAAGAGCCCACGGTGATGCACACACAAAGTACAGTAGTTTGCAAAGCGAGAAAGATACAGTCTCGTTTAGCAATCCTGCTCGCAGTAACACAGGAGCAAATGGAACTGGGCATTCTGATCGGATGAATTACATGCAGTATCCTTCTCTTTTCTTTCTTGAGAGCAGTATAACGTTGAGACGGTGTGAATTCAATCGTGAACGACTGACAGACAATCCCTATTATCTTCAACTAGCAGAATATTGCTATTGATGCTTTTGCTTGACTTTGAAAGAATCTCGGACGTTCTCTGAATAGAGAAAAGAGCTTTTCGAAGCTGAAACAGTGCTATGATATTGCATGATGAATCTCTTTACTACTAGTATCAATCAAGTACTTTTGAAAAGAAGAAGCTGAAGATTATGAAAGAGACGCATTCAGTATAAAGGAAGGTTTGGAAAGAACTCGTACGACGCAAGTCTAAAACACATTAGTGCTTTGCTGAGCTTGGGTATGGTAGCATCGTTTATTTTAATCATCATCATCAACAACGTCCAAAGCATCTGAATAGAATGATTTGTTCAATGCATCTATTGGAATCTCCTGGCTCATCTATAAAGTCTTTTGAATAAAAAGGACAAAACTGTCACACTAACAGTATCTAATCGGCTTCAAGTACTCAAAAAAAGCCAGAGTACGAGGTCCAATGCAGCCGTATATGACAAGCTTTTTTGCCCTACGTAGCAGCTAAATGGATAGTTTTTCAATCAGGTCTTGTTCATGAACCGCATCTACTCATCTCCTTCCTTCCTCCTCTCCTTCTCCTCTTTTTTTTCATCAGATGATTTGAACATACATAATGCTTTTATCTATCTATCTATCTATTTTCCAACCGCATAATTCCTTTGTCTCGGTCCTAAGTAGAAATCATGTCCAAGTTTCAACGACAATTGGAAGACGATTCACTTGAGGACGTGCCGTATGTTATTGTCATTGAAGTACTCTTAGGACTCTCAGTCCTAGTTGTAATTGTGATAGGACTTGTCGTTTGTTGCAAAAAGCGAAAGCAGAACAAGGAGATTAATCTCGCATCGAATCTATCGGTGATTCAATTATCCCAAGAAGTCTCTACAGGATTGCTCTATCATGCATCCAAGCCAAAACAACCGTCAATGGAGAATGGGTTCTACGTTATGACGTCGCCTTTGAACTCGAAAGCACTCACTCCTGCACTGGTTGTCAATATTGGAAATCAAAACGACAGGAGTGATCAAAAATCAACGTCGTTCTTGGCCCCAAACCAGAAATTAGAAGGACCGCGGTATGGACAGAGCTATGAACAGAGCTATCAAGACACAGCCGAGGTTGACGTTGTCGACTCGTCGACACGCAGTAGGATCATGTCATTTGATGGCTATGAGAGTTTTAATCAAGCGATGGGGTATACTGACAGTACGAGAAGCAGTCTTCGGAGTCTCGATAGTAATCGCATTTACTTTGACACGGCATGGCCAAACGTGGGAAATTTATGGACGGACGACGCTATCGTGGCGGCACGCATTCCCATGAATAGAATTAAGATTGGTGATGTGGTGAGTCGCGGAGGGTATGGAGAGGTGCTGCGAGGTGTGTATGAGGACCAAGATGTGGCGATTAAACGACTACTGCCAGATACAAAAGCAGATTTGTCCAAGATTGAAGCATTTTTGGCTGAAGTGAAGTTGCAAGCGACATTAAAACACGAGCGTATAGTGCGTTTCCTTGGTGTGGCTTGGGATTCGTTTACGGATCTATGTGTTGTGTCCGAGTTCATGGATGGTGGAGATTTGCGTGCTTTGCTGGTCAAATTTGACGAAGTGGAGCAGCGACCTATAGGTTTTAATGCCACAAAAGCTTACATTGCGTTGGATGTAGCACACGCACTCACATATTTGCACGGTTTGAGCCCCTTGGTGCTGCATCGGGATCTCAAATCAAGGAATATCTTGCTAGATGGAAATTGGCGCGCTAAGGTCACGGATTTTGGAGTATCTCGAGAGCGCAGTGATCACACTATGACTGCGGGAGTGGGCACGTCACTATGGATGGCGCCTGAAGTAATGATGGGAGAGCGGTACGACGAAAAAGCCGATATCTTCTCATTCGGCGTCGTGCTCAGCGAAGTGGACTCGCACAAGCTCCCGTACGCAAGGGCCAAGGTTACCGACACTGGGCGCGTCATCCCCGATACGGCCCTTCTCCAACTCATTTCTAGTGGCAGACTCAGTGTGGCATTCACGCCACCAACTTCTCCAGCATTGGAAGCTATGGTACACCTTGGCAAATCGTGTGTGGCTTTTGATCCGGATGAACGGCCCACTGCCACTGAAGCATTCTACCAAATGCAGCTCGTAGTACGCGCATTTGAGCAGGAAGAAAGCTGAAAAGCCTTACGTCTTCTAGGCCTTGTTTATGTATGTCAAGCCAAGCTTTTTCTGCTACACGTTCCATCCAGCAGCACGTCATTTATGTGCTCTAGCTAGTCACTACGTACTTTTGAACTACACACTGCAGCATCATCGTATATTTTATATATTTTAAAGCTAATTCTTGTAACTATTGCGCTTACTCATGTTCTGTTCATTGTTGTTCAGTACGTCATTCCTACAATGAATGATCATCTCAAACACGTTGCAATGGTGTCTCTCCTACCGCACATTCTTTGGTGTGGGTTTCAATTCAATCCACAAATCCGTTTTCTCATCAAGCTTTCCGGAGATTGAACGTACGCAACCTCTGAGGTAATTCCTCAAAGCGTCAAGTCTACTACGCTCTCGTTTTTACCAGACTGCTACTCAAGTCCAGACGTGAGTTGTCACGAATTTGGCGGCACTGAAATGGTCAAAGAATCAAGACTACAGCTTTTTTGGTCGAAGCTAGCCGAGTTCTACAATTCCTTGAAGACCAGTCAGCTTTGCATCAAGGAGACTATGTTGACATCGAGCGGCGCTGTGAACAAGGTTTTGCGCGTACAGGAGGCTTCATGCACTCACCACCTCTGACGCAAGGTTTACTTTCTAATGTGTAGCCCTTGTCGATATCTACCACGTTGACTCAAGAACGAGCAAAGGTTCCAGCAGCCAGCAATTCAAAACACGATACACACGTAGACGAGCAACCTCCAGGATACTTCGACGAACAATACCATACTCTCCGCCAACGGCGGCGGCGCTATCAACGTCACTTTTACAAAAATTGTTGAGGTTATGACGAGCTCCAAGTCTTGGCAAAAGGATGCAATAACAGCTCTGCGCCTTTCTAGATTCAACAATGTCAGCTTCATCGCACACACGCAGCAATCCGTCCATATCATCACTCAACCTGCTGACGCACGCGAGTGCATGTTGAAGCAGTAGCTACCTTGAAGGATCGGGTTACTAGTTGATTGGGACACGACACACGAACATGATAATCACTTGTCAAGCATTGTCCCGTTTAAGAACTGGTCACCTCTTGATGAGAGTTAATTTACAACGTGGGTGGAATCTTCGACCGAAGCAAGTATACAATCTGCATGGCCGGTGGACGATTCTTTGGATCATGATCGAGGCATTGAGCTGCGAGCTCTCGAAGTGCTCGTGGACAGTCAGGTCGGAACGGAGGAGTAGCACTTCCACTAGCTATTAGCGGTACCCAATTCATGTCCTTCTTGCCCTTGGTCTTACGGCCTTGGCTGTATTCATACGGAGGCAAACACGTATCTAGTTCCGCAAGAACGACACCAAAAGAATATATGTCGGCCTTCTCAGAGTACCGTTCACCGCGCAACACCTCTGGAGCCGTCCAGAGCAAAGTGCCTATGCTCCTGGTCATCGTTTCGTCAAAGCTTATCTTACGACTGAGTCCAAAGTCGCTCACCTTCGCATGAAGATCTTCGGTAAGAAGAATATTGAGCGATTTTAAGTCGCAGTGCAGTACAATGGGCGACAAGGAGTGCAAATACACCAGTGCGTTGGAAATATCAGCCGCAATAGCCAGCTTGTCATTCTTCCACGTAAGATCTCTGCTGTCTGGTTGTGCCAGAAAGTGTGCAAGATTTCCGAGAGCGACGAATTCTGAAACCATGCACAACTCAGGCAATGTGCGCCACGCAAGACCTATGAAACGAGCAATGTTCGGGTGATCCAAAGGTGCAGCGATGCAAATTTCCTTCGTAAAGTCCACAAGAGCCTTAAGCTCCTTGTCACCAATATAAGCAGAGGCATTCAATATCGATGATTCTCGATCGATGTTCGCATTCTCAGCACAAGCAACAGAAGATGCGACTGTACACGTAATAGAGACTTGCTGTCCTTCGTACTCACCGTGCCAGACCTCTCGATTTGGTCCACTCGTAATTCGTTCTCGAAATACAATCCCTGCATAGGTAATCCGCTTGAGCATTAGTTCCTGATTGTCACAGAATGCTGCAAGGTCACATGACCGCATTCGAAGGCTCTCGTTTACAGCATCAACCTGCATCGTGTTGCCCAACGACGAGTGTAACAAACTACTGCCGCTCATGGTTTCTTCTTTATCGCCGTGGAACGAGTATGCCTGCACAAAGAAAGTATTGTTTTCATTCTCATGCAAGCCATCATTTGTGCAGCTCTTAGCGCGACGCCATATCACAAAGAACATCACACTCGCCAGAATGAACACTCCTAGCAGCACACCTAGAACAACAGCGATAGATGACGAGGCATTGGAGATTGAGTCCGAATCACCGTCTTTGGACTCTATGGACATAAGCGCTTCTTTTACCCAAAGCTTCACCCCCAGCTCAATATCTGGCTCGCACCACGTGCGTTCTTGCACACTTTTAGACACGACAGAAGCAGGCACTCCTCGACACGGAGCGATAAACTGAGCATTATTGGGGCACATTTCATCTTTTATCGTCCATGAACTTTTCGGTGCCAGCAAATAGAGATTAGTAGTAGAATTCTCATTACCCGTTGTACCGAAATATCTGCGGGTTATAGCTCCCGTCGACCTGTCCGTCATTGGACCACATGGGTCCACTGCTCTGCTGGAGCGTCTCAAAACTCGAAACTGCTGTGTCTGGGCTCAATGCACAAAGCGTCTTGGTCTCTACAAAACTAACGGGGCAGCTCGATTTTGTGTAGCTAATGATATTGCTTTTGCAGCTCTGAAGTTCGCACTCTGTAGCGTTGTTGAAGGCTATTGTGGATTGGAAAATGTCGCTCATAGTGCGACCACAGAGAACGTAGACCTGAACGTAGTTGACCAACGCGTTGTCGGAAGGAGAGGCTCCTGACTCGGGGATCGCTTGGACCCATCCAGCACTCCAAAGCATAGCGCGTTGCAAGTTAAATGGAAAGTTGGTGAAGTTATCGACCGAACCAACGAGGTTTTGAAGGGCTGCATTGAGACTCGTAGGCATGATGGGCCTCGTAATTGCTGAATTGCCGTACAGCTGCGCAACGATGTCTGTACGAGCATGGATGATATTAATACTGATGAAGTGCACGAGAATCAATAGCGAGAATAATTGCAGGACCAACAACATGGTCCTGCACACTGCAATGTCAGAATGTGAGACTGAATGGATTATACGGTTGAATACAGGACGAAGTGATGAGATTGGAAGAGACGTAACGGTTAAAGACAGTGGCTTTATCTGAAATTGATTGGAATAAAGGGATCACAACTCGTCTACAATCATGTCGAACAGAACCAGAGCTTCTATCGTGTCCCAACAATGTTCAAACCAAGTTTCTCATGTTGAACATAACACAACAAGTATTGCCTTCAGATATTACACGACGTAAGTATCTTAGCATACAATCACTATGCCTTCGCGTGCTTGACCAGTATGTTGACCAATTACAACATCATGCTCCTAAGCCAAAGCATACCGATACAGATGAATCTGGCAAGAACTAAGAGCGTATTGGCCTACGGCGGTAAGATTCATGACCCGGCCATGAAAGGACGTTTTGGTTGTAGACGAGATTGATTGCATGAAGGAAGTAAAGGTAGATGCAATGGCGATGGATGGAAAACGCAAGCCGACATGTCTGCGATCAAGCGAACGTCGATCGACCAGCTTTGAAGAGTAAAGTCCTTGCATTTTAAAAATGATGATGTCTACTATTTTGATCATGGCTATACATATACCGTCATCCTGCAAAGCGTCGATCAATAGCAGCAAAGGAAGTAGAGTCTCGGACAAGTCGATTGACTTCACGAGCCCTTCAGTACGCTAAGACATTTCCGTGACGATTGCAGTTCACGTTTAGGAAGTTCCTTGGATTTCAGTTTGACAGCAGTCGGTTTAATAAAATACGTAGTTGCTGAAGTATATCGTGTGTGGGGTGATGTTGCCAAGAGTGACGTTTACAAATATCACATAAACCTTTGGATAGTTTGCAAGCACACAAGCGTGGCACTATAACTCTTACCTTACCCGATTGTCTTTGACTCGAGTAGTAGGAAACGAAAAGCTGCTACATCCGTTGCAGCGCTCGTGGAAACAAATGATGGAACGTTTCCGTTCTAAATCATGAGCACACGTGCTGATTTTCACTGCGTGATTTACATTGTTTGGCAGATACATGGTGGAAACAACTAACTTTTCTTGATCCAAATGTTCATCGCCTAATTACTCCAGTCCTGACCTCTACACTTGCATAAGTGCAAGTGCAAACAATCAACATAACTAAGTGTACCGTTGCAAATGCCAAGGAGCTTTCATCGAAAGCGTTGTCTACATGGTGTCCCACTCGGCCCACTCTCACCTCCTTTCAATCTAGTTGTTACTAATCCATACTCATCAAACGGATTCGTCAAAATCAACTGATATTCAAGCGACAAGTAAAAAGCAGCGCCTTCTTCGTTTTTCTGAGAAGAGGTCCCTGGGATGCTGGAGACGTTGAGGATGATATTGACTAAAACAGGTTCGATTTGTCAATTCAGGACAGTACGACATCATACAAATCTAAGCATAAAAACAATCTGGGGCCCCCAAAGCTCGAAAATGACGAAACTATTCGAGAGAAATCCGCGCAACGTTCGGTGCGTTTGATTTACATTCTTCTTTCTCTATCTTTGTCAACTAAATGGCCTGTATCGGATTGTACAGTATTGCATCATGGATAATGGCACTCGGCCTATGTGCTGCCTGGTACAAGTATGATGCGATGAAGGAACGTCGGTTTTCCGATAAGGACGCTACCCAATGGAACGAGGCGATATTGCGCATGCATCCACAGAAACCTAAGAAGAAAAGTCGAGAAGATTAAATACAAAATACAGCATACTTGCAAGTTGTAATGGTTGTGGATTCCATGAGCTTCCGTTTCAATGTCTCAAAGACTATGTGCCGTGTCTCACATTCTTTCTCTGCCTGTTCCCAGACAGCAAGAGATTTTGCTGCCTATGATACCAAACTCAGTCGGCAAAACACTACACCGGAACAAGATGAACACACCGTTTGATAACCCAACTAAAATTGCCAACCAAGTGAAGAGCGGAAAGTGGACGTAAGTGTCATGATAACATATTTGGCGCTAACGTAGTGGTCAGTTGACAATTATCATGGTGTTGCATGGAATAGAACACCTTTGCTCGTTGCTGCAGGAGTTGGAGCTGCCGCTTGGTATATGGTATCGAAACGCGACATGAACCGCGCTCCTCCTCCGGATCGCGACCCACGCGCGCCGCCGTCGAAGATGAAGTAGTCACAAGACGGAGTCTGGACAAGAGATGTATGTCTTGAGAAATAAGAGCTGTGTGCATCACAAGCAAGTCTTGATTGTTATAGCCATTGAAAATCCCATTTACTTTGCTTCCTAAAGCTTTTGTGTTGTGTTGTGTTGGTGGCGACATTGACCATCAAAGTATTTACTAGCAAGATTATGCATATGGTACAGCTATTGGCGCTTGGGCGTGTTACTAGAAAGCACGCAAGACAATCATGAAAACGTGTACAATACGTTTAGCAGGGCTAGCTTAAAGATTGCAATGCAAGTAGTTGAGCCTGGACATCAGGAGCATGCGATCAATACACCTTGACAGATGGCTACCAATCTTCTTATGGAGTCGGGCTACAGGGTATCTTTCATGATACGTGTGTAACATTTGTGTTGATAAAATTGGAAGTATTTTGTAGCAAGATGGTAATGACGGCGTCAGTTAATTTTCTATGGCAAACATCTGTGAAAGAAGAATATGCTATCCATATCGTTACACCATGTGGTCAACTGCTGCACGAGCGCCTTTACTGCTACCAAGGTCATACGTCGAGATGTAGTTCATTAGCACGATGACGCTCTTTGAAACAAAATTGTTTGACATTTATCTGAATATTATGAGGCGCTTTACAATCTATGAGCATGACCGAATGCGCATTGACTGTGTACGGCAATGGCTTTCTTGTATCCCCACATTTTTATCTGCATATAACACCACTTGTCTATCGACGGCGGTGCTATCGCCGCGATGGCTTCTTTGACTATCAATGGCAGCAACATCTGTGAATCTACTGCACGATATACGACAAGATTAGAAATTGATCGGCTAAACAAATTTCAAATGGTGATGATCATGAACCGCAAGAATTCACGTCTCAAAATGAACTGTTATTGTATGTGGAAGATTTGGGATGAATCCTCCCATCAGGTACGTAAAGTCGATACTGCGCACCGAGAGCAGAGTTCATGCACTGCTTCAGCAAATTTGATATTTTTTTCTGTACAAGCTCTGCTAAAACTCGGTAGAAATGAACTCTATTCCGCCGACAATAGTCTTATACGCATGCGTGTTAAAACATAGGGGCCTTGTGGAAAAAATGGCAAAACAGCTAGCTAGCTAGCTATTTGCAAGAAGAGCGGAGAAGGCATCTTGGTGCTAGATCTTTAAATTAAAGCAAACGTGGCGCAAATATTGTCGCAGTGGGCGCCTGCTTCTACTTACACAAGCGCACAAACAGCAAGTAATTGTTGGATTTGACACAGCTATCTTTTAAACGATCAGTGGGTTCACATTGTAGTCGTTCCAACGGCGAAGAGCTTGGTGAGCTAGCAAATCGATTAATAAAGCAAACGTCAGAGTCCAGCAGAATGGGTGATGAAGGACGAGACTTGTTGTGTAGACGCTCCGGATGTGGATTGAAATAATCACCGTCTGTCAGTCTACAACAACAACCAATCTCAGCAGATGGTACATTCAATCCATTGCAGCTCATCATTTTTGAACTCGGACGTGTTGCTTAAACCGCAGTAAGATGTTCATTTTAACACCGTCACCTTACTCGCTCTCAGATGCATTGCAAGATGGTTTTTCAGTAAAGGCTTTACACCACGTTTCCGAGACGCTATGGTAAACTCTTCATTCTCAAATTTGCAGTCGAATCCACAGCATTCGACAAAATCTAGATCGTGACCATGCAACTTTCTCTTGCTCTCATCGCCACTGGAGCCACGGTGATGGCCTCGTTGCATGCTGTGCAGGGCCATGCCTACATCGTAGACCCCGATGCACAGTGGCTTGAAGGGTACCCGAACAACGGGTATGGAAGCACCATTAAAAGCGATGTATGGGGAGTGATTAACAATGAGAAGTTTGGTTACGGGCCAAACGGATCCATCAATTTCTTTAGGCATAAGTTTCCGACATCGGGCTATGCCTCAATGGGCGCCTTCATTGCCAAGAATCAGGAGCTTTTCAGCAACAAGGTAGATCCTGACTGCGGATGGACAGTCTACAAAGACTCGGCACGTTCCAAGTTGCCAGCGTCGGAGATTACTTACAGCGGTTTCACGCACCCCGGGCCTTGCGAGATTTGGTGCGGTGAAACTAAGATTAATTTTAGCTTCGACTGCCAGAAAAAGTTCCCCGCCATACCGGCGAAGATACCTTACGATAAGCAGAAGTGCGCCAATGCTAACCGCTTGACGATTTACTGGCTTGCCCTACACGGCGACCCATGGCAGGTATACACGAATTGCGTGTGGCTGGAAGGCGGCTTTGGCAAAGGTGAACCGCCGTCAGCTGTGGGCAAAGGCTCATCAAAGGTTGTCGCAGACCCAAATTTGCCAACGGCCACATTGACAGCGCCAAGTAACGCAACTCAGAAGATAGCTGGCGAGGCCGACTACACTATTCCTGACACCGGAAAAGAGGAAAAAGAGGAAAAAGAGGAAACGGATGCTGATACTACGGATGCTCGTAGCATACCCACAACTAGCACGAGTGCAAAGTGCGTTCGTCGCCGTAACTAGGTTTTGAGTGAGTGAGTGTCGTCGAACATTAAAAATGTAGATGTTTGTAAAGCATATCGTTGTTGTCAAGTATTCGTTCATGCAGCAACAATGTTAGCCTTTTGAACGCGCCGTTCTGGTGTTTGCACCAATTCCATTAAACTACGTAGTGAGATATATTGAGCATCGAACAGGTCTGTAGCGAACACCATCGGATGTGCGTATCAGACTCTAGCTTACATTTGGCTTCACCGTCAAAAGGTGTCAGAAAACAAAATGTCAATCGTGATGATGTTGCTACTGTCGAAGGTCACGGAAACATCGTTGCTACCGTCGTCAGATGCTAGATGCTGCAAATCGTCAGAGTACGTCTTACAAGACGATAGCTTCTAGGTGTTATGCATTCGTTTATTATCAAGCGTTTGGAGAATGGCGCGGATGCCAAAGGTCGTCATCCGTATGTTGATGCTTTGTGTGCGTTCTCCAAATGTCTACATATCACTAATACTACGACTTTTAGTCTCGTCCTCATGCTGATGTTGCTTAAGTTCTTTCCGCCGTGTCCGAGCCAGATAGAACATCAGCTGAGCTGCACATTCTTTACTACTAGCAAGTACTTTTCATCACGTAAATGTGCCGTTCGTCAAACATTTAGTACACAATGAAGCCTCGCCGACACCCGGTAGCAGCTAATGGCCATCTCTCTCCTTGACGGTCCACCACGGCAAGCTTGGCCGTCAACACGAATGAGCCTTTGGCTGATAGGTTTGTTGCCTTCACATGCACTGGCGCCTGGAACGGCAGGTAGATCATCGTCTGGCCATCGCCGTCTTTGATAGCTGCTGACTCAGCCACGTGATCCCACAAGACTGGCAGATTAACTTTTGCACGGTACTGTACAAATTTTTCCTCTTGTGACGCAGCCACAACCATTTCATCAATTGATGAACTTGTAGTAGTGTTACTGACCCTAGTGACGCCAGCAAGACAAACGAGAATCTCAGCCTCGATTGCTTCAATTTGTTCACTCCAATAATCTTGAGCGCTACGTGGTAAGGCCAACACACCCTTCAGCACACTTGTGAAATCAGTACCGAGGGATACTCCAAGCTGTGAACGTGAGCGAGGCTTAGCTGTGAAAGTTGCATTTTCAGCGTAGGTTAAGAACTGAGCACTTGACAGAAGACACTGCTTTCTGTGCAATCGGGAGCAGAAAAATACTTTCGGCAGTACAAGAGGAACAGTGCAGAGGGCAGCCAGAAGTTGTTGCAATACGCGAGCACCAATACCAGGTTGACGAAAGGGCGCCAGCTTAACAACACGATCCAACTTGCCACGTACATCCTCGCTTAGTATCTTCAACTTTTCAAGACTCCACTGGGAACCATTCATATTGAGTCCCCATTTTGTTGGAAACTCAATGGAGTTTGGAGACCAAAGTAAGAGAAATCCTTCAATCGCCGAAGCCAGTAAAAGGCAGGAATTGGCGTGAGCCTGAAGCACGTCAAGGTCACGCTGGCTGGCCCCAAGCAACGAGGAGCGTAACACCCCAAGCTTATGAGCAAGTGCGCGTAATTGCTTGCTCAATTGCCCCTCTCGTCCGGCGGCGCTACCTACTGAATTGGTAAATGCAGCTTCGGCCGCAAGCTGTCGTGTACTCTGTAGGATCTGTACCCACTCAAGTCGGAGCGAAACTAGACACAGCTGAAGATCAAAGCGAAAGCTTGATGTTTGCGCTGCATGCAGGTACATACTGGTGCGAGCAAGAGAGTGAACACTGTCCAGGTGCACAAACTGTTCGGATACAATACGTGACTCTGCTTCGCACAGGGCCTGCAGAGCACGCAACCATCCGCCAAAGCATTCGTTATCAGCCCTCGCCGCAATTGCTTCCAAAAGCTGCAATGCTAAAGAGAAACGCCCTCGTAGCATCGCTAACTTTACCATCTCGTACCGCTCAGCGTGAGACTCGTAGTATTCGGGATTTACAAGTTGTTGTTCAATTTCGACAATGGTTTTACTTGTACCTTTGTCCTCATCAGTGTTGGCAAACGTCAAATCCTGAGTCCAGAGAAAAAATGTTGCTGCAACAGCTTGTAAATGTGGTGCATCCGACTTTTTTATAGTCGATAATTCCTTCAGCAACATGGGAAGCTCCTTTTGAATCACGCTGATGAGTGGCGGTCGAAGCTGGGCTCCGAGCACCTTCAAGACAGATGCCCTACGCAACTTGGATATAGTAGAGTCCAGGTTCTCAGTAGGAATTGATAGCAGTTCAACCAATCGTGATGACACGTGTACCGCAAGGTGTTGGGGAAAGTCCTGGCAAAGTCCAGCAAGTGCGCTCAATGCGTAATTCCACGTGGATTTCGCAGCAACGGCTGCGCGTGGATGCAGCAGCTCCAGCAAGCTATCAACATGATGCTCCGGCAATGTTGTCTCTGCAGATGAAAGTTTCTGACGAGCGATATTCAACATGATTGATACATAGACCTTTCCAAACCGCGTGTCTGAGGTGAAAGCAAGAAGTTTGTTGGCATCATGTAGCAGTGCAAGAGCCTTTTCACCCAACTCGTTGTTAACACACCACTTTTTCAGCAGAAACAAAGCGGACAACTTAATGCGCATCATACCACGACTCGAAGTAGCGTGCATAATGCTAATCTGCGAGAACATACCTTCCAGTATATTAGCCAGTTGGTCTTCTCCATCAGCAATCAATTTTTCAACAAGTTGTTGCGTTGCAATCAGTGCAAAATTTCGTACAAATGAACGAGGGTCTTGACCAAGAACATGATGCAACAATTGGCCATGCATCATCAATAGAACACGCGGGTACGCAGCAGTCAGTGCCGTCATTGCGCGTATGCTTGCAACTGCACTCTTATCATCCGCAAGACGTTCATACAACTCCGCGCAGTGAATCCACGCTTGCTGGGCTTCCATCTGATTGGACACTGCACCAGGCAGTAAACAACACAGTTTCGTCGACTTTTGCAGACTCAATGTCAGTACATCTTTTCGAAACGACGACGACAAAGCCAAAACTGCATTCACCGCTTCAATTGCAGCCGACTGCTCGTCCCTATCATCAGCAGTAAGCCCCGTCGATATCCGCTGCATCATCTTCATATCACTCACAACAAGTGACGGCATTGTCGCTAACATTTGCAGTGTCAGTGTCCGAGTTGTCACACATGTCGCATGTGTCAAGGGTCCCGACAAATGACTTAAGAGCTACATGTTCAAATTGCATCAGGTGCATCAAGACTTTCATTTCGACTAGTCAACAAGTGTTTTTTACCTTGGAGGCATCGTTTACTTGAGCAAGGTGAGCTGTTGCTCGCTGAAAAGCTCTTAAAATAGCGCTCCGGACGATTGAATTACCACTATACAATGACAAAAAAGCGTCCAAAAATGAGTCAAAACCATACAACAATAGCATCAACTTCACCTCCTGCTACCTCGTCGCAAAATGCTCGGCTAGTTTTGTGAATACAGCAGCTAGAAAGTCCGGCCATGGAAACGATTCGACTGTAAAAAGACGTGAATAGAACAGTAAACACTCGGAAATTGAACCAGCCACAGCATTCTCCATAGCATTCGGATAAACGTGTTGGATCACTTGGAGCTGTAGTGCCTTTACTTGGACCTCGAGCTGCGCGAATTCTCGCAAATGAAGATCAGTCGAGACATTTTCAATACGTTTAGGGTTAAAGATCAATGGAAATTGTTCGTTTGTTGTTACTTGTAATGAATCAGCCGCTGGATTCCCATGGAATACGCGATAATGAGCATGGGGGACACTAAAGCTTGCAAGCATTTGATTAAATGAGAATGTGAGCTTGGAATTTGTAGCAAGCGAGTTTCGACCAATCAAATTGAACTATGATAGTCATTGATGAAAAAAAAAGTTGAGATGATTGGAAAGAAAAGTAGCCATGTAGCTAACGAATGTAGCCATCTTGAGGGTGTCAACCCTACTAAAGATTTGGCACATTGGCAAATGAATGGCACTTACTCATCGATTTTTACCCAACATGACATGTTTAAGTACTGATTCAGTCATAACGCAGTAGCAGCTGCATTTGCGAGTGATTTGTGTGAATGAACGCACTGCATGTATTCATGAAGCTCTGGCCGCTGCAATAGGCCTCTCGAAGTTTGTAAGGAGTAGGATGTTAGGATTTATGACTGTTGAACGAAATCTTTTTTTTACATGCTACGTATGCTACCTGAAAGCTGTAACAAAAAACGTCTTGACCAGCTGCGGCATATCGACGTACGTCTCAGGGTTTACAACTCTCCAAAAGCTAGCTTTACAAGCTTGTGCCTTTTTGTTTGCAACCACCACGTCTCAATGAGACCAGTACCAGAACTCAAAATCCTTTCGACAAGGACTAACGCTCTAGCAACGTTGGGGCAGGTTGGGGCAGGTTTAAAACTGATTCATGTAATGTTTATCTCAAGCGCTAAATATAGAAGCACCATCTTTCCATGATCTTTATGATATCTAAGGTCACCTGAAGATCCTGGATCGTGATGCTCTTGGTTTGGCGAGGTCTCACCTATCATCTCTCGATGACCGTGTCGATCGAAACCTTCGCTATTCGAAGCGTTATTGCTCTAAGACCTCTTATCGATGCTTAAGATCGATGCAGCGCTCTACCAGAGCTTTGGTGTCAACTTGACCTCCTGTATGCCTTCAGCGTCCATATGCACCTTTGGTGCCGTACTACCCGCCTCCATCGGCCGGGATTATGAGAAAAAACCTCGAAGTCTGCCGAGACCGGGTTAAGGTATAGCTTTAGAAAGCCGACATAGAACACAGGGTGTGTATGCATCTTCTTGGAACTAATATGCGTATAGGCTAAGCCTACTTGCTTATGACCTTTAAAGGTCCAATAAAGCGTGGACGTAGTTTGGTTTCATATACTGCAGAAACGGCACGAGTAGGGAAAATCCTAGCGTTCAACTACACTTAATCTCCCACTTTGAAGTCTTTTTCCTTCTTTCTGCCTTTGTCATCTACTTGTTCCTTCGGAACATCCTGGATTTGAGCCATAGCGTCTTGGGCGCGACGTGATACGTCAAAATGCGTTAATATAAACGCTTCCACCTTCTTGCGAATCGCAACAGAGCTAATATAAGCCAAGCCTTTTGGATATTTCTCCCCCACTAAGCCCTGATATGGCAGTGTGGCGAAAACTAAACGCTAGGATTGATTAAACCGGTGACATAGAACGGGGTGAAGCCTGTCGAGGCACGTACCGCGTTATTTAACGCAAACATAATGAGCGAGAGTATGGTGCTCCATGTATTTGACGTCTTAGCGCAAAACATTGCAAATCATATTACCAATGACCCGATTCAAGAGTTCTTATTTTGTCATAATACTGCACCAAAATGATTGATACCACTTTTATCAGTGCTGTCGATTTTTGTTCCAACCAGTTCATCCATAGGTATGCAGGTGGTCCGCCGTGGACATGTCCAGTCTAGTGCATTGTACTTTAAAGACCAAAGTCCAAATTTATCGTAAAACGAGGGTCTCTATTCGAAACTATTGCCACGGGCAACCAGTGTTGTCGAGACACGCGATCCACGAACAGCTTTGCTGTTTCTTCTCCATCAATGGAGTTTACAATTGCCGCTATACGAGCAATATTGCTTAATTGACCCCAGTGTTTCCTGCATAAATACGCTGTATGCCAAGCACGAAGTCCATACTAGTGTACTGTTCCAATCCAGAGGGTACATGCAAACTCGCCAAAGGAGCAGCCAGGCTAGACGAGGTTCTCACCCTTTGACACGTTTCATACGTGCGTACATACGTATCAACCCATTTATATAGATTGGTCCACCAATAATGGAAGCTAACTGAGCTGTAGGTCTTTCACGACCTAAATGACCACCAAGTGTATATCATGAGCCTCAGAAAGTATCTGATACTTGAGGTACTTTTAATGAGGCACCACAACACGAGACTGGTCATTAAACAGTGTACTATAGTACAACAAAATATTGGCCAGTGCATAGCGATGTAATCGCGCACGGATACGTAGTGACAGCTTCACCTTAGTGGTTTCGAACTCTGCGCTACCTAGCGCCTGTAGAATGACAACACATACCTCGTCGCGTACATACACTACACAGATACAATTCGTTGCTGATAAAATAAGAACAGTGAGATGAGTAAGCTCATAGTCAGGTCTACGCAATAACGCGTCAACCAAAAGATTCTGTTTACCCGGCTTATACTTCACCTCGAAGTTATACTCCGCAAAAAAGGAGAGCCAACAAGCCTACTCTGCAGGAGATGAGGCGACTGTGTCGCTGTGCGTAAAGACGCATGATTCGTATAGATCACAAACGGCTTTGAGCCCAACAAGTGTACCCTAAACTTAACAAGGGCATACTTCATCGCAAGTAGCTCCTTGTCATGAACTGGATAGTTTTTCTCTGCCGCTTTCAACTGGCGAGATTCAAACGCAATGACGCGTTCGCAATCCTCAGCATCAACTTGCAAGAGAGCACTGCCAATGACAAAGCTTGAATCATCACACACGACGCTAAAAGGACGCTCAGGAGCAGGCAAAGACAGAATTGGCGCCTGAAGGAGACTCTACTTAATGACTTCAAAAGCCTTGTGGTGCTCGGTGTTTCAACACCAGTCCACATCCTTTTTAAGGAGATTGGACAATGGCCTAGCCACTTCCGCATAGTTGTGGCTATACCTGTGCAAGTAATTTGCCAAACCCAACCACTTGCGTTGGTCCTTCTGATTTCTTGGAACCGTCCAATCGCTATGGCTTTGACCTTGACAGGTCTGCCCGGATTCCTCGCTTCCCAATGAAGCATCCCGGATAGAGAATCTCTTTCGAACCGACGATGCATTTTGTCGATTATTGCTCCTTATGCAACCGAGCACAGCTTTCAGGTGCTCGATGTGATTCTCCACATCAGACTTTCCATATTCGGCTCGACTATGGACGAAAGTGTCGTCGAAGTATGTCTGTGTACACGCCCTTTGGGGCCGAAACAACTTCGTCACCAGATGATTTAACGTTGCAGGTGCGTTAGACAGACCTTGGGGCATCACTAAACACTCCCATAGCATACCGCTCGGACTTCTGACCGCTGTTAGAGGGATATCACTAGCTTGCATGAGCAGCTGGTAATACCATCGACTAAGTCGAGGGCACTGTACATCGTACATCCCACCATATTGTTCTGAAAAAACATCTTTGCGAGGAACTGGTGTTTGAACCGGGATGGTGACTGCATTGAGCTGATACTATTCACAACTTCCCATCTGGCTTTCTTTCACGAAACGTGGGCTAAAGTGAGGAGACTTAATCTCGCGCACCATGTCAGCCGCGTGCTTTGCACGAAAGAACTCGCCAATGACGCCAAGCGTCCGCTATCACAAACACAATGTGACGTCATTGGCGAGTTCTTTTTTCACACGATGTTTGGTTTCTGGAACCAAATCAATCTCATGACCTACACCTCTATCCGGAGGTAATTATCGCTGGAGGTTCTTTGGAGACATCATCGCTATATTCCTCCACCAAAGTATAGTGCGAATTCATGGGTTCTTCAGGATCTGTGATCCACGTCGCGCATTGTGACTTCTTGGTATCTTCATGAAATGCTTCATCGAAAAGTGGCGATGAGCTCAGATCCTTTACAAGCCGTATAACGACCACTTCGGCGATGTCGCCTGCCTGTAATGCACTGCCAAAATCGGTAACTTACAACTCTTCCAGCTCTAACAAAGCACTTGCTGCGGTTATAGCCAATAAATCACCGACAATGTGACATCCCCAATCAGCTCATTGACGATTTTATACATCTGTTTGATATCACGATCACTCATGATGCTGTCAGCATCCAACACAATAGCGTCCGCAGGCGTAAACACCTCAAGGTTAAACAACACTTCGTTTACTGACTGCACCCCACACTTTGGGTCGATGCCTTGTCGTGAGGTGCTTACATCTCGCTGTTCTTTTATACAACCGTCAAATTTTTGACTTCACCCGACCATTTTTGGTCAATCCCTCATCATGAGGTGGCTGCACCTCGTTGTCCTCAAAGACAATAACAATTTGTGACTTCACTTAACTCTCTTTGGCCAGCACCTCGTCGTGAGACAGTATCCACTTGTGACTTTCCCAACCCTCTTGGGACAAAAAGTGCGTGAGGTGCTTGCACCACGTTACCCTCAAGACGACATCCATTGGTGACTTCACCCGGGTCAGTACCTCGTCATTTATGTCTCTTGGACTATTGTTGTGATATCTTGGCTTTCAGCCACCCATACCACTCATGGTAATATATGATGTAGCATCATTCTAATGACATGTCATCTAGTGGGTTTTCAACCACAAAATGTTGAAGCCCTAGGATCTCTAGCGGTGATGACATAAGCTTCGGGCTAACACTGCACGCGCTCCGCTTTAGAACGCTAGCTTCACACTCAACGGCGTCGCCCAAAAAGAAAAATATACAAGCCGCACGCAAACAGCATACATCTCGCCATGTTGACAATAGTTCTGTGCATTCGCTCAGCTTCTTTATTTGAGGCTTGATTATCAGCCTCGCTGAGTCGACTTCTCACTTTAGCTGACTTGCAAAACGGATCAAAGTTGACGTAATCCTTGCCACCGTCCGTGTACAACACATGATAGCGACAGATTAAATCTCTCAACTCACAAAGTACACAATGGTGTGTATGACCAGTACACACCTTTGTGTAACCTGGTTACAATTTTTGTAGCTTAAAAAAAGCTACATATGCAGTATTGTAGGTAAAAGGTTTCGTCATGAGCACGCGCACAAAGCGCAAGAACCTGCGGAAGCGGCGGAAGCGGCGGCTATTTGCTGCTATTGCAGAAGAGATACAAGCAAGTGTGCGCCATGATATTGAACTCTATAAATTTTACATTATTTGCATGTGTATTTATTGCTCCAGAGTGCCCTGACACCGGAGATCTCGTGTGCTGTATGGACAACATTAGGAAAAAGACCAATGGACGCCTGAAAAGGAGGAACTGGAGCAAATGAGGAACGAAGAGCAACGGCAAAGAACGCATGAAAAATGGCAAAAGGCGGTCGAGAAATCCACTGTAGCTTTTAAGAAGCGCAGGAAGATTTTAGCACAACGACAGCAGTTGATCTTGTCCCTACGACAGGTTTGGTACAGAGAAAAGAGATGACTACGCTTTCATCTTTATCAATTGCTAACATTAGTTTCTTGCTCTTGAACAGCAAATACAGCAGACGTCTGTAGAGTAACGATCAAATTGGCGTCGCTGTTGGTGCAATGTTCTTGTGGTTTGTTTTGTTTTGCTTACAGATCAAGGAAGACGAGAGCTTGGGTGGTCCTCCTGTAAGTATATACTCAATCACTCTTGTGGGTGGGCTCAAGCAAGAGGAATTATTGGAATGGGGAAGAAAGAATGCACATTATCATCATCATGTACAGGATGATGTACTACAGCCAGTATTTCTTCGACGGGACGTCGTAGCTGCTCAATACAATCTTTCGTGTGTTTGTGCTCTAGCCGACACCATGGTAGACGCATGTACGGAAGTGTGACTGATTGTACTATCAACACCAAAGGCACTAATAAATATACAGACTATCCTGTTGACTCTCTTCGGAAGCAAGTGGATGGTCATTGGAGTGGGAATGGTTGCAAGAATTAAAGTGACAGTGAGACAGCACGAGTTGATCTTGCCATTGAAGATCCAAAGAGGATGAAGTGAAGTCTCAGCTTTGTTGCGTGTTGATCGAGCGTATACTTTTTCATTTCGAGCGCTATCAAAACGGTCGCATTCCGTGACCGTCTTCGATATAAACAATGGCGGGTGGGACGCAAGGTATGGAGTTTTCAGCTGTCATTGTTGTTTTCATTCTGGCAATTCTAGCAATGCCAACTGTCAAAACGTGCTTATTAAGTCGTGGACAAATTCCCTTTATATTGCATTTGGAAGGCTTGTCAGCGCTGCACGACATCAACACTTTCATTAACTAGAAAAAGACATTATGCGATACTAGAGCACCACGTACTTTGATTCACTACCATCGCAAGCAGCAACGAGGGCGCTGGCTTAATAGCAGGTCAAACAAACATGCAGATTCTATCTCAACAAATACTGCAATCTCAGTCCGGTAGCTCCCTCCACCCATGACAGCTGCGTCGTATTACCAGTGCGCCGTAAGCGAACGTGCCAACAGCGGCGCGTTTTCGTCTATGCTATTACATCATCGCTCGTCAGCGTCGAGATTTCATTAGTATCAGAGGCAGGGTCTAACATGAACGATCCCACAGATTGGTAGCGAATGACCTCGATATCATTACTACCGGAACTGCTCGCATCGTTGCGCCCATCGGATGGTATCAAGTGAGAAAGGCCGCTCATGACCCCATCGGCGCTAACTGTCTGCGCCTTCTGCTGCTGCTGCTGGTGTGCGTCAAAGGATGTGGAAATGTTTCGCTGAAAATTGTCCAGGGCAGCATTGCTATCGCTGCACTGCCTCAGCGTGCTTACTGGTGTCGTAGTGAAAGGCACATCCTCTGTTGAAATGTTCTGCTGCACCTCCTGAAGCTGCTCCGTAGATAGAAAACGACGAGGAAGATATGGAGGTGGCGCAATGATATTGCTTTGTAGCAAGCTTACGACCTCTGCACTTTCGCTGGCGCGAACAGGACTTGAAGCTGCAAGGTCTAACGCAGGCACGGTAACAGATGAAGATGCTGATGTTTCCGGAAGCACCCTGACAGCGGGAACTGAAGTTGCAGACGGCGGGGTGGCAGGCGGAGATATCGGATCCAAACCCATGCTGCAAATATTGCTACCACGAGCACTGCCGCTAGAAAAAGATGACGACGAAATCCTGCTGGATGTGTGCAAACAACTTTCCAACATGCCGTCACCGCTCGCCTGCATCTTTTCATTGTCAACCGGCAGCATCGCCGGTATCGGAATCTCCGACGGCGCGTATGTTGTCGTTAGGTCTTGTTGCGCTATAACTGGTGCGCTGAAACGAGCAGTTTCCTTGTTCTGCTGGGCTCCCGCAACTATCAGGTCTTCCGCTGTGGTTTCCACGGTAGCTAAGCCGAGAGCACCGCCAGTAGTCAAGCTGTCACTTCGTCGCGTTGAATATTCCGGTGTCGGCGAGTTCATGTCAATTGCCTCCTTTTGGGCCCCCAATACCACATCATTCTCGGAGTCGTTACGGTTGTTCAGCGGGTTTTGGCATGTCTTCATATTCATACCGCCGGGTGCAGAGTTACCGTCGCTGCTGATTGGTCGAGCTGCATTCGTCAAAACTGGTGTCATACCACTTCTATTCCTAGGGGATGTTGCCGTACAACCATGCAAAGGCACTTCTCCATTAGCTTCGCCAGCAGCAATGTTTGAGGCCTTGCTGGGTATAAATGGGACAGCAGACACCGCCTGCTCTCTTGCATTGTTTTTTGCTTGAACACCGTTCTCAATCTGCTTTTCATCAGCGACTTGCACCTCGCTCTGCTTTGATAAAGCAGGTATCTGATGATATTCTAAATCGGTCAAATCCTCCACTTTCGAATGCAGCAATTGATGGTCGTGACCTATGAGATCCTTCGCGACTACCTTCGTTTCTTTAATCGTACTAGGTTTCACCCCGTCTGTCATTTCATACTCTGCTCGACCAAGATCTCCCAATACCGAAGAGTATGCGATGGACGGGCGCTCTAACATCTCATGGGTTGCAGTGCGGGCTGACAAAGTCGAGGGTGACAACACCGGAATTTCGGTACGTTCTCGGGCCTTTGTCTCCTCAGCACTAACGTCAACTGGTCTATGGCACGGAGGTGTCATTAAGGAAGGCTTAAACTTCACGCTTGCACGGCGTTCTTCTTCGTCATCCGACGCACCCATTGACGTCTCTGAGTCTTCATCAATATCGTGGGTCCACGCTGTTTCCCTGTCGCTTCCACGCAACGCAGCAAGTTTCTGCGCACTGGTCAAATTTGACGGTGCCGAATCCGGCAACAAATGCTCTACACCCTTCTCATAACATTGTACGCCACCCTGCTTCACTTGCTCAGGAATTGGCGGAACCACGGCAAGCTTGGGCAGGTCTTCATACGTATCAATGTCGATGGAGTTGGCAGACGAATCCGAGCTTGTCGACTCACGACGCTGCTGAACCTCAAGTTCGCGCAAGCATAAAAATTGACCATCATTTCCACCATCTCGAGGTACAGTCGATGGCACAGCTAGTGTACTCATACTATCAAACTCTATTGGAATAGCCGATGGAGACGAAGTCAGCGCATTCATGTCCAATGGGGGACACCCATCCAGGTCATCTAGGGTAGAACCGTACGGGCCGAAGTCGGAAGAAGTCACCGGACTATTGTTTGATGTCGCACCATAGGCTCCAAAGTCGCTTGGTGGAGCCTGGTACATCGTCGGAGGCACATCAAACACATGATTATCGCGACCTGCTTGCTGCAGCCCGGACATGAAGGCATCAGGCATGCGGTTGTCGATACTCGATCGGCTCATGTAGTTGTCTTCACGCTGAAGCTGCTCTAATCTTTCTCGGCTACTCAGCCCATGAAACTGACCAAAACTGCTCATATTGGAGTTGCTGGACCCCCCTTGAATGTCATTACTATTGCTGCGTGGCAATCTATCATGATGACGTCGTGCAGCACCGGCCATTGGACGATCAAAAATCGAGGCTGAGGCTGGAATTGCCGCTGATCCCGGCATTTGTAACGTATAGCAGACTGCGCCTCGAGCAATGGGATCATCCAGTGACAGACTTTGGCTTGGTCGGAAGTCAGACGACTGCAGGCGCTCGCTTCCACGATGTATGTATGAGCGCCCGTAATCCTGCTGCTGGTAGCGCCGCGAGTTCTGATAGAACTCTGCATCCAATTCCCTTTGTGTGCGATACCGTGGCGAGGACAGCACATCGTTACCAAAGTCTAAAATCGGCGATGTGCTGGACATGTGTCGACTTGATGGCTTTTTGCGGCGCATGGACTGCAAAAAGATTTTCGGTGCTTCCGCTTCTCGGTGACTATTTTTTCCTCCTACCTGCGATGTCATCAGTGACGCACGACGGTTATCATCACAGTAGCCCAAGAAACTCATCGACATGGTTGAGGAATGTGGAGGTTCGACTAGAGCTGACGTCGGTTTGGGAGCGTTCGTAATCGCCTGGAAGCAGTGCATACAAATGCGCAACTTTCGCACCTCGCTCCCTCCATTTGTAGCCGCAAAATTCCGGTTCTCTATAGGAAAATCCTTACTGCATGCGGCACAGACGACTTCGCCACACTTTCTGCAGCTCATCTTCCTTAAAAGCAAAAGCGAAAAAGAGTCCTGACATACCGCACATTTCGATCGATACTTCCTCGGAACGAGCTCTAGATCGCTTAAATATCGCTGTTCATTAAGACGTTTACTTCGGAGCATATTGCGAACTTGCGCGACAAATAGCACTCTCGATCGCAGCAAACTCATCGGCACAGGTGTGCGATCCTTTAAATTAAGCTGAACCAAGTAGATAACGTCCAAATATCCAGGTCTTTCTTCACTTTCAACGACAACAAGACCAGAATTATACAAACTTCCTCGTACAAATCCAAATTCTTGCTTAAGATCATCCACACCTGGTAGTTTAATCGAATGTTGCCCCAAAACCCATCCTTTCCTTCCTTTCGCATCAATAAATTTATCCTGACACTCCAAGTAACAAAAATCTCGATGTGGCACACCATCAGGCATTTGCATGACCATCCACTTGGCTGTCACTTGATGCAGTGGTTTCTCCTTTGTACGGGGTGCTAACGTATGTAGAACAATACCATCGTAAAACCATTCACGATGAGCACGCGCAAACTCCTTCATTTGTCTTGTTGAACTCAATTCAAAGAGTAAAGCCACTTCTTGCATTGTACCTGGGACACTAGTCACACCACACATACTTGCAACTGGAAGTGCCGTTGCTCTTGTCGCATTTGGACGCAAGGAACCAGCATAAAGCTGTACACCATTATGCTTTTCCACGTGATGCCAAGTTATTGGACCACCAGTGCTACGCGCACGTCCTACAAGCTCTTGAGCCGCTTCACACGATTTGCGTACCAAATACGCACGTTCCCTTGTTGAAAGCTGTGGTGCTTCAAAATGATTCTCACGTAATGGTGTCCAGATACGAGAATTGTTATTATTAATCGACTCTGTATGCGACTTGAGGCCAGACACACGTGAAGATAAGAGCGCGGCACGTGACATTCAAAGATTGGGAAAGAAACAAAAAAAACAAAGAGTGATGGTCCTCTTGAGTCGCAACGTTGTGTTTTTCAGAGTGAGAGAGAAAAAAAGGAAACCAAGGAGGCAATACAAAAACTGGTATGTTCTGACTTCCCTCTCCATTCGGTAAAAATGGACACAAAAAAAGAACAATACCGATTAAGGTGGTATTATTCGACACAAGAGTTGGGACGACTTGTGCAGGACAGAGACTGCACGTTGTATTGAATTGGACTGGACTGACGAACAAGCAATAGGACAGTAGAGAGATGATACGAACAGTATCATGTGATTCAGTGGTAGTGAAACGTCATAAACGGGCAAGGAGTGAATCATTGTCACTTGATTGTGCATGGCAAACGAGGTGGGAAGATGTGGTGGTGTGTGTAATTGTGCAATACACTGCTAGATGCGCTCGATTGGAAGCAAAACACGCTCCATACGGCCTCTCTATTGCGTGATCCCACTTGCTGATCATCCTCTTGTGTTGCAATGCAACGAACTTTGCGTTGTGGCGACTCATGATGTCGCTTCAATTGGACACAGTTCAACTGACAACGCCGGAAGTCAAGGAATGCGCATGGACATTGTCTTGTGGCCACTATATTCCATGCGGATTGCGTTCGGCTTTGCTGATCTTCTTCAACTGCCCTAAAGCTTCGACTTCATTAGTGATGCATGCGAAACGTATCGTTTCTCACGGTTTCATTCGAGTTGTACACGTGCTTGTATGCTCGTGACTACGGTCTTTTGGTCGTAGTCACGAGCATCGTGTTCGATGTATACAATTGCGCCGTGTACTTGCGGTCTTCCACTGCGTAGTGTGTGATCGCTACGACAAGATGTGCATTCTTAAAATCACGCACCTAAGCTGCAATTCTCATGATAAAGGTCCACTCTTGACGATATGGTGATGTGTCGACTGTAACGTGTTGGGCATACTGTCACTCGGCCGAATGACGGATGAAAGTTTACCTCAGTGAGACATCATTGAAAGGTAAATAGTACTACGGACGCTTCCCGTATTGCGTTTACGCGTCCAATCGCGCCTGCACCAAGTTAATGCACGGATCATCGAGGCTATCCGCTGCACCAGTAGCGACCAATAAATGAAGCCTTGCTTGCAGCATGTAGCAGTGCGCCTGCACTTTCGCACCAAGAAGGAACCAGCCAAATGAACAGGGAAAGCAGCTGTACACATCGTTGATCTGAGGATACAGGCTCCGATGCAATTGACAAAAGAAGTGGTGCTATTGGGGGCCGATTTGCTTTTGAAGTTGACGAGCTGCAACATTGTTCAAACATTGATTGCGTCACAATGTACCGGCATGCGTCATCAATGAGCTACTACCGTCAACTAGTAGATAAAGCCTCGAAAACGTTGGACAAAATCTCGAAACTGTTTTGATTACGTATGACCTCGACAAAAGAATGGTCGTAGAGCTAAGTGCCTCGTAACGTTGTCGCAATGACATATAACGATTGGGTGCGTATAGACATGCAGTCAAAGCGAATGTGGCAAACACACAGACTTGTTGATGAATAGAGTTATAACCAGTCCAGTGACGAAACAACACTTCGCATCAATGTGTTGCATGCGTGGACCTACTTGTGCGCAGGCGGCACATACCCATGCTGGGAGACGTACGATTGAGCCATCTATTCAACACAAAAGCAAAGTTCATGAGTCAAGAGGTCCAGCAATTGTCACTCTGTAGAATCATTTTCACAACTGTATCCAAACCTTGGCCATAAACTCCGGGTGCTCCTCTGCTTCATGAAGCACAAAAGCTCCGGCATTTGATACCAACCCTTCATGTTGCCGCAACAGTGTCTCTGTTTCCTCGACAGCAGGACGATAAGTAACTGTCGGATCCATGTTCATGTTCAGTGTTCCTTGTCGGAACTGTGGGTGAAAGAGCATAATGAACAGACTCAAAATGGCATTGCCACACATAAGAAAGCCCACAAAATAGGGTAGTGACCCTTCCATGCCAAAGTCCATAAAGCCCACAATAAAGATAAAGGCCGTACGTCCACGATATGTGAACAAGAAGCCAAATTGCTGGCGAATCCAAGGCTCCATGTGCTTGAATCGACATTCAAATGCCAGCAATAGCAATGCAAAGATACTAGATACACGATATGGTATCATACCAAATATTAGTATAAATACGATCATACTGTCACAAGGTCACACAAATGATTCCAGAGCGTACATGGAATAGATAGAGATAAGGAAACACGTGATATCAAGTACGACGAGGTTAAACAGTCCCAAAAAGCCCGCAAGCGCCTGCAATACTGCCAAGATCACGTTTGCATAGCGCAAATAGCGCATGAGCGTTGCTGCCTCCATCATTTTTATCCTTTAGAAACGCCACACTGCAAGTCACATTTCATTTCTAAATATTTCTAAATTTTTGAAATTTACGCACTTTTGCCAATATGTGGACGGGGTCGAAAGGGTTGAAAGAGGCGTCAAACCACCTACGTTGCCAATCTCTTGCTGACGAATGATACCTGGATCCCCCATATTGCCCATAGCCATTTGTTGCGGATTCAGCGGCGCGCGAAGCAGTCGTTCTTGCGCGTCGTCACCGCTGGAGTCGAACATTATGAGCAATGGGTTTTGTGTCTGTATGAAGTTGATATTGAAGCCATTTTGAAAGAACAACTGGCGTTATATATTGTCGCTAAGGCGTTCTACAGCGTAAACTGAAAATGTCTAGTTTTTCAGTGGTTTTGTGACAATAGCTGTAAATTCAAAAGTCAAAAAAACAAAATTACATTATGTAACAAGTTTGCTCCATTGTGTCAAGCGGAACATGTTCACAATATAAAACATGCAAGTGCTCAATTCACAAGGATACACGAAAATGACACCAGGTCTGCTGCTTTCTTGCTGATCTACATGCAGTCCCACTGCTGGTCCTGCTTTCGGAATGACGTCAAAAGTTTACTCACTTTTTTCATTCCAATGTGCTGCCTGTGACAGCTTCTCTTCAAACAAATCACCGACTTACTTCTGAATCACTTTCGTGGCACGATACGTAAAGTCTTCAAAGTACTCACGCTCACGGTCCACCGAATCTAACATACGCCATTCAGGCGTGTCCACCGGTACTTGGTTGATAAACTCGTTGTCCACATACTTGGCGTCGGCATCGTCAATCACGTCCGGCACCCATTCTGGCTGCACCTTCTTTTGCTGCAGAGCCTCCCAGTCGATACCTTCAAAGAATGGGTGCTTCATAATAGAAAACGGCACGGCTTCATTCGCTCCTAGACGCTTTGACGGATCACGCTCAATCAAACCCGCAAGCAGGGACTGCACAGCTTCTGGCAATTCAGGCGGAATGTACAAAAAACCCTCCGCAATGTTACGGTACATGATGGCCTTATTGTCATCCTTGAACGGCGTGCGTCCGATGTACATTTCAAAGATGAGAATGCCTAGGCTCCACCAATCGCAAGTCATGTCGTAAATTGCAGGGGCTTCGCCTTTCTTGGGATTCGCAGCAGCGAGAACCTCAGGTGAAATGTACTCGGGCGAACCGGCAAGTGAATGAGCCTTCTTGTCAACCTCATCTCGCGCATATGTCGAGAGACCAAAGTCCACGAGGACAACGTGACCATCCTTTTGAATAAGAATGTTTTCTGGCTTCAGGTCACGGTAAATGATGTCCAGGCTGTGCAGGTGTGCCAAGCCTGCCACCAACTCTGCGGCGTAAAACTTGATACGGCCAGGCGTAAGCTTCAGTTCATCGTTCTGGTTCAACGTCAGATGATGGCGCAGATCGCCTCCGTTATAAAACTCCATACCCATATACACCTTATCTTCATTCTGAAAAGCGAATAGCAGCGACGCTACAAACGGATGCCGAACTTCGCGCAGCATGTCACGCTCGATCTTTGCGTTTCGGCGCATGTTGTCGTCCATTCCAATCTTCGTAATAATCTTAATGGCGTAGACATTTCCATCAGGACCTCGGGCCGACAACACGCGACCGTATGTTCCAGTGCCCAAAACCTTAAGCAACTCAAAGTCTTCGATCTTAATCGTCGACTTGGATTTACCTCGGTCCGAGTCGGCGGCAGGTGCTGATGTTGTTGCGCTCGGTCCTCCAGCAACCACGTTGCGCACCTGGGACGCGCCTAATCCAATTTCCTCTTCATTGCTTACTGACATTGCCATCATAGAACGTGTAAGCACTTCTTCCTCCATATCTTCCACTTCTTCTGCTTCCCCCGAGAGGATCATATTGCGCTGTCGAATAGCTTCTTTCTGCGCGGCTGAGTCCAAATGGTTTACCATAAACCGATAGTACTTCCACGAGCTATTAGTAAATCTTCGATCTCCAGATACATGCATGATCATCCCATTGCGAATAAGTGCTGTACCAAGTAGTAATGCTTCTTCTGCCGTGGAACATGTGATACCTCCTTGCATTGGACGGTTTAATCCATGACACAGCATCCATTCCAGTGCCTCTTTACCGGTCACAACATTCGGATGTGGCTTCAAGTATAAACTCCGATCTCCACTTGGTATTTCCTGTCTCATTTGTTCTGCACAAGTCCATAATTGCCATAAACTTGGTTCTTTCACAATGCGACTGGAAATCCGTACTTTACCTTGTACTCGTTTCATTTTCCCACCTGGACGTAATTGCAAGTCATACCATGCAACACGTTCTTCACCACTAGTATTCATGTCTTCTAAACTAAGTAATAGTCGTCCTAAATCGTCATTTTCCACTCGTCCTTTGTCTTTACATTTTACCAACACATACTTAGCCTTTGCTAAATTTGTTTGAATACCAAAAGTGTATTCTTCGGATGCAGCAGCTGCACCAATACCAAGAGGTTGATGGGACTCGATATTACTCTCTAAGGAACGTAAAACGGCAGCTTTTAATGGACTCCAGACAGGGTTTAACTGACGAATAGGAGGTGTTCGTTGCTTTTCACCTTTAATCTCACGTTTCTTCTCATCCAAGAGCACTAAAGTACAGTATGCATTTCGACCGCGTCCAGACTCAGCAGGTAAAAGGTCCCATGCTTCAATCGGCGTAACCTTGAGCAAATATCGACGCTTGGCCTTAATAAGTGTCTTGCCATTGGAAGAGTGATTTTGACTCGGAGTGCCTATAACGGATGAAGTTAGACACTGTAACTTCACTTAAAGCGACAGGGGAGAGGAGAGAGGGGGGGGAACGTACGTGACGAATGCCTCCGACTTGACATAATAATAGAGAGGTTCTTCTTCTTTTTCTTCTTCTGTGCGTTAGGAGGAAAAAAGGCTGTGACAAAAGGCCTTGTCGTAAAATTGTGTGTTTCAAGAAAACACTGGAGGCACGAAAAAAAACTGTGAGAATGCATGTTCAAGACGAAAGAGGCAATCATGAAACACAAATGTTACTTCACATGTAATAACGTTGCTGATGATTTTGTTATCCTAGTCTGCTTGTTATTATTATTCGATTTATACGATCACGATATGACAAGAACTTGTGTTCGCTCGAGAAACACTATCGACACAAGTTCAGCGCATTTGTAAACACTTTTCATTAACTCATGAGACGTTTATTTATCTTTTGCAAGAGCGTTTACAACAGGTAAGTAACCGTAAAAGAGTCAGGCAAATCTGTGCTGCGGGGTAGGTAGGGCAATACAACATCGCATCTGCATTATCGAGTCCAAGATTCAAAAATGACTATATTTTTCCTATTTAGCTTTATCTTTTTTCTTATTGTCAGTATTATAAATGACTGCATTGATATGTTAACGTGTGCTTTCTGATTGAAAGATCAGTACTACGTCTTTCTGTATACGTAACGTTTCTTTCCACATATTTATTGACAAAGTTCTTGGTAACGAGTGTGTTTAATGTCAAAAGTAGGAAGTAAAAGAGGCAAGTATGTTCAACATATCATGTAAACAACATTAGTCAGTGAATCAGTTGTCTCATGAAATCTGAGTACAGATATAAAATCAAATTTATCATGATATTTTAAAAAACACCAAAATACCATTCCTTTTACTTATATTTTGCAAATTTTACAGGATGCTGATAATTGTATACCGTCTTACACCCTTCGGATAAATTAAACATGTCACTAAGAAGGGGTTATTTAGCAATCCCAGTCCAATACATACCAAGCCCAAGCATGGCGTCTATGGTAACACTTAATGGCATCGATGTATCTACGTTAGACGAACGTACGTACGAGACTCGTATCCTATCTAATGATCTACAAGTTCTTGTCATTTCTGACCCCAAAACAGAAAAATCGGCTGCTGCTATGGACATTCACGTCGGTCATCAGAGCGACCCCGAGGACTTACCAGGTCTTGCACATTTCTTAGAGCACATGTTGTTCCTAGGCACGATTAAATATCCAGATGAAAATAGCTACAAGAAATTTTTGAGTGCACACAGTGGTCGTAGTAATGCATCTACATCTCAAATGCATACCAACTTTTACTTTGATGTATTGAGCGACCACTTGTATGAAGCTTTGGATCGATTTTCGCAGTTTTTTATTGCTCCATTATTTACACCAGAAGCAACAGAACGAGAGATAAATGCTGTGAATTCAGAAAATGCAAAGAATCTACAGAATGATCATCGTCGACTGTATCAACTACAAAAATCGCTTTCGAATCCAGATCATCCGTTTCATAAATTTGGGACGGGTAATATCAAGACCCTTAAAACAATTCCTGGTGAAAAAGGGATTGATGTACGTGCAGCCTTGCTAGAGTTTCATGCCACGTTTTACTCGGCGAGTATCATGAAGCTTGTGATTTGCGGCAAAGAGAGCTTAGCAACGCTAAAAGGCTGGGCAGAGGAACTCTTTTCCGAGATTAAAAACACGAAACGGAGTTTTCCGACATTTGGAGATGCTGTGCCGTTTGATGAATCGAGATTGACTCGTGTAGTGCATGTAGCACCGGTCAAGGATCTTCGTGTTATTGATATTTCGTGGCCTTTACCATCTTTGCATTCGGACTTTCTGACAAAGCCGACGAAGATCTTGTCACATTTGATGGGGCATGAAGGTCCGGGATCAATTTTGAGCTATTTGAAGACACAGAAGTGGGCAAATGGTCTCTCTGCAGGGCTTTTTCGTGATGACGAGGATTGGGGATTGTTCTGTGTAAAAGTGGACGTGACGGATGCGGGAATCGAGCATGTGAACGATGTCGTTGAGGTAGTGTTCCAGTATGTGCAAACTCTGCAGCGTGAGACTCCGTTTGAGCCCTGGATTTTCCACGAAACCCAGGGGCTGGCGCTACAGAATTTTCGGTTTAAGAGCAAGGAGAGCCCTATCAACTATACAAGCCACCTTGCAAATGTAATGCACCGTTACCCGCCCCAGTATATTCTTTCGGGTGGCTATATTCTCTATGAGTATGATGCTGAAAAGGTCCAGAAGGTATTGGATCTACTTACTGTGCATCGAATGCGTCTTACTGTGGTCAGTAAAAAGTTTGAAGGCAAGACAGAGTATGTGGAAAAATGGTACCAGACTCCTTATTTGGAAAGCCCACTTGACCCTGAGCTTCTTGCACGTTGGGCGTCGCCTCCTCCTAATGCGGCTTTGAAGCTTCCTCACCCCAACGACTTTATCTGTAGCGATTTTAACATCATGACACCTCACAAAACGCCTACTTCGTCAAGGGGCCATCCGAGTGATGTAGCTCTGTCGCAACCATTGCTGTTGCAGCAAGATGAGCAATGTCGCCTATGGTACAAGCCAGACATTGAGTTTCGCAAACCCAAGCTAATGCTGCACTTTTTGCTTTATTCACCGTCACTATCTACCACACCGTGCCACGCAGTGCTAACAAGTTTATTCGTGCGGTATCTAAAGGACAAACTTACGGAAGTGTCTTATGACGCAGAGCTCGCGGGTATGGAATACGATATCGGCTTTAATTCTCGTTCATTGGAGCTGCATGTGGGTGGATATTCGCACAAGCTCTCTATTTTACTCTGTAGGGTATTTCAGAAAATGCTAGAAATGACCAAGGCTGAATACAAATACGAAGAAGCAGTCTTTGATCGTGTGAAAGACCGGACAAAGCGCATGTACGAAAACTTTTTTCTCGAAGAGCCCTATCAGCATGCCGTGCATGTATGCAGCCAACTGCTCGAAGTGTCAAGATGGAGCATTGAAGACAAGATTGATATTATCAAGCATCTCACCTTGTCTGACTTGGCATCTCATAGCCAGATGATTTTTCAGCAGGTTTTCGTAGAGGGTTTCTTTTACGGTAACTTGAAACAGAGTGCAGCTCTGCCGTTGATGCAACAGGTGCTGCATTATTTTGGCTTTAGCAAGAACGGAAGCTTGAGTGGAGGCAGCTTTCCGTTCTTTCGTAGCCAATTGACTAAGCCACGAATTGTACAACTTGCCGACGCTAGCGAGTACCGTTATCAGCGGCGTGAATGGAACGAAGCGAACCTCAATTCTGCCATCTGTACATTATATCAGATGGAGTGTGAGACGGCAGGAAGTACAATGGGCCTCCGTGCTCGTCTCGAGCTGTTTGCACACATTTTCAAGGAGCCTTGCTTCAATCAGCTCCGGACACAGGAACAGCTTGGGTACTTGGTGTTCTCAGGTATCACACGCATCGAAGGTGTCGATTACTTTCGTATTCTGATTCAGTCCGATGTGGCATCGCCGCTGCTGTTGAACCAACGCATTGAGCTCTTTGTGGCTCGATTTCGATCTGTGCTTGCCGAGATGTCAGGAATCACGTGGCAGAAACAAGTAAATGCCGTTGTGAAAGCATTATTGGAGAAGCCGAAACAAGAGATGGAGGAATCGATGCGTCTATGGCGTGAGATTGCAAGTGAGACGTTTATGTTTGATCGACGCCAACGAGTAGCTGCCATCGTGTCGACGTTGCAACCGAGTGATCTCTTGGTCTTTTTTGACTCGTTCATTGCTGTTCATGGCGAACGACGAAGCAAATTGAGCATTTTTCTATACGGTGCGAAACACGCATTTCCAGAGCTTCATATAGAAAACAAGTTGAGTCCCAGTGTTTTCATTGCAACGTCGACGAGTATCATCTCGGCGATGCTCTTGCAGCAGCAAGTTGAAGATGATAGCAAGTCATGTGGGAATGTTGCTCCAACGTTGATCCACGATGTTGTTACTTTCAAGCAACAGATGCCATTGTTTCCAGAGCGTGCGACTAGAAATCTTCTGCAGCTACATTTTAGCTATAAATCGGGGTTTTAGCTCAATTTACTAGTAGTAATACATGCTGTTTTACCCTTTTATTATTTGTCTCAGCGTTCCTCACTTGTCTCGTAAACATATTTGTTTTTACAATATGAGTCATCTTGTTTTTATATTTACATGCATTCTGTATACTCTCTCCTACAAATCAGATCGTACAGGATATCAAATATACAACGCATCTCAAGTTGCAGTATGAGGTGGAACCCCCTTCTTCTGTTATTAAAACCGTCGTGTTGACGACATACTATCGACGTCTATGCCATATCATTCAACTTCCTTATCTCCTCGTTTTTTTCCTGTGTCAGCCAGCACCCACTTCTTCTGGACTTATGACTGACTCGTCATCTGTCATGCGCTCCTTGTCCTTGTCCTCAACTCAAATAACTACTACTGAATCTCATGGTATTACTACTAATACTACTACCAATATGAATACTACAAATATGAATACTAGTAGTACTAGTAGTAATACTACTACAAATATGAATACTACTACTAGTAATACGACAAATATGAATACTACTACTACGGCATCCTCCTCCTCCTCATTACTATCATCATCATCTAATGGAGGCAAACCAATGCTTTATCCTAAAACTATTCGTTCCTCGATGCCAAATCTTCGTTTTGATTACAGTGGACAACCCTATGATGTGCCAAATACAGTAAAGCTCCTGAGTGAATTAGAACGATCCTGGGCCATGTTTGCTGCATCCTGGAAAGTCGTGGATTTGTTTGCAGGGATGCAAATATGGCAAGAACAAGCTCAAGATACGAATCTTACCAGTATTTCCAGCCATGAACCATTGAATAATATCCTCCTGTCCACGACATCTGCTGGTTTTGTGACATTTCTAGCCGGACAGATTGGAGGAGCGGGGTTTGGCATTTCCGTGATACTAACGGGATTTGTCATTGTAGCAGCATTCTGGACACTCTCAAATACACGAGCAAAGAAAGCAGTACCATGTTTCAAGACATTACAAGTCGTTGATGGCTCTCCATCGGAGATTTTTTTCTATTTAATGGGGATTAAGAATTATCCCGTCTGGGATGCGTCTGTTGAGAAAGCACAAGTTGTGCATACAATTGATGATCATTCCGATATTATTCATATTGTCTACAAACCAGTGTGGATGTGGCCAATGTAAGTAACTGGCCGCTACAGCTTTTTATTTTTCATTACAATGGGGTGACTTTGGAGCTGTGAAATTACATCTATGGTGATTTTTTTTGTATAGATGGCTAGCTCCGAGAGATTTATGCTTGTTGAGGTATTGGCGACGTGCAGAGGACGGATCGTATGTTATTTGTATGCAAAGTGCGCTGCATCCCGAGTGTCCACCGATGCATGGACTGGTGCGTGCAACTTGCAAGGGTGGTGGCTTTGTCATTTCACCACGTATGCTGAGCCTCACGCAGGGTGATGAAATGACATCCATGGTCACCAATGTCGTACATTTAGATCCACAGGGATGGGAAGGCAAGTTATTGCGGCGCTTGAATATGATGCACTTGTATGTACGACCTCAGGTCTTGTCGTTGACAGGGCTGCGTGATGTGATGGAAGCGCGGAAGTATGTGTGCCCAAATGTTCCAGAAGAGTTTTCGGCAGCACTTGCTGCGTCAACGGAGGAGCAGAAGGCAAATGCAGCAGCACACGATGGACAAGACATCGGTGATGGTGGCGCTGGCGACGCAAACGCGTCGATATCTCCACTGGAGGAGTTCCCAAGCAACGTGCCGCGGTCGATGTGGGCTGAGCCGGATGGCGCAGCTATGATGGTGCGAGGTCCCGATTACTTGATTGATCGACGAAAGATTCCGTCCCAGTCTCCGTACTTCCGCCTAGTTGGTGTCGATCTTTTCGAGTCGTCAGAATCCGTGGAGCATATTGCCTCGCGTCCAGACAACCCCGTGCAACGTGAGCTACGACGTCACAAGGAGCTAGGAACGGAAATGCCTTTTACATTTGTGGTAAACTTCGTGGTGCCAGGAAATCCGCGTATTAACCTGGTGTTGTACTATCAGGTACCTCATCCGTCAGTGCTGACGGATGGCTCCCCGTCTTCGGAGCTAATGGCAGATTTCTTAGAAGGATCCGATGAGTTTCGCAACGAGCGCTTTAAGCTTATACCTTGCATCGTCGAGGGAAGTTTTATCGTGCGTCAGGCTGTGGGCTCTACTCCAGCTCTTATTGGTAAAAAGCTGCGCCAGCCTACTTTTCGTGGCAAGCAGTATTTCGAGCTAGACGTCGACATTGGTTCATCGGCAGTTGCAAATCGTGTGGTCGGCCTTGTATCAGGCTATACGAAGAAATTGGTGATCGATATGGGATTTGTGTTGGAAGGTCAAAGTCCTGATGAATTACCTGAGCGACTTTTTGGCAGTGTGCGCCTGGTGCATACTGATTTGGGTGTTGCCAAAAAACTGACGTGAAAAAGAAGGTTTTTAGCTGTAGTAGCAAGCAGATCATAGACAAACAAACGAGAAAGGAAGACCATAAGACGGGATAAACATGTACAACCATCACCTACATGTCATAGTAGCTTACGACTTTTCCATTCCGATAAGGTTGTCAATACTAAGGTTGCACGTAGCAAGTCGCATATTTTTTCAAATTAATCTGTGACGTGTGCGTATATTTTGTGGACCACAACAGCTTGACGCGTTTTACCACCATTCAAAAAGTGTCAATTGTGTATCATCATTCCTTGACCATTGATCTCTTGGTAGTACGATCATGGATGAAGAAGGACCACAGGTACAATAGATTGAGTTTCTTGACTATAATATTATGAATATTGAGCTGATTTGAGCTGAAGAAGAATTGTTAATGGATTGAAACTGTCCTTGATTTTCTATTAGATTCGTGTCAAATTTGTTACAAAAGATGTATCCATTCGTGTAACCGAGACGCCCTTTGCAGTGCCTACGCGTCTTAATCGTCGTGGATTATCACAGATTGTTAATCATTTATTGGCTACAGATGATGACAAGTTACGACCATTTGACTTTCTCATTGATGGACTCTTCTTACGCTCTTCGCTGGATAAGTATTTGCACACGAAGAACATTTCAGAGGAAGCTTTACTCACTCTTGAGTATGTAGAGGCACTTCCTGAACCTCAGAAACAAAATGGAAGTGACCATCCGGACTGGGTTAGTGCTGTAGCTGCTATGGATGACAACCTAGTCGTTACAGGTTGCTATGATGGCGTGCTGCGTGTATATGACGCTCAGGGAGACTGCAAAGCCTCTGTAAAGGCTCATTCGGGAGCTATCAAGGCGGTGAGTGTATCATCTAGTGCTGGAAAAAGTGGAGAGTATGTGATTTCTACTAGTGGCAAAGACCAACTTGCACAATTGTGGCGGTATACGGCTACGTCAGCTATACTGTCGCCAATGGCGGCGCTGACGGGACACTTGAACAGTGTTGACGCTGTGCAGATGCACGCGTCAGGTAAACGAGTAGTGACTGGTAGCTGGGATAACACGGTGCGTCTGTGGCAAACACCAAGCCACGGAGTGAAGACGGATCAACAGCATTCTGTGAAAAAACTGAAGAACACAGAAGATGGTATAGGTACCGTGAGTTTCCAGCAGCTAGAGGCTGAAATTGTGCTGGTTGGTCACACAAGTTATGTGACGAGCGTAGCGTTTCGCTTGAAGAATTCAGAGCACGATGAAGATGTTGTTGTGTCTGCTGGTAGTGATCGTACCGTTCGTCTGTGGGATCTCGTCACCGAGTCTTGCGCCCAGTCGATGGTTGGCAACCGTGCTGTGGCAGACTTGAGTGTGAACGCGAGCGGTCTTGTGCTTACTGCCCACCCGGATCAGTGCGTTCGCTTGTGGGACCCCCGTGCGCAGCAAAGCGGTGAAAGCATCGTACAACGCACCTTCCGCTTACACAAGCAATGGGTAAGCTCTGTGTCGTGGCATCCTGACAACGAGCACTTGTTTGTATCTGGCGACTATGATGGCACAGCCAAGGTGTGGGACGTGCGTAGCACAATTCCTTTGCACACCGTGAAAGCACACGAAGGCAAGTTACTTGATCTGTGCTGGCGGAGTCAAGGCAATAATGGGAGCAATGTGGCATTCGTTACGGGTGGTGACGACAAGAAATTAAACTTCTTCAGTGTGTAAGACAGATAGAAACAACTTTGACATGTTTATGCTTGATTCTGACCTTGTTCAGCGTTTCTCGCTTCGTCGCGAAGCGCCAGTGTGTTATCTTCTGCTATTCTACTTTCATCGTGGTCGGATCAAAGAATATTCGCTAGCATTCTACTTTAATTCAGCATACCGACTGGTCTGGATAAGCATGAGCTTACTCCCACGCTAGTAGCTTCTCGAGTTCCTCAATGTCATCTGCAGGTGCCTGAATAATGGGCCGCGCGTAATACTCTTCAATTTCTGCAAGATCCTGCTTACTCTTGTTGTCGTACACGAAATTGATAGCGCAACCCTTGCGACCAAAACGACCCGTACGACCGATACGGTGCAAATAAGTCTCAGGATCCGGGCGATGGTCGCGCGTAAGTGGGATGTCAAAGTTCACGACAAGTGACACACCAGCCACATCAATCCCACGAGCAAGCACATTCGTCGTGATCAGCACGTTGGTCGTGCCGGCACGAAACTCATCGATGACCTGGTCGCGTACCTCCTTCGCCATATCGGCACCGTGCAGGATTCCAACCATATGGCCCTTCTCACGCATACGACGCGTCAGTTCCTTAGCGGTCTCACGCTGCTGCACGAAAATGACGCATTTTCCAATCGTCAAGACGGCAAAAATGTCCGAAAGCACCTCAAACCTGTTGTCACAGGTTTTGCAGTCAATCCAAAACTGTTTAATCCCGTCAAGAGTAAGTTTCTCCTTCTTGACCGTAATGATATTGTGATCCGGCACCATCTTCTGGGCAAAATCACGCACGTCGTCAGCATACGTGGCCGAGAAAAGAAGATATTGGCAAGCACGGTTCTTGATTAGACGTTTAATAGCCACGGAACGCTCTCGCATACCGTCCTCAGCCACCATCACATCGGCTTCATCCAGTACAAAAATCTTCACATCACGAGTGTCGAGCTGTCTCTTCTTGATCATACCCTCCACTTTACCAGGAGTTCCGACAATCACTTGAGCCTTTAAACTCTCTCCACGTGCCAAATCATTGCCTGGAATAGCTAGAAATGTCTCGACACCAATAAATTTGCCCATTGCATTCACCACGGCCATAATTTGTCGTACAAGTTCACGAGTCGGACCGACACAAATAGCTTGGGGGGCTTTTAGATTGACATCAACTCGATAGAGCATTCCCAATGAGAATGTAGCAGTCTTGCCACTTCCACTTTGTGCCTGACCAATGAGGTTTTCAGGTGGACTGGCCAAAAATAGTAGTTCATGATAAAATTTAGTATACTATTTTTGCAAGAAAAAAATAGTACTTGATACCATGATATCATATAGTACGTACTCTGCTAAAATAAGCGGTAAAGCGACGGACTGAATCTTGGATGGTTTCGCAAACTTCATATTGTATACACCTTTTAGCAACGATTCCGGCCTAGATTATATATATATACATCAATTGTTAGTGCTTTATATCAATAGAAAGATATAAAAATAGTATACTACAAAACAGTACGACTATTTCATACAAATTTAGCTCTTCAAATGTAACGGCCGAGTATAAATTAGAATTTGGATCATTCTGAAGCACCTCAAGCTCAGCTTTGTAGTCTTGATCGTCTAGACCTTGACCTAGTGCCAGAATATCCTCCAATGATTGCGTTACTTCTGCAACATCTTCCTCGTCTTGCTTTTCAACCTCCTCGACCGTCTCGACAGTACCAACACTCGGAATAGTACTATTCGTCTCAGTCATGGATTCTAAAATTGAATTAATTCAAATCTGCCACTAATTATGAAAAAGCTAAAACTTACCAATGACCTCGTTACTGTTTTCTAAAAAATATGTAAGTGATATGACACTAAAACGAGGGGACATAATCCATGACGTTATTCGACCATTATTATCAGATTTTGCGCATGACACGACGACGCTTCGAAGCTTCGAATGGAGCTTTATGGCTCAATGGAAGACCCTTTTGTATCAAAGGTGCAAGCTATTTTGGCATGGAAAGTGATATCTGCGTTCCCCATGGACTATGGGGTGGACCAGACTCCACAACGCTTGCAATTGTAGCACAATTATTGCGTGCAAAGGGATTTAATCTTGTTCGAGTGCCTTTAGCTGTAGCTGCAGTGGTAAATAATATTATAGTCGATCGTTATAAGATTGGAAATGAAGTGGCACTACTGAAGGCCTTTGAAGGACGAGACTTACGATACTTGGATGTGCTCGACTATATGGTGCATGAGTTAAAGCGTCACAACCTGCTCGTACTATTGGATGCGCACGTGATGCAACCTGCTGGAGCGATTACGTCCTTGTGGTATGATGATGAACAAAGATGCCCAGAGACGGTCGTGGAGAAAATGTGGACGACATTGGCAACGAGGTATCAGAGTCAGTGGAATGTTTTAGGTGCAGACTTGAATAATGAACCTCATGGAGAGGCGACGTGGGGATCAGGAGATGTTAAAACAGACTGGAGACTTGCTGCTACGAGACTGGCAGATAAAGTGCTGAAGATATGCCCTGAGTGGTTGATCTTTGTTGAAGGTGTACAGACCACAGAATGCGACACAGGACACGAGATACCGTGTTTCTGGGGAGAGAATCTGCAGGCGGCAGCTATACATTCTGTGAAATTGTGTGTCGCCAATCGCCTTGTGTATTGTCCGCATACTTACGGTCCTGCAGTGTCGTGGCAGCCGTATTTCAATGCAGAAGATTTTCCAGATAATATGCCGAGCATATGGGATACTCACTTTGGTTACCTAAAGCATCAGTCGGACGTGCCGCTGGTAATTGGAGAATGGGGTGGTTGTCATGAAAATCAGAAAGATTGGAGCTGGCAGAATCGGTTTGCTGAGTACACGCAACAGATTGGCGTGAGCGGAGTGATTTACTGGTGTGTGAACCCGAACGGCAGTGACACGGACGGTCTTTTGTGTGCGGACTGGCGTACACCGAATGCAAATGCTTTCCAGTTGATGTCGCGCTTTACGGGGTCGCCTTTGCCGCATGATGGATTATGCTAAGGCGATAGTCCTTCATGAGCTCAGTCCGTGCTGATAGTATTCTTTTGACATACATCACAACAGAGATCTTCTGCTCTTGTGCTTTGACTATTGCTGCTATGCATCCATCCATTCCTTGCTGCTGCAATATTGTCATCAGGAGCCAAGTGTGATTGGGCTTGCAATCATCCTCACAACAAAGTAAGAGTCGTTCAGTATCGTTACGTACCTGCAATGATGACAGAAGAGTTCACTGGCATATACTATCCAGCGTTAGCTATTCACAGGGTAGACAGCCTCCAGTGCTTTGCGTTGCCATCTTTCATGGCTGCTTACAAGAAGTACGAAATTACTCATCACTATCCACTTAGCGGACGACATTGCGTATCAAAGGCGGTGCAACGTTGTGGACTCACTGGTATTCATGCGCACATGCGCGCACACTGCAGCAAGACTAAAAACACTACCGAGTTGAAGTCACCGAGCAACGAAGTAACGTACAGCTAGTGCAGCGTCAGTGGATAGCGTGGCTGTTGCAGCTTGTGATGGCGTCTTTTTTTTTCGTGACCAATGAGTAATCCCCGCATATTTGTGAGGATAGCACTGTTAGTCCCACATGTAGCATTACGGCATCGTTGTTGCGTCGGACTCGAGCTCGTCTGATCAGGGTGTGAGGTGTTTACAGGTTGAAGACGAACCCAATGGCTTGCTCATTTACACCGTGAGTGGATAGTCTCTAGTCAATGCGCTATGGGTTTAGGTACATTTCATGCTGTAAATTGTATGGGTCATGTTGAAGTGGTTGCTATCAGGTCCGTGTAGTAAGTCGAAACGCGTGCAATCTTTGGACTAACTGACCTGCAGGACATTGTTTCGTTCAAAATGGCCATGTAGAGGGTATCGCTTATGATGCAAAACCCCATCGCTATGAGGCCCAAGGCATTCTGCATTTCAGGTTCCACGCAGCCTAAGTGTGTTTGTCTACAGCGTGAAGGTTTCGATACTGAAACGTTTGTTGTTTCATGATGACATCACTTTGCCGCACATTGAGACGTGTGAAATGCTTCCTAAGGTATGGATTCTTGTATTCATTGCATCCTTTGCAACGTTACGAGTCAAGTTTGAATTCATGAAGCACTTCCTCGCTTCCCGTCCATTCATTCTATTGGTAAATAAATACTGCTACTTTGGCTGCTGACTGACGATAGTACGTAGTGACTCGATGCATTTCAGTTTGCTACAGCATCCTCTCTCTCTTTTAACTCTCAACTTCTACTACTTGTTTCAAAATACGGACTTCATAATGCTGACCGCGTGCACTGCAAGGCCCACGGTGGATTTCTTGGGCGATGACGACACGCCGATTAATTTATATGGTCCCTCATCAGCCAGTTTTTACACGGCACTGTGCGAGATCTCGTCAATAAAGTGCTCAAGAAAGAATAAATCTTCCTCAAACAGGTCCACAGGTGTGCTAGACGGTTCCATGTCGATCACAGGGGTTTCCACCATCATGTAGTCCACCGCAGCGTCCATACCGATGCCAATGTCCAGCTCGGCGTCCATCCATGAGAACATGGCAGCCTCGTCCATAACAGCACAGCCGTTTCCAAAGCAATCGATGCCACGTGGGCTCCCAGCATTGGGCGAGGGGGGCCATGACGACCACAGCTTTGGGATGCGTGATGGATTTTGGAATGACCACCGATCGCTCGATCTTGACCACGACCTCACGCTTCAAGTCAGCCGAGACCTTGAGTGACCGCCTCGTGCCGTTACTATCCTTGGCACGTGGCGATGCTGAGCGGCCTTGTTTACGACGCTGTTCCATGCGCCGTTGGTTCGTATTGGCCTTTTGACGATGATATTCGCAAAACTTATGCAACTCACCATTGCGTTTCTCAACGCGCCAGCTCCAGCATTTCTTGCTGGGGTAGCCACAAAGCAAAGGTGAGCGTTTTAAATGCGAGTCAACCATGGTACGAAGGGGATGCATAGCCGCCACGTGTGTAACGTGTGACGGCATGGGTTGTAACATACTCGTGGATGACGTAGTACACGCATGACGTGCAAAGGAAGACAAGAGTTCACCGCTTGAATATGTCGTCGAAGTGACCATGGGTACGAAGGTTTCAACTGGACGCAAATGTGCAAATGGCTCATTCATAGCTGCCAGTGAAGGACGACGAGAGAGAGAGAGATGCGGAAGGAGGAGGAGGAGTTATGCTTAGACTTGGGAGGGCGGGAGGGGGGGGCGAAATTTAACGCAGCTGTCGGAGTTGCCGTTCGGGCATTGGTGCTAAAACTCGTGATTGTCTCGTCTAGTACCTGAACTTTCCCGCGTATGATTCGATGGGTCAGAGACGAAGCAGGCTATTATATGACAGAAAACAATGATGTCCAGCTGCACTTTATTAATGAAGTTCTAAACTCCTTTTGACTCGTCTGCTCACGTCTTTGGAAGAAAACTACGACGGTTACATTTTATAGTATACAATAGATTCTTGCTAGTTATTCGCTTGATATTTTGGTAAAATATGGACACAAGATAGAGTTCGGCATACAAACTTGAGTGAGGTAATGTTTCCTAGCCTTCAAGCTGTTTTGTGGCTTCTTTTTTGGATCTCATAGATATGTATATATTATTGGTAGCACTACTGCTAATTCTTTTGACCTTCCTTCATGTGGGTCCAAAGTGTTGAGATCTGCTCAGTGAAATGGAAAACAGCTGGCTTTTAAAACCGAGCGCCGCATGTTTTACAAAAACGGGCGTGTGTGAGCTTATTCCTGACGAAAAAAACGGGTCTCAAGGCCGATGGTGGTCGCCTCCATCGTTGGTGCTACTGACGTTGCACGACTGACCCGATAATCCAATCGCCAGAGTCTTTCGTATAGTGCAAATGGAGTCACCAATATATTGTCATAAAGGTCCATCGTCCTAGAGAACATTCGGGCAAGAAGTATGACACGGGACGGAATCGAAAAGATATGCCTGCGATCTTCATGTGATACCTACCTTCTTTACCACAAGCAAGTATTATTTGTATGGGCGGCCGTTATGAAGCTATGTAACAGCCACTGCACGGACGAGCCAGATGGCTGCTCTTTGGCCAGTGTAAATATTCGCGTCGTTGGTGCACATCGTCACGGCTTGGTTCCACTGGACAGCCTCTGCCGCGACAACTGCTTTGTACTTTTGCAACTGCAGGTCCTTCCTTGTCTCGCCTTTGCGGCTGCGATCCTTCTCTTCCCCCCCTCTTCTTCTTCCTATAAGCGGACGTTATTGGAACATAACACGCGATGCTCGTCTTTCACGACCGGAATTGATTAAAGCGATTTGTTGCTGCAAGCTGAGCAAGGATCAGCTATATGATGCGTATTTGCTCCATCGCCACAGAGCGTAGGGAAAGTCAAGTCAAGTATTGCTAAAGCGGCCATGAGCGCCAGTATTTTGGTCATTCAAAGTCTCCTCGCTACTTCAGATCAAAGAGAATCTAGGAAGCGTTCCACTACCAAAATAGTATCTTGAGCCGCCACGTTCGTGCCGCGGACCACTTCATGGTTTTAGATCACTTTTTTGACGTGGTAACCGTGTTGGCACTGTGCAACAGATACATATAGATAGACCTGTAGGGGCTTTTCGCTACACTGTAGCATGACATCGATTCCATAAATCTGACCAGCAGCGTGCATGCGATGCCACCTTACGACTTGCTTTTCTGATTGTCATTAAATGAACAACATTGCCTCCATGTATACGAGTGCTGTGAGTTCGTCCACAATTCGCTCGTCTTTGCAATCTTCCATCCATTTGTTCGCTCCAGGCCGACGCAATCTCGAGCCACTGTTTTGCTACCGAATGGTCGCCAGGAGCCAAGGTTTATATAGTGAAAAGGCGCCACCGAAGAGGAGGTGAAGGCGTCGAACGATGGACATATTGAGGCATGGATGCCTTGCCGGCCTCAAAGGTGTCCGTCCAGCAGTGATTGTGAAAATGGGGAATACATTATATCGTTCATTAAGATCCCTTTACTTCTGTAGGAGATCATTGAATTGCTATCTAACCGCCTGACTACGATGGAAATTCGTCATGGCCACCATGGTAAGGCTGTACACCACGTTTGCATTAATAGTACTCACCCACGACAGGGTCGAGTGCAAGAAACTGTGGACACATGTCCTGCACCGGTGTCCAAATTGTCTGATGATTTCCAGGTGGATGCATACTGTGTGTATCCGTTGCAGTGTAGTCCAGCCACTGTTTTTTCGTGGTTTGGTACTCCAGTTCTAGATTTGACATGATCATCTGTACCTCACACGCGTTGCGCTTCAAGCCCTCGCAAGGACCAACGAAAGCTTTGACTTGTGGTCTTACTTGATTGTCCAAACGGCGGTGACTTGGCTTGAGATAGTGAGGTGGCTTGAGACGCAAACGTTGCTTGCGTAGATTCTTCGCACAAGACGACGGTGGCCGTGGCAACACAGGAGGACGCAATGCTAGTGGCAATACTGGCGGAGGAAGGAGTAATGGTAGCAGAGGCAGGGACGGCGGACCTCGAGTCATAGGTGGTCCCACGAAGAGATACAAGTCCTTGAAATCCATTTTCTACTTCTTAGGGTAAATGCTCAAATGTTAGTAAGCAAGTCTAGGCAAGGGCTGCGTCATACTCAAACGGCTATGGTATAGTAAGAAGCCTTTGGTGAAGGTCTAGCAGCATCAAAGATCTGCCCACCACTACTGATAAACCCTCCTCATCAATAGTGTAATTTCAAGCTGTCCTAGAACATTGCTACCATTCGCTGTATCAGCTGCTACAATCACACTAGCAACCATTAGTTCAAGCAAACGGGACGTGTGATACCACCATCGGCTGTGCAGCTCGAGCGGTAGGATCATGGGTTGTAAGAACAAGGTACGATAAAAATTCATTGTCTTGCGAGCAGAACTCCAAAGACGCGTGGACCATTCGATCGAAACGCATTTCTTATCGTGCATAGCAGCACAATACGCTATGGTAGTCTCAACCAATTGTCATCGATACTGCAAGTCATCACCAGCAGCAGATTGCGGCGCAAAGGTTGTCAATGATTTACTACAACAACGTGGTAAAGGCGAAATGTGCTGTCCACGTCTTCATGAACGCCGCCTTTTTCAATGGTTCTAAGGCATCATCGATACATTGAAAAACTTCTTCCACCGTGCCAATATCAGACGCGGCTTTCAAAGCCAAGACAAGATTCTTTTCACCTGAGAACAGTACTGTTGATGGCATGCGTGTCATTCCAGAAGCTTTTCTCCATGGAACGTTCTTAAGATTCTTGAACCTTCTTGATCTTCGACAAACAGTCCTGGATGTTATTCGTCTACGGCCTCACCGTCGGCCAAGGCTTCCTTCACCGGCTACTACATATGACAGGAACCTACGTCACTTACGTCACAAATTATCCAAATGTATTCTGGCCACCACATTGACACACTTCAACCGTGCGTGTATTTTTTCGTAGCTATTCTCTGTTGTTGTGCGCTGCTTCATAGTTTTTCTGCGCTGGAAAAACCTCTCGCGTGGAATTCTGAGTCACCTCATGACGAGCTGGATTTTGAGTGTGCCACGCTGAGCTGCGTGAGCCAATGCTGCCTCGGCTCGCTCCAACGGATAAACACCATGAATATACTTTTGCACATCAATCTTGCGATCCCGTAGTAATCGCAATGCCCATGGAATGGGTCCACAACGGGAGCCTACGAGTCGTAGTTGCTTGCTGTGCACCGCCCGAACATCCACTGAAGACCGCTTTGACGAGCATGTTGATTTCATAACCACAGTTCCACGTTCACGCACTAACTTCAATGCCAACGCGATACCGCCAGGAGTTCCTGTGCACTCAATGCACACGTCGAAGCACTCTGTATCATGAGCGATTCGAGCTGCAAGTTTGGTCATTTCTGCATCATCGCCACTATTTAATGTGTACACGTTGCTCACGAAATGCTTTGCTAAGGCAAGCTTGTCACTATGCTTTCCCACGAGTATAATTGACTTAGCAGCTCCAGTAGCATAAAGAACCTCTGCTACCATGAGACCTAATTTGCCATCTCCGAGTACCACGACGTGATCGGATGATTGGATAACTTGCTGTTCCAATATGCGGCAAGCTGCTGCTAGTGGTTCAGCAAAGACAGCGTGCGAGTCCACAACGCTATCTGGCACCTCATAGAGGTTTGCAAGAGGAAGAGTAATGAACTGAGCAAATGCGCCGTCCTTCCGCACAATACCGAGGCACGATCGGTTGGGACAGTGGTTGCGGCGCATAATCTCATCTCGAGTCAAAGTGTCACCATTTTGATTGGACTTTAAACTGCATCGTGCACAAGTCACACACTTTGATGAGTTGCAAGAAATGTTAATTTCACCTACAACGCGCTTGCCAATCCACATCCGTTGTGTATGGTCATCGGTTGTGTACTGCGCTCCAAGCTTTCGAACAATACCGACAAACTCGTGTCCTAGTGCACCCTTGAATCCTGGCTTGTAACTGTTAATCATCTGCAAGTCTGTCCCACATATGCCTGCTCGCAATACCTCGATTAGTGCTTCATCAGGTGCCGGAGTCGGTACAACAAGGTCCGTGATCAACTTCGGAGCTACATGTAAACCACTGCCTTGCAAACATAGACCCTTCATAAAGCGCGGCTCTGTTGTTCCCAACCCACAAGCATTCAAGTCAACAGAACGACAGGGTGGCGCATCATCGCTTTTCTCATGATTTGACTCCAACATGTTGAGTCTGTGAAGCTGCTGTGGCTGTATGATCACTTGCGGCATGATGAATGTCGGATTCACAAGCGCTAAAAACTCTCGAAACAACTGACTCTGCAACGCTTGCATTGGAATTACATCCGAGCGCAACCAGCCTACAAAAGCGTCATTGTACTTTTGCACTGGTGTGCTGTTCTGATCCATTGTATCTGCCATCTTACAGCGCTTCGTCGTTCCACTGGCTGTTCCAAAGGTATCCTTAAGCTGTATTTCAAGCTGATCATTAGTGTTTGTCTTCCAGCTCACAATCTCACTTGTCTGAACTTGATTCGTTCGTAGCAGTGGTGACTCTGTCTTTTTAGTGCTACGCACAGGACTGTCAACACGAAAAACCTGTGAATGATGACGAAACAAGTGTCTCTTGAGACTATAGACCCTATTGCCCATCGTCACTTGACACAACGTACATATGACATGGGCTTTTTCTGACGTCGTTAATGTTGTACCTGTACCTGATTCCATCTTCCCACTTGAATTCGTCGCGACTGCCGCTGGTGCGACGAAAAAGTCTCGCGGACTCGCGAAAGCTTGCGTGGCCAAGAACGCTGCTGGAATATTCGAAGACGATACGACCGGGACAGAAATAGGTCGATGAAGCTCCATCATCTCAATGTCCATCTCAAGCTTCTCGTGCTTAATAGTAACGTCCGTAAGAGTAGCGGATGTAGTAGTCCAAAAACTATCATCACTTGTCGTTGGTGTAGGTGGTGAGCTAATGAGGTTGGCAATGCTCATTTGTTTATTTGGTGTACGTACATCCCAAGCTATGTCCTCATCCATCTTTTTCCTATTATTCTCTGTCTCATCATTAAGAATACTACGACGCTTCCATGTCTTCGTCCTTGTCAAAGCGGCTGTATCAAGCGATTTAGTACCCGTTCCATGTTGTTGTTTACGCTTCTTCTCGATTCCAATGCATAATGATGATGGCGATGAGATGCTGCTGTCCACACTTTCACTGGAAAAACTACAACGACTAGCAGAATTACTACTACTATTACTACTACTGTCTAGAGCTGATGCCATTGTCCCAATGCTATATATAACAAGAAAAAAATGAAGACACTACGTCTCCTTGGGGAATCTTACAGTCTGATTTATTACTGGGGCTGTGTGTTCATATGTAGCCATCTCAGTGTACCATGAAATAGAATATGTGGAGCTCAAATCGTTCAAAACCGCAAGTTCAAGCCATTTCGACCGACCAACCGACTACGAAATCAATAAAGATGACGAGAGGTCAGGACGATACAACACCACGTCATTTTCTCATCCTAAACAATGTACAAAAGCTTAAGAATCTTAAAACTATGCTCGTTAGTGCTTCCGTTTTTGGCGTGAAAGAGGTTTTTGTTGTAGGACAAAAGAAATTTCATCTAGAGGAACAAGCACCATTTCTACGTTCCTTAAGCTGTCAAGTCATACGTTTAGCAACATTAATGGATTGTAAAGTACATTGTCAGGAGCGAAATATTCGTATCTATGGAGTTGAGATCATGCAGAATGCCAAGAGTATTACAGATCGACCGTTTCATGGTGACGCAGCTTTTATTATGGGGAATGAGGTAAGCTGACTAAAGTGGCACTATGAGAGCCGGTTATCTATCAGTTGATGACTAATGAATGGTTGCGGTGGACTTACTGTATGGATCATATAGGGCAGTGGCATGAACTCGACTCAAATGGCAATTTGTGATGAGTTTGTGTATATTCCGCAGTATGGAGGTGGTACAGCATCACTTAATGTCACGGTCGCAGCGTCGATCATTTTGCAGAGCTTTGCATTGTGGGCCAAATCACCAGCTGGAAACGTGGAGAAAGCAGTAGCCAAGAATGAAATTTACAACAGCAAAGAAGACATCGCGTAACACTTCATGTTTATCACTTGTTTTCCAACACTGGAAAACGTATTGCCGACAATTGTTACCATTGCAACCTTACATGTCCTTCTTCATGAACTCTTCATAGCTCTGACCAAACAACCGTTGTACATCGCGTTGAATGTCGCTCTTGGACACCTTCCAGCCCGTTGCAAACAGCTTCTTGTACATGTCGACAAGCACTTCGCCAATCACATCGCGCGAGTGGCTCCACTTGTAGATCAGCTGGTCCAGCACACGCGCGTCGGAATGCTGGCTCGTAAATGCCGTGCCCAGGATCTCGATACGCATCCGCGTGAGCTCCTCAATGATGGACGGGTTGTTGCAGTACCACCAGCAGCCATACAGGTGCAAGTTGCGAAACTTATTGGCCGTCACCGTCACCTCGTGCTGGTTCACGCGCGAGAGAAACGTGGCCAAGAACTTTACTTTAGGAAAGTCACGGCATAGCTTGATCAAGATATCCACATTGCTGGGCTTTACGCCGTCGCCCGCCACACCATACCGAGCGTTAATAGGACGCACGCTATCAAACTTGAGCGCGATAGGTAGCTTCTTTTCTTCAGCCAGAGGCAGCAATACCTGTAGCAGCAGCTCCGCACCGTTCGGCTGTTCATTCGCACCAGACTGGGGCGCATTATCATCTGGGTACTTGAAGAAAACGGGCACACTCGCCATAAAGTACTCGGGCTTTATGATCTCGATCCACTTCTCCAAAAGCGTGCGCACACCCACCAGCGTGTGCGGTAGCTTGAACACGTCCAGCGTCGGACCAATGGACGACCAGTCGCCAAGAAGAATCTGGTCCACACGCAGTGCCGAACGGAAGAACTTGCGCGACCACGCAGGCGGAGGCGTATTTGTAGCCGGATCGCCCAGCCAGTGGCGAGCCTCCTCTGGTTCAAACGGGATATTGGTCATTACTGCATACTTGAGGCCCGACAGGCGAAACACCGTGTCAACGTGCTCCTCAGGATCTTGCTGTTTAAACCATTCCTGGATAGCAGGTAGGTCACGCTTTGCCACAAGACAGTCCAGGCCCAGCAAGTGCAGTGTCGTCAGCACTCCACGACAAGCTTCCGATACTGGAGAACGGTCGACGAACAGGTGTTGCCAGATAAGACCGGCCTGCTTTTCCTTCGAATATGAATTGAACTCTTCCACTTGCATGGGCGCCGTCTGCAGAAACTCAGCCACGAGGTAGTGATAGGTCAGCAGCTCGTTAATGCCCCAGAGCATGAGCTTGCCGTGGCTTGGAGGGAACAGATGCGTATGCACGTCAATGATCTGGACGTTGGCGACAGTCTCGCGCACAAATGTCACAACGTCCTCCTTGGTAGCGAGATACTCACTAGTGTGGTGATTGCGTAGCACGTCGCTGAGGGTCTCAAGGGCCGTCTGCTTGCCGGACACGAGACGCTGGTACAGAGCTGCAACATCAGCTGCAAACGAAGCGTACGCATCGTTCGTGAGATCAAAGCCCTCGACTGAGCTGAGTATGCTAGCAACGGCGACGCCAACACCACTGGATATCTCAGAGGAAGACTCGGCACGCGCAGATTTGGGGAAGTCCTGACTACTACTCTTGCTGGCACCAAGCACCTGCTGACTGGCACGCCAAAGAATTTTTGCCGTGCTGCCCTTTTCACCGTCCAGGAACTCGTATCGGCCGGTGGAAACGTTAGCACTCAGCCCGTTCGCGTACACCCAAGTCTTTTCAGTTGTCGAGTAAATGGGCGTGCGGTCTTCGGATCGAGTCCATTGCACCCACAAAAATATCGAGGTCACTTCCATCTTCCCTTTTGAATGCTTCTTGCGTCGGGGTCAGATAGCGCAGGATCACAGCAGTAGCAAACGCCATGAATACACTTGGACGGTATGTCTCGTCTTTCGTCACACTGGCCTTTACGGAACTGAACAGCCGAACACCGTACTTTAGCATGGCATTCTGTCCGACCCAAAAAGTGTCCAAGCCGAAGTGCTTATGCTCGATACGTCCCATCCATTCGTCATACGCATGCTGAGCCTCCTCCTTGCTGATACCACGTGATACAAGCGATGGAGCAATATCTTTGGCATATAATAGATCCAGCAACTCTCGAATCTCTGGATACTTTAACACTTCACACGTTGTCTTCACACGCGTCAGGGCCAATAAATATACCATCGCCGTATGCACAGCATTAGCAATACTAAGCTTAATCAGATGGTCTTGTTCCAATTGACCTGCAGTCGTACGTATGTGCACACCTGGCAAAGCACTGAACACTTTGGTATCGAGCACATGGTCAATATCTTCAATCACGAGTGTTTTGGTCGGCCATGGTTCAGTCAATGGTACTAATGAGTCACCAGCTCGATGAGATGTCAGACGATCCACCATTGTATTATGACAATAGACCTTGGACATGACATATGCTCGAAATAAAGTCAGATCACTTGGTTGATTCTTCCATTCAGTCTCTAATACTAAACGCTTGATCGTATCGCCATTCTTCGGCAGATTATCCGTATTAATCACCGAAATCACCTGGGCTACACAAAAAATACACAAGAGAAAAACACACTAGTGTCAACTTTTGACCTCTGCACTGCATTTGTAGACATTGTGTGATCATCTTACTAGAATTTGTCTGAAAACAGTTGTAGAGCAATTCAGTCAGATCCACGAGAGCACGTCCTCCCTTTATAATACCACTCTCGGTGACTCCAAAGCCAATATACTTGAGATTTGGTAACTTGGATGGTAATTGCATAAAGGCGACACGACCTTCTGTATCTCCCAATGAACCAACAGCTTCTACCTCAATAACTTCAGTCTGTACACTTCCATCCTTTTGGATCGTATCAATTTCATATTTGCCTTGAGATTTGATACACGCGGATGCAAAGCTCGTTCCTCGTGTCTGAGCTACTATAACAGCACTACCAGCAGCTCGAAGTGTTGGCACTAGCACCGACCGCTACCGTTTTGACATGTATGACACATGGTATGTAAGAAATGTATTTTGTTTTAGAGAAATCTATTTCTTCTCATGTTCAAAAGATGGAAGTTTACGTACCAAGAACCGACCACTTCCAATGCAAATGGCGTCCGTATTGTCTGAAAACACTGGTGGTTGTCCTCGCAGTGGCTGAAACATCTTGAAAAATGTATGTGGGACTCTGGTTGTTACGTGAGACTTTCACAAATGACAAAATGACGCTTAGCTTCAACCACGATCGATTCGTGGTTTTGAATCAAACGAAGTGGACCACATGAATCGGTATCGGGAGTCAACATCAATGACTTGTATCTTCGAAGAATAAATCACGTCCTTTTAATATCATGTTTGCAAGGGTTTGCACGCAAGTTCATCGTAAAAATATCGCAGTTTTGTTTCGATAATATCAAGATGTTTACACCGTTTCATGATGACAACTTTGCTACACGTGCTATTTGTATTGGTAGCGGTCGTTTTATGGTATACATTATACATACTAATATATACATTGGTATGCCATATCCCTATAATATTTACTATTAATATATTATTTATATTTTACGCAATGCATTTGTCCATTTTCATAGCGTGCAGTACTGATTCCTGTGTTTCAAGCACTTGAGATTGGTGTCGTAGTGGCTCAAACTCGTGGGACAAATTTTGCAACGGCTTGTATCAATTCAAAAGGAAAATATGAGGTGGATATTATCGATCCAAAAGGAGGTGTGACGACAAAAATGTATCAAGTAAAAGGTACCAAAATGACCTAAATTAAGTGGACATACTTATTCGTACTTAAACTGACCACATGGTTATATGGATGTAATTTTTGATAAATGTAGCGGTCGGGTCTTTGGGTGTACCAGAAGGTCGGACGGCGTTTATAGAGCTTCCGGCTAAATTACCACATTTAAAGTACGTGGGTTTTGGAGTTACAGAAGCTGGATTACAATCAAATACACAGGTTATTCAGGATCTAGCTGCGTTCCTACAAGGTGCTTTTCAAGCTATTCCTGGTATAAACAAGTATTGTGTTATTATTTGCTACATTGTGACTTTGAGGATTGAAATTTGATTGATCGAAGATGGTTTTAACCAGATAAAATGCCTTTTTATTTGTGCTTTCAGACAACAGTTTGTCCATTATCAATACGGACAATTTCCCAAACAATGGTGATCATATTCAAAAACTGGTGTGTGAGTTAGATTGGGTCAAATGCCATGATGCTACTGCGTTTCGGACATATTTGGAGGATAAAGTGCACTTTCATAATACCATGGTAGACCGAATTACAAACCACCGGATTGGAGACTCCCTAGTACCTCTTACGGAGCCGATGCCGGCGAAAGCTATTGTCATTGAAGACTTGAAGGGAGTACTGGATGCTGATACTTTTCAAAAAGTACCCGGTGTTCACTTGCGCACTGCAGAGTCAGAAATTGCCAAGGACTATTTGCTCAAGTTTTCGTTGGGGAATGCAGTGAACTCGGCGATGGTTTATCTCCTGGCACTTTCACGACGACGGAAAGCCAATGAGTTCCAGAAGTTCCCGATCATCAGCGAGTACTTAGATGCACTGTTTGAAACGGACATTTTACCAGCATTAGTTGCTGGTAATGTCGCTGAAAATGAAGCTCGAAAGTTTTATGCGGAGTGGCTTGTGCGCATGAAGCATCCTCACTTTGGGCTGGACAATTTTTGGGTCGCTCAGAATGCACTTTTGCGAATTCACGTTCGTCTTTTGAACTCGGTAAACATTAACATTGCTAACAACGAGAACTACCGTCCAAGCAAGTTTATGGCGTTTGCAATTGCTGTTGCATTGCGATTCCTTACACCGTGTCAAGCCGATTCAAAACGCGACGCCTCGACCATCTTCGTTGGTCAAATGGACTCCATCCAGAATATCGCGCCCATTTACTCGACAACTGAAAAGACTTGGAGCTACGATAGAGGTCTTACCGCCAACCTCTCTACGGGTAGGTATGACTTCCTGACGATGGCGAAAATGGCCGTATATCTCGACTGCTATGGTGTGCTAGTGAGGAGGTTCTTGGTGCCAGCAAGAGTAGTAGTCAGGACTTCCCCAAATCTGCGCGTGCCGAGTCTTCCTCTGAGATATCCAGTGGTGTTGGCGTCGCCGTTGCTAGCATACTCAGCTCAGTCGAGGGCTTTGATCTCACGAACGATGCGTACGCTTCGTTTGCAGCTGATGTTGCAGCTCTGTACCAGCGTCTCGTGTCCGGCAAGCAGACGGCCCTTGAGACCCTCAGCGACGTGCTACGCAATCACCACACTAGTGAGTATCTCGCTACCAAGGAGGAGGTTGTGACATTTGTGCGCGAGACTGTCGCCAACGTCCAGATCATTGACGTGCATACGCATCTGTTCCCTCCAAGCCACGGCAAGCTCATGCTCTGGGGCATTAACGAGCTGCTGACCTATCACTACCTCGTGGCTGAGTTTCTGCAGACGGCGCCCATGCAAGTGGAAGAGTTCAATTCATATTCGAAGGAAAAGCAGGCCGGTCTTATCTGGCAACACCTGTTCGTCGACCGTTCTCCAGTATCGGAAGCTTGTCGTGGAGTGCTGACGACACTGCACTTGCTGGGCCTGGACTGTCTTGTGGCAAAGCGTGACCTACCTGCTATCCAGGAATGGTTTAAACAGCAAGATCCTGAGGAGCACGTTGACACGGTGTTTCGCCTGTCGGGCCTCAAGTATGCAGTAATGACCAATATCCCGTTTGAACCAGAGGAGGCTCGCCACTGGCTGGGCGATCCGGCTACAAATACGCCTCCGCCTGCGTGGTCGCGCAAGTTCTTCCGTTCGGCACTGCGTGTGGACCAGATTCTTCTTGGCGACTGGTCGTCCATTGGTCCGACGCTGGACGTGTTCAAGCTACCGCACACGCTGGTGGGTGTGCGCACGCTTTTGGAGAAGTGGATCGAGATCATAAAGCCCGAGTACTTTATGGCGAGTGTGCCCGTTTTCTTCAAGTACCCAGATGATAATGCGCCCCAGTCTGGTGCGAATGAACAGCCGAACGGTGCGGAGCTGCTGCTACAGGTATTGCTGCCTCTGGCTGAAGAAAAGAAGCTACCTATCGCGCTCAAGTTTGATAGCGTGCGTCCTATTAACGCTCGGTATGGTGTGGCGGGCGACGGCGTAAAGCCCAGCAATGTGGATATCTTGATCAAGCTATGCCGTGACTTTCCTAAAGTAAAGTTCTTGGCCACGTTTCTCTCGCGCGTGAACCAGCACGAGGTGACGGTGACGGCCAATAAGTTTCGCAACTTGCACCTGTATGGCTGCTGGTGGTACTGCAACAACCCGTCCATCATTGAGGAGCTTACGCGGATGCGTATCGAGATCCTGGGCACGGCATTTACGAGCCAGCATTCCGACGCGCGTGTGCTGGACCAGCTGATCTACAAGTGGAGCCACTCGCGCGATGTGATTGGCGAAGTGCTTGTCGACATGTACAAGAAGCTGTTTGCAACGGGCTGGAAGGTGTCCAAGAGCGACATTCAACGCGATGTACAACGGTTGTTTGGTCAGAGCTATGAAGAGTTTATGGAGAAGGACATGTAAGCACTTGACGACAATTGCAATAGGCAAATATCATTGCTATCTTTGCAATGGCATCTGTTTATCTGGTCATCCTTCTAATAGTGCAAGGTATTTTTTAGCTTGAGCTGAAGATTGATTGGCTTCATCCAATGCTTTAAAAATTCCTGCCTTTAACTCCATTACTTGTGTATGTTGTTGCTGCTTGGTTATCATTTCCTTCAATTTAATCTCCTCACTCTTAAGTTGCAACGCGTCACGTCGTAACATTTGTTGTTGTTTCCATTGGGCAACTTTGAATTCTAATTGATCGGTTTGAATTGCCAAAAGTTGGAATTCCGCCTCATCCGACGGGGCCTTAATTAAGGGTTCCAAAGCCTCATTTAGCGCATTACCTTCTTCTTTTCTTGAGCTTTTGTTAGCCGACTTGACAGTCTGAATCTTGCGCTTTTTTTTTCGTATCCGCAATGCAAGCAGACGGCTTGCCGTTTGAGCTATTTTCTGTGACGATTACATCCGCGTCGCTCTTACTGTCACTCGCTGCGAGGCGTCGTCGATCTGCCTTTGGCATGGTTTTCTTTCTTACATGCATTTATTATGACCTATTTCTTAAATTTAAAATGAAGTTTATTATCCAATCAATGAAGGTGAAGAGAATCTCATTTTATTCGATCAAAACCTAACATAGGACTATGGACTGGTCGAACAATGCTAACTGACTTATTATTCAACTATTTTGTATCAGCTCTTTTAATGCCCATCACGAATGACGATGAAGACGACAAACTCTACGCTGCCATGAAAAGTATACAAAATTAATGGAGACACAAAGGGTAAAAAGCGTTTTGATTGAAACCACTGATGGGATGTGGTAGGTCAAAGCAAAGGATGGACATGATTTGCAGGTGCAACGGGGTTACGCAAAGGTGTGTATTGTACATACACACCTGCCACACCAATGTGGTTTGGCTTTACCTTGGGTACAAGAGTAGGCTTGATGTGACCGTACCTGAAGTACGAAGAGTCACATGGGGCAGAGAGCCACGTGGTCACTATACTTTAAATATACCTGATGATAATAACAGGCTATAGAGCCGGTAAATAGTGACTAGCACTAAGTATAGAGTAGGCGCTTCAATATTTAGTGCTAGAAGAAAAAAACATAAATATAAATTAGTTTTAAACCTGCTCTTAAGCACCATTGCTTGAGCGTTTTATTCCTCCTGAGAAATTGTATCTTTGATACTAGTCTCTCTGAGACCCGGTTGCAACAACCAATAGGCACAAGCTTACGAGCTAGCCTGAAAGGGTAAGCACCCTAAGGCTTATAGGCTCTCGGAGCTTGTCTTCCTCTGCACATAGTGCATAACTAGCTTGGCTACAGTAGCTCGGCTCACCAGGATATCAGACCTGAATGCAGGGTTATCAAGAAATGGCATGCGGCGCTTTGCGTGGTTTACACAACGTTTGTTGTATCTCACATGTGATGGCTGGCACTAGCGTCCAATTGCCAGTATCGACTGATCTGGATACTATCGCTCATTGCGCAGCATAGTGCGCATGATTTTTCTTGCCCGTAGGAGTTTCAGCAAGAAATACGTGGTATGCGACCAAGCCTATCCAGGTCCATCGTCTTTCAACGTGACAATGCACTCTATTTCGCTCATACGATCAGCGCTGGTCATGACACCAACTTGGCAACATACCTCCTATACTCTACAACAATAAAATACGATCGCATTTCTTGTTTATCAGTTTGCTCTCTTTATGGCTTCTGCTTGCTACGTGTTGACTAGGCAGCTCTTCATTTATCTGGCAATTTTAAAGAAGTCAAGGGATTAATTCTTACCGTGAGCTCATGTAATACTGATCACTAACATACAGTAACCCCTCTTTCCCTCTTCCTCCTTGCTTTGCTTTTGCGTCTTCTTTTCCTTTGATACTGACAACACTTGCAGTCCAAGAAGCAAAGTTGAGCTTTTTTCGGTATCTTGTAGCATCAACTGCAAAATATCGAAAGTACTTGATGCAGCAGCGGTCACTTGCAAACACATTTTGTGACTACGCACGATAATGCACTCGACTAATCTATACCCGTTGACTCAACATCTGAGCTCATCGACTAAATTGTGCCATTTTTAAACATTTCTTGCGGAAACTCCTGTTACGGTCCATGGTGAGGCCACGGGCGAGAAAAATAATACGCACTATGCTGCGCAGTGAGCGATAGTATCTAGCTCAGTCGATACTGGCAATTGGACGCTAGTGCCAGCCATCACATGTGAGATACAACAAACGTTCTGTAAACCACGCAAAGCGCCGCATGCCATTTCTTGATAATCCTGCATTCAGGTCTGATGTGATCTTAAATGTGTCAATTTTACACAAATTTGAGATCGCCATTTGTAAGTTATTGCATGAAGCCATGTTAGTGTGTTGTGCTTCACGCTGAACACGATAAGAAGAAAAGCTTTGTCATCATTTGAATGAAAGCGTGGCATATATCGTGCATCTTCAATTCTGATAGTGCTGATCGTATGAGCGAGATAGTTTGCATTATCACGTTGGAAGACGGTGGATCTGGATAGGCTTGGTCGCATACCACGCATTTCTTGCTGAAACTCCTGCCTCGGTCCATGGTGAGGCCACGGGCAAGAAAAATAATACGCACTATGCTGCGCAGTGAGCGATAGTATCTAGCTCCGTCGATACTGGCAATTGGACGCTAGTGCCAGCCATCACATGTGAGATGCAACAAACGTTCTGCTAACTACGCAAAGCGCCGCATGCTACTCAAGAATGACCCTGCACTTTATATTTGAAAGTCATTGCCGCCTTTCCTTATAGATTTGATCATGTAAGTTCAAGCCACGAATGCGAGCGCATTGTAACTTAGGTACGACCACATTAAAGAAGGTGTTATTTCAAAGTACGGCGGGTAAAAACCCAAAGTACGGGGAAAAAAAACCCAAAGAACGGCCAGACCAAAATTATGTGCTAGAATTATATATGTATAATTTTTACCTTTGTGTAACCCTGTTGCACGTGACTTCTCACCTTATTGCGCGACCATCTTGCCTCATTTAACTGTACTTCGTGACATCTTCGGTAATCGGTACCTTGGTGGATTAAGTCTATCATACACCTTTCGCGGCTTTTTCCTGGCTTGTTGATGAGCCAAATACACTGAGCTATCTGTGTCCAAGCTGACCTTTGTGTACATATGACACCTCCAGCTTGTCCATGCTCTCAGCTAGTCTTCATTACGTCTATCATCTTCTGGTCCGTGTTCTGTCTTCTTACCCCTTCCTTGACTTCTATTCGTTCGACTTGCAGACTGTCGGCCCTTTCGCAACATTCTGTCTTAGGCAACGTCATTGATGTAACGGGGTTATGCGAATGTGTGTTATGCATACACCATTTGGTGTGGCTGTACATTGGGTTTACACCTCATTTAATGAGACCGTAACGAAGGCGGCAGGCCACGTGACAATAGTTTTTACATGAGTACTATGGATAAATATGTATTAGGAAGGCTACTGAGCCAGTTAAATATAGTGACTAGCATACATATAGAGTCACCTATTCTATATGTATGCTAGTCACTATATTTAGAAGATAAAGATTCGATAAATTAGTTTTAAACCTGTTCTTTAAAGCATTGTTGCTTGAGCACATTCCTTGTTAAGGAATAGTATCTGTAATCCCTGGCCTCGTAGAGGCGTTGGTTTGTGCACAACCAAGAAGGCATAAGGTTGTAAAGCTAGCTTGAGAGGTTTAACAACACTCAGACCTAAAGCTTGTAAGCTTGTCTTCCTCTGCACTTAGTGCGTATAGTAGTTTGGCTACAGTACGCGGCTACAACACCGTTTGGTCAATATTTTGTCTGTTCGCTACCGGATAAGTTTGCCCAATTCTATGTTACCGTCTCAAGATAAACTGCTTTACCATGGAATGGATGGCCGGCAGTACAGGCTCTCTGGCGGCTACCGTCTTTCTGTTACCGACTGGTCTAACAGCAGCAAAGTTATGTTATTGTTAGAAATATGCTTTGTCTTTGCATTTACAGCTTGGATTCATGACATTTTCAGGTTATTGGCGTTCTTGCTTTTGGCTTTTCACGCCGGAGATTGAACGAAGCAACACTTTGTTATCTGACACTTGTTGGTCAGGGTGACCAATGTCAATACAAGAATATATTGAACTTATGAAAAACTGATCACGAACATGCACAAATTCTTCTTATTCTCTCTCGTCGCTTTGCTCTTGTGTCTTTCTTTCCTTTGACACTGACAACACTTGCCGTCCAAAAGGCAACTGTAGTCGATTTCGGTATCTTTGTTGCATCAACCGCAGTAAATCGAAGGTACCCGTGTCAGCGGCGGTCATTTGCACCAGGATTTGACCTGCAGGGAGTACAGAAAGCAGTCGCTACCTTGTTGCATGTTGTCGTCTTGCTTCGACCAGCGCCACGACGGCACCATACCGTGATTTCGACTCTTGCTGCTCCATCACTTCAGGCCACCCCTTCTTTCCTTGCCTTCCTCAGACAAACGCGCACAATGTACGACACGAACGCAAACTTCCCAGATAACTATCATCGCGAAGTAATTCAGAGTAATTTTAAGCGCTCTACTATGTCAGCAAAACTTGCACCAGCAGAAATCATAGGCTGAATGACGGCAGCTCGAATGCGCATCCGTTTGATCTTTAACTCCTGCCGAGCAAGAGCTTCGCGGGCTTCCATCTCATAGCGTAGTAATTCCAGCTCTTGCTGCTGAAACTCGTTCTCACGTTGCCATTTCAACTGGTCAAATGCCAGCTCCTTAGCGCGCAAGAACACACGTTTCCGCTCTAGATTTGCTGTGACATCGGTTGTAAGTGATCGATCAATAAAAGGTGGCAGGAGACCAATGGAAGGTCTTGCCTCGTATCGGTCATCGTCCGAGCTACGCGGGCCAGAGCAAGACACTCTTTCTTTAAGAAAATCAATATCGCAGAGACCATCATCGCTCTCACTCGTGCTTGTGCGCTGACATCGCTCGGCTTGACTACGAAATAATAACTGCTGACGCTGCGAGACAGCTTGAGCAATAGCCGAGCGCAGAGCATTCGGCGCAGCATTGGTATGTGTCAAGTTTTGACTAGAAGAAACTGGATTCCACCCTTCTACGGAAGGGTGCGGACCGGCATCGTCCACTGGTAGTTTGTATTGGGATATTGCCGGTAAACGCCTCGCAGGTCGAGCAGCTTTTGCCATCAAAGACGTGTGCTCGTTTCCTGATATTTGGCTGGAAGTGTGCTCTCTTGGCATATTCTTATCGTTCACTAAAGAATCTGGTAAACCATCAGAATGAAGGCTGGTTGTTTGCGTTGCTTGCGTAAGAGTCCCAGTCATCACATTTGCTTTACCAGTTGCGTCTATAGCAGACTCAACACGTCGTAACTTTTTCTTTTCATTCCACGAAGAAAAGTCATAACCACGATCATTTGACTGCTCAGGAGACATTGAAGCTTGCCTCTTCGATCGAGTGAGTCTTTGTAAAATAGTTGGGGTTTCATTTTCTTCTTCATCTGAAGTTAGGACAATAAAGAGAGATGATGGGACGACGTTTTTTTCCTTAGATGGTTGTTTCTTTGACTTTGGCCTTTGTTTTGTCTTGCTTTGACTTTTCTTCTCTTCATTTTCATTCTTCTTGTTTATCACACTTTTTGCGGCTACGATTGCTCCAGTTACAATCTCCTTTTCACTTACTTTCTCCATTTCTTTTCCAATCAATGCACCATTTGCCTTTACCTTCTTCTTCGTCACAGTCCCAATCTTCTTAGGCACTACTTCCTTGTCTTTTCTACTGCTTTGCGTATCCGTCATATTTAATTGTACTTTCCCGTACGTTGTCTTCTTTTGCTTTTCCTCTTTGTTTTGTTCATTTCGTTGCGTATGTATTTCATCCTGTGCCTCTTCCATTGCAAATCTTTTATGGAGCTGCTGAAATCGTTGGAAATGAAGACACCTGGCGTTTAAGTTGTTCTGCACTGTCTGAAACTCACTCAGCACATCCTCCTTGTCCAATAAGATCGGTGGGCTACCAGGTGTCTCAGTAACTAGAGCTTCAAACTCCATCAGGTAATCATTCAGCATCTTTCGAGCATCTTTAGTATTCCAATTCGTGTGTGGAACATTCGAATTCACAAATGTTGCAAGCTCTTTCATAGCTTTTCGCTCAGCTCGTACAAGTTTTACCCGTTTGTGAGTAGAAAAAGATGAGAGTGAAGAGAAGGTTATTACTTGGTGGAAATTAGTATCTTGCTCTAGCCACTTAATCATTGCATCACGAACTTCCATATTTAAGATACCTTCTTGCATTACAGGAACTCGACGACGAGATATACAAAGTTCAAGGATAAAAAGCTTTGGAGAAAAACGATGTTGGATTCATGTGGTAAGAAGTAGTGAATGAACTGAATATATTTGTAACGGGTGTTAGGTGTGAGTTTTCGTTCATGCTACGAGTGAACAATACATTGATAACAACTTGGCGTTATTTTAGCAACGCTAGGAATGCCATACCATGTGTTCGACAAGTTTTCTTTTCACGCACTGTCACAGACAGCGATGGTATAGATCACCTAGAGCTACATGATACGATAGCGCATTATGCAAAATACAAGTATTGCTTGATATATTGTACCCAATTTAGTTTCAGCTTCATGCTTCTTCTCGTTTTTTAGACACCTGTGGCAAGCAAAGCTGCAAACATACACAAGTCGATGCCTTTCCATTTCTTCACATAAGCGATGTACACAAGATTGCCCACCTCGCTTGCGGTAGGTCAATTCCGACGATAACCCTCGCTTTAGAAACCATCCATATCCGCAAGCTCACGATCAAGTATCTCCTTGTCACTGTTCATCGTCATCTCGTCTAGCTCGATATCATCCACGTTCATGTCGGACGGACGGATCTTTGGAATACCGTGAGTCAAACTACACTTACGCATCTGGTGCAGCGCTGGCAAAAGATCGGAGCACTTGCGCGTCATATGCTTCCTGGACTCAATGTCATCGGTAATACTGACGACAGACGCACGCGTCTCATCCATCCACGGATGGGCAAGAATGCCCGAAACATCGAGGCGTTTGGTGCGGTCCACTGTCAGCAGTTCCGATACCAAATCCTTTGCCTCGTCAGACACTTCGTCCCAGTACGGCGATTCAAACTTGTACTCAGCTTTTACAACCTTGTCCAGCACTTTTGCATGATTAACGCCAGGAAACGGTGGGTACCCGCACAGTAGAATAAAAAGAATCACGCCAAGGCTCCAACAGTCCACCTGAGCCCCGTATGGCTCACCCTGCACCACTTCCGGTGCCACATAGCCCGGAGTGCCACACGCAGTGCCGTGGCGTGAGCCATTCATTGGTCTAGCAAAGCCAAAGTCAGCAATCATCACCTCGGCACCAGGTGCTGAAGTCTTCAGCAGGATATTCTCAGGCTTCAAATCACGGTGAACGATACCACGGGAATGAAGATAGTGAATGGCGCCTGCGAGTTTTCGCATGAGTACACGTGCATCCTCCTCCGTGTAACTCTTCCGCTTTACCAGGTCGTCAAAGAGCTCACCGCCCGTACACAGCGGAGTCACAATGTAGTAGTATCTGTCTTCCTCGAAGTAATCCAAAAGAGGCACAATATTCGGGTGATTCAGACTCGACATAACCTCCACTTCTTGCTTCAGTGAATGCACATCCTGAGGACCCAAACTCGCTTTAGCGATGCACTTGACTGCCACCTGCTTACGCGTCTCGCGATGAGTCGCAATATGCACTACCGAGAACGCACCTGACCCAAGCTTCCGTCCTAACTTGTAAAATCTGTGGAATGATGCTAGGTCAATACTGGTCAGCGAGTGGTTGCTTTCATTCGAGTCAATGCTGCCAGCCGAGCTCTGTCGCACGACGTTAGGGGCTCGCAGTGTCAGTGCCTGGCTGCTGGGTTCCGGACCATTTGACGCCGTCTGCAGCGCCTTCATGATATTGGCGTAAGCCGTCTTCACGTGGTTCGTCCAGATATGCTCCGACTGTTCCAATTTCACTCCTCCCGCCGTGGCAATCAGCTTCTTGATGTATCGGCTGTTCGCACCATCCTGTACTTCCCCCAACACTTGATCCAAGATATATATCATCTCGTCCTCCTTCTTGCAGTCGTGCATATCACGGATCAAGTTTGCCAGTACAGGAAAGTCCCGCTCGATAGTACGTCCAGCCTGTGAAGCCGGGGACAAGGCAGCTGGCACACTTGTCGTAGATCCGTAGTCTCCTAAAAGACCCACCGTCTTCGATGACGACGTGGCGCCTACCACTTTTTGGCCATAACGATGATTGCTGCACTCGTTGCTCACAATGTAGTTGAGAATTCCGCGTCCAAGCTTCGCTGGACACTCTCCTTCAATCCAGCGCTGTAATGCTCGAATCCATCGCTGTCGCTCAGCTTCTTTACTCGCTTGCAAGTAATACAGCACCACGGGTCCATCATCAATCCGTTTCGAGTGCAAATTACTCTCTTTGCGATGCAAGACACAACTGTTTCCTGTGCTGTTAAGTGACATGGAATTCCTAGATCGCTCCATCCCTTCACTGTTTCCATTTTCAAGAAACTTGACACGTCGAGAGCGTTTACGTGCTACAATTACAAAACAGTAGGGATGATGCTTAAAAGCATCCGTGGGTTCCACACGTATTACATCAATCCTTGCGACTTCCATCTTTAACAACTTCTTTTCAAGTTGAGCCAAATCTTTTCCCTGTTGTCGCATACTGATTACGTATGGGTTCTTGCGGTACACTTGAAGAGCATTACGAGACAAGACGAAATGTCGCGGTAACCACGTTTTAAAGAATTGACCGCGTTTAATCAGAGCTCCACTTAAAATGACTTCATGTTCAAGAGCATTCATGCCAGCATGCATACCTCCTGTCGTATTTAAGACAGTACGTACACTCTCAATCGTACCTAAATGCTGGTACGAAGGTGCATGGGAAGCTCCTGGAGTCGCTGGTAAATGAGTATACTGTCGTATACGGTCCTCAGGACTACGTAATCGATCAGAGCAGCCGCTTACAAGCTGTTGTTTACAACATTGACTGACAGACATGGGCACAGATGCACGTGTATGTTGTAGAATGAGAGCAGGAGACGACCTGGTCGAGTTGCGGTCGATCGCCATGTCGCGCGGCGTCTTCATCGGACGCTGCTGCTGGCTTCCAATACGCTATTTCGTATAATGGAGAAATAGTATAGAAAGGATTGTAATCTCTCTGGTATGTAATTAATGATATAAAAGGAAGAGAGATAGAAATATATGACAAATAGAAACTATACAAAATATACTGTCAAGGCTGATGATGGATAACAAGAATAAAAGATTCTACAACAAACAGCTGTTTTGGCAATGATCGATAGAAAAAGAACGATAGTTTAAGAAACTTGACAGATGAACTCCGCAAAAGCATATTACATTCGTCTTTCGACAAATTAAAGAAGGTTTTGTTGAGAAAAGACAGCATATGATTTCATGTGAAAGAGGTAAGCAAACCTACACTATTTCATACAAGCTTTTGAAATATCAGAAACGACGGAGTACTCGGCCCCTCAGTCAGACGACACTACCTCGACTGGAACGACGTTGTTGTTCTGAACGTTATTATAGCCGTAGGACAGGAGGGCAGTATGGACAAGCAAGACTGTTTTATTGCATACTGCTATACCTTACAAAAAAGTGTGCTCTTTTACAGATGGTACAAAAGCCAGCAGTCATGTGGCAGTGTCGACCCTTTTTCCAAGTCTTTATTATAGACGTTTACCAACGCCTACTCGCTAGCGACATTTTGTCCTAATTTATAGTCACATTCAGGCCCCTTCCACTTAAATAAAGATCGAATTTTGTAAAAACACACAATGCGTACTTAGTGCTCATCCCTATGTGGATTGTTTTTCACACGATTTGAAGCCTAAGTTCAGCATCCTGTAGCTCAACTGAGACCAAAATGATCATAGAAACTAAGTCGATTGTCATGATAATTATATAGGCAAACGTATTTTTGCTGAAGGTGGCAGTTTAAATCGACAAGAACAGTTACAGCGTACGCAGCAAGAGACGGAAATAAATGCACAAACCCATTGATGGATTTGCAGTGATCTTTGCAGCACGTGAGTCTGATAATGTGATTGTTGCAAAATACTACCGACTCCATTGTTTAATGGTAAGTAAAATCGACTGATGACCTTGTTGGTCTGAGCTTAGTGATAGAACTACAGTGATGCTCTTGCATTTGTTTCATTCGATCAGAAAAAAACTATGCAGCATTGTGACCATTGTCCAAATCCAGGCAGGAGTGATGCTCAATCAACACTTCCACCATCACTCTTGATGATTGATCCGGACATAAATTTGGTCCATTCACCACATTTTTGAGACTTGGTACATATCGATAAAAGTACCAAAATACGGGTACACTACCATCCTTATATCAAAAAGCTCGTCACCAATGCCGGAGAATGGGGAGCTCCATCCAGCACAAGTTCTAAAGAGTGGTCATGACGTCGGTGCTAGTCATTACGCAGGTGGTGTACCACCACACAAACGTATGCGTAAACCCATTGTTCGTAAGAGTGTTGATCCTAATGCAACATTCATAAATTACGTGACAGAGCGTCGCTTTGTACAAGCGCGTAGTGTGCGTTCCCATGCGTTACCACCGCATTCGTTCTATAAGCGGCAGATGATGCCACCTTTAGCTTATCCTGGAGATGATGATCTTGCGTCGTGTGTATGTACTAAATTCTGTCGTTGTTCCACGAATAAGCAGCGCTGTCCTGTGAATTGTCTTACATGGACACCTGAGGGCCGTCGCCTCATTACGGGCAACTCGGTTGGCGAGTTTACGCTCTGGAATGGGTTGGCTTTTAATTTTGAGACTATTTTACAGGCTCATGATGATGCAGTGCGCGCAATGGTATGGTCTCATAATGATAATTGGCTTGTTACGGCTGATCACGGTGGAGTGATCAAGTATTGGCAGTCAAGTATGACAAATGTACAATTGTTACAAGGACATCGAGAAGCTGTACGCTCACTAAGCTTTTCACCGACGGATTTCAAGTTTGTGTCGTGTTCTGATGACGCAACAGTGAAGATTTGGGACTTTGAGAGTGGTCGGGAAGAACGTGTGTTGACTGGACACGGATGGGATGTCAAGTGTGTGGCTTATCACCCACAGAAATGTCTGCTCGCTAGTGGTAGTAAGGATAATTTGGTAAAGATCTGGGATCCAAAGTCAGGAAACAGTCTTAACACATTGCATGGACACAAAAACACGGTGTTTAAGGTAGCGTGGAACCAGAATGGTAATTGGTTGCTTACAGCCAGTCGCGACCAGCTCATCAAGATCTATGACATCCGGATGCTGAAGGAGTTTGCTACGCTGAAGGGACATGCACGCGAAGTCACGTCTATTGCGTGGCATCCGTGGTATGAGCGTCTCTTTGTCAGTGGCTCGTACGACGGGTCACTCATGTACTGGGAAGTCGGGTACGCGTTGTCTTCACAAGTTTTCACAGCTGCATTATATGGAGTTGTACATGCTGCTGTTGTCTAATAATTGAATTCTTCATGCTATATAGTAAGGAAAATGCGCTGGCCTCCATTCCCCAGGCACATGATACGGCTGTATGGGACATTCAATGGCACCCTGTCGGCCACGTTGTCGCGACTGGAAGGTGCGTTATCCACGATACAATGTGATTGCTATAGTTTTGGCTATGTTTTGGCTTTAACTCATGATTTTCTGTTCGCTGTCATTTATGACGCTGTTGCTTATGATACTCCAGTAACGATCACAGCACGAAATTTTGGTGTCGCAATCGGCCAGGTGACCCGATGGACGACAAGTACAATGGCGGCCAGACCGTGTTGAATGAACACGAAACTAGTGAAGCGGTGATGCATATGCGCGGAGGTGCAGATGGTGCCGAAGTACTACCAGGAATGGCGGATGGCGCTAGCAGCCTTCGCTCCAGCGCAATTAACGCAGCCAATTTCCAGACATTTAACAAGACGACCGTGGACAGCCGTAACAATTGTGGTCGTCGCCCACCTCCTGAGTCTTACACGTGCAACCGTTGTGGCACCAAAGGCCATTGGATTGAAGACTGTCCCACAAAGGACCAGCAAAATCCTAGCGGCCCAATACAGCGCAAGGTTCCACCTGAAGGTTACTTGTGCAAGCGCTGCAATATTCCAGGACACTATATTTCGGACTGCACAGAGCCCAAAGTGCCACCTCCGTCATACACTTGTCACAAATGCCGGCAAAAGGGCCATTGGAAGCAGGATTGTCCAATGGACGGAAATGGTGCCATTAATGCTTTGCTGAGTCAGATTCGTCCACAGGGTGCTCCGAGTAGTGGCAGTGTGCCAATGAATATTGATGGACCAAGTTCAGTTCCTTCCCGAGGGTTTCCACCACGAAGCATGGCTACCTCCTGCACCTCCGACCGCAGGATTATTGGTTCCTCCACCTCCACCACCACATATTCTTGCTGGTATGAAACGTGCTCGTGAGGATGAGATTGGTCCTGGAGTTGGTCTCATCCCACCACCTATGAACTCATGGCCGCCACTAACAACAGGCAATGGACCAGGGCAAGCAAGTTTTCTACCAGGGCTTCCTGGTGGTGGGATCATGCCATCGTCGGCATTAGTATCGGAACAGTCTGATGCCAAGAAATTGAGTCGAGACCCGAGACGAAGATAAGAAAAAGACTGAGACTGCTATATTCTGAAAATAAATATCTCGAATATGCGCTTGTCTTTGTGGGTAGTAAGCACTGTTTTCATCATATATTAACCTGTATATTATAATTACCTTGTCATGATTGATAATATATTCAATCATCTCTACCAGGTGTTTTGGGCTTATCAGCGTACGGCTGAGAATTGATCCAATAACTCAAAAAGCTCAAAATTGACCGACCATGCTCACTCTTGTTCGTCGCTCTGGAACTTTTGCCCGGACTTCTGTCATTCGCTGTGCATCATCTACCGTCTCTGTAACATCATCATCATCATCATCTTTACCTTCAAACCGTGGTAATCTACAAGATCTTCTTACTGGGAATGCAACGGCACGTAATGGTGTTGGTACGTAAGAGATCTGACTAGCTCCATCTTCTTCTTCACTGTATATTACCTCTAATATCTAATATTCCTACTATAATGAATAGAATACGTTGTCTCTCGTGTAGATGATTTGGTCAATTGGGGTCGTAAAAGTTCATTATGGCCCATGACTTTTGGATTAGCGTGCTGTGCCGTTGAAATGATGCATGCAGGTATCAGACTCATACCATTTCGAACCTTCTTCTTCTTCGTGTCTATCTGTATCTTACTAATGTAATGATGATTGATGCTTCTTGTGTTCGATTATATGTCTCTTTTTTCTATTGTATTTTAGCTGGTTCACGTTATGATTTTGAACGTATGGGAATGGTCTTTCGTGCATCACCTCGTCAGACTGACGTGATGATTGTTGCTGGCACATTGACAAACAAGATGGCACCTGCTCTTCGTCGTGTGTATGATCAAATGCCTGAACCTCGTTACGTCGTGTCGATGGGAAGTTGTGCCAATGGGGGTGGCTACTATCATTATTCGTACGCTGTCGTGCGTGGTGTTGATCGGATTGTTCCTGTGGACATTTACGTGCCAGGATGCCCACCGACAGCTGAGGCACTGCTGTTTGGACTCATGCAGCTTCAGAAGAAGATTAAGGGCAACAAGTCACTGTTACTCAAGTTGAGAAAGTAGACAACAAAAAAGGCGATGGTTGCTTGGTCTGTTGGCGGATTGAAGCGCTGGGATGTTGAGTACACAAACCAACAACCATTTGAAGCATCTGTATAAGATTGAGAGGAAGACACACACAAAGAAAATGAATATGGATGAACAGCAAATACGATTCGAAGCAGAAGAAGAATCAACGCAATTGTACGTACCTTTCTTGTATACACTAGTAAACCTTTCCAGCTGGCTATGTGGACTGGCTTCATCCTGTAGAAACCATGACAGTGCTCTATACTTATGTGGACTGCCTCAATCCCATAGAAAGTCTTGACAGTGCTCTCTCTACATAAGAGCTTCGAGTTTTGAGGTTTGTTTACTTATTTCAATCAAAATCTCTGTCAGGAGAATGCACGCATACAATGGCATTGTCATAGGTTTTACTTCACAAGAAGAGTTCACGCGCAGTCATAACTTTCAAGTCTATTGGAATGCTTGATCGTCGCCTCTACGCCTTTCTTCCTTCCACTGGGACAGATTTCTGGTTGTTGGCGTTTTCAATGGCTTCAAGGTACTCGGGCTCTAGTTCCGGTTGAGATTCTCCAAACTCAAGGTAAGACGGCAAAGACGAGCGCTCGCTGTCACAGTACTCTGATAAGAGTTCCATCATAGAAGGAGGCTTGCTATACCGACGCTGTGGCTGCTCATCGTCTTGAGTCACCATACTTGCCGACAATCCGCATGTGAGATCAGAAAACGGCTCAGGCTCGCTCTGGTATTCCACTTCGGTCTTGTGTGCAAGCAAGTACGTACGGATAAACGATGACTCAGAAAGTGCGTTCCATGTCCTTCTAGTTCGTCTAGATGCTTATTTTGCAATGAGCTACGCCAATTGACTTGAGAAGAAGCGTTGGAAGATCGGCCTTCGCTATAGTCATCATCCACATGTTGTACGCCCTCCAAATGTAACGGCGACAGTAAAGCACTTAAACGAGGCTTTGGGATGTACTTAACGCCTTCGTTATCCGTATCATATGCATCATCTTTTGTCCATCGCTGGAGGTCTGCAAGCGAGCTTCTTACGGCAATATCAACATCGTCATTGCGCATTAAGTGTGGAAGGTCAATGAGGTCCATGTCACTGAAGGTGTCCAAGTCGGCCACTCCGTACATGGAATTTGCGCGCCACATCATCTTGGGCACCTCGCGATTCTCTTTACTGCCATAAGCTGTACAAGCTGCTCCTAAAAGATTCTCAGACATGTCAGCCTTCACCTGCACATGTGTGGTGCCACAAGTAGAACTCCGCTGAAACGGCACAGAAGCTGACTGAAAATGATCTTCATCCTGCTGGAATCCATTACTGTCACAGGCTGAACTCTGGAAACTTTCCATCGCATCGACCGGCAACATCAAAGCATCTTTCAATTCCAGAGAGTTCGTGTGGAAGGCCTGAAAAGCACTTGAAGTGAGATCTGATAGATCTCTGTACTCATGCACTTCCTCGCTTATCGTCTGCTTTGCTGGTAAAATCGGAACGTGCGTATTCTCACGAGATGTTCTGCGATGAACACCTCGATTGCGTTCTGAAGGTAGCGCACGTCGATGGCTTTGATGTGAGGCAAAAACCATTTTATCATGGCTGAATACTGATAGAGGCGAACCATAATACGACGGTGGACGATCATCACTATGCGTTTGCCGCAACAGTGGCTGAATTGCTACGCCATAGTGCAGTCGACGAGTATCAGAAATTGTGCCTCTATATGGCACGGTATGGTTGCTGTGGCTACTCTCGATTTCACGCGCATACACCTCCATCATTTTGGTCAGGGCAACTTGTCGCGTTTTTTCTGGGACTTGCAAGCTGGGGCCGCGTTCTTCTTCATATAACCGCATGGCTAACATGGCCAAACGAAAAGCTTCGTCATCCTGATCGTCCAAGTCGCCGCTCTGATGTCCTTGGCGAGTTGTGGAGGTTTCAACAAAGAGAGAATCTAACAGCGATGTGCAAGGGTCTTCAACTTTGGACTCCAGCAACGCGTGTCGGATAGGAGGGTCCGATCCCAAGAACCTTGTCGCCATCTGGTACTCTTGCTCAATGCTGTCGCTCCTTCTAGATCCGCACGGACGCTGCTGACATCCATTTACTAGCGTTGCTTGAGCATCCTCTAGACCAACGTGTTGTTGAGTGCATCTCTGAAGTTCTTCACGGTCTTGTCCTTCCTGGTATCTACGATTCGTACAACGGGGTGCAGTCTCGACGTGGTCGCGGGGGCTACCATCATTGTAATGTCGAGTCTCATTACCGCATTCGGGTCGAGATCGGGCTGGCTTTGACCTAGTCCTTTCACTCCTGGAACATCGATCAGACCCATTGGAGAGGAAGTTGGTCGTTGCATCAGGTCCCGCAATCCCAACTGCATCCTTACCGTAATATTCCAGACCCAAATCTGAGCTAAGTCAAAGAGAGTCGTCCGAACTGTTCCGCACGACACCATGAGATCGCGGACTTGGAAGCTGTCGTTTGTCGTACTCTGTTGGTCCTGAGGAGTCTGTGATAGAGGCCTGTGATTCCGTATCTGTGGCGTGTCGATGGAGTTTCTGCGTCTGCTTACTGTATTTTTGATCTTCATCATGAATTTGATGCAGTATCTGCTCAGTCTTGCCGAGTGGCAAGCCCAATTCATTGTCCGTGCCATTATTGTCATCCTGAACTCCTTTTTGGCACCAGTGTTTCAACGAAGACACCTCACTTGTTTCACCCGAGGACAGTTTAGCTGTCATCGTTTCACGTGATACACCTATGACACATACAAGAGACCTAGGTGAAGTGTTAAATTCCTTTTGCTGAGCTACTGGTTCACATTCTTTATCACTCGTCTTCTTCAGCGTCTCCTCAAACTCTTTATCCATTTGGTTCGCCTCATCCACGTCAGCAATTTCATTCTCGTCTTCGTTCTCCACGTAATATTCGTGTTCGTCAGCGGAAGTATATCGATTTTCAAGCATAACCATTGAACCGTCGAATCGAGGGCTGGTGTCAATGCTTTCAAATTTTGTGGCGTCTATTTGTTCGTCCGAAACGATGTAATTTGCATCATTCATCATTGGTACAATTGTTTCGTACCCCACAGATTCTGAACACCTCATGCAAACCTGCGCCTTTTTGAGTCCCAATCCAGCGTAATCCAGCAAAAATTCGTTCCCACACGGTGTACAAACTACCTTGCCACACTTACGACAAATTCGTCTACGATGAAAAAAACCAAAACGCGTATCACAGATCTGGCACCGTGTTGCTTTCTCCTTCTTTGGCAGTTCCAAGTCTCCGAGCAGTTTTTCTTGTGCTAATCGCTGCAACTGGAAGTATCGATCCACTTCCGCAATGTTTCTAATACGGCGCTTCATGACCAAAATCTTCAACCAATCTGGCGCATTGCCCTTAATATCCAAATGCAGCGTATGCACTGCATCCACGCACCCTTTGTCCGCCGATTCAGTGAAAATATATCCTGAACGATAAAAGCTGCCACGTACAAGTCCATGGCTTCGATGAAGCGGTGGACAAAACGGTAGTCGAATCGAGTGAATACTTTTCACCCACCCACGTCGTTTGGTGTTGGAGTCAATGAACTCGTCGTGACACTCAATGTAGCAGAAATCACGGTTCCGTGCAACTTTACTCGGCGATTCAACTGCTGACCACTTGATAGCTACATAGTGTTTTGGATTTTCCGGTGTAGGTGTAGCAAGTGTCAATAATGTCCTTTGATCGAGCAAGTCCTTGCCAACTGTTTTTGCGTATCCAGACAATTTCTCAGGCGTATCAAGCTTGAAAAAATCCGAAACTTCATCAATCGTTGCGCGAATTTTACACGCTCCTCGAAGGTACGTCAGTGATTTTGTATCTTGAGTATTGGTACTTCCAGAATCATACACACCTTGAAATACATTGACTCCAGCATGTGATGACAATTGAATCCATTTCATGGGTCCATCATCCTGTCTTGAGTAATAAATGACCTCTTTACAAGCATGTTTTGCAAGTCCTAGAAAATGTTTTTTCTCCTTGGCATTCAATTGTGGCACAGGAAAAAAATTATCCGGTAATGGTAATGTACCTGCTACATATCCATTGGATGACGAAGTGTTGGTACCATGTCGTAGAGTAGTACACCGACTTGAAGTCTCCAGTAATATATTTCCATGATTCCGATTATTCGAAGGAGAGATTGAGTCGAAAGAGCCCTGAATGCGATCCAGACTCAAAACTTTACGGTCCTTTTCCATACAAATTGGTATATTATTTATTCGCCAGGCCCTCGGTGGTGGGGGGGGGCCCGCCCCGGAGGGGGGGGGGGGTAAAATACCGGGAAATTGATTTGACTTTAAAGAAATGGCCGTAAACTATAAAATTGCTGCCTTGGAAATATTAAAAAAAGAGGTAAAAGACACAGAACACTATTTAGCCGTTACTTTTGTGTTGATTACCTCATATGGTGGAGAAACTATGAAAAATATAAATTAAATCGTAGCTGGTCGGTCGGTTGTTTTTTATTTATTTGTCAATACAAATTACAGCTGGTTCAAGTCCAGACAAAGAGAGAGCCAGTTAGATAGACGACGGAGAGGAGTCGAATGAATGACTGGCAAGGAAATAGAGCAATCGACACGGTTTGAATGCTATTGCGACACGTAAGCAGTAATGACAAAGGTAAAAATTTCTTACAACCACCTTTCAATTGATTGAATTGGACGAAACAAAACCTATCAAGTTTTCTGCTTTTTCTGTTGTGGACATGCTACGGTATGAATATAAAACAACACCATTCTTGCAAACTCAGGTCATTTTCTCTTGCTTCATTTGAATGTTACTAATCCTTTCTTACTAAGTATTTGTAATGATTGACTAACGCCTTTAAGCCACAAAAAAACGGGGAGGTTTTATATATTCACATTTGTATCCTCATCCTTATCGGCACTTAAGACTGACTACTCAGTAGTAAGAGCTCGTTCTATGTACGCCTGCAAGAGTATAACTTAATTTCACTGAGACAGTAACATTAACTGTCCTTTTTATTCAAATGGTCACAAAACATTGAAGAAAGCACTTTTTTTTCCTTTGACCAATGGTCGTCTTATGTAAAATGCTGGCATACTTGAAGCTATTCATATTGCATACACTTGCAACGATTCTCATGCTTTTTTTAATAAGTAAGCAACAATTGTTATCATTCATACTGTTGCTTGGTACAAATGCTGTAAGGATATAAGTGGTAACGTTCAAAGGAGCAAGGTACATTTAAAAAAACATGTCTGTCTGTCTCTAAAACAACCAGCTCTTTTGATTGTATACAACGATAGTTGTCCTCCTTCTTCTGGATGTTAGAAATTAGGCGATGCAACATTGCAGAATAATAGTTGCCAATGGTATAATACATTGGTGACACGTACCACGTGCTCGACTGAATGACTTTACGTCAGTCGGACTGGAATGAGTTGAAAACACGCATGCAGACTGTGTGGTTCATGGAAGTTTTGCAATTCCAGTCGCGTTTTCTACTCGACGACAACAACCATCAGGTGTGATATTCAAACGTCGAGACGACAGTTGTCGTGGTCGTGCATTGGATGGGGGAGAGCTGGCTTGACGTTTATCTTCCATTGGCGTCAAATCCAATCCGAAAGATATTTTTCAGGAACGCTGTCTACTGGTCTCGAAAAGCGAACCGTTTTTTCAAAAACCTTGAAAAGTGGCTAGAAAATTGCTTGTTTATTCAATACGAGACAACAATTATATACATGTTTGAAAAAAAAACAACTCGAATCGAGCTATACAGACTCAAAACTTTTACACGCATGCGTCAGGAGGTAAACTACATACACATGATCTACGCCTCATGATGCTTTTTAAGGCATTGGGCTGCTGGTCCATTTGCCATCGAATAGAACAGTTCAAGCACTTGTTGTCGGGGATGCTGGATTAGCGCTGCACTTGCACCTAGGTCTCACCATACCATTTTGTCCCATGTACTCACGAGACCCACAAGTACTGCACAGTCCTGGGCCATGACGGGGCGAGCATGCCTTAGAAAAAGCCCCTGTCATCGCGTTTGCTTTCTTGATGCGTGCTTCGTTAATCGGAACCCACTCACCTTGTGAGCTTTCCATCAATTCAACGTCTTCTCCGGCAGATTGGCCGAGTTCTTCGTTCGCGTAGATGCGAGACTGCTTTTCAGCAGCCACATTAAGCTGCTGCTGCCGCTGTTTTTGAAGGTACCGCTCTTTGACGGCCAAAGTGGACTGCAAATCGAGTGAGATCTGAACACTACTCTGTGCTCTGACCACAAGTGGGTCGTTCTCAGTCGGCTGCAGCCCATTGCAATGGAGATGCGCCAACTCTTTCTGGTGCTGCTGAATCTGCTGCAGTGCCGAGGCGGTAAGCTGGCACTTGTTATTGTACTCAGGTTGAAGAACCGGAGGCCCAAGAGACTGTCGTCGGCGCCGAGCCTGTTCCTCCTGATACTGCGCCATCTCCTCAAAATCGGATTGCTGTCGACGACGCACCTGTTCCTCTTGATATTGCGCCTGCTCTTCAAACTCTGCCAGTTGGCGCTGCTGCTCGGAGTTGTTGCTGTGTTTACGGTGCTGAATCTCGGCCGTTGACTCTTGCTTCCAGTGGTTAAACATGTCAGCCATCTCCTGCTTCTCAGCTGATGCCATTGGCGCAGCTTGTCCCTGTCTTTGGCACATTTTAGATTTTCCTTCATGCTCAACAACGCTCGCGTCTCGCTCAGACATCCTCGGTGATGGAATGAGTACAAGAGTTTTTCCAAGACCATACTGCTCCTCTTCGCCAACCACGCTACTGCGCTGCTGTTGGTCTTGCCACCAACTGGTAACGTCCGTAGTAGTGCGGATCTCACCCAAGCCATCAATCGTGTGCTCTTCGTAGTCTGAAAAACTACTGTCGCGGTAGTTCAACGACAGTTGTGCGCCGGCCTCAACTGTGACCCGAGTGATATCGTCGTTCTCGGTATCACTGAGCTCTTGGTTACTACTCACTTCTGATGACATAAATGAAGGGCACGAATCAAGGCGCCGTTGACGACTTGGTCTCTCACTCATGCTCGAGGAATCATCTCGAACCTGCTGGTGCTGAGGCGTTCTTCCTGCCTCCGGTTCTTCTTTTACTTCCTCTTGCACAGCTAACTTTGATGATAGAATGACACTGAAAGGCTGCTCCACTTTTCGCTCACGCTGCTCCATTTTACGCTCTCGTTGCTTACGCGATACTTGACTTTGCACAGGTTGCTGCTTGTCTGGCTGCAAGCTGAAGTCACGATCGTATACTTGCATTGCGTCCCAGACTTTAACGCGTTGGTTTAGCTCCGTGGCCCGCAGCTCCAGGTCGCGCTTGATTTCCTCCTGCTGCGCAAAAAATGATGTGGCATCACTTGCTCGATCCAACATTGACAATGAGCGTCGCTGCGGAGGTGCGGTGAGCAAATTTGGGTGAGTAATACCCTCCACTTCCGTTGTAGGCGCTTTGTCAGCCAACCTAATTGGACAAGTGCCTGCACGAGTCGTGTGCGCTGAGATGTGCGACTGTTTCGCCTCTGCAGAACACACTGTGCAGATGCGTACCTTAGTTCGTCCTACAACTGGGACATCGAGCCACCAGTCGTCACTGCATCGCCGACAAACACCCTCACCGCACTTGCGGCATACATACCGCGTCGATCTAGTCGACATGTTAGTGATTGCCGCCAGTGTATCCCTAAGACCACCGGATGCCACAAATTGACGGAAGCATAAGTTACAGCTACCACGCATGCGTTTCTTCGTGGGAATATCCAAATCTCCCAGCAGCGGACTACTACTTAGTCTCTGCTGCTGCAACAGCTTGTCCACCGACGCCAATGCCGCCACGCGCTGCGCTAAAAACCCAGGCTGCAATAGTTCCAATGCCATGCGACCCTTTAAATCTAGCTCTACCGTATAAGTCACACTAAGCACTCCCGGGTCATCCGTTTCCACTGCTGTTAGCCCCGACCTGTATATACTCGCTCGCACAATGCCGTGTTCTTTCTCCAATGACGGACAGCACGGCATCTTTAGCGAATGAAGCGATCGAACCCATCCACGTCTTCCTTTTGCATCAGTAAATTCTTTCTGGCATTCCAAGTAACAAAAATCTCGGTTTCGAAAGAACCTGGAAGGTGAAGCTACAAGTGCCCACTTGATGCCCACATATCTCCGTGGTTGTTGTCCAGAGGGTGAGACTAATGTATAGAGCGTCGAATGTTGCATCAAATCGGCATTAAACAATAGTAAATGATCAGCTGCTTCTCGACTTGAATCAAGTTTAAACAATAGTGCAAACTCTTCAATACTCGCATGAACATCATCACTCACTGCTCGAACACATGTTGCATCCTTTGCTTCACTCACGTCTCTTGCAGCACCACGTAATACATGAATATTACTTGGTGCACCACGTGGTCGTTGAGCTGGACGCCAGAGAACACTTCCTCGTTCATCAGGCATTAATGTATCCTTAATTAATGCATTGGATGTGCCATTAGCAACACGTACGAGATGTTTCTTCATCCGTGGATCTAATTCTGATCGAGGAAAGAGTTCATCTATAGGAGGAAGTACCGATGAGTCCGAGTGGGAGTGTTCCGATGTGTTGTCGGATGATGATGAGGGAAATAATTGACGTCGTGTCATCGGACGACGCATTATTGTATGTGATAGTGGAGTAGTCGAAGCTTCAGGCATGACACTATGGCCACGATGTAGACGGATTGTATCACGCTCAGTTCCTTGGACGGGTCGTCGTGCACTGACGCTGCGTGTCCGCAGACTATCAAACCGCATTGTTAAGAGGAGGGTAATTCAATAGTAGTAGTAGATTAAAGACACTGGCTCTGGCAGGGTCTTTGCTGTTGTTACATTGTGCAGTAAGCTATATTTATAGATATATATATGAAAGTAAATGTTGAGGTATATTTTGATGTTGATTGGAATAAAACAAGGTAAGAATGATTGTATGGTGGACAAAGATGGTGAAATACTGACTATATGTATAGACGACCAGCGAGGGCGAATTGATTAATTGACTACTATCTGAACCATAAAAGAAGGAAGAAAAGTCGTACATAAGACGGAGAGCGTCAAGTTGATGTGAAATGATGTGAAGGTTGGTGTGGTACAAATGTTACTATAAGTACGATGATGACATGGCGTACGTCTTGTTTCGTTTTTGTCAAAGTATGGAGTGGCAGGACGAAAAGAAGGCCCTATTAGCGACGATTAGGAGACAAGAGCACGAGACTGCAGCACTTGCTAGACGTTTTAAAATACTTCAACAGACACTGAAGGAACAGCAAAAGTTAGTGGATAGATATCAGCATGCGCTCGAGATGATTCAAGTCAAGATTCCAGCAACAGCAGCAGCATCAATTGCGTCACCAATTGACACAAGAAAGTATCAACCATTGACAAAACCCAAATTTACGACACAACCCAAAATAGAAAGTACTGAAATAACATTAATGAAAGACTATCCATGGCGGATAAAGAGGAACAAGACGGTAATGAGTATTGCTAAAGCTCCAGTGTTTATGCCGGAAGCGACGAGAAAGACCAATGAGAACAAGACAATGGCGATTGAGGTCAAGCCAGTAATTGTTTCTACAAGACGACGACACACGCGTTTGGCTTCGACGTGGGCAGAAGAAAAGCAAAAGATGAAACTCAAGAAACCCAAATGGACAAAACCGACTGGAGCATTGTCAGTATCCGGAACATTTGACAAGGAGAATATTATTCAACCCGAGGAGAGAGTAGACTGTCCAATGTCAACATTTGCCTATGTAGAAGTGGTGCGTAATCGAGAAGAACGAAGAGCTTTACCAGGTTATGACTGCATTGAGTGCAAAAAGTACTACGATGCACTTGGAGAAATTGCAGCTACTGATGTTGCAGCACAGAAACATAAGTGTTCACGACATCGTGCAAGGTTTCAACCGTATGAGACACCTGATGATTTTTGGAGATTGAGCTTTCCTGATTCGGAATCGCAATGATGGTCTTGGTGTCGCATATGATACGTATAGTACGATTGGACTGACAACTAGATGCAGCTCAGGTGCAGAGGATGTGAGAACTGTTGGATGACACGAGGGTTGCAGGGTTTGCTGAAAATGACGATAGATAGTGAGATGCGAGTGGTGGCAGTGGCGCCTATTGTTCGTACTTGCAGCAGCACGTGTTTACGACGACGACCTATTGTGGAGAGAATGCTACTGCTGTAAAGAATCTTGCACGTAAAGGATACTTTGAAGTTTAGCTTCACGTTAAAGGTCATTATTTTGATCCGTAGAAGTTACTTTTGATGTGAAATGGTGGTACACAAACATCACAAGCAGGATCATTTTAGAGACATGTTGCTAAATTTGTGCTCAGTCGGACTGGTGCTGCAAATTTGTCAAGGTCTTGGACAATGAAAGATAAAGCACAGCTACATCGTGATGCTTGCTTTGGTTGAACGTGTTTCTTTTCCATCTTGGCAGTGTGTGGTATGACTATTTGGATTTGCATTTCCTGTTTCAAGTAGCACGCTCATGTTACGTGGGCGACATGACATCATACATAACTCTAAAGAAGAAGTCGGATTGTCAGAACGCGTTGATTGTTATTTGGTAAATGTTGAGATCACCACATTGTTTCATGCAATGATATTAGGCTCCAGTGGCTCCAGTAGAGGCTCCTCGTCACTATCGGCACGTTTACTTTTCTTTTCAGACTGAACGACTGCATCAAATGCTGATGAAATCACAACGTTGTGTGAACGCACTCTTTCTGATGGGTAAACTAGCAGCAAATACAGCAGCAGCGAGATATAGAGGCCCGCGATGATAAATAGGCCAAACGATGTATTTGTTGACAAATGATCGGGAAGGTGCTTGCGAAGAATATCGTACGCGAGCGTGTAGTGAACACTACACAACAGCATTGTAACTACCCAGCTCAATGCCGCTTTTGCAATAATACACGATATCTGAATGTCTTTTCCATACAAACTTGAAACGGGTTGATTACTTAGTCCATAACACTGAGTGCTAAAGAAACTGCTTGCAAAAGCAGAAACAATTGCTCCATGGACCAAGAAGGTCAGACATAACGCCATGACTGTTTCCAATCCAAAATAAAAATTTGCTTCCTTGATATCTCTCACTGAGATTCTCGTCTCAGTGTGTCTTCTCTCTTGTATTAATGCCGAATGTAGAAATCGACTATGAGGTAGTATACTACCACCAAACATCGACAGTACTTGCATTACCTGTTGTCTCTCCATCTTTATCTCCATCAATGATCCGTTTACAATTTCAATAGCATGAGGTTCACTCATTGTAAACTCCACAAAGAAACACATGGACATGAGAATCAACAAGAGCAAGATAACGAGCTCAAGGAATCGACCTGAATCTCCTTGTCCATGAAATGATAAGAGTATAAATGTATTTACTCCAGTAAGTAGATATCCAAACCATCGTGGCAGTCCAAAGAGCAATTCCAAAGCTACGGACGAGCCTAGAAGTTGTTGAATATTCCAGCCAATAATTGCACATTCCGTCATGAACCAGAGTCCAAATGTAATAACTTGAGGTATTGAGAGTGATACAACTGAGCGAAGTGACGTCCTGTACAAGTTCCTAATCGTATGGCTACGAGTTGATATAATCCACTGCAGAGAAGATTAAGACCAAGTAGATAGAGGAAAGTAGAGGCAGTTGAAGCACCAGTTTGTACATCAAATTGAATCGTAACAGGGTTTTAGTATGTACTACTTAGAAACCAACTAGGACCAGTATAGGACTAAAAGATGGACCAAGAAAAGTCAAGATGACGTAGGACGTTTAGGATGACTTGATTAATTTCGAGTTCTACATAATTATATTGTTTGGATTGTAAGAGTGAAAAAAGGTATTCTCGTCAGATTTTGAATCAAAAGTGATATAAGAAACAAAAGTGATTTGAATATAGGACTGACTATTATCGATAGGATTTTTTGTATCATATTTTCATGAGCAATACAAATCAAAGCATAAAGTCAACCGTCATACACACACACCAGTACTATATTTGTTTGCACTGAAAAATATATGAATATGAATGGAATTGCCATGCTTTTCCTACAATACTATATACTGTCAAATCGACCCGTTCGAGATATCAATCATCTTTTCACTGATGATGTATACAGCTATATGCTTCATTGATAAACTCTTCTAGCTTAGTAGTTTGCATCATCATTGTACTTTCTTGACTTGCACCGAGTTCATACACCCTCTCGTGTAAAAGTAGGCTTCAATCTAGGACATATGAGCTCATTGCAAACAACAACAATATTAGCTGTCATTAAACCAAATTGCTGATGTCTACTCGATACCAACTCTTCTCGTCTACTACTTGACCGAGTTTGTCAAGCGTTTGGCTTCAAGTTTAACCACCACCTCAGCCTCTAAACGTCGAATGTCTTCCATAGAAAGACCGTACCATTCATCGGTCAGGCATTGCGCCTGACGCAACGTGTTGTGAAACAACTGTCGCTGTTGATCACGAATAACCTTTTCTGCCTACAACACCGACAACAGTCAAACCGGTCAGTCAGTATCCACCAACACACCAATGTCAGTTTCATACTCCCCCGTCCGTACCTTGCCCTGCACGCCCCAGTAGTCGAAATTGATGCGCACTACTTTGTAGCAGGTCATGACCGGATCAACAATCTTCATCCAGTCCCGTGTCAGCGGTCCACGTGAAGTTTTGACGGACTTGTACTGCAAATAAAACAATGACACAACATGTTAACAAAGTACGTATCCAAATACACACCCGACACTGCGCATTGTTCACCAACCGTGGCCGGATCACAGTCTTCCTGCAGCGTTTGCTTGGGCATTTTCTCGGCAATGTCCAATCTACACCACCAACATCAATACATTAATCAATTTCTCCATCTTCATACAGTGCTTGTATCACACAAAATATACCGTACATTTCAACTTTACGTTGCTTCAGCTCTTTTTTGCTCAAATCCAAAGCATTTTCCGAGTTACCTCTATCTCCCTTGTGCATGGATTCAATTGAAATATAAAACTTGTTCTTTGCCAAGTAACCGTTCACAATGACAGTCACACAATGAGGGTATGAGTTCCATGCTTCTTCAATAAGCACCATTGAATCTTCAGGACAACTATAATATACACACAGTTCCATCAAAAGATGATGACGACAACAACCACAACTCAGTGACTACACCAACAACAGTAGCAACAGCAGCTCTTCTTCTTCCATCTCTTCTTACAAAGTTGCAATGAATCCTGGTATCTTAGACTTGCAATAATAATGTTTACGTGTATATTGTCCTTTATTACGTGGAATCATCCATCCCGAGAGCTTGGAAATCCCCATCTGTCCATCGATATTATCATACGGTTCATTCACTAGAATTTCCACACCTTCTCCACCACCCGTGAGTTTTTCACTTGCATTTACAACCATATACAATTGAGCCACTTGAAATTCATCCACTGACATATGAAGTGGGACACGAAATTCATGAATTAACACCATTCTTTCAATGGAAAACGAAGAAGAAGAAATGAAGCCAAATCGATCGATCAAAAAAAAAGATTAGTATTAATAGTAGTAGTAGCTATAAATAGTAGTAGTACTGAATAGAGAGAGACGAGACCTATGAAATAGCCTAGAAAAAAAAACAGTAACGATTGTATCAAAGAGTTTTTTTTTGACAAAAAAGAAGAAGAAAAAACACACACACACATACGCCGGTATATATTATACTGAGTATACACTATACGTTTTATTCTCACAACCCCCCCCCCTCCTCCTTCCACTCTATATATAACGTTTTTAGTATGGGTAACAGTGATAGTAAGAGTAAGTTTCGTGAGAGTGTATACAAGCTCAATAACGAGGTCATTAGTAGTAAGAATCTTGATTTTTGGGATAAATTATGGCGTATACCTACCGTTGCCGAAGAGATTTTCACTCTCATTCAACCCGATGATGTCCGTATGTTACGTCATCAACAGCCTGAAAACCTTGCGACCATGTTAAAACAAGCCGTATCTCAATTGGTTCAAATTGTTGATACACCAGTTCCTAAATATTATCAACAAGCACTTAATTGTGTCCGTGTCTTAACTCGTCTTGTTCCATTTATTTTAGAAGAAACTGGTGATGCATTTGGAGAAGAATTATTCTGGAAAGTAGAAGAAAAAGAAAAAGAAGAAGAAGAAGAGGAGGAGGAGGAGGAGAAGAAGAAGGAGGAGGAGGAGGAGGAGAAGAAGGAGAAGAAGAAAAGTGGTGGTGTCTCATTAGCTACACAAATGATACATGCGATCATGGGTTTACTCTTTTTACCAGAGTTTACAATCTCTATTCATGCTTATAAAGGATATGGAGAAGAAAGACGGAGTGCTACAAGAAGTGGACAAACGACGACTAGTAGTAATAATGATGATGCTACTGGATTGATGGTATTTCCATCTTTATTATGGCATGCAGGGGTTGGATATCCAGATGCAAATGTCGTTAATTCATCTACGTATGATAAAAACCGACGAGAAGTGTTAGCGTTGTTATTAACGTGTTTTTCAAGTATTTTGTACCAAACAGCCGAAACGTGTAATCAGTGGAAAGATCGATTCTTGGAAGTTGCTACGGCACCGGAATGTCCATTTGTACCGACATTGTTTTATTCCTTGCTGAATATTGCAATTTCATATGATCCAGTGGGCTGGGGAGTCCCGTATGCTGGATCCATTGTCTCGGATGACCGTGAATTACTCGTGGACTTGTCGCTGCAAGTCCTTCTTGTGTTACTAGACTTTGGACAAACGACGGAAAGAAATCTGACGGCCACGTCGAAACCACAACCAGGAAGCTTGACTCCGTCAGCTAAACGTCGTTCATCCTCGGCGGCATTGAAAATATCGAATCCCGTATTTGACGGTGTACCGAACGCTTATCGGAGTTTACTGTCATCACTACAGAGACCAGAAGACTTTAATCTTATTTTTACAGGCCTTTCGCGTCTGTTGAACAACTATCATCAGTCCATGAGCACGTTGCTGCCAAATTCAATCAAACAGATCAAATGTCATCAGGAGTTGCTCGTGTTGTTGTGGAAAATGCTTGACGAGAACACAGAGTTTTTGCACTATGTGCTAAAGAAGGCGGATGTAAACCAGCTCGTGGTGCCGTTACTTTTCCTCATGTACGAAGGCAGACAGGAACCAGCCAAGGTTGGCATGATCCACATTTGTACTTTTATCATGTTGTTGTTGAGTGGTGAACGAGATTTTGGTGTGAACCTCAACAAGCCCTTCAACAATCACCTGCCGCTCGACTTGCCACCGTTTTCCGGCAATCACGCAGACCTCCTGATTGTTTGTTTGCACAAGATTATCGTGAGCGGCTATGAGAAGCTTAACTCAGTGTACAATTGTTTTCTCACCATCATTTGTAACATCACGCCGTATTGCAAGAGGCTTAATATGGTGTCAGCTGTGCGTTTGCTGCGCCTATTCAAGCTTTTTGCGCAGCCACGATACCTTTTTGATAACGAAGCCAACCATCATTTGGTCTTCTTTTTGCTCGAGGCCTTTGACAACATTATCCAGTACCAATACGAGGGTAACCAGCAAGTCGTGTACGCTATGATTCAGAACAAGAATGTCTTTTATCAGCTCAATGACTTGCGACTTCCGCCCATTCGGGCTTCATCTGAAGGGAAGAAGCCGGTTGAGAAGGATACCGACTGTACCGAGGAAGGAAAGGAACAGGACAGGGCTGCAGATGGCGAGTTTGTTCCTACAGCCGAGTGGCTTGCTGCATGGAAAAAGAAGCTGCCTTTGGCTACGAGCCTTCGACTCCTCCAGCATCTCATCCCACAACTAGAGGATGCTTGTCGGAAGGCCGGGGGTAGTCTGGACGAAGATGCGATGCTATACTTTCTGCGCACTACCACAATGGTGGGTCTTCTGCCTGTGCCGCACCCTATTGTGATTAGGAAGTATCAGATCAACCAGTATACTCACCTGTGGTTCACCACATTCACGTGGGGTGTTATCTTCCTTCGCAACCAGGTGCTGCCACTGTTTGACGGCGGTGCAATCACGCTGTTCACCATCAGTGTTCTATAAGAAAAAGAAACACGAGACTGATTGAAGACCGCAGCTGAATGGATAGGTCCGAGACAGTAATATTGCGTTAATATACAACCGAATGTGATATGCCAAATGTTTGCATATGCTTCGAGGCAGCATGGATACTACGAGATCTGTCGATGCTGCTCTAGCTACCTGTAGTCTGCAGGGTCTCATGCCCGCGTTATTGTTTGAGAAGATGCCAAACACTTGCATACATCATTGTCATGGCGATGACAGCAAGTGAAGAAGAAACTTCTCCATTTTCTCGGCTTGCTGAGCCGCATTTGCTTGCGTAACCTCAAGGTCGTGTGCGCTCCGCCGAAGTCGTTCCTCAAAAGCTAATTGGTTTGAGCCTACACTTGATACTGTCGAAGCTGTCGATGAAGTTGAGGCTGGCTGCTGCTCGTCTAAGGAAAAAACATGACCTGCTTTTGAGTAGGCCAAATCCTTGTTCAAGCCAAATTTGCACGAAGACACGAGACACCGACCAAAAACAAACGCCAACTTCTCGGGCGTTAGCTTGTTTGTGGCGCTGTGCTTGAGCACTTCTCGCAAGAAAGACACCAAATATACCATGACGTTGTAGCGCACTGGAGGCAAAGCGTCCAACAATACTCGACAACCTTGTCCCATATTGCCATTAGCACTCGCTACTGCGGCTGCTAAAGCTTCGTCTAACACGACACTTTGCCGCAATGCTTGAAGCCAACGCACAAGCAACTCCGCCGTGGAGTATCCACTATGGCTTGGAAACGGGGCTCCTGTGTCCAAAGCTTCTCGCAGCTGCACAATCTCTACCTTACTGCCTGCCTCAACAAACAGATTCTTTTCTTGCATGAAGTTCCCGTATATATCGTTCACCATTCGCCAAAGCTCCTTAGGCACCTTCTGCAAAATAGTCACTGGACTCGGTGGCACATTAGACACCTGAGGAGCGACCAGTGCATTGGCGTCAACACCTGCTGCTCCACCCACCCAAACGCTAAAGACTGATGACGCAGGAGCGTGCGAAGCTGTAAACTTAGTTTGTCGGACAGGCTCTACACTCGCCACCAACTGCTCAAGGGAGCTTCCAAAACAAGAATTTGCGTATTGTCCAGAAACTACCAGAAAATAATCACGACCGTTCTCGACACGCAAGATCATAGTGTCGTCCAAAGTTTCCTCACCGCTACTTAAGCCATGAGCAACAGTCTCGTCTACGAGAGCGGTTATGCAAATATCCATCTTCTCTCCTGGCGGAATCATACCAAACATTGGTGTAGCACTCAACCAAGATTTGCATACTGCTACATCTTCCAGTTTTGGAATGAAACGAAAGTGCGTCACAACTAGTCCTGTGTTCTCAATGGTCACTTTCTTGCTCTGTTCGACACCAAATTTTAGCTCCGAAAACGAAAATACACCACTGCTGGTACTACCATCTGCTTGAAACAGTCGGACCTTAGGCATGTTGTCGTTTTCCCATTTATCCAGCTGCATCATAATTTCACGAATTACCTCATTTTTCTTCGACTCCACTTGGAACTTCACCTGTACGTCAAAGAATGCGTGAACAGGCTTGTGATCGGACATTTCCAAGGCAGGAACAGAATTGTAACTGAGAAGCTTCACGTCTGATGGGTTCTTTGCTTTCCATAGAACGCGATCACACCACGCTGGAGCACGAAGCTTTTTTTCGGGCCGTTTTTCATATACAGACGTCCCAGCCTGGAACTTGTACGTTGGAGGAAACGAAATCACACCTTCTTCAAAGCCCTTCAATACCATACCTCGCTGCCGCTCGATCGTAAGTTGGTCGTGCTGCACCAACTCGTGCAAATGTCTTCCACTTTTTACCATACGAAAGATCTCGTCGGTTGTCAATGTATCCTGGATACGGTAGTTCAAATCACCAGTCCAAAAGACAAAGTCATGATTGAGGATTGACGGCGCTCCACTCCAAAACCTGCCACTAGAGTACAGCTTGTTTTAATAGGACAATGTCAATGTACATCTCACGTAGCACATATCATGATTGCACGCACCTCATATCTTGGACCGAAGCAGTCAATCCATCTTCTGCGTTATCTCCAAAGTGCACTTTGCTGAGAATATTCAGATAATCAACATTCCTTCCAATGACATTTTCTCGATGTGCAGCTAAATGTGCACATACAAAGCACAAGGTGCTACTGTAAAATTGAAGTCGTACAGCTGCTCCTCCTTTATTCCCCATGACGCCCATAATCCCAACACCAGCAGTTGCTCCTTTAATTTCCTTTACATGGTCCCAATGGTCAATTTTAACAAACACCAAGAGTAAAATACCCACAAGATGTTTCTCCAGTACAACTTTATATTGTTGCACGGGTGTGTCCAACGAGGTGCTTGTATCACGTCCAAGATATTGATTCAAAGCTGTTAGAATTGCTTCTTCCCATGCTAAACTCCTTTGAACGGTTAATGTACTATTCACGACCACATTGACAGCATTAAGGTCGACAATCTCTTGAAAACCTAGTGCCACAAGATCCGGCATGTCTTCATCCTCGCCATTTTCCTGATAACCTGCTTGGAGTGGCTGTAGCCAATGAAGAAGCTTGGGAGCTTCCGTCGATCCTAAAGGTTTCTTTCCATTAACATTCCATGTGCCTGTAAGGAGACGAATGGATTGAACTTGAGTATATTCAGCCTGTCGTAAGATTAATTGTTGTTGAATCCAATCTTCTCGTATAATTGACATGACAACAGGATTGTAATATTTAGTATTAATTATTCCTAATGAAGTAGCAGCAACAGAAGAAGAAGAAGAGGAGGAGGTTCTTCTTGTTGTTGATGGGAGTAAGGTATTAAACGTTTCGACATCACTTGAAGATGTAGTCATGATGTTGTTAGTAGATTTTAGAGATAGATAAGAATGTAAAATGATTGGAATATAGTATAGAAAGAAGGATGATAGAAGACGAGAGAGGTAATTTGTGGCGTGATGGAAGTTCGTTGTCTAGTTAGAATTGTAATTTTGATATACTTGTGTGAGAAAGATAGAGAAAATCAAGAAAACGGTTTTTAATTGTCTACGAAAAAAACAAATGATAAAACCTCGTCAATACTACCGGTTGTTTTTTTATATACTGCGACTAGGGGTTGGTGGGCTTGCTCTTTTTCCTGGAAAAAATAAAAAGAGAATTGATTGATATTTGGTTCTTATCAGAAATAGAAATAGATGTCACACACACATCATCATCATTTAGAAATCAACGTTCAGTCTTCTCTCATTTTTCTTCTTTTTAATTATACCACAATAACAATAACAATAACAATAAGTACTACTAATGACAGGACGCCATAACAATACGAAATGGGTCAATGTGGATTATACGAATCATATCATGGATGAATCAATCGCTCTTCCTCCTCCTTTCTCCTCCTCATCGATTACTACTCAACCCCATCCCATTCTACCTCGTACATTGAATGATTCCTACTCGAATCCCATGACCTCCTCTACAACATCCTTTCTTCCTCGTGACTCTATGGAGATGAAGAATACGATTCAAGTGACTGTAAATGAACCAATTAAACAAGGAGAAGGAATGAATGCTTACATTTCGTATAAGATTAGTACGATTACAAATCGTGCTCAATTTTCAAAAAGCTCATTTTCGGTCATTCGACGATATCGTGATTTTATATGGATTCATGGACATTTAAGTGCCATGTATCTTGGTGTTGTGGTACCTCCTTTACCTGAGAAATTATTGGTTGGACGATTTTCACCGGAATTTATTGAAACTCGACGTCGAGCATTGCAATTATTTTTACATCGATGTTGTTTACACCCGGAATTACAACATAGTGAACATTTAACGACGTTCTTAGAAGCAAGTGAAGAACAATTGCAAGCTTTTCGAAAAGATCCACGACATGCACTACCTCATGCACAACGTGGAATGTTATTTCAATGGATAGATGATACCGTGAATACGATTTCGTCGACCTTGATTACGCCAACAATGCAGTTACCCAAGACACCAGCAGATGTGGAAGTGGATGAAATGATGGTATACATTGAAGGGCTTGAACCTATTATGACGGGATTACATAAACATGCTCATGGATTGACAAAACGAGCAAGAGAGATTGCCGATGGACTGTTTGAATTTGGTGTCTCGTTTACGTTATTGGGCAAGTCGGAGGAAAACCCGTCGTTGCAGGAAGGATTGAGTCATATTGGTCATTGTTCCGACCAGCTTTCGATTTTGGCGGCTGAACATGCTGAGCGTGAGGCACTGCACTTTGAGGAGCCAATTTTTGACTATATTCGGCTAGTTGGGGCAGTGAAGGCTGCGCTGCAGAAACGGAACGAAGTGAGATGTACTTATGGCGCTGCAGTTGCTGATGTTGAAGCAAAGGAAGCTGTGTTGGAAAAGCTGCTGAAGCATGGTCGAGGACGTGCTACAGAGGAGAAGATTGTGTTGGCAGAGAGTGAAGTACGGGCAGCACAGCAGAACATGGAAGATGCTAAACTCGAGGACGATATTGTCACGGAACGTGTTTTGCGCGAGGTGGAACGTTTCAAACGTGAGAAGCTGACAGATTTTAAGCACATTATTTTGGATTACATTCAGATGCAGATCGAGTACAGCAAAAAAGTAGAGAACGAATGGCAAAAGGTTATTCCAAAGCTCGCGATGATTCGTGTGGAGACTGGTAGGTCATCATCGACCTCGACGAGTCCAGTATCTGAAGTGACGACAAATGACACTTTTCAGGAACAGGAGGAGACAGCTACTACAACTCTTGGTTCGATGATACAGGAAGATTACATTCCGTCGAATGGAGATTTGACAGATAGCCTTTCGGATCTGACACTTATGGCAAACGACGACATCGACGAGGATCCTTTCCAGCGGTCACCGTACGGTTCCCGAGCCATGGAGGACTCGAATCCGGACGTGTTACCTTAAGGACTTTTACATGTTAGGAAGGCTTGTTGACGATCGATTATATTTTAATGTAAGCAAGACATACACTCAATGCTAGTATGCCTCTATCGTTTACGTTGTCGTACGCTGAGTGTGCCTGGCATTGCGCCGGGCAAGTGCTGCAGCGATCTGGTCACGAGAAGGCAATACCCAGCGAGCATAACTGTCCTGGTAACTCAAGTTTCCGGTGGCTTCCTTTCGCTTTTGCCTCAATTCCGTTCCATGATACAGTGCCACCCCAGCAATCACACATAGAACGGCTGATAGCACTAACAAAGCAATCTGGTTGCCTGTAAGGCCAATTAACTCCATGAGCGGCAGAGGCTCGAAAACTAGCTTATGCACGGCGCATGCAGGTTCACCTCTGGTCGAGTTAGGACCAACCGTTAGGTTTACGGGATAGTCTGCGTATCGATAGAGGTTGCATGGTCCGTATTCACTTATGTTACCACCGCGCGCTATACGCATATAGCCGTCCTCGCCCCACATCGTACCCCACGTATTACGAAGTATCCAAAACTCGTCACCAGTGTCAGTCTGTCCAAATCCCACAACCACCACAGCGTGGTTGACTTCATATTCATCGCTAAGACAGTCTTGAGCATCATAAATCCCACCTGCGTAGTGACGAAAGCCATCTCCTGTGGCATCAACGTTAGCTGTGACAGGTCCCATCGTCACCGCTCGAAGTAGTGCCTGCTCATTTGCAGCAACAACCTTGTAATCCGACACCTGATCATCCCAAGCCACTGCGACGTCCGTCACAGGCAGCACATAACACTCTGTATCAGTCTCATTCGTTGCCATTACGTACGGATACGTGCTCTCACACGAAATTCCGTGAGGTTTAGCAAGGTTCAGATATGCATACGTAAGAAACGGCATTCCACCCGCACATCCTTCCGACGAGCTGGTCATATTGTCCTTAAATTTGCTTTGAATATGATCTAATGATGCCGAGCAGCTCAACACTTGCTCTACACTCAGTACCGATGCTGATACATTATTTTCAATAGCAAATCTTGATTCCACTACGGACACGCCTGCAAATGCCCAGCAGCTTCCACACGTCCCCTGGTTCTTGATCGGTGTCATATATTTCCCTCCGTCCTTCGTTGTCCAGTCCACTGTCATTGGCACCTCCATCTCATCTTTCTCCACATGGTTCTTACTTTCTTCTTCCGTAGCATCCAGATCAAAATTAACGATCACCGCTTTCCTTCTCTTCTCTCGCATCAATTGGTGCTTCTCTTGTTGTTTCCTCCCTCGAGGTGAATCTTTATCTGGTCCCAAGCCCAAAAATGCTCGATACTGCTCATCGGTCAAGTCACTCAGCTCATTATAGCCCAGAAAATAGCTCTTCTTGCCTGCTTTATGCTCTGCATTGGCCTTGTCTACCACTTGTGTTGTTTTAGCCAGAGCCTCAGCGCGCATCTTATCTGAGGCTCTTATCGGTCCCGTCATTGATCGTCGCTTCGTATGAGTCTGTGCATGATACATACGCATCTCAAATTCATTTACTGCCTCGTTAGAAGCCGCTAGAGCGTCATAGAGAGCGCAAAATACGAGAAAAAGGCTCAAAATGGACATGAGTTTGATGAGTTTGTAGCGAAATGTGAAGCTATGAAGAGCGCGAATGGAGACTACGGAACAAACAAGAAGAAATGATACACTCGATAAGCAGTACAGCAGGAAGACTGAGAGCGATAGAAAGACCTAGTAACAGCGTCAACTCGTGAGGAAGAGACGGCAAGTCTTGTTGGACTCTTGTTGGCATTGTTGAATGTGATGAAATAATAGTCACTTACTCATGTGCCTGACCTCAGATTAGGAAGGTTAAATATTTCGTTTTGTCTCCTTTTGGTTTTTATGTCATTGTGCTCTTTAATTGTAATCTTTCTAATTCTGTCCACATACCTTGCCAATATGATATACGTATCTATATCATATATCAAAGGAAGATGCTCACAAAACAGAATTTTTAAACCCTACTACATTTTCTCCAGCGCCGACACCGGAGCGTCGTCTTGTTTTTCCTCTTTTCATGGCGTATGATAGATCTTCGGATAAAGAGTCTGCATACGTAGATGCACAGTACACAAGTGAAGATAATGCAATGATTTTCGAGTCCAAGAACCCACTAGAAGCTGAGTTATCACTGAATTTACCTCTTGCATTGTCTCGAAAACCAGGTTCTGTAACTATAAGTGACCGTACTAAGGTTGTTACTACTGCTGAAGATCTAATGTTATGCTCAAAACATAGTCAAGACGAAGACAATGTGAATGAAGTCCTATACAGCTTCAGGAACGCACAAAGGCGTACACAGTCGGACGGGAACCTAAGAAGACACGGTTTGCCTTCCAATCCCTCTATTGCAGTCAATAATGATGCTACAGCAGAATTTCTAGCTGTCTCTGGACATTCAGAGTCTGCTCTGATGGTAAATGATGAGAAGGAGGGCATAGCAAAGTTGCCGCCATCGATTTCAGTGAGAACAGCCAGTAATTCTTCATCTCAAGGGACTATGGCCATGGAAAAGGGTTTACTGGCTGGAATGACCGCCTTGGCTGGCACGAAATCACCTGAAAGGACAATACAAAATGTTGACGTAGTTTATTCTACACCAGGACCACTGTATTTGGATCTATACTCTCGAGACGATGGTACAGGAGCTCTTGTAAAAGGATTTAGGAGAAAACCCGATGGGTCGATGGCAGATGCTGAAGCTTCGGGTCGAGTATTTCCTGGTGATCAACTAGTGGCAATCAAAAACGTGGATGTGACCAAGATGGTGTTTAAAGACATTATTACGTTTGCACAAGAAGCCAAGGTCCCGTTGAAGCTGACATTTCGCCGTTATTATCCGATCAACAGGGAAGAGCGTGAAAAGGAAAAGACGAAGATAGACATTAACTTTTCCACTGAACCCGTAGTACCACTAATCTCGCCGTGTAATAGTGCAGGATGGGGAGCTAGACTGAGCCACATGACGAGGTCGGGGTCGTTCGATCAGAAGACGAGCGGGACGTATCTTGGTAATAGCGCTCCGGTGTCATCACCGTCACATTCAACAGCCTCGGAGTCGAGTGGAGGAAAGTTTGGCATATCATTGGGTAAGGTGGGTACTGACGGCATGAAAAAGAGTTTGTTTCGTATGATTGGCAACAAAGTATCACGGCCTGAAGAAGACAAAAGTGTGGTGAAAGCCTGGCTGGATGGCCTTGTGTTGAAATCACACAAATCGGTCGAAGGACGGCATCGCAAGACTATAGTGAATACAAATACTGATGTCTTGCACTCGACGCCAATTGTGGCCGTAACAACGGGAGGTCGATTTATTGGTGTGTTAGACGACGATATGGATGAGTTTTTGCTCTCGTGGTTTCGTAGAATACCATCTGAAACGGATGTTAGGCAAATTAAGGGAGTGAAGCGATGCCCATATTTTCCTTCAGTAGACGACGTGGGCGCCGTTTTGTCACTTCGGTGCGAGTCACTTCGCTTTCCACAGCTACAACGTGTAGTAGAGATGCCTCGACCGTTAGTGCTGGACTCAGACGTGGGAAATACGGTGGATGTATTGCTCGAGGCTGGCGCAGGTTCATTTTCAGCAACTTTGGCGAGTAACGAGCACGATAGTTTTCAAATTAAAATATCTGCGGTATCGGTTACTCTTGTTAAGATATCGGAGGACGAAGGAGGTGTTGTGGTGGAGGCTGTCTATGGTCCATTTCTCCAAGTTTTACTTGATCCAAGTGACCAGCTCCGATTCACGCTCAAGGTGCAAGAGTTTGGAGGCTTCTTGGGTAACCGTAAAGGGGATATTTGCGATTTAAAAAAGCGACAGGCGCAGCTTGAGGATATATCCTGCTTCTTTTTAGTGGCTCAAAACAGGCAGAATCGTGATATTTTGACGCTGCTAATTCGCAAGTTTCGAGCACGCACGATCACACCTGAGCATGAACAAGTAGCTCAAGCTGACGAAATGAATCTGTTCATGGACCCTGCATTTGTCGCTGCAATAGCACCACCGCCACTAGCGCTGACTGCATCTCAATCCGTTGAGTCAAACTCGGGCGCAGTATCTCCTGCTAGCAATTCTGTTGCGACAGGAGAGACATCAAGCAGTGAAGGGTCACCAACAACGGTAGCTGCTTCAGTATCCGGTATGGTTTCTTCTCTTGGAACTAGGAATACTCATGGTGTGCGCTTACAAAGTGAGGAGTCGTTAAGCTGTACGTCTAGTCCGCGGCTCAGTGACCTAGTTGGCTTAGAATCGGATAATTCTGGTCAACAACTAAAAAGCGAGCGATGGTCGGACTTGGCTACTTCTGCAGCAACACCACCTCGTGCTGCCGTGGCACCAAGCAAAAGTGGGTCTGGAATGGGTAGTGATAACGTTGTTATCGACAATTCGTTCGTAGAAGGTCGAATTGCTGCCCAGGGCAATGAAATTATCATGCTTCGAGAGAAGCTTGCTGTGGTGTCAGTTCTCGTAAAAGCAGCAAAGCAGGAGAACAAACAGGTATTGGCGTCCTTGGAGATGAAGAACAATTGCATTGAAGTGCAAAAGATGAAGATTCGACAGCTTGAAAAGCTAGCAGAGCAACGTGAATTGCAAACACGCGAAATGCAAAACTTGCGCAGTAGACTTGAGGATGAAGAGCGGCATCATGCATTGTGCAGAGAAGAACTGCGGCAGGTAGCTGCAATAGCAGCTAAGCGAGTATTAGAAGTACGAGAGGAAGGTGTTCAAACAGAGGCCCAGTTCTTAGATGGAGAAGGACTGATATATGTAAGATCAGGCTGGAAATATAACACCTGGTCTGGCAATGTCGCAACAGTAAGTGCAAGTGACCTGCAGTATCAAATCAAGGATCAGCAGATGCAAATTGCACAATTTCAGGACGAGCACGTCAACTTGGTGGCTGAACGAAATATGCTCCGCGCGAAATCGATGGAGTTGTCCAGAGAGCTTCGAAGACTTGTTGAAGCCAATGACAATCGACCACTAGATGATCTTAAGGTACAACTTGCGGAGCGAAGCAGCCTCCAGGTTGAGCTTGCTTCTGTTAAGGCTGATGCAAAGAGAAAAGGAGATGAACTGGTAGAGCTGAAATGTCTAGTCAATAGTGCCGGTGACAAGGGCAAGGGTGCAAAGCGTCTTGCAGCTCAGAATGTGAAGCTCCAGCGTACTGTACATCAATTGAAAGATTCTCTCAGTGAGGCTAGAGATCAAGTCGATGCTGTTAAAAAGATCAATAGCGCTCTTGCATCACGTCTTCGTTGTCTGGAACAGGACCGACGTGGTAGTATTGTCGAACCTGCATCGACCACTGCTTCGGCTAGCATTCCTTTCTTTTCATCAGGCGGTGAAGACGACGATGACGACGATGATGACGACGACGATGAGGAGGAAGAGGATGAAGAGCTAAAGGATGGTATTGCTGCATTTCGAAAATCACTGGTAGGTACATGATGGAGCCTTGACCACAAAAGTTGTGGACATTCATGGCGCTTACGTGTACGACTCGGCCTACGTGCTACATACTGGTACTTCTACGGCGATCTTAGAAGACTCAACGTCAGGAACCGTGCTGAAAGACGTGAAAAGTTTGACGCACTCATCTCATTTGCTTTTGAATGAAGCCGTGGACTTTTTGAATACTCAAGTGAGGATCTCGATACACCGTGTATTGTGGCGTCGCGGGTGACAGTGTCCGCCTTGCGGTGATCGCGTCTGGTGACGGCTTCAAGTTACGAGACTGCCTCCGTCCAGTAGTAGACACTGCCGCTTCCTGTGCCGTCATCCGTTCGCCGCGGATGACACGATAAAAATGCAAGATCCAGAGGCTTGTAGCTGCTCACAGAAGAGTTCTTGGCATGAAGCCTCGCCAACCATCGAGAACGAAGCCGCCACGCTAATCTTACACGGAAAAGATGGCAGAAACTAGATAGGAGGCTTTTTAAAACCAGTAAATATTTCCTTTGCGTCGATTGCTGCAAGCAGCTCCTTGTAACCTAGGACTTTAAGTCATTTACGAGCTGTGTTTTCGGTAACAAGATCCGATTTAGCCAACAGGTCCTGGATCTTCTTCTGGCAACGCGGTGTGATGTGGTTGCAAGATGCCAATGCGCGTTACTTGCTAGCTGAAGCGAACAATCTTTCTCTACCCTTTAGACAGTGTGTCGGAAGTTGGCTGTCCAAGAAAGAGACCCAATTGGTCGGTCTAGTGTCTTGTGTGACTCAGCTCTTTGAATATTCGCGTGGATGATGATAGCCAAATGTCTTGGTCTTGCTCCTTCAAAAGCGGTGGATGTATGTATACTCGATCGGCATGGAGAAAAAGTTGGCAACTTTAATTCTGTAAACAAAACGTCATCTTCACAAAAGTGTAGCCTTCTTTATAAACACTGTCACCGCTTGCTAACGACAAGGCTCCGGTACTGCTTCGCTGAATACTACGACCCCAGCCCTCACGGCCTTCCTCAATCACCAAGTCGTCAAGCTGGGCATTGGCCTTGTTTGCTGTACTTTCGGTCGCCGATTCGTGGGTTTCCTTAACCCGTGCATCAATTGCCCTTCTTTAGGGACATAGCCTTATACGCTTGCTCAATTGCTGCAGCGAGTGCAGAAGGCGGCATGGCGACATCGTAATTCAAGTTCCCGGAAATAATTGTATGATGGTATAAATCGGAAAGTCCACTGCCGCACGGTGTACATCCATGCCAAATAAGTGAATGAGGCTAGACGTGACTGCATGCTTCAGCAACACATTATCTTTCCTAGCTCGACGCAGTCGTTGCGAGCTGTTGACGAGCGAAGCGCTAAGATTGCACGAGACAAATACGATGGACACGTCGAAGTACCGGATGGGGACACCAACAACTTCATTAAAAGTCTTTTGCTGGGCCCAGACTCGCCCATCAACAGCTCAAGCTTCACATTGCCGCTAGCGTCGTCTGCATTTTTTACAAAACGATTTGACACACTGACTGACACCTGTACAAAGACAAACAGGAAACTTTCGTGTCAGCAATCAAAGACGATGCGGCTTTTTTGTCACCTCAACCAAGTTGGCAACAGTAGCTACTTCCATCTTGAACATGACCTCGTACAGCCGTTCCTGCAATCGAAGTAATGGATCGGTAGGCAGTAAATTATCTTACCTGCAGAAGATATCCTCGGATAACCTGCTCAATGGCTTGCACTTCCACGCAGTGCTGGAGTGAAAAAACATACAAATCCTTTCCTGCCGGTATCCAGTCCTCCAGATTGGTTGGACACGAGGTCCAGTCCATATCAAAAGTGGTAACAAAGATAGTTGCTGTGCCCATGTGCCGCTCCTGTTCCCGTAATTGTATCGATTGTGGCAACAAGTCCTCCGAGAGCTTGCTATTCCTTATGGGCAAACCGCTATTACTCGTTCACGGCTCCCTTACATGACGCACGACCCAAAGATGGAGCTTGCCGTAAATGATGGCGTTGATAAAGCCCTGGAGCGGTACAATGGCCGCATACAAAAATGTCAGCGTAAACGACGTCTTGCCTGTAAAAGAGGGGTAAGTGCGATCCGCCACGGCCAGAAGCCAACACAAGATAAAGCTTGAAATATAGACTGTAAGGTTGTGCACCACGGCGCATGAAGCATCATTCAGCGGTATAAATTAAGAGTCATAATAAACTTCTAAGCAATTGGAGCGCCATCACCGAAAGTAATAACCATTCATGTGAGTACCAAAGAATAACAGTGTTAGTCCATATGTGCCTTTTTCTTAACTACATACAAATTTTCCATTCATGTAATGCTATCGTACTAACAGCTTGTAGTTTACTAATGGCTGTTACGGGTTCTCTAATGTTCTGCTTTAATGTTTTGGTTGGGCCTGTGGCCCCAAACAGGTCCTATGAAAAGATATTGTCATACATAAAAAAACATGTCAAGATGGTTAGCATTATTACGACAGTATGACAAGGATACAGCTATCTAAGAAACCGGTTACTAGATACGCAATAATAGTGTACAAGTTTCTTTGTCACATCAAGGTGATGAGCTAAACCGTAGATCGAGAGCGATTTGGCTTTAAGTCTTCGTGCATACCAATAGCGATATAAAATACCACTATTGGAAAGCATCGAAGATACGCTGATGCGACTGTCAGAGTATCCAAGAAACGCTCATCTTTTGTTCATGCTAAATGATTCCATTGTAGAAAGATAAGGTGATGGGTGTGAAGGACGATTAATGATGAGTTAGCAGCAGCAATTTCAGAGAAGAAGCAGGAGGAATCAGTCATGATAGCGAGAGAGATTTAGAGTGTCTCTTACCAATTATGTACAAGATTTCTGAAATGTCTGCAGCTATGTCAAGTACGCAGGGATTGTTGTCCGCAACGTCTCGTCAGGGCCCGCCACGAGAACACAAGGACTTACTTGGTGCTTGAGTTAAGATCTCAAGACACGCCTGTAATGTAGCTCCTTGTATCATGAAACAAGTAGAACACAGTTTAATGATATCATTGCGACTACGTGCAAGTATATTAAATGTGCCAAGCGATGGTTGTTTTACTATTACTGTTTTCCACCTGTAGGCTCTCGTCCCTCCACAAGCAGGTCAAGATCATTGATGCATGGGTGCTCTACAGCCGTTCTATGGCAAATCCTATTTCAGACAAAGAACAACACACACGGCACTAATCGCAGTGGTAATGTCTTCAATGCTCGTAGTACCGAGAATGGTGTGAAGGTTGAGTTGCCAAAGCATAAAGAGCTACCACATTTATTTCTTTTTGCGTCGTCCGCAGTCTAAGGGTAAACATGAATGCTACGCAATATAAGAAGCTGGACCAAGAATCGTTGTTTGAGAGATACAAGATGGTGCGTCTTCTAGTGCATCTTCTTATCTAATTGCGTGAGATCGATCGGAAAGGTTTGACACACCACCCCAGATGTTGAGGGTTCGATACCCTGTTAGTGACGTCTTTGATTTGTGATGGTGTTTTGATACACACCAGCCTGTGATCAACGAGTTGTCGTCTGGATTGAGTGGTCAGTAAATGAGATAAAAGCATACACAGTACACCGACAAAACAATTAACTTTTTGGCTTTGCTGCTTCTGTTTAAAGCTGTGCTCGTCCAGTTTTTCTCTTTCAAATGTCAATCTGTGCTATTTACTAGAATGCGTCACCCCGTACAAATTTGCCTATCCAATTGTCGTCCTGGTCTTGAGTGCTAACTATTCTGGTGGACTTTGTTCGATAGACCAATCCCGTTCCAAACACTAGCAAGACAAGACGGATCATTGCATAGTCACACAATTGTGACTATGCGATGAAAACTGACACTGTTCTTTATAAGAACTTGGAAAAAAGTCTTAGCTCATATGCAAGCTAGAGCTCACTGGTCAATCACGTTCATTGATGGCGACCTCTAAAAATGGAAAGACACGAGTGTCTACTGTTTTACCTGATCCATTATGTATCAATGCCGCATAATATGGAGCAGACATGCCCAAAAGTACCAGTAGCAATGGAATTCACACAAGACAAATTATGGACAGATGAAACGCTGCAATTTTTTACTGCTCAACTCTTTTAAACTAGCTTAGCTGGTTAAGGTTTTTAGGTCCAGGTTTGTTACTAAGGTGAACTGTAGCCGAGCTACTGTAGCTACGCTACTTATGCACTATGTGCAGAAGAAGTAGTCAGACTACTGTCGCAAAGCTACGTATGCACTATGTGCAGAGGAAGACAAGCTCAAAAGCTTCTACGTCTTAGGGTGCTTAACCCTCCCAGGCTAGCTTGTAAGCTTGTGCCTATCGGTTGCTGTAACCGTGTCTCAAAAAGATACTTGATCCTCAGGAGGAATAGAAGGCTCAAGCAGTGATGCTTATAGAGCAGGTTTTGAAACTGATTTATATTTATGTTTATCTTCTAACACTAAATATAGAAGCACCTATCCTATACTTAGTGCTAGTTACTATTACTGGCTCTTTAGCCTTTTATTATTATGCAGATATGCATAGTTGCTATACTTTAAAGAAGTATAGTGACCACGTCCATGTGACTCTTCGTACTTCAGGTACGGTCACACCACCTACTTTGTACCCAAGGTACAGCCACACCATATTGGTGTGGCAGGTGTGTATGTAAAATACACACCTTTGTGTAACCCCGTTCATGAACCCTTCGTAGTTCTTTCGAATCTGCGGAAATTTTCCAAGATCGTGTTATATAATTTCTTGCCGTAGAACTTGAAGCCTTTCATTACAAAAAAAAAGCGACGGTGAGGGAAATTCAACCACGTCATGAATTGTGCTACTTCGTACATGGCCATAAAATTTGGGCTCTTTCTTTTCTCCGCTTCAATCCGATATGCAAGCTTTATGACGCCGTACTTGCGTACTTCTGCATTGTAAAGCTTTATCATTCTTCGGAAAAGAGGCGAATCGAACATATTGAGTCGTTCAATTTGCATGAAGTTGTGCATTTTGTAATATGCCAGATTTCTTAAATCCTCCTCCTTAAGTTCAGAGTCACTTTTCAGCAGCGGCTGAATATATTTGGTAATGCTCGTAGACGATGCCGCATCAGAAATCTCACTCGTAGGCATCCTTTCTTCAACATCATTGGTAGGGTAGCTCGTCGTCGCGGCCATCGCGGCCACGTCAGACTTCAAGTACTGGTTATAGCTGACGACGACACCGTCGTGAGATGAACTTGACGAATCCAAAGCTTCCGAGGTAAGCAGAACAGCATCATGAGAGGAGTCTGCGATGGCCAAAGCTGAATAAAGCTTAACCAGCACGGCACCAAGCAGCACCTTCGCGTAGGGGTACGGGGCTGTGCCGGTCTTTAAAGGCATTCTTGAATCTAGGACCCGTGTCTTTTGTAGCTAGTTGCAATGTGATGAGGTTATAGATCTCAAGTGACACGTTAGACGCAATTTTGTTGGACTGTCCAGACAACATAATCCGATCCGGTGCCTTTAAAGAAAATACTGGTGTGGATCGTTCCTAGAATGGGACCAGATTAGATCATAAAAGCATGCCATGGAACAGATTATAAAAGCGTGGCATGGATCAGATAAATACGTGGGATGGATCAGATTAAAATTGTGGAATGCTCGGTCAGACGAGACAGATACTTGCAACTTGTTGACAACGTGACTTGATCCGGTGCCATTCCAGGCGAAAACTGTGCAAACCAGTTTTCTGCAGGAATGGCGCCGGACCAAATTTATGGATCAGCCGGGCTAAACTGAATCGACGGATTAGAAACGTGACTTGTAGCCAAATCTACAAAAAGTACTGCCGGAAAATTGGCTTTTTGTAAAACACGTCGCAGCTTCCCAAAATGAGGTGGTTTTTACACGCAGTGTGAACGGCAGGGATAAAGATTGAAGTATAAGGATCAAGAGGTTCTTCTAATATGATTGCTGGAGATATCTCATACCAAACAACAAAAGTAATGCAATGAACTTAAGAGCGCCGAGTTAAACAGAGCACAATTAGCCTATTTTGGTCGGACCCATCGTCGTTGGGTTAAAGCTGCTGGTACTCTGTAGACCCCTGGTCTGCCTGCACCAATACCTCGTGCATTTTGTGTGAGAAGTGGCCGGCCATAGCCATTGTGAAGTGGTTGTTCATACAGGGTGGCGTGGTTACCATCTCTTGCCCTGGGGATCTTTTGCAGATTGGTTCAATACTCCTGCTGCGATATGTCGTGTATCTTGTTCGGGCCATGCTTATTGCTTTAGCTACTTGCATCGCGCCAGTAGCTCTGGGAAGACCAGGTGAAGATGCCAACATTGGAGCCACCAGACTAGTGTCTGCTAATGAACATTGATGAAAGCACTACACTATTGGCTATATGCAGGAGCGGGGTTGTTGGCCGATTGCATCCTTGAGATATCATTCTGAAGCTATCGATATTGCTGGTGCACTCACGTTCTTTGTCTTTGTGAAGATGAATTCCATCAATGGTCTCTATCGCGTGTGGTTAAATTGTAGCAGTTTATCCATACATCAAGATTGTGTTGGTGTAGTTTTACATCACGTCTTCTACAATTGGCACGTCACTCGTTTGTAAATGCTTTGCTGATCTCAGGAACGTTGAGATTGTCGCCAACGTGACATGTTCTCTTGTCGATGGCCTGCAGTGAAGAGCCTGAACCGTACTTATGGCCCATTATTTTGTTTGTGATGAACGTTGCTTCCATGGAAGAACCAACACGTCAGCGACAGCGCTCACGTGAGCGAAATGTCGGTGGCATGACATTGATAGGCGCTGTGAAAGAAATGACAGCATCATGACAAGGAGCAGCTGACTCATTCAGGAAGAGTCTTCCACACGTAGATCAGTGTGAGCCATATTCCTCTGATAAATTGCGAAGAACTTGATTGTCATGCCAGCATCATTGCTAATGATAAAATCCAATGACGTAAGCTGAGATATTTGAGATTAAGATAGGCCATGTAGCTTTTCTTCTTCGTCGTCCACATCCCTTACGCGCACCGGCCGCCATAAGATCAACCCTGGCCTTCTCTTTGTACCATGTTGTGCAGTCTCCATCGCGGTCGCAGCCAAAACACAACGGCCGAACACGCCATGCAATAGTTGACGCGTCGGTCGGATCTATACATTCCGAAGAACTGTGTTCCACCGAAACCCGAGACGCGATCACCGCAAGGCAGACACTGTCATCCGCGACGCCACAACACACGGTATATCGAGATCCTCACATTTACCGAGAAAGTCCACGGATCCCTCGCGCCCTTCGACACTGGCGTTCTTACTTCTACGGACATATAAGAAATTTGTACTAAACATGAAATAGACAGCCTGAAGTTCTCCCTCTTGTTCTTTACGTGCTGCTGACACTCTAAAGAACCCTTTGGCCGTTTCCTTCTAAACACCAATAAAAGCTGCCAGCGAGCTTTGGTGTGCGTAGAGGAGCGACGGAGAGACCATCTTCGCCAGCAACTTTTGTTCTTCTTTTTGTCCTTAGGTTTCTTGTCCAGCATGTAGTCGTTGGCTCTGTCGCCATTCAAGTGGAGTAATATCAAGGAGCCGATGATGGCAACACACAGCCGAAGACTATGTGTTGGGCTGTCTGTTGGCCATTTTGGCTCCTTGCTTTTACTTAAGCTCCAGTCGTTGCTATCAATCTTGATCAAATGAGAAAAAATGAAATGCTCCGGCATATCTACAAGCACAAGCTCAAGCATCTGTGCCAAGTTGCTGATATCGTACGCAATCATAAACGACCAGCTGCGCTTTCCAGGAAGGATAGAGTCTGCGAACAGAGGAAGTTACGAAGAGTGTTGAGTCCAAAAACCACATGGTGGTCGGTTTATACCGGTGAGCAGCGAGGACCTTGACCCTCGCGCGCGGGAAGAAATCTTTATCGCGCTGATATGATTGTTATCTAGCGAAAAGAACTATTGCGTTAGGTTATACAGACGTGTATCTTTGCGCATTAAGATGATTGATATGAGTCTCATGGATGTAAGAAATGCGCACGAGTGGGCTCAAGTACGAAAAGGAACGTCCGTTTAATCGACGTTATGTTATTTTTAATCCTCGAGTTGTGCGCAAGAAGGCTGCACCGTCATAAAGGTATGGTAGTATATCGAGATATGCAACTCAACCTTAATTTGTGGCTCGAATGCGTAAGGAAGTGAAGGTGTATGACAACTTACACACTAGAGAGCTCGAAGCTCTGATCAATGGTCTTTCAGCGCCTAAAATGCATTTTGGCGCTCAGCAACAGGCACAGCAGTTTTAACATGTACAAATTTGGAACGGCTGTTGTTCAGCTACAAGGGCAACAATGCCAAACGTCCTTGCGTTAAGGCTTACACCAGCATTCCCAAACGCATCTAGACAGGATACTCAGTCCGGTCAACCTGTGCAAATTGCAGTACGGAATACCGTTAGCTTTGTCCTGCGCTTGGCAATAGCACGCTCTATAGAGTTTGTCTCCAGACGCGGAGAAATACTGCTTGCAGCAAGTCGAGTCGAAACAAGTGACCATCAAATTGACACTAAACTTTTTCAGAAAGAAACGGTACATTCATACTTGACCGTCATGTTTGGATTGCATAAGATTTCTTGGCTTCGGTACCTGCTCAGATCCAGGAGACAGTGCATGACAGAGAAATGTAAATACTTCCATACGGGTTGGCTGTCTCAAAAAACATGTCATTCCATCCAGAAGTGACTCATAAAGCCATGTATTGATTGCAACCGAAAGCGCAACAACACATCTCTGTATGCCACACCCGGCCAGGTTGGCTTGCTCAGCTACCGTGACATCGACAATATTAAAAGCCGTGGAAGGAATTTTCCGAGTCGTCCGTGTCGTTTTCATCCGCATTGAAGTCATCAATATCCTGCACATCCACCAGTCAGTTTCTAGCACAACATCCTTCTTGCCATACTATGCTGTCGTTACCTTGCACTCTTCCCATGAATCTTCAACAAAAGTCAGAAAATTGACGAGCGAGTCTGTAGACGCCGTATCCTTTTCTGCCTGCATAAGCAACGGGTGGAACGTCTCGTCACTAAACTCCACTCCACGACTCATTCCCTGTTTCATAATTTCCGTCGCATTTTCATATTCCTTGCTCTTGATCAGCTCCATCAGAACTGGCAAGAGCATTTGCTCGGGAGGACACACATCTTCCCCATGCACAATTTCTCTCAAAATCTCTGTAGCTTCCTCCAGTCTCCTAGCCTCAACCAATGCCATCATTAGTCCATCATATGCCGGTAAATCCAGCACCACTGCCTGATTTACGGCTTCATCGTACAACTACACAAAAATGTCACAAAAAAACAACATCATTACGTCACTTGTTGTGCTCGTAGCAGCTTCGAAAATGCACGAAACAACAGCAAAATCTCACCTCCATTGCTAAATCAAGCAAACGAAAGCGGAGGCACGCGTCCATAACGTATATCGACGCTAGTTTAGTGTAGTCGTCGGGTTTTAAACCAGGTGCGTGATACACTCCACGCAGGATCTCAAAGGCACGCAATGCATAAGATCTGCTCTTCTTCTGTCGTGCGAGCAAAATTGCTAGTTTCTGTAATAGCTCAAAATCTGGAGGTGACTGCAGCTTCGCCAAATGGATCAGTGCCTGCGTAGGGCGGCGTTGAGCGATGGAATGCTCTAAAAGTGTCCGAACAGCGCCATCATCGGGTTGAAGAGCAGAATTTTTGGATAGTAGCTCGACAGCGGATATGGCAGATACATGAAGAGCAGTAGAAGAATGAAAGGCCAGTGATAACGACACAGGACGACGTAGCACGGAGGCGGACCGGACGAATGGACGCAAGAGCATGAATCTATCAACGTAAATGCTCAGAAAACTTATAATAATTAATAACCTTGTAGAATAGCTGGAGGTAAAGCTATCAGATTATAATTATTATGTTTGTGAAAAAAGGGTATGTTTTGTATTGGGTCACAAGAGATAAAGCTTCTGAATGACCCATTTTAAGAGAAATATCATAAAGCCTGAGAATCGGATTTGCGTGTCTGAGTCTGAAGTAAGAATAAAGACACACGCCACATGATACTTTCTCGTGCTCTACGAGCTCGTAGCACTTTACTGCATGGATCTTGTACTGGTATGACCATATGTTTCTCTTCTATACGCAGTAATACTATACATTGTGATATCCTAAAGGCTTTATCCACGCACGGAAAGTCGTCAATGGCTACGTCATCACTGTCTTCTTCCATGACAGAGGAATCAGATCCTGGATCTGATTCTGTCGACAATGTAAAGATTGATTTAGGTACTGTTGGAGCTGAAGATGCCAAAGTGTTGACAATTGCCGATGTATTGAACACTCGAGAGCTCAAAGTGACTAGTAAGAAGACGTTAATTGACTTTGAGGGATGGGAAAGTATTGCTGGCACGGTAATAACAAGCTGTAAGGATGTCAATAGAGAGAAGAATATAGAGACTAAGGGAGTTGTTGAGTTTTGTAGGAAACGGTACACGATGCAGTATTGACCATGACACAACGTAATATTGGGTCACTTATTGTGACCGAGGCGAAAGAAGGGATTGTTGGCATTGTGACTGAACGAGATATTATCAAAAAGATCTCACCACGTAAAATTCTACGTGAGGAGAAGTTTGTACGTGATATTATGTCGTCTCACATTATGTGCATCCATCCCAGTACTACTGTGATTGAGTACGGGCTTTTCTTTGTGATAGCAGCTTTTGCTACGTGTTATGGTGTGCTATTGCTGACAAGTTAAATTTGTTTAGTGCATTAGCAACCATGACGAAGGAAAATATTCGACATTTGGCGGTAGTGAGCGGTGACATGACGAGTGCTGTGAAGCGAGGAGCGGTACAGGAGGAGGATATGCGTTGTGTGCTGTCAATCACGGATATTGTTCGCGCGTATGCGGAGTTTGAGGCTTCAAAGAATATTATGATGAAACTACACGACGGTAGTACAGCCAAGAATGAGGCAGGGAAAGATAAAAACGCGAAGAATAATGAAACCATGACATCAGCGACTGAGACTGCCGAGACGGACACAAAGAAAAACGCAGCCGATGGTTCGGCGGCAACGTCTACGACGTCAACGACTCCAATCGTGACTGCAGCAACGCTACTAAAGAAAAAGCACAAGAGAGTTAGGCTGATCCTTAACACACGACCTGAAGATAATGTCACCGTGGCAGAAGCAGTGGAGGAAATGGCCAAACGTGATTTTGGTGCCGTTCTTGTAGTGGACAAAGAGCAGCGCGTGCTCGGAATTTTCACAGAGCGTGACTACATCCGCAAGGTGCTTTTCGAGCTGAAAGATCCAACCAAGCTTCTTGTGACGGATGTGATGTCATCCGTGGCTTCGGTTATTCAGGTTGAAGACTCGCTGGAGAAGTGCTGGGATTTGGCAGCCACTTCCAATTGTTGCCACTTTCCTGTGATAGGTGTGCGCCAGGATCGCGAGAAGGAACTTGCTGGTATTTTATCTATTAAGGACATTGTGCGCGAGATTTCGAAGCACCATCACGCCACGCCTGGTTTCCGTCTTATGGAGTTTTTAAAATCCAAGATGGAGACTAAGCGTGTGGAGCCTAAGCCCGATCAAAAGGTAGAGTCTGTACCAGAGCCCAAGGTTGAAGCATTAACCAAAGCAAAGCCAAAGGTGTCCTTCACTCCGACAGGAGCAAAGGATTCCGAGGTTGCCCCATCTGCAGATGTGGGAGCCTCACGGCTAGATCTTAGCGCTGAAGTGGAGTCGAAGACGGCTACACCTGGTAAGGCTTAGTAGGATCAGTAAATACCTAGCTCCTAGAAAGCAAAGTACTAGCAGGTAGACAAGATACAAAACATCTTGCATTAAATAACATTGCTGGTAAGAAACATCTTTAGTCAGAGGCTGCCTCGGGCAAAGGCTTGAATGCTGCCTCGGGCAAAGGCTTGAATGCTGCCTTCTTCGTGCCAGCACGAGGCACTGACATTTTGCTCTCAGCTTCGATCGCGAAGTTTGAGTACGTCGTCCAGTTGCAGTACAAGTCTTCATTCCAGTCGCAATCAGTCGGATCCTCCACTTGCACAGTTTGCCGACGTACACCCAACGATGCCAACACGCGCTGTGTTGCTCGAAGTGCCGTACGAGGCTCGCCGTTTGGTAAAACATGCACGCTGGCGGCATAGTGGCCTTCAGTAAGCATCCAGATATGAAGATCATGGACATCGTAAACACACGCAAGCGCTCGAATTTGCTTTTCAACAATGCGCAGGTCCAACGCAGGTGGGGCACCTTCCATCAAAATGTGAATAGTTCGCGTCAAAACTCCAATTGTTGTACCAAGCACCAGGAACGAAAACAACATTGTCGTAACCGGATCCGCCATCTGCCACGACGGGTTGTACCAGATAAGTCCACCGGCAAAACAGACGCCCAAACTTTGCAAGAAATCACCAAGCGCATGAATATACGCAGCACGAAGATTAATGTTTTCAAACATCGATGACTTGGGCACCAGCACCTCCAATCCGTTCGCTAATGGCTCCTCCACATCGTCAATGAGTGCCATAGCTGACATGGGCGTCCGCGTCAGATTATGACTCGGACTCTTCTCCACCACACAGCTCTCGCCACTATGACATTTTCCATGATCGTGGCTGTGACTGTGTCCATGGCCATGACTGTGTCCATGGCCATGACTGTGTCCATGTCCATGACTGTGTCCATGTCCATGACTGTGTCCATGTCCATGACCCAAAATTGTCATCAACACGAGATTAATACCTAATCCAAAGACTGCGACCAAGAACATGGCTTTGCCATCCACTGCCTCCTTGGCATCAGCTCTTTCTTGATCAATGAGTCTTCTCACTGCTGTAAACATGAGACCAATAGCCAGCACCCAGATAAGCAATACACTCAATAGTGCACCAATCACTTCAGCTCGATAATAACCAAATGGCATCGTTGACGATGCCGGTAGTTGTCCCAAGTACATGGCAAAGAGTGATACTAGAAACCCCGCTACGTCTGACAATAAGTGGGCCGCGTCCGTCATAATAGCTAGACTATGCGCATAGTAACCACCCGCAAATTGAACACACATAAAGACAAAGGAACAGAAACATGCGAGTTGTAGCTTCTTCATAGCTGCTTGAACATTTTGCACTTCTTCATACTTTTCATCCGCCAATTCCTCTTTCTTTACTTGTGCTACAACGTGGTCATGCGTGATACACCCGTATACTTCCTCCATATCAACCGATATATTCAGTAATGGTAATGATGTGCATTGTGGTTTAATAACGACAGCTTCATAACCTTCTCCCATTTCAATTTACCTTGTGCCAATGAGATAAGAAGACACGAAATCGTTACGTGTGTGTGGGGACGAGTGAATGTAGAAGACTGGAGATAGAAGAGGAAGAAAAACAAGAATGGAGCTCTTCGATTCTTGGGAGAGTGGGCAAAACAGGTCGTGAATTGTTGAGACAGATGATATCTAATGTGAGCCGGCTAGCCACCGTCGGATACAAGAGGGTTGCTAACGGTAATAAATGCGTGGCATTGATGATTAGATATGACATTTAATGTGTTTGTAAAGGTCTCGAATGGTACAGGCGAACAAATACCTGAAAAGTGGTTTCGATTCGTGCTGTGGAGTGAATAGAAGTTGTGGAGCCACGATGTTTTATTGTCTTGGCGCTTGAAGAAATGATGCACCCCTTTGCAGGTTTCTTCTAGATAAAAAAACGTTTACTAAACTGCTGCTTCCAAATGATCACTGTCGAAAGGGTATGTAGCACTGTGCGATCGGTGAATCACTGAAGCTGTAAAATGTTAGATGTAATCCATCCAGTACATTGTCGTGGCGGCAGAGTGACAAAGCAACAAAAATGAACAAACACGTAGGCTCACAATTCTGTACAGGACAAAGTTACCGACTTACTTTGTTATTTGCTGGACTAGCATTCAAATCATGGAAGACGACGGTGATCACGCATATGTGTCATGTACGACGCTATCGTAGCATCGGCTTGTGTTTGTTATATGGTCGTTTGACTTTGCGTTGATTTGCCCCTTCGTAAGCATTGGCGACAAAAGCTAATGCATCCATTTACTGACGCGCAGGGGTTTCCACAAGGGTAGTTGACACTGGTACACGCACAAGCAATAAATATGGAGATCATCGCACACATTGTCTTTCACAAGCTACTGTAATAGCCAGGTCTGCGCCAATTCGACCGCCAATCTATAATCCTCGGCGACCAAGATACCGCCAACGGTTATGCTACCTGCGACTTAAGTAGCCAGTACTGACCCTTTTGTCATGTACACTCGGCAGTGCAACTACGAAACGGGAGGAGATGTTCCGTGCTTTTTGGACCTCATCAATGTGGGCAAGAAGGGTTGGAGCTTATAAGATGCAAGAACTGGCTAAACCTCTTATATTCTTAACTTTTGCTCTTCACTGTAACAGCAACTCATGTCTTTGCCTTGAAATACCACAAGACATTTGAACACATCACTGCGTTTCACCAACACTTCATATGGCCATTCAATATTCAAAAGCCCATTGCTTCATCACTGAGTATTGAGCTTTTCAGTCATACTGGTTCTAGTTGCAGCAGTCTATTCACTGGTTGCTTTTTCACTCTACCTTTATTCTGCAACACACACAGTCGATATAAAAGCTCGTGTCCTTTCTGTATCATGCGCGTAAACAGATGCCGACCTGAACATTTCGTTTTCAGACCCACACTATCAAATGATCTCCTTATCGTTTTATATATTTTTTTTTATCATGCTCGGCCCCGCTTGTTTGAACTACTTTGCTCTTATCTGTTGTCCCATCAATTCATCGCAAATGTAGTTTGACCTCTCTTCTTCTAGTTACTATGAACAAACTTATACATCATTGACTTTGGAACCTTTAAAGCAAATTGCTATAAGGTACTTTAAAACAGTGGAAAGCGACGTGTGATATGGAGACATAATTTAGAGCGTTGTCAAGTTTACAATTCACCAAAAATAGCGTGGTATACACATTCACAGCTCATAACAAGCTGCCTTCTTTTTCGTGGTTTTTGCTTGACCACAGGGTACATAAAACCAGGCCCACCTCAGGTTTGCTGGACACTGCAGCTAAAAAGGAGATGCTTTTTACTTGTGCAGGCAAAGTGGTAAGAAGTCATCAATTTCGACACGATGAACCCGGTGTTGCCGTCTAGTGTCAGATATTGTGCTCAGTAAGCAGCAGTCACATTCTCCGTGTGGGATCATGGTATCCTTGCGTGGCCAGAACGTAAAATGCTGAGCATCGTCAAATAATACCGGTATTGCTGACTTTGTCCTACAGCCTACTTCACCCCAGCACAATCCTTTTTACCCCCGCCATTGACGCCTTTATTCATCGCTTGCTAATAGCTTCGAGTGGTATCCTCGAACCACATTGCATTAATGACCACTGACAACACGCCTATTCAATGCCGGCGCAAAGCAATATTATCGTTCAATGGTAAATTTGTTCGACATTTCACTAGGCATCATGGAGAGGATTCCTTTTGCCTTAAACATTGATGAAAATGCTATTGATTTCCAATAACATAGTGAGTCTCAACAACGTTGAAGCTTTGTTGTTCCTTGGCCCTCTGCTGCCAATTCTCAGCGATCCACAAAATTGTTTGGTTGTAAGCTTACAATGTGCAACTGATAGCACCATATGCAATCAGTAGCCAATCAACGGCTTCGACTAGTGCAATTCTTCCTAGCGATTGGCTAATTGTAATCGCCGCCAAAAAGCCAGCAGTTTTGTAGCTCGTATAAGACAGACACGCATCGAGATGGCAGAGAGAGAGTGCACGACAACATAAAGGGTTAGGGGGCTGACTCGAACCTGTCCAGGTAAACGATTAGATCGACACTTTTCATAGCGCCGCGTATACGCAACACACATTTCGTATATATTTCTTTTGGTTTTGTTGGTAAGCTCCGTAGATATTAAGTAAACGAATCAAGTCCACGAAGATTACCTTTTGCTGTCTTTTTTTAGTACGTGAATACATCTGAAACCTATTCACCATTTCCGCATTCATTCACTAAAGTGCAAGGGAAACGAAGCGTGACGTGACGTGACTGACGAACACTTTGCCGCACTGGACAATATGGGAAAAGTGCGCACTATGAGTCGGCGACGTATCCACAGCGGCGCGTTGGTGGATGATTCGTGGCAGCCACCATCGCTTACAGCCAGTGAGCGTGCTTATATGATCCGCAAGGCGAAAGAGGCGTCCGTGGCACTCGTAGACCATGCGCATACGCTGGATGGACCGGTACAATGGCATTACACAGGTAAGCTTCGCGGCATTCAAATGTATCGTGGTGAAGGCTGCTATGATCGTGCTGGTACTTCTGGCACTGAGTTTCTCTGTGGCGTAACGACCATGTTGGGCTCAATTGAAGAAGTGGCTAATTATTTTAACCAACAGACGACAGAGAAAATGCTTGCAAAGAAGGCAGAGGACGTGCTTGATTGTGCCGTGCTTTATTCTCTTGCGGAAGGAGATTCGAATAATCCATTCTATCGGGTGTCAGCTAAGTATCAGCTGTACGAAGGTCCGTCTGCGTTCTCTAGAGAACGAGACTATTGTTTCTTAGAGTGTCAGAATACGTTTCGTCATGCGTCGGGACGTCGAGGATGGGTACTTAGTATGCACTCTATTAAACTCCCGAATTGTCCTGAAATGGATGGAGTGGTGCGAGGAAGTATGTACCAATCGGGTTATGTGTTTGTGGAGGCAGAGAAGGAAGGATATATGGATGTGATGCATAGCTTGCAGATAAATTTCAAGAGCACTAGCCGGCTGCCTCATTTTATGTTGAATGCAGCTTTAAAGCGCCGGATATTGTCCGTTGTGACTATCAGTCGAGAGATTCAAACGACGAGAATGGGACGCCAAACGCTCTTGAAGAAAAAGCAGCTGATGCCGAAACGATCAAGAGCACTTTGTGTCAATTGTGCCCGCAAGTTTTCTCTGTTTGTACGCAAAACGCGCTGCCGTGTGTGTGGTGAAGTAGTTTGTCAACCGTGTGCCCCGCAGGTCATGATATCGACGAAACAGGGCCCAGTGAAGACTCGAGTATGCACCAGATGCTGCCATTTGTCTGCTGATGACGATTATGAACCGATTAGTACTCTACATAACTCGCCCAATGGAGCCCACATGCGACGTATGCAGAATGTGACTAGATATTCGGATATTTTGCAAGACCAGCATGATCATCCGGATATGTACCACGAGGAAGATGAAGATTGTTTGGAGGAGGATGATGATGAAGATGGGCTAGAGGAACAGTCAGATTATAGTGTGTTTGCACAGTCTCGTTTTACTGACGCAAGTCGCAATTCCTTTGCAACGAGTCAATATGGTTCTTCGAGATTCGAAAGTCGTTTTGAAGGAACGAGTCAGTTTGACACTTCAAGTAAATTTGACGAGAGTCAGTATTACGATGGTGGTTCCAGCGAGAACAGCTTTGTTAGTGGTACCAGCTCTTCACGCTGGAAAGGGAGCAGCAGTGCTGCTAGCAGTATGTCGGGAAGGAACCAAGCCAGTAGTGTTAAGCCCGCTGACGGTCACAATTACGACCCTCAAGCCTCTGCGAATAGCAACTTCTACGGAGCAAGTAACTATGGAAGTGACTACGGTGGAAGCAAGCACACGCTCGACGAGGAGTCCGTCAAGCGAGCTGGTAGGTATAACGCAGCAGCACCTATCCCAGAGGACGAGCCTTTCAGTCGTCGTAGTCATAAAGCCAGCACTAATAGGAGCCACAACTCAAACAAAGATTACAACTCAACCAAGGACAGCAGCTATGCTTCTGCCAAATCGTCAAGCGTCAAAGCAACGCAAGGAACAAAGTATGACTTGACTAATGTCAGTCAGAACTCCGATAGTAAGCACGCAAGCAAGACTTTGTCAATCCAAAGTCTCGCAAAGGCTCGTTCGGCGCGTTACGGAATCAAGAGCCAGTTTCCGGTACCGCCTCCTCCACCGCCGTTTTCTCCGCCACCTGAACAACACGAGGAAAGTTACGAACATGACAGCCCATTACATCTTGGGTCGCTTATGATGAACGATCACCAAAGTCTGAAGGATCAAAAGCCGAAGGGTATTGCCACGCGGAAAATTTTTACGCCGCCTCCTTTAAAAGAAGGACGTTGTGAGACAGACCGAGTGTCAGCGAAGCGTGTCCCTCAGGTTGCTCAGAACATGGCGTTTAATGCCGCATCGGCTAACAGACATTCACGGGTATCTCAAACTAGTTCAATAGATTCAAGTGGGTTTGGTAATACTCGAGCTTCTGCGATTTTGGAACAAGTGCGTCGCAACCGTGGCCGAACGCTTCAGTATTCTCCTGAAGGTGATCGAACTTTGGCAGTGCTGAAGTCTACGGAAAGAGAAAACTTGATAAGGATGCGTGAAATGGAGCGCATGCAAGAATCGGCCAAAGAGAAAGCGGCCCGGCGGTCGATGGCATCAAACGGAAGTCGAATTGCTGTGCACGCAACACAAAATGATGCTTCGAGTGGTGCTGGTGCTAGAAGGAAGAAGGAAGATCGACGCCGCAGCTCTCGTCACTTTATCGCTGGGTCCTCTCTTCATTCTTTAAGGGGAGCGCCACCTGGATCTCCGCCTGGTACCCCACCTAGCATGCGAGGCCGTCGCTTACCCAATAGCGCACCCTTCAACAGTCAACCAAATCGATCTTTTCGAGACAATCACTCGCGGCGTGCGGATGCTAGTGGCGACTTTGAGGGAAGTCAGATTCTGTCCAATCGATCGAATACTAGTTTTGCAAGGTCGGGCGCCCGTGTTAGCCTCATATCATCTGGGCAGAGTGAAGATCTTACGTTCAGATCTCAAGGGCCTGGGCACCGTATCACCACCAAAGACAGTAAGCATGTTAATGGGCAGGGTCTGGATGGCTCTCAGGGATCGAACAAGCGATTTACGTCTTCGTTTGGTAACCGACAGCTGGATGATTCTTGCGCTTTGATTATCCCCGAATCAAGACATCCGGATGACCTTGTGTTTAGTGAGTCTCAGCTTTTGTTAGATAAGGCGAAGTTCTCCAGTAGTATTGCAATTTTGGAAACTGGTGAGTCCCGAGAACACTTTGCAATGATGGAGAGATTTAGCGAAGAATGTAGCTTGGGCGATTCACTGTTGAGCGAAGATTTGCTGAGTCAGTCTTTGTCGGGCATGAATGAGCATATCAATTCGATGAGAGCTGTTGCAGCGTACAAACTACCAGACGAAGAAGACCGGTTGTCAGACGAGTTGCGGGGGCGACAAGAAGAGCACCGCAAGCGAATGGAGGAGCTAAATAAACTGACGGCTAACCACGTCGTTGGAACTCGAGACAGGACATCCACTCTAGGTGACCTCCATGACAGCTCAGTCAGCCTCATGGGATACTCTGGAAATTACTTTGGCGATAGCACCATTAGTTCCGTCAGTCCCGCCAGCTCCGTCGAGATTGATGACGAAGAATTTGATTTTGGATCTCGACCGTTTGGACGCACAAAGCGTAGCGGCACAATTTTCTTTGCGTTGGAGGAGTTTGAACAAGCGCCAGATGCGGAAGATAGCGATGAGCTGAGTGAGGGCCTCGATGATTCTAACACGTCGATTTGTCAAAGCGAAGAGTACGCAGAGCATGACATGATCAAGCTAGAGGATGGGTATCGCTCGAACGAAGAATTCGCTTGTGAGAATGCCGAGAGATCTTTGCCGGCGTATCGCTTTAGTGGAGAGTATGTGAAGACCAAGCATGAGCACGAGAATGAGTCTATTCCTGCATCTTACCGTTCAAGCGAGGAACACATGAGCGGTTTTGCCACACCACCCCGCCGTTCGAGCGTAAGGATTGCGGAAAGCGAGCATGAAAAATACAGTGGTTGTGTTACCCCACCGCGGAGCCCGAACGTGGAGTCAGTAGAAAGCGAGCACAAACCCACGAATGGTTTGGCCACCCCGCCACGTCGTGCCAGCGAAGGAACTACGGAAAGCAGGCATGAGCACATGAGAGCCACCCCGTCGCGCCGCTCGAGCGTAGAATCCGAGGAAAGCGAATATGATCGGGATACCGGCTTTATTACTTCACCGCGGCGATCGAGCGTGGAGTACGAAGAAAGTGATTATGACCGAACAAGCGGCTTAGCTACCCCTACGCGCCGCTCGAGCGTGGAGTCTGTAAAAAGCGAGCACGATCAGGCTTCTGACTTGGTTACTTTACCGCGCTGTTTGAGTGTGGAGGTTGTGAAGACCGACCACGACCAGAACACTGGCTTTGCTACTCTACCGCGCCGCTTGAGCGTGGAGCCTGCGAAGATCGAGCACGATCAGGTTGCTGGCTTTGTTACTCCACCGCGGCGTTTGAGTGTGGAGTCTGAGGAAAGCGAGCATGACCAAACAAGCGGCATAGCCACCCCACCGCGCCGCTTCAGCGTGGAGGCCGCGGCGCCTGTGAAGAGCGGTCACGATCAGGTTGCTGGCTTTGTTACTCCACCACGGCGTTTGAGTGTGGAGTCTGAGGAAAGCGAGCATGACCAAACAAGCGGCATAGCCACCCCACCGCGCCGCTTCAGCGTGGAGGCCGCGGCGCCTGTGAAGAGCGGTCACGATCAGGTTGCTGGCTTTGTTACTCCGCCGCGGCGTTTGAGTGTGGAGTCTGAGGAAAGCGAGCATGACCAAACAAGCGGCATAGCCACCCCACCGCGCCGCTTCAGCGTGGAGGCCGCGGCGCCTGTGAAGAGCGGTCACGATCAGGTTGCTGGCTTTGTTACTCCGCCGCGGCGTTTGAGTGTGGAGTCTGAGGAAAGCGAGCATGACCAAACAAGCGGCATAGCCACCCCACCGCGCCGCTTCAGCGTGGAGGCCGCGGCGCCTGTGAAGAGCGGCCACGATCAGGTTGCTGGCTTTGTTACTCCACCGCGGCGTTTGAGTGTGGAGTCTGAGGAAAGCGAGCATGACCAAACAAGCGGCATAGCCACCCCACCGCGCCGCTTCAGCGTGGAGGCCCCGGCGCCTGTGAAGAGCGGTTACGATCAGGTTGCTGGCTTTGTTACTCCACCGCGGCGTTTGAGTGTGGAGTCTGAGGAAAGCGAGCATGACCAAACAAGCGGCATAGCCACCCCACCGCGCCGCTTCAGCGTGGAGGCCCCGGCGCCTGTGAAGAGCGGTCACGATCAGGTTGCTGGCTTTGTTACTCCACCGCGGCGTTTGAGTGTGGAGTCTGAGGAAAGCGAGCATGACCAAACAAGCGGCATAGCCACCCCACCGCGCCGCTTCAGCGTGGAGGCCGCGGCGCCTGTGAAGAGCGGTCACGATCAGGTTGCTGGCTTTGTTACTCCTCCGCGGCGTTTGAGTGTGGAGTCTGAGAAAAGCGAGCATGACCAAACAAGCGGCATAGCCACCCCACCGCGCCGCTTCAGCGTGGAGGCCGCGGCGCCTGTGAAGAGCGGTCACGATCAGGTTGCTGGCTTTGTTACTCCGCCGCGGCGTTTGAGTGTGGAGTCTGAGGAAAGCGAGCATGACCAAACAAGCGGCATAGCCACCCCACCGCGCCGCTTTAGCGTGGAGGCCGCGGCGCCTGTGAAGAGCGGTCACGATCAGGTTGCTGGCTTTGTTACTCCGCCGCGGCGTTTGAGTGTGGAGTCTGAGGAAAGCGAGCATGACCAAACAAGCGGCATAGCCACCCCACCGCGCCGCTTCAGCGTGGAGGCCGCGGCGCCTGTGAAGAGCGGTCACGATCAGGTTGCTGGCTTTGTTGCTCCATCGCGGCGTTTGAGTGTGGAGTCTGAGGAAAGCGAGCATGACCAAACAAGCGGCATAGCCACCCCGCCGCGCCGCTTCAGCGTGGAATCTGTGGAAAGCGAGCACGAACCGAACTGTGCACTGCACCGTTCAAGCGCAGAGTCTGAGAGCGATTGTGAACAACAGACTAGCTTTGTCACCCCACCATTCCGTCACAACATGGAAAGCGAGCACATACAGACGAATGGCTTTGTTACTATACCACGTCATGAAAGCGTGGAGTCAGCGGAGAGCAAACGCGAGTACGAAAGTGAATCTGACAGCGCTAGGTTGTCCTATTGTTCAAGCGAAGATTCTATGGAACATGAGCGTGATGGTGACTTGGGAGATGCTGCTCATCGCTCTGGCGAAAAATCAGTGGACAACGAGCACGAGAATGGTTATGAAGATGCCAAGTCAGCGTACTCGAGCGTGAAACACCAATCTTACCTAGAGCACGTTGAATCTGCCTACTGCTCGAACAATGGAATCGAGTTAGACGAAGCTGTCGTAGTGCCGAAGCGGCCAAGCAACGAGCCATTTGTACCTCCAACGAATATGTCAAACTTCCAGCTAAATAGTTCGCAGCTCATTTTTGGCGAGGGAGGCCTGGCCGTTGACGAGTTCATTGCTGACAGTTCACGTTTACTATCGAATTGCATGCTGTATCAGGTGGACGAAAATGGCGATGAAGGCACATGCTCGCCATGTGATACGTCGGAACTCCATCATTTGCGCTTGACCTCTAACACTAGTGAGGAATGCAATCTATTGAAGACGCCACTCTCGAAAAGTAGGTTTGGCACGGATATGCTTGAGCATGTGACCTCTCCTCGCGAGTCGTGCATGTCCGCGATTGACGAGGAGTTGATGAACCGCCCGACCAACGAGCTATTCGATATGATTCGTGCGAACCGTCCAATATATAACTCAGATGGTAGTCGTTCTGTGGAAATGATGTACGATCTAGAGGCGAGCCACATGCGGCGGATGGAAGAGTTGAATTGTATTGCAATTGACCACTTGGGCAATCGCATATCCAATCTAAGTGATGACATGCTTGGCAGCGCATTCCAGCCTGGCCGATCATTGTATCCTGGCTTCCGAAATGAGGAAAAAGAGATGCAGTGGCGTTCGTCCGATGTCATGGAAGAGGTCCAAAGCAAACACCAGGTCGACATGGAGAGACTTCGTCGCCGAATCCGTCAGCTTGAGGAAGAATGCCGCGAGTCAATTGCATCCGTGTTGACTACAGAGGAAATGGATTTATCTGAATTTGACGACGATGACAACAGGCCAACAAGCAGGGGTTTCGTTGGACGTCAGAGCTTTAACCCTCAGACTTCCTACATGGACAGGAGTGACTTAAGCTCATCTACAATTTCGGAGCATGGCACTACGGACATGCCGCCCCAAATTGACGAGCCTCTGCCTGCCCAGGTCCTATTCGAGCAGATTGCGCAGCTGACTCGGTTGCAGCAGGAGATGGTCGAAGGTGAGGGCGATGAAGATGAAGAAGAATGTCGTAAGCGCATGAAGGAGCAGTACCGCGTACTACGCTCGATCAAGGCAAACAGCCGCCAGGAGCGCGAGTTACTGAGTCATCAGGAGCGCGGGTCATTAAGTGAAGATGAAGAAAACTGGATTTAGGAATTTTTATATGTATGCTGAGTAGAATGGCAATCGTCTTTGTCTGCGGGTGTGTTTGAATCAACTCGTCTTCTCATTTACACAAAAATACTAGAACATGCGACCTTGTTCTTTTTTATCAACACGTGACGAAGTCGCGGAGAGATCATGTTTCGTGTCAAATGGCCCTAGTATGTCGCCAGCTTGGTTGCAAGAAAGCGTCCGCTCCGTCTATCATTCTTCGTATCCAAGTCGCTGCTTTATATATACTGTAGATCCACGCGACTCATTCACGCAATCTGCTGTTCATTCTTTGAGAGTTAATTAGGTCACGGTTCCTTGCATGTATTTTTCGTCACTTTTTCAAATCGAATCAAGTGCCTATCAATTGGTTTGTGCATTGATTGTGCTCTCTTTACAAGCAGGACACACACGATATACTACTGTAAAAAAGGTTATAATATCGTTTGTCTATTGTTTTGCTCAGAGCTTTTTCAATTAGCTCAAGTACTTCTTTACGGAGATTTGTTAGGGTTTTTAACTGGTTTTTTTTGTATTTTCAGTGTAGAATCTACCAACCTTGCAACGTATGGCACGAGTCTTTGTCACAAAACGAGAGCGACTAGACCTTATTCAGCAGGGCGATGACATGTTCCTTGAGGTCCAAGAACGGCTATACGATGCCAAGATGCAATGTGCAGCACCTGAAAAGGACAAGATTGTAACGTCGCTGGAAACATTTACTGTCTACGGCACGCTAGACGCTGTGACAGATTTGTACTTGAAAGACGACGTCAAGATGGTCTTGGACTTTGCCGAGTCACGAGAATTGATCGTGCTTAAACCCAATACAAAACAGCGGCCATTGGACCGCACAAGTCTTCGATGGTCACTGTTCCACTTGCCAAGTCGTCTCTTAGGCAAAGACCAAGACTTTTGCTACTTAGAAGTCATGAAGCCTTTTGGAACGGCCGATGGACGTCGTGGCTGGGCGAGGTGCTCCAATTCAATTACACATAAGGCTTTTTCGGCGCTCCAAAGTGCGCAACGGACCGACGTGAATCGAGCAGAACTTTTCTACTGCGGACTGTTTTTCGAGGAGACGGATCAGCTTGGACGACTCAATGTCACCGTGTTTTACAATATTAAGGGACACCATGCCACATCTATACTGGCCCCGAGAGTGTTAAAGGCGCAATCAAAACGGACTATTGAGCTCGTGAATCACTACCTCAAAATGTCGGCTATGATGCTGAAGTCCAGGAAAGTTTCGCTTACGAGAGCACTGCAATTGCAAGCTGAGAGGCGATGTGGCGCCTGTGCAAACTATTTATCGATCTGGAAGTGCAAGGAGAGGTGCGCTTTGTGCAGATCGGTACGTTTTCTATGTCCTAAACAGAGATAGCTGCGGTCATAAGTGCTTATCTATGCTGTGAAACTGTAGTTGATGTGCAATAAATGCAACGACATTGTGTCGCGGAACTACAGAGTGAAACGAGTCACTCGCGAACAGGTTGTATGCTTCTCCTGCGCACATTGGCGTGGCACAAAGATCGGTCATATGGCGGAAACAAAACACAATAATCTGCAAGACAGCAGCGGTGGCGGGTTAGCTGTTAAGACGCAAAGCAACTCGAAAGCTTGCCAAGAAAAAACAACGCAAGATGAAAGCATATTTCCATGGAGCAACGAGGACCATTCTAACTGGTTTGATGATGAAGCCAAACCGTCATTCGTGCTTGCTCAAGAGAATCAAGTGCCTCAACAATCGAAGCCTTGCGAGCAAAAACCGTTCCACCAAAACTTGACTCCCACCCGCCATTCCGAATGTTCGTTCTTGAGGTATTGCTATAGCGTATATAACGATCTCACACGTTGATTTCTATCTTTTTAATTGCAGTTGTCCCGCACGAGACATTACGTTTGCCGACTGAACGCGCAGAACATCACCGACGGCGTTGTAATACACGTGTGTCAACCCGTCGACCATCAACCGGAGTGGATGATGATTTCATTGCGCCTCGCCAACGTCGAGCGACAGGAAATTCTAGATTATCAGCTAGAGCGAAATCAACGAGTTGTGCCGGTAGCCAAATTTGCGGTGACAATGCAGATTTCACCCCGGTGGGTAGCCAAGTTAACCTCGATCTCGAGGACTTGAATTGGCAGATGCGACGCTGTAGGACTAACTCTGTTCCGGTTCAACCAATGGAGTTAACAGATGAAGGACGTCGTGACTCCAAGGCTTTTGCCCGCTACCAAATCATGCTAGATGGAACACGCCAATACGACCGCTCTTGCCAACCTCGCATCGTGTCACAACGGCCATTTTTGGTGGCAAATTTACCAACGAGGACTAGTTATCCGCAACCGTCTTTGATCAGGTACTCGAAGGCAAATCCGTGTGATTTGTCGTACTTGGCTAGCTTCAAGCTGACGACAGATCAAAACGATCCGACACAAGCCGAGCAACTCACTTGAAGTAAGTACGTTACAATAATACCTGCAGAGCCCATAGGATTGCGTTACAACGGCAGCTCAGTAATTCCCAGCAGAGCAAAAAATTGTACATGATTATGCACGGTACTGAATGGACCCGATCTCGATGGCTAAAGTTACAGTGCAAGGCTTTGGGAAAATTCGTGCTATATTGTTGTTATCTGGTCAAAAAGGTGACAAAGGGTTTCTCAACTTTGGCTGCTGAGATCTCCTTGAAACTAAATCTGGTCATGAGTAACATGCCAAAGCGCCGATTGCGGGTGATACACATAGTTTGTGCAGTGAGCAATGTACGCGGAGCTGGACAATTAACGCAATAGCCTAACAAACTTGATGAGTCCAGTCCAGTATCAAAGCCTGGTGACCCAAAGCACCGAGGCGTCCACAATGCAACGGTCTTCCAGTATTTTTAAGGCACCTCATCCCACATGCCATGTTGGTATGCCCATTATCACTACGTTAGTCAACTTCTTGTGGCTTTCTTGCAAAAAGGTCGGAAAAACAAACATGCAAATCGTCATTGGACAACACAGCGCGATTCTTGTTCGATTGGAACGGGCACTTTGCGTGGTAGATTTGTGCTCTTTCGTGCCCATCTGAGGTTAAATCCCCCAACTCCCACCAAAAAAGCGACTTAGACCAAAATGTAGTGCTTTCGCTTCACTCCAGCCGCAGGTTCCTTGTCCAATGTCCCATACTTGCAGCATTGCTCACATATACGGATCTTGTCCCTCTACGATGCAACTGCATTAGGAAAAAGTAATACTTGCGTAAACACCATACCTTTCCAATCGCTGTGCACAAGGTGACTAGGCTATCACACTGACTCATCATCACCTTACTCGATTTTTCTCGCAGTAGTAGAATTCCTCCTACCCCTCACCTCTCATTCCATTATCTCTCATTATCAAAGACATTCAGATAGTACTATGTCTATCTCCAAGTCAGGGAGGTGTACCTTTTGCGGTGAGGTATGTTTCAACACACTTTGTCGCGCTTGTATCTCTTTGACTATGTAAGTCTCACATTGCACTAACTCTTCGACATTGATTTGAGCAGAATCTGACCAACACGCCCATACCGATCTCCGCTGAGTCCAGTGCTTCATGGGAAGAAGACCAAGGAACGTTTACAAAGCTCAAGCCTTTGCACTGGCGTTTTCTAACAAACAAATGCCCACGTACCAAATTCATGTGCACGGCTTGCGCAGAGAAACGTCAAGTGCCACAGCAAGCTGAGACCACCAATCCGTTATGGCCTCATGATGTAAGCAATTTGGATAGAGTACCAAATGTACACAAGCCTCACCAGTGGGAAGAGAGGGAATCCAAATACCCCAAACTGTCCACTCAACAGATGAGATTGCAGCATCTGGCGCTGGATAAGGCGCGTCAAGAGCTACCAAGTCAAAACATACCGCGAGTAAATCGAATGAAGCTTCGTGAGCAACAACCTGAACATGACGATGACCAGAGAAACATGCGTATACAACCTGATCGTCGTGGTAACCAGAAAGACATGGGCAAACAGCCAACAAGCGACGGTAGAAAGCACAGATCGTCACAAACCTTAGTACCTCAGCAAGAACCTGCTCGTCGATGCAGTTTAAAACAACCATATGCAAAGTATTGTGCATCTAGAGAGTCGGTGATGCAAAACTATCCATCCAAGTCGATTGAAAATGAGACTCGCACTTCCGCTACGAAGCATCGGACTTCCGTCGAAACTCCTACTCGTCCAAGAAAGTCGAACAGTGGACAACTCGAGCCGTGCGAATTGGAAAAGAAGGGTCATCGACTAAGCTCAACCGCTGATATCCTCGGGATGTCTCGGTTACTTGAATTGCCACCCAATTATTTTGGAATGAGCTCGACGTCGCCAGAGTTTTGTGCAATGAGATCACCCGAAGAAGACGAAGAAGACGCACTAGATTGTAGACGGATGAAGCCAAGCCGACCTCCGGAACCAAGACAAAACAGAAGTAGAGCGACAGCGACAGTGCCCCCAGAGGAGCACCGGAAGCAAGACGAAACCGAAGAAGAGCGGAAGAGGCGACGAAGCGCTTCGTATGCCCGCATGCTCTTGCGGATGCGACGTCACTATGATGAAGTGCAGATGAATGGAAGCCAATCGCATCCTGCTACAGCTCCACCACGACGGATTCGTCCAAAGCAACGATCTAAGTCGGCCGCAGTCCGTAACGTCAAGGATGAACCCGCTAGCGTTACCATCGATCTTGACTACTTGCGTGCTTATAAGGATGCTCGATAGAGAGATTGGTCAACCCATCAACATATATATATATATATATTGAAGATGGCATTGCATTGAGGAGAGACAATGTTTGTCAGAAAGATGATGGTCTCGTTTGGTCAAATATTGAAGTAACAAAGGTATTGCAAGAGCTACGCCTTACCTGACCTTGTTGAGTTAACTTGTAGCAACTATCGATTGTGAATTAGCTGAAGATGCCGACAGTAAACGAATGAAAAAAATTCATTATCTCAACGTTGGCATTGCTAAGATAACACACGCGTGACATGAATTTTGCGCGTTCATTCATCAACGCCATTGTATGGAAGCATGCGGGAAAGGCCTTGGTATCGCTTGTTGTCATCGTGTTTGACATTGTAATAGCGTAATCGTGAAATGTATCGACGGATGACGACCTCGTCTTGCTGCTTCTAGAGCCGCATAGCTCAAGTAGCAAAGTACATGTATATAGAAGTGGTTTGAATTTTCTCATGTTAGTATCAAGCAGAAGTTGCAATGGCATGAAAACAGATTATGCATGCACTACACTAGCAATCGACAAATCCCTCTCATTTTTACGACGACAGTGCGCATGCAGCTCAGTTATAAATCTCCAAAATATTTAAGCAGCCAGTGCAAACCACAGAGCGCCACGCATCTATAGACGTCAATGTCTAACATTGTAGCTGGAAAAATGCCAAGTTGCAAGAGCAGACCGACAAAGTAAAACCAGCACGGTAAGTGTCTACTGCTACAATTCGACGGCCATCCATCCCTCCATACACCACGGCCATCCATATTCCATCTGCAGCATTCAACTGATTGCTGCAGATCGAGTCAAATTAATCCAACAAAGGTGGTAAGTTTACCACACGGTTGGCAACGTATTACAGTATGAAACGTGTCTACTAGTTTGTTGGCGTTACTTTTTTCAGGGAAAGCTCCATCAAACAGCTGTGTTCTTTATTAGCAGCTGGTAAACATAAAATAGGCAGACCTTGCTGAAGTGTTTGATCTCGGAGATTAATCAATTATCATCTTACAACGCAAATTTCACACTATCCATATCTTTTTTGTGGCAATACTTGTAAATAATGGTCAAAATGTAGCCGTCGAGCAATTGATCGTACTTGAAATTTGTGTCAACGCATGAGTTAGCACAAAGTTTCAGTTCCAACCTATCGATCACGTAAGCATGATTAGAATTGATGGCACAGGTTTACAATCATCAATACGGACTTAAATGAGTACAGACTGGTCCAATCACGGCTTCACCTGGTCGGATACTGTACCATCTGCTTTAACCGTACTTGCACGGCTCTTCTTAACAATGGAGACGTGATTCTTGCTCCATAAAGCCTCGTCCTGCTTCATTCATTGTGTATTTTTAACCGCAAGTAAACAATTTCTTCCGGTTTTACTATATTGAAGATGGTCAATTGTAAAGGCGTCGTGATCTCACAAAAGCACATTGGAAACCAAGAAGTCTGTCGCTATTGTAGAACGGTAAGCTTTGACTAGCATTGCTTGATTAATTTTGATTGATTAAGGTTTTGGTCTTAACGGTTGTTACCTTTTCATATTGTACAGCAAGTCTGTATCAAATGCTACGCCCAGGCAAGGAATACAAGGTTGGTACGGTTATCAGAGCATGTTCACCATCAACACACGTGCATGTCGTGTGTTCGGTTGTACCCAGAGGCGAAAAACTTGGAGTCTCCACCACGACAGCATCGTCTTCGGCTGAATTCAGTTCCTATTGCAAACGAATCTCGTATGAATTCAATTTCAAACCAACCAAGAGATTGCAATAAACGGGGTAGCCGCCCAAAACCAAGCACAGGGAGTTTAGCGAGTGGAAACACACCAAATCAATGGTCGGCTGCGAATGTTACGAGGATGTCAAGTCAAACAGACGTAACGGGGGGACTGACTGCAGATCTGCTTCGTCGTCATACATCAGCACTTCCACCAGTATCGTGGTTGGCCGACTTTACGAAACAATCGTCGAAGCCATCTAGGGCGGTCAAACAATTGTTACGAGTCAATGCGACAGAACCACAAACTACTAAACGACATTCTAAAGCGACAGAACTGCATGCGCTAAGAAGAGAAGTTCCGACGTCATACTCGTGCGATTTCACACAAAAATATCCAGTCATGGTTGTTCACAACGGTATTTCGACTTCGCCAAAGGAAGCGAAGCATTCAATGACAGATCTGAGAAGCGTTTCGAAGTCGCAATCGTGTGATCTTACAGGTGACAAACCATCGAACAAGCAGAACGGCATAAAGCCTTCGACTGTTGGTCTGCGGCGTACCGAGCACACGATAAACATACCGGGGCCAACAATGCGAGGACGACGCGCGTCAGTAGCTTATCCATCCAATAGTTCTCCCACACGAGCCTCTTTGAAGCACTACGCTGTCATGGCCGCAAAGCGTGGATCAGCTCAACGCGATTCAAAGCGCTGCGATGACTATCTTCAGGAAAAGAAGAAGCAGTCGCACGAACCGAAGACTACGAAAAACGTTTTGAGTGCAGGCAGCGACAACATTCTCACGAGCAAGAAGACCGGTGCTCCATTAATTGATTTCCACCTTTCGACTGTGGGTCTTCGACCGCGATCCCGCCGCCATACAACGGCGGGAGCATTGACCCAGAACATGAAACCTATGAAACATGGGAACCAAGAACCTGTCGCTGAGGAGGTGGACATTCACGATGACGATAGGTTTGCTCGCTTTCGACAGAAAAAGAAGGCCGAGGTGATCGACTTTCATTTGTCAAGGTTTAATCTGACGTCGCGAAGATTGATGGCTGAGGCTGAATCAGCATCTGACAATGTCAAAGTTGGTCATCGTGATAAGGAGAAGCAGGTAACAACAGTTCCGGCTACCCTGGAACAAATGACTTCGAAGCACTTGAAAAATGAACCATGTGACTTGGCTTATTTGGAGAAATTCAGGTCGTTGACGCTGTAACGAAAATATGATGGATACTTGTTGTCGAGAACGAAGCCTGTTCTCGACAAATTAGTAGGATTGCTGACCGTCGAAGCCATGCGTGTTACTTGAGAAGTATGTGTAGATGTGATATTGTACGCGAGGTTGTGAAATGATTGAATGAAGCTTGTTTCATGTCGAGTTAGCTTTATGACAACATCTCACTGGTCTCGTCAAGGAACAACCGAGCTACATAGAACGTATAACTTGCTCAACATAAGAGATCGCCACGTAGATTAGTGCATTCAAACGCACGATACAGCCATGATATGTGAAGATCCGCACCACCATCCCAGACATGTCAACGTGTTCTTCAAAGACCGCAACTCTCATATGCAGCTATCGGCTCAATCGTACCGGGCCTGGCCACCGGCAGCGGAACACCCGTTCGGAAGAGATGCGTGTCGCTATTGCTCGGTTATTCGTCGTCAAGCTAACGTGACATCATCTACGTGGAATTCGAAAACACTTTTGTCGAAGAGCGTGGATATCGTAATGACGCAGTTGCGATAGAGCGCCGTGGCTGCACGCCACTTGCGTAATATCGTTCAAGCGTTCTTGTATTGCTGTAGCAAATAGTTTGCAGTGACATGAAAAGCCTCTTGTGTGGTCATAGCAGTCACGTATATCTTATGATGTAGATACGCAACGTGTTCCGACATGAACGACTGCTATCCTAAGAAACACAAGTACGTTATGGATCGAATTTCTCCGAAAATCACGTGAATGCCAATGCCTGTGTGGTGGCAATGCTGCGCACCTAAACGTGGACGACACCTCCCGTACAGCGTGTGTGTAGACGGAATGAAGGGGTGTATGACATTGGTGAGGCGTTGTTACCGGAAACATGTATTGATACGCGAAGGAAGTACTGTTAAATCTTGAGGCAGCGGCCTTCCGGTATATTAAAACAGCAAATTGCAGCAGGTTCCAGAGAAGACATCGTAAGTCTTATAGTGCAGAGCACAAGAAGATGGGGAGACAAAAGCTTGATAAGATCATGGACCAGCTGCTTGATATTGTTCAGCACACAAGATGTTTAAAGTGGTAGCTTTTGTAGCAAAGCAAGTTCAGGAGGCCGGCGTTTGTTCAGCCAATACACATGACAATATAGTCTCTAGAAGTAGACACATGAATAGTTAGCTGCTACCTTTGACGCTCATCACAGGCAACACCTAGTTGACTACGCACGTCTGTATTTGAAAAGTGCTGTACGCGCTCGACGACCTTTCCTTCGAGATACTACGCACCGCAGTATCTACTTTCATCTAGTAGTATCATGCACAGCAAGGTCGACAATATACATATTGCCTTGTCGTCTACGTCAAGCTGTTGTCGTAACGGCATATTACTTGAGCGTGCTCATACGCTCATGTAACCTAGATGATAAAGCCACAAAGTTGTCAGACATGTTGTTGTAATAAGAACGTGGAAATTGGGACTAAACGTGTTTGAAAATGCTAAGCTCTTCCTTCTCTTTAGCAATCATTGGTCAACGGGTACAACTTGAGCTTTCATGATAAGGTGACGACTAACTGCGCAATTGTTCAACCCGATGATGTACCGAGCTCTTACGAAAAAAAAATCAAGCAAGAGAAAGCTTGTATGTTGTATCCATCTAGCTTACAAGGATCTAGCGCTTTCTATTCAAATACATCCATTTCAAGCACATATACATATACCGCTTAGTAGATGATACCTCGTGTCAACTTGCACCACTGTAGGTGACATTGTCTTCGTTTCAACAGAAAAGACAATGAAAGTAATGATGCAAAGGAGTGAGCAAAGAGTGGCATACGCGGTCTAGTTTCAAAAAGGCTGAGTCTGTCTGACAATTCTATGAAAAAAAGCATTGATTTTTATTAGACCACCGTCCTTCAATGGTGTACCTCATGACGACGTCCAAAGCAGATTTGGTTGGCTCAAATGTCTATTAGCGGTCACTATCTTGCACTATTCGATGCAAATCTTACCTAACAACGTCGTCGACATCGACTCGCCTTGTTCTGCTCGCTTCGATTTTGTGTTTCCCTCGAAGGTTCCAAGTTTAAGCTTGTATCCCAATCAATGTCGGTTGATACTTATGAAAGCCAAGCTATTCCTTCAAATCCATTAGCCTAAATACGATTCTATCACTGTAAGCGATGGACCATCAACCATCAAAGCTCATTCTTCTTTGGATATCAATCACCTTACTATTCTTGTCACAAGACTTGTTGATATCAAACATTTTGCAATCACGAGGAGATAGATCAAATGGTCCAGCAATACACGTATTCAAGATCACCCGACCATCCATATGCTCTTGAAATGCTACCCCTGACCAAGGAAGAACTAGATAATCTTCGGATGGATGCAAAAATGGCATACCATGCTTTATTCTCAGCTGTACAAACTGCGGTGCGATTTGGAAGCAATACAGAAGTGTTTAATGTGGCACATCGTAGCCATAACAAATCACTGGCCATGTGGACGACGTCAGTGTTATTTGGCACATTGGAAGAAGTAGCGGCATTGTATCTGGACCAGAATGAACAAGTGCCCATAGTACTAGATTCAGCCCAATCTCGATTACTCTATGAGCTTGAGAAACCCTCGAGTGACAAGCCATTGCATGGTGCAGCTATGCGCTGGTCTCTCTGGAAACCACCTTCTAAGCTCTCAGACGGAAGGGACATGTGTTATTTGGAATATATGGACTCGTTCATCGATCGTGTAACTGGGCGTCGTGTATGGGCTCGTAGCATGAGGTCTATCAACCACTTGTCCTGTCCGTCTTCACAACACCCTCAAGGACCGATCCGGACGTACATGCGCGTGTCAGGCATGATTTTCCGAGAAACTGACCGTCCCAATATCCTAGAGCATGTGACGTTCGTCCATGTGGATGGTAAAGGTACCCCAAATTGGGTCGTTCAGCAAGCCATTGCCGCTAACAAGAAGGCAGCGGACAATCTCAACCAGGTGCTTAAGATCATGCGTCAATTAAAGACTCAACAGGTTCCCGGCTCATCAACATTTATCAGATCAAATTTGAGTCAAAGCGACGGAAGCCGAGACTGTAAGGCCTGTGCAGAGCATATCTCCAAGTGGACAATCGCTAAGCGTTGCCGTTTCTGCTATGCCATTTTGTGTAAGAAGTGCGTGGAGATCTGCTACCATCGTGCCGATACAAGCGGGAAAAACTACCGGTTGTGTTTGACCTGCGCTGTCTCCACGGATTCCGCGAACCGCACCTCAAGTGAATTGAGCTACAATGTCCCCGAAAGATCACATACTCGTCCACAGAATGCACAGAATGCTGTCGTTATCGATAAACGAGAAAGGAAGCAAACTAGTCTATTGACCAACGTCATGCAGTCCAGCGTGTGTCCTGGAAACGGACACCCGTCGATTTCTGTGACCAGTTTTGCTGGCAGAGGTTCTCGCGATCCCACCGAGCAAGTCGAACACATACAGATCTATAACCCTCGCACATACAGTAGCTCGGTCAGTAGCACGAACTCAAATGGAGCTGAGTCGAAGCAACGATTGCATAATGCACGTGGCTCTCGCGCACTAACCTTAGACCTAGAGCCACGACGCCCAGAACCTATTGACCTGTCATATCTGTCGGATCTGGTTACACCTCGTGCAGGAGCTACTCGAGGCGTCGATATTTAACAACAATTAGGGGCCAAGGTTTCAAGAAGCTTTTACAAACAAACCATCAACGATCAGGAAATACCGCGAAGCTACAAGAACTCTGTCATCCTTAACGCAAGAAGCGGAGGTCAGCAAGTACACACGCTATGAAGACCACGTTACCTGTTTACATGTTATAGTAGTTGCCATTTAGTCCTCAAGCAGACCATAAGTACAGGCCAAGTTGAATATCTTCAACGATGAGTCCAACGTATAGAGAATGCTAATGACAAGCTACAGACTCACGCTTTTGCCACACTAAGATAGACTTACAGAAAACTTACCATCTAGATAGAACCAGCTGGAACAGAATGAAAAAGACCTAGATCCTGCTGGCCAACAACTCAATCGATTTATACGTGACAAGTAAAACTGCTAGTATTCATTCACCATCCAAGTTTCTGTGAGCTGCCAAGCATGACGATAAAACGTGCCATTTTACCACCAAAACAAGAGAAAGCAAGACAAACAAAAACTCTTCATCACCATTTCACGCTCGCCCCAACGGTACCAGCATATGTCATTTCTCGCTGCTCTTTCCGTTCTCCGCACTCTGTACTAACCGCTCCTTCCACGCCTTGCACTGCCCTCGTTTTTTCCAGCTTGCCGCCTCTTGTTTCATCTGCCATGCTTTGCGTTGCCTCACTTCACTATGAATACCTTCGCCTCCACTACTTTTCATATGGTCTAGCTCGGTTCTCTCCTTACATCGACCCTGCCATAGCAGTGCCACTTGCAACGTCCGCCGTCATCGGAGTGTACGATGCATTAGAAGCTGGAGGAATATTCTACAAAGGCAAGCGGAGAGCACCTTCTGTAAGTCACCGTTCAGTATTCAAACCAACAGACGCTGGTGCAGGGTCCAATGACAGTACTGCATGTACCTGGTACGCACGTTGGGAGGCGTAGCGGCGATTCATAGCTTCAATGTCGTCAGGCCGGGTGAAATCGAGCGGCTGGTCGTGCGTCTGTCGCTGCTGATTAGAGTAATTGCCGTGGTGCCCCTGTTGGTTTCCAATCGGCTGCTGTTGTAGCTGCTGTTGTAGCTGCTGTTGAAATTCGCCCTGAGGCTGGTTCGCCTGTTGCGTGTATTGTCCGTAGGCACCGTATCCGTAGCCAGCAGCACCTTGCTGGTACTGCGGGTAGCCATACGCGGCATTGTAGGCATAATAGTTCTAAGCAATACAGTCAACAACACGATCAAAATAACGAACTAAACGTGTCCTCTACAGTTCTTATCGTCAGACACCAAAGCGCATACCTGGTACCCGGTCTGGTACTGACCGTACTGCTGGGGGTAGTAGCTGTTGTAATTCGTAACACGTGCAGCCGCCGATCGACCCCACGCACACCTCACCTTGACACCACAGACAACCGTACCATTCATTTGTGAAATGGCAGCTTCCGCTGCCTCCTTGGTCGTATACTGCACAAATCCGCAACCACGTCCAGGTGGTACCTTCACTGACACAATTTCACCCAAAACGCCAAACCGAGCTCGCAGCTCTTCCTCTGTTGTTGAAGGGTCTAATCCACCAACAAATACTGTCGTATTGGCTGCCTCCTCGTCCCCCATGCTGAAACCAACCTGCTGTCGAGCTTTGTTTCTCTCCGTAGCTACACTAACACGCATGGGACGTGAAGAGCAATATACACCATTCATGGTCTGTAAAGCCTGATCTGCTTCTTCCTTGCTGCCAAAACGAACAAATCCAAACCCCTTGGACATGCGTGTTACTGGATCCATCACCACTTTTGCACCTCTTACACTGGTAAAGCGAGCAGTAAATGTACTCAGTAGCATCTCATCCGACACATCAGGAGCCAAATCTCCAACAAAAATCGAGTGATCGTCTGATGTTTCAATGCGACGGCCACCAGCGCCCCAATTCATTCGAAACCGATGCATCGTATTCGCTAGTCGATAGTACATTAGAGAGAGATCAACACAAAAGAGTCAACACCCACAGTATCGAACAAGGAAAAGATAAGCAAACAGACATATCAAACGCTTACGAATAAGTTGACCATTGTATGTTTCTAGTACTTGTTGTGCCCCTCGTTGCGTTGGAAACTCAAGAAATCCATAACCTGCTGGATATCCCGTGACTTTATCACGAATTAACTTGATTACTGGTTGCTCTGCTACATGAGAGTAATCCGTTAGAAAAACAACGTATAAATTACTTTCCAATGGGAAAAAGAAAAGAAACGAAGATAAAAATAAATTTCTTACCAGCTAAAGCAAAGAGTGAGGCAAGAAAAGCTTCATCCCAATGCATTTGAATGTCCCCCATCCACAAGGTTTTACATTCCATTTCCATTATACTACGAGATAAGATACTTGTACTTGTCTCTCTCTAGCTTATGAGCGTAAGCAATAATAATAGACGGACGTGCTTCCTAAAAATATGCGGCAGTTTGGCTTGTATCCCTTCCCGTTTTCTCCCTTTCAACACAACGTTGTGGCAATGGCTTACGTCACTTCTGAGACACGGAATGTACATTTCATACCACGGAAAAAAGAATAATATTCATCAAGGGTAGGGTTGGAGAGACCCATATGTATTAATCAATACGAAACGTCATGAGCTTCTAACATGGCTACATTTAGTATTATGTTCGACTTGCAGCTGAAGGTTGTTGTCGTCACGGTAGATGATGTTGTAAGTCAATCTTTTGTTTTCGTGACTCGAGCGTCTAACACAGACACATACATGACCACACGCGACTCTTGTAAACATAATGAAGCTTGCGCTCCATGACGAGCAGCGTAGAGCTGACGATACAGATTTTACATTTCAAAAGTCATATCATTACGTAAGAAAGCCCCTGAGTTTCTAGATCACTTGCTTAACCGTTGGATACAACTCAGCCTTAAGGCTTTAGGTCAAGACTTTGTCGTTGCGACGACAAAACAAATGTCTGCGCATTGTGGTATGGTTGCACTGTGATACTAAACCTGAGGTTTTGCATATTGTCGACACGCCAATCTCAATCATCTTTGCGTCGAAAGCTTCAATTTGTCGTCATAGCTAAGACGTGCTATTAAATGGAGATATTAACTCTAAGGCTACCGACATTCTGGCGTATCAATTTACACGTGCAGCCACAGCTTTTCAACTGTTCTGACTAGTGCCAGTAGCTTTGACGACGCAGGATCCTTCTTCTGTAAGTTCAAAATTATCCTTGACCAAGCTTACCAAAACTACAAGTTTGAGATGAAGCCTCTGATAGCATGCAGCTCAACTCACTGGACCAATATTGGACCATGAAGGACCACGACTAGAGCTCTACAGTTTCAATTGGACTAGAATACTACCGATCTACGCTCGCCCATAAGGCCCCGTTCTGTATCGTTTGCAATTTTTCCGTCCGAGCCAGAGTTTAGCACGATCTCCGTTGCTTTCCAGTAGCGCGAATAACAGATAGAAACAAGATACTACGTGTCCAAGCAAAAGAAGTGCCCCTACTGTCCACATTCCATAGCGAGCGTTACAAAACCATGGCGACGTGTCTCCAGAGGCTACACTCTTTTCTCTTGAGTAAATCCATACAGCAACAAGCCCCAGTCCCATGAATTGGTTGAGGAATGACGCGGTGGGAGGCAACATGATGGCCTCATTGTACAATATGGAAGACACGAGCATAGGAAGCAGTGCGAAGACATCGGGCGAAGGATTAAAGACGGCTGCCACGTCCACAAGAAGCAGCAGAATTAACGCGCCACACGCTGCGAACCACGTATACCGCGTAGTACTGCCTTTCAAGGACGTTGAATCGACGTCTGGGGGGTCAAACACGGAGCGACGAGAGGAAGCGACCGCTTGGTCGGTACGCAGTAGACCGTCGTCACTGTCACTGTCGCTTGCTGCGCGAATAATCATTTTCAAAAAATCTTAAAATTGACCATAGATTATACTCTTGTATACATTTGTATAGCCTCATGATAGATACCCAAACTGGCTGCAATTGCAAGTTGAAGTTGTCTATTGTATGTCTGCTAGCATATCTTGCAACTCAGTACAATGCGACACGTACACACATACATACACACAGAAGTTGATAGTGTTCGATGTGATATATAAGATTACACAAGTTAAAGTTCGTTGAACACTCTCACTTCATTCCGCATTCCGCGCTACAACGCGCAAGTCAACTCAAGCGATTCCTAGTCGTAATCACTCTCATCTTCTTCTCATGCTGCTTCAAGTGTGTCATAGATGGCGCTTTGATGTACATCAACTGCATCTCCTAGGACAACGAGAGGTCGCTAGCTATACGGAGCAATATCGCCGCAGTCTTGAGAAGCCAGAGGAGTTTTGGGCCAAAGCAGCTCAAGATATTGAGTGAGTGGTTCAAACCTTGGTCCAAAATTCTCGACACGTATGTAGCACCTTCTCAAAATACTACTACGATATTTGATGCGACTTGTCACTCTGCAGTAGCACAAGCAGCCCATCGTCGAGATGGTTCGTTGGAGGAGAGATGAATACGTGTTACAATGCACTAGACGTGCATGTGAACAACGGGCGGGGCGACATTGTGGCTTTACATTATGATAGTTTACTGACAAACACCAAGACCACGATGACATACAGGGAGCTACTTGAAGAAGGTCACTATTCCTTCTTGTCAGGATACTGTACGATTGAAGCGTCTCTCACGTACTTTTGCTGTTGTTTTGTAGTACCTCTACATTTGCTGGTGGTCTACAGAAGCTTGGAGTCGAGAAAGGCGACCGTGTCGTGATCTATATGCCAGCCGTGCAGGAAACAACGGTGGCGATGCTTGAATGTGCTTGCCTTGGTGCTGTGCATTCGGTGGTGTTTAGTGGCTTTGCCACGTTCGAGCTAGCTGCACGCATTGAAGATGCAAAACCCAAGCTGATCATCTCAGCGAGTTGTGGTGTAGAGCTAAAGGGAGCTATTGACTACGGACCACTGCTTAATGGAGCGCTCGAGCGCTCGTCGTGGAAGCCAAGCACAGTCGTCATGATGCAACGTGATCTCTGTCCATTCTCAATGACTAAAGGCCGTGATGTCGACTGGAGAGATGTGATGGCCATGGGGACTCCTGTTGATGCAGTGCCAGTTCTTGCTACGGATCTGCTCTACATTTTGTACACGTTGGGCACAACGGGTCGTCCGAAGGGTGTCGTGCGAGATAATGGTGGCCACGCAGTTGCACTGAAGAGGGCGATGCGCAATGGCTTCGACATCTCTCCAGACGACACATTTTTTTTGCGGCCTCAGATATGGGTTGGACGGTTAGCCCTCCCTCGCTGTCTATGGCCCTCTTGTACATGGATGCACGGTACGACTTGTAACTTCTGGTGAAGCCATTCGTACGTCGCGGACTTGCTAGTTACCGTTTGTAGTCAGTTCTGTACGAAGGCAAGCCTACTGGAACGCCGGATGCTGGTGCATATTGGCGATCGATTACGGAATATGGCATTAAGTCCATGTTTACAGCGCCTACTGCACTGCGAGCAATTCGCAAGGACGATCCGAGTGGCATGCTGTTGAAAAGAAAAAAGGAAGAGATTCGGAAGACGTTGAGTACGTGTTGCATCATCCTCCTTGATATTCATCCCATTCTATGAGTTAACTCCACAATGGATACTGCAATTCAGAACGATGTTCGTAGCAGGTGAGCGAGGTGATCCCAAGACATTTAACTTTTTTTCGAAGGAGCTTGGTGTGCCTCTAATCGACCACTGGTTTGTTCTTTTCAGCTAGTGCATTTTCGATCCGATTTTAAATGTTAACGCGGTTCTTGCTCAGGTGGCAAACAGAGACTGGATGGCCTATCACTGCGCCGTGCGTTGGGATGCAGACTGATGATGTAACCAAGGATGGCCAACCGCGCAGCAAGGTGGGCTCTGTGGCTCGCCCTGGACCTGGGTGGGATCTCCAGCTAATGACTGTCGCCAATGCCGGTTACGACGAGCACCATAGATTCAACCACGAAAACGAGAAGCAAGATGGTGAGCTTGTGGTGAAACTGCCTCTACCTTCAGGCAAGATGTTGCTACCGATGCAGTGTAAAATGCGAGTGTAGCACTTACGTGCATGTACCGCTTCTTATGACCAGGCGCATTGACCACACTGCACAACAAACCAGATGACTCTTACAAGAAGTATTTCGAGCGATGCCCAGGCTACTACCACACCGGAGATACCGGACACATCGACGAAGAAGGTTTTGTATATGTAAGCTACTGCGACGTTATCGTTTGTGTGCACCCAACTGACTTATGTGGTTGACTGCGAATCGATTAAATACCAGGTTATGTCACGATCTGATGACGTAATCAACGTTGCGGGACATCGTATCACCACGGGATCTATCGAGGAAGTCATCATAAATATTCCCGAAGTCGTAGAGTGTGCAGCGGTGCGTACCTTTGCCGCCTGTTATGCTGTGAGCCATGTTCGTTGTGGTTTAAAATTATCTAACGTGGTATGCAGTTTGGTGTCGCCGACTTGCTGAAAGGACATCTTCCAGTTGCGCTATTGGTGCTTGACAAAAAGATTGATCGACCGAAGAAAGAGGTACGGTGTTTGCAACAATCTGTAGCGTATCGACGAAGTTGAGCGGGCCGTATTGGTCGTTTCGTGTTTTGTCGCTCGACTGCAGATCATGAATCAAGTGGTACGTGACGTGCGTGAGCAGATGGGAAGATTTGTGTGCTTAAAAGACATCGGTCTGGTGCACGCGCTTCCCAAGACACGGTCCGGCAAGGTTATGCGCGCAACTATCAAGGCAGTTGCGGACTCAAACTTATTTTGCGTACCGGCTACTATTGACAACGCCGCTGTGCTGGATGATATCTGCTTGGAGCGCCGGAAACTTGGCTACGCCAAGACGAATTTCATTGTTACTGGCAAGTAAGGCAGTGTAAGTATGGTGTGCAGCAACCGGTGACCGACCAACTGTGACGGAGTTGAAGGAATTGATTGCAAATGCGTAAAAAGCGCCCGGCCATAATCATACTGACTGTTCTACTGACACACTATGACTTCTGTACAATGCCCCTCATTTCTTCGTCTGCTGTTATGATACGACGACACCAAATACTGCGTTCTGGATAGAGTCGGTTGATTTTGATCTCATTTGACCTGCTCACGTTACCAACAATACACGCACTGACCGAGAGTGATAAACATCCTAACAATGATGCATCAGCGGTGGAAGACGGTCCATGACTGATGGAAAACACGACGACGTCAAGGGAGAGGACGAGGCCAGTTTACGTCCCTGCTTGACAACGGAATCCTGAGAGACGATTGAAGATTGAAAAGGATACTTTGCAGATAGAAGAAGCAACTTCACAGGAGTTGCCAAGTCTTAAGCTTCTAGATTCATGCAGACATTATATAAAACCGATGCATGAAGTGACTTGGCGCTCAGGTACAGGCACGACAGGAAAATAACATTCGTTTTACCGATAAAGTGATGTTTTGGGGCATATTTCCTGCGTTGCGTGGATTCAGCAGTATCAAAACCGGTGACATTGTTTGATGGAGTAAAAGTTGCTAAAGAATAACTGGTTTCTGATACGAATTCTCAATACCAAGACCAGACACGTGTGGCTTGAATGCGTACAGTTTGGCCTTACGAGACACAGGAAGCATGAGGCAAACTTTCACATATTGAAGTATTTGTCAACGATGAAGACTGTTTGCTGTTACCTGTACAAGTTTATGCTTGAACCGTTTTCTAAACGCAACAATAATAAGAAGGGTCACTCGATGAGCCCAATTCTGGTTCAAATAATCCTCATTAGGAACCGGTCAAGGCTTAATGCTTCCCCGATGCTTTCTGAGCAATAATGCTTCTGCTTCTTCACGTCAAAGGCTGAACAAAACCCCCACTACGATTCAGCGTTTTCGTTCCGGTGCATCACACAACGTTCCACAGCAAAATGAACAGACAGATCGCTCAAGTGTTTCCACACATTCAACTCTGACGCGACAACAACTTGAGTTTTGCTGTCTATTATGTGGTTGGGATGTACCATGCAGCACGTGTCCTTTCAACTGGTTCAACTTTGATCCTAAGAAGTTTCACACCAAGTACCGACGGCAGTACAGCGACATGAACCAGTTGGCAGCTACTAAAGCAGATATGAAGCAAGCAATAGAGACGCTCGGTATCAGTACAATGTCAATGGACGTGTTTGCAAGAACTTCAATTACGCAGCGACAAGTCAAGGATGCGTTTCGAATTCAAGCACTTCAATGGCATCCAGATTGCAATCCCGATCCAAAAGCTAAACTTGTTTTCAACGAGATTCTAGCGGCCTATGAACTGCTTTTGGCTCATGCTTGTTAAGAAACGTCTGCAGTCACTCACTATACACTTTTTGCTACTTATCTGCAATACTATAGTACTAAACCACCTCTCTATCACGATTTGATCCTGAGATAATTAATATATAGAGATCAGCCGTTATAACCTCTTCTTAGTCATTTCCCTTTACTTAGTAATTGTAATTACTACTCTCAAACCCTTTCGCGCCATTCGTCAATCGGCAACTTGAGTAGATTTAAGTGCGATGTTTTACTCGCAGATTATCTTAGCGAAGAAAGGACCATTAGGTAAAATCTGGCTTGCTGCTCATTGGGATAAAAAGCTTAATAAACAGCAAATTTTTACAACGGATATTCACAGCTCTGTCCAAAGTATTGTAAACCCTCAAGTACCATTAGCGCTTCGTGTATCCGGTCATTTATTACTTGGTGTTGTGCGTATTTATTCACGCAAGGTGAAATATTTATACTCGGATTGCAATGAAGCATTGGTTAAAATTAAACTTGCATTTCGTCCTGGAATTGTGGATTTACCGGTTACGAATCAACAAGCAGCACCACATACAATCAACGTTTCTAATTTTGGTGAATTTGAAGCAGAAGTTACCTATTCTATCAAGTACGTTGTCATTTACATATATATATATCTATTATATATAAATAATAAGGATTATTATTATAGTATAGGGATAGGGGTAAAGTATATGTATTTATTTTTTATTGATGTTTTGTAATGTTAACAGCATTTTTTTATTTTGGTTTTTTTGTTCTTCTTATTTTAGGGCTCTCTCAGTGCCATCATTGGACGAATGGATTGCTGCATCTAGTCAAACAATCGCAAGACAACAGGATATTACATTGGCTGATTCATTAAACCGAACAAACGATGCAGAAAATGGTAAGACATTATCTTTATTTTCTTGTACGGAATTGTGTTATTTTCTTACTTTTGTAATCCGCTTTTTTGAAGATGTCATTGCTATGGAAGATTCATTTGGTGGTGAAGATGGAGGAGAGTGGCAAGCATTTGATCTAGATGATAATTTTGGCAACTCTGGACTTGATACTAGTGGTGTCAGCGATATTGAAGTTGCTCGTGAAGCGGATGCACCCATGTTGCCACTGGATGACTCGGCGATACTAAATCTTGGAGATAAATCTTTAGACCAAAGCTCGTTGGATAAGGATGGAGAACAGCCAGAGTTTGGACTCAATGATGCGTCGTTTGAAATGCCTGTTGACAATGTAATCGAGATTGAAAATCCTCTTGCTGACACGGCGGACATTAGCGGCGGAACGTTGGATATCAGTGTGGACATGAATGCTAGCACTAATAGCTCGACGCGTGCATCGTTGGATGCTGCGTTGGCTAATGTTGAAGTCGAGTCACGACCCAAGAAGAAAAGGAAAGTTGCTCGAGACAGCGTCACAGAGTTGGCTTCAACATTTCTAAAACAGGGAATGGACGATACTTCTGACATTATTCGCACACGAGAAATCGAGTACACTAAAGACTCTAAAAGCAAAAGTGGCTTGGACTTTCAGATTGGAGCGAACATGTTTCTACGGCCTTGTATGGTTGACATGTCTAAAGAGTTGCTGAGCATGTTCAAGGTCACGATGAAGAAGCGAAAGTTTCCGTTTGGTTCCAAGCAAAAAGAGTCAAACCAAGCAGAGGATATTGAGCTGACTCGACGCCTGAGCGCAAATTCGCGCATGAGCTCAAACTCGGTACGTTATTTGTTTTCGCAGTTTATTGTGCACAGCTGAACTCAAAACTTACCGCGCTTTACTTTGACAGACTGGCTTGGACGTGACCGTCGGATCGTGTGATGGTTCTATGCTGCATGAGATTGAAGAAGAAAACCATTTCAAGGTTGCCGACATGGGTCCAAGCGAACCGTAAGTGCATTTGCAGCAGCAAAGATACATCGTTTTTTGACATTCTCCTGAAACATGCTGACACAAAGTTACTGATTGTCTTTAGCGAACGCTTGGATGAAGGTTTTCCAGACTACGACATTGGTGCACCATTTGAGTTGGAAGGTCAAGAGGAATTGGAAGATTTGAACGTGGATATTGAGTTAGGCGCTGTAAATGACATTCGGGGCGATGCAAATGGCGCTACGGCGTTTCATCAAGCTGAGGTTTTGACTGCTCAGCATAAATGGCATCCACATACTGTGAAGGTGATGAAGGTGCTGCGGAAGTCGCTTAAAAACAACGAAGAGGTTACGTACAGGCAGCTTACTAAAAAGACCCAAGACCGACGAACAGCAGCCGCGCTATTCTTTGAACTCCTACAGCTCAAGACTCTGGACTATGTGGATGTGGAGCAAGCTGCGCCGTTTTCTGACATTAAGATTTCCAAGGCTGGTCGGTTCTCGGAGTACATTCCGTCAGTGGATCGCGATTCGAACTGAAAGCGCGACAACTTTGATGCGTACAACTAAACTAAGGCTTATGAACGGACGATGTGTTTTCCAGGTTTTGTTTTCGTGTAGGTGTTTCACCGTTAGACTTGCTGACGTACGTGCTCACAAGCGGGTGAGGGCACCTTCGCTATACACTCTTCGTGCAGACGCATAAACGTATTAGCTACTGCCACTGACAGTAAGTACTTGCCGATACATTTCGGTGCTAAAAGCCACGATCCACGTTAGCTATGCAAGCAGCCTAGATGAATAGTCGAAATGCCTCGACTCAGAAGATCAGTGCTCATTAGTTGAGGTGTGACTTCTCAAGTATTCACCGCAACCTTCAATCGCCATCATTGTCATGCTCAACGGTAAGTTTGCTAGGAAGAAAGGGATGCAAGCCTTGAAGACATTGGAAAGACGAGTTTACAATGCCTGCAAGAATGGCACGCTTTTTTCTCCTAATAGTCTGTCTTCCTTTTCGTCTGGTTTTGCTGTCAGCATATGTTAGCGGTTCTCGACTCCAGAAAGTCTCAGATTGCTGTTCAAATGAAAAGAATCTGATTAGATTCCTCACTTGTTCCGCTACATGTTGGAATCTTGGTCACGATGCAATTTCTAGCAGACTAACAGCTTGTGTGACATCAGATTACACTGGAGGTGCTTGATGAGATATACTCGTTCATTAAACGCATACATGACACTCTCAGAATTTCGTTTTCAAATGATGTTTTGAAGTGACAATGCTAGTCAAACTGATCATGATGTGAGCCCCCTGTCGGTAACATGCTGTTTTCTAGATGTATCGGTCGCAAAACCACATGCAGTCACACCTTACGTAGCAATAAAGTAACTTAGTGACGAGCAGTAGGAAGTATTTTAAGAGCAAGATAATGCATCTCGCATTACGATCCTTTCTGAGAGCCTGTTTGCGCTCAAAGGTGTGTAACATGACGAAGGCAGGACTGATCAACACAGCGACAACCTGATGCTTGGTTATGTACACAAATTAATGCACATGCGGCACCACATCTTCAGTGAATGGAGTAAGACTTTGTTGTCTAGAAAGGGTGATGACCTCTTACAATCGACGCAAAAGACATTATACTCGACATGACATTATATGTGACTGCCTACTGCTAACATACGCTAGCTGACATGATACGATGTTCTATGTCACAGGAATAGGTTGACGAACATCCGATGAATGACATGTTACAGACCGGATGATTTCATTCGTGTCGTGAATGCAAGTAGAGAGAGACCAGGATCGCAAGAATAGAATGGAGAGCAGTTTTTTATTTGAATTACATTCGCGACGCAGAGAGAAACCAATTTCTCAAGCATTGACGCCATGCTATTGACACAACACGTTTGAAGAGACCTCGATTGTTGGTATTGATTATGGTGGACATCATGCTGCCTTCTCAACAAACAAAAAAGCACACAACTCACTACTATTTCATTCACCATGTTTACATCGATTTTATCGCTCAGAGTATCGCCCGCTTTGGAACTCGATTTGATTGCCATCGACTCAAGGTGTAAACTATCAAGCGGACAACTACAAGAGACTGAATACTTTGAGCCAACCGTCTTATGATTGTTTTGTGTCTCTTTGACGAACAAGGGCAATGCCAACGCGGCGACAACCTTGAACAATTACGAATTTGCTTTCATATCTAACACTCCAGACTTCACACACTTAGACGACCATACCATGCAATTTCACCATTTCATTGACAAAGGTATCGAGTCAATTGTAATGTGAGTATCACAAACACCGAGAAAAAAATCTGACGGCAACTGGTGGTCCAGATGGTGGCAGTCTCGAAAGGATGTTGAGGTCGCAAAAGCTGTGAGTTCGTGTGTCATTCTTTGCCTCCCGTACAGCAGCTCACGATTGTTGATGATTCGGGAAGCGTTTTTTGATATGTACCCGCTGAATCGCTGGTGAATGCCTCTCCCGGCCAGCCGCAATAACATGCAATGGGTTTCGATCGTAGAAATAAAGATCGCTGTCGGCGGACCGACCCCCACATAACGTGTGATTGCATTGTCTTGGTGTGGTGGAGACGCAGTGATCTACGTATGACCCTGAACACTTCGAAGCCGGAAGGCATTCATCGGCATCGGATCATAGCTTTGACGTCAACAATATGGACATTGCTCTCCGTGGGTCTCACATATTTGCACGGCGCGGAACCAATACACTACACTGTGACTCCATGTCAAGTGATAGTTTGCTAGACGGGCTCTCGAGTATTTCGCAAGAGCTTAGAGATAACGATACCTGTAAACATCAACAAAACATGACGGTCTGTACAATGAAAAGGCAAGGATATTTTCGATCGACGTTGTGGTGGAAGAAATGACGTCCTGTGCACACGGATGAAACCTGACTACCTATACCAACATTTTGCCGATAGTGGCGGTGAGTCAACTGCGTTTTAAAAAATTCACGGTTGACTATTACGTTGGTGGCTTCTTCAGGACGACCTACTGCTGCTTAAGGCGTTAGTTTGTAGTCCGTAGCTTGCAAAACACTCGATTTCGTCGCATGTGTTTGGTGACGTAGACGAGGAGCTCGCTCTGTGCAGCTTACCGGATCTACAGATCCGGTCCATTTCGTCGCGACGCAGCAAGAGTAGCAAGTAATTAGGTCAGCGCATCAAGTTGAGCCTCACATTTAAGGTTTTTCTATTGTTTGAGGCAAGGCCGGCTTGGTGCAAGGTCGTGCATTTCACTCTTGTGATGGGGGTTGCAGGGTCGCACTGGTGGTGGAAGTGCAGTAATAATGAAGTAGAGGTGGTATGAAGAAAATACTAGCAAGACATCAACTGTTTTCTTGGAAATGAGATGGCGACATTCTAGCAAACACCATTGCTTGAATTGTATGAACGTAAGTGGACGCACGCGTCGGACGAACCTATGCAAGTTTTGCTTCATTTGCACATCTATTCAGTCATTACGACCGCAGAATCGAGTTTGTAAGTGTCCTTTTCTAACAGGAAGAAGTGATCGAATTGACGATCGTCATAACAGCAGATGTCCGTTCTATCCATGTAAAATCCGTCTTGATGGGCTTTTTGACGCGTTTGGTAGTGAGCTAAGGGGCTTTGTACGGCAAGGCTGGACAATGCTGAGGTTCTGTACACCCCGGCATGTTTTCCCGGATATACGAAATGAACTGCAGCGTACAAGAGGACGGACTCATCAGGAAATGACAACAAGTCTTGTTTGCTACTGCCCGTAATAAAGGTGTAGGTTCTTACACCTTCTCGGTCTACAGTCTTCAGTCTCACTTCTTCTATTAGACGATAAAAATGAAGGAGTACTCACTTCGGACACTGAGCAACAACACGGTACGTCCTTGTTGGTATTGTACTAAGTCTTAATATGGGAATTATCTAACGCAAACTCAATGTGCTTAATGATAAATGAATAGAGTGAAGTAGTTAGCAGTATAATCCTCGGCAGCTATACGTCCGAAACCTCCGAAGAGAAGGTGGTGCCGACGCATACCGTGGGAACGTCATACTACAAGACGGATTCTGAAGCAAAATCTTCCGAGTACGAACAATCGGAAGCGATGAATCCGTTGCCTCACCTCACAAGCGCTTCATCATCACATTCTTCTTACTCTAAGACGACGGGGCACGAAGATTCAGGCAACACAGCCCAGCCGCGCAAAGACGCAAAAGGGTATGAAACCGAAGCGCTTTGGCCGGTAAATGTATCGTTGGCGCATACGGCTACCCCGACGCAGAACAGATCTTCGTACAATTCGCCCACCACAATTTCTACGTCTGAGAGCACCAAGATAATATCTGGAGGATCCATTTCAGGACTTGTGGTCGGTATAACATGCCTTGTGTTCGTGATTGCTGCATTCGTGACTATGAAGAAACGTAAGGCGGGCCATCAATTTCCACTGATTAAGCTTTCGGCGGGATTCGGAGATTCTCAATCCATGGAGATTGCTTCGTCCAAATTAGCACCTCCGGGGACATTTGAGAGACTCGACAGCGGTCGCAACGAGGTAGGGGGACCTAACATGAGTGGCATTTTCAAAGTTACGCAAGATGACCCATTCACGAGGACGCACATGAGCAAAGGTGGGATTTGGGACGACCCGGTACTTGTTGCTGCTCGTATTCCTCTTGAGAAAATTCAAATTAAGGAACTTCTTGCTCGTGGCGGCTTCGGTCAAGTCTTTCTGGCGTCGTATAACGGCCAGACTGTAGCTGTGAAGACACTGTTGCCAGAGACGGCCGAGGACATGGACGAAATCAACGCACTATTTGTTGAAAGTAAGGTCATGGCAACTCTGAACCATCCTTGCGTAGTCAACTTCATTGGAATTGCCTGGGAATCTTTCAGTACTATTTGCTGTGTAACAGAGTATTTGGTTGGTGGTGATCTGCGTGCTTTGCTGAACCACTTTTTGGTGAATCATACGCGGCCTCAAGGCTTTGACCATGACAAGGTCAAGATCGCGCTTGATATTGCGCACGGCTTGACGTATCTTCACTCAATGGAGCCAAGCATCTTGCACCGTGACCTCAAAAGTCGAAACGTGCTGCTAACTTCGCAGCTGAATGCAAAGCTGACGGACTTTGGCGTGTCTCGAGAGCGCTCAGACGGAATGATGACAAATGCAGTCGGAACGTCTCTTTGGATGGCACCCGAAGTTATGCTGGGAAGTCACTACGACGGCAAAGCTGACGTCTTTTCTTTTGGTATTTTGCTGAGTGAACTTGACACACATGCGATGCCGTACGCTAATGTCCGAAACTCCAATGGACGCACACCTTCGGAGACTACTATCCTGCGAAAGGTAGCTGCCGGTAGCTTGCAGGTCGAGTTTTCGCGTAATTGTCCAACGCAGCTAAAGAAACTAGCTCAAGCATGTATTTCCGTGAACCCGAAGAACCGCCCGACAGCTAACGAAGCGCTGTCCAAACTGAAAACTGCACTCACGTCATTCGAAGTGGAAGAAGTGGCGCTATGACTTGGACGCTAAAGCCACTAGATAGTGTAGTACGTTTTCAAGACATACTGGGGGGTAGATGTTACCCTCAGAACACTTTTGCCAAGTATATACATTGCGGCAAAAGGTAACTAACTAAGTGTAAACAACTGCACAAGCGTAAGTTTGGGGCAACGATTGTATAAAATCTCTAATGGCCATGTCGTGAACAAAGTGGTTTGTATGACACTGAAGCAGTGCTTTCAAAGCTTAGTTTCTAGCTAGTGTGGCATCAAGCAGTTGGGTTGCAACCCAGACTGAGTGATGCGACAACAATTCCAAAAAGAAAGAAAGCCGATGCTGAAACTTTAGCTGGCAATGACGCGCTCTAGATACAATCTGCCAAAGGAACAAAGGGTAAGACAAGCAGTCGTATTGAAGCATTTGACTGCATCACGTTGCTTTGTTTTCCATAGTCAGACATTCGACAATTGCAATGAACGGATCAACATGTGACCTTTTTCAATGCAATGTAACGACTTGTACGTGTGTGCACGTCGATGAAAGAACGTCTACCATGTATATGTTGCCATTGTTGTATTATACACTAGCGTGGAGGACAAACTCTGTTGGATGTACAAGTAATGCATCACTTTGTTTGGAACAGCACCAATTGAACAAGTCACGTCGGTCACGCAGTGGATTTATCGACTCGTTTCAATGGACACAACCCCATTGACTCTAAGCTGCATGTTGTTGTTATTTGCAAAATCGTTCCTACGAGGGCGTACTCTATTGCAGTGTCTGTACGCTCACAAGCTGCCTTCACAGTAGTTTCAATTGTCACAACATGAGGGCCTCAGCTACCGGCTTTTGGCTACAATCAACTCCGAAAACATATCTATCTTTCTCCTGAAAGGTATCAATCATTTCACAATATTACAAAATCTCACAATGTATTTGCTTAGAGCTATTTAAGTAATGTGGTTCGTACTTGGTAGTAGCTCGATATGAACATGATTAAGATTGTGTTGACATCCGGGGGGGGTACAAATAGATTGTAGAAACGCTTCTGATAGGTTTGAGAGACGTACGACTAAAATTCCTCGTCCAAAATATGCTGTAGCCTGTACAGCGCTTCAACCGCTGTAGGTCGCTCTTTCGGGTCAAGTGCAACACATGCAAGTCCCAGTTCGACTAACGACCGAGGAGTTGCTTCAGAAAAGGTCACGCACATTTTGCCAGCAGCTACCATCTGCATGATCGCCGCGCTGGGGAGCTTGTTTCGCTTGGACTGACTGTGTGAGCTCCTTGATTCAGCGTATGGTGAAACATGGGAGTCGAGTTCGGACAGCACCACACCGAACGAGAACATGTCTACCTTGTCATCGTAACGCTCGCCCATCATAACCTCGGGTGCCATCCAGAAAGACGTTCCAATGCCTCCTGTCATGGTCGCGTCAATACGTTCCCTAGATATACCGAAGTCTGTCACTTTCGCATTCAATTCCTCGTCCAGCAAAATATTCTTCGACTTCAGGTCACGATGGATCACTGGAGGAGAAAACGAGTGTAGGTAAGTCAACGCCATCGAAACGTGAAGTGCAATTGTGACCTTTGTATGGTCGAAACCAATAGGATGCTCCTGATGTTCGATCTCCGTAAGATAAGCTTTCAAGTCTCCACCAGCCATGTACTCCGAAAGAACGCAAATATCGATAAGCTGATCCCAGGCAACTCCAATGAACGATACGATATGAGGGTGGTCCAGACTTGCCATCAACTTAACCTCTGACAGGAAAGCACTCACCTCTGACATCGTTCTTTGTTTCTCAGGAAGCAGCATTTTTACAGCAACAGGTTTGTTGTAATAGCTGCCAAGATAGACCTCACCGTATCCTCCTCGGCTAATAATTTTATCAATCGTCACTTTCTCGCGAGGAATACGAGCTCCAACAATGACGTCGTCGTCCCAAATTGAGCTGGGTTGATCAAAATCCGACACTGCAGTTGTCGCTTGGCTACGAAGCTTTGTTGGACTATTTTGCGCCTCATATGTATCTCTGTGATCGTATGTATGACAAGAAGATCGTTCTTCGTTCGAGTTGCGCCGTAGGTGTCGTTTTTTGTACACAAGAAGGGCAATAAAAGCCACCACGAGCAGAATAGCGGCGACAATTTCTGCGATGACAGCGGTACTAAGTGAGGAACCCTTACGGCCTGTTGAAGTGGCTGGAGGTGATTCAGTTGGTAATGACGAAACAACACCATTCGTTTGTGCACCTTTAACGCTCGAGTAGTATCTCATATTCTCCGTACATTTATGGCTCGTTATATCCTCTCCACTGATTACGTACAAAACGGAAGGAATGGTACACGATGGGTCAAGGAAGTACGCCAAATGTGCAGATCCATTCGAGAAAAGTGTGGCAACGACGCTTTGGCCGTAAGTACCAGCAAGTTCACACTTCCCGGAGGCAGCAACCGCTGTTGATTCAACGTACGTGTTGCAGTGTGATCCGCGATACATGTCCACGAGTACATACTCGTTTGTTCCAAAGATATGTTGTACGTGCTCGTAAATACCATCCGACGGACATCGAATTGCAGTGTAGTAATTCTTGTTATTAGGAAAACTGGGCGCCGACGTACAAGGTAAGGATGAGCATGTTTGATTCACGAGTATAGTCAATGACACCACCGAGGTACAGGATGAATCCGAGTAGACCTCAGTTGATTGAATCGAAGCCATTCAAATTTGTTTTGACTTGTTCGAGATTGATTGATTCTGTCAAGTGATTTCTTGTTTACGGCCGAATCTAGGAATGGTCAGTCAGTCCATAAGTGTTCAGTAGGGAACGACACGTCCAAGTCACGAAAGCTGAATCAAACGTGATCGGTTTCAATGAAAAAAAAGATAGTATGGGTTGCATAGTAAAGACTTGAGATTGGCAAATCGTGCTTGCAACCTAGCATCCATAAAAAGAGGTACTGATGCATTTGCAAGACATAGAAACATGTCGATCTTTGCATTCATTTGAATGCATTACAGTGAGAGAGACTCAAAAGGTCTGTTTACTGATTTCGTACAAGATTCTTCTTTGCAGACTGGTAATGAAGGGCTCGACGCTTTATCACGACACACTCCTCATGAGAAATCTGTAAACTTCTCGTGAAAAAGGGTGATGATCGTGATGCATGCGAGTAGACAGCTGCGTCGATCCTGTGATGTCTCGTTTTAAGTTATCGGACTGGGTCTTAGTCTGTCTCGGAACGCGTTCGTCACGGAACACCCGCTCCAGTTGTCCGGACCGGCTGGGTTAGACCACCGTGTGGGCCCATGAAGGCTGCAATCGCCGGTCTCGGCGACGGAGATGTCACCTGTTGGTGATCGAAATCCGATGGCGGCCTGGAAATGATGGACCTGATCAAGGAGCCGGAGACGTAAAATTGAAACGATGCATCGAGCGATGTCTCAGCCCAGATAGAAAACAGATCGCGGAGATTAGCGATTGGATTGGCCAATAGATGACACGCCCGCAAAGTCGCTACCAGCCAGTTGGGTGCCAGACTTTCTGGCCGACTTTAAGCACTATCCTTAAGCCAGTCGAGATGTGGGTATTGGACGCAGTTGAAGATCCGCTGGATTTTGCGGTACGCCATGTTCGAGGAGTTGCTACAAAAAGCCCTCACTCTTGAGACGGGTGGTTGGCGCATAAAAGTTGACCAAGACTTCCATGCTGTTATAGCGAACGGTTTGGACGGATGACTGGCCCATTTAGCCGTATCAAGTAGCAGAGCTAGTCCAAAGCTCCAACACGACATAGGTGTGCGCCCCGGTGCTGCAGCAGGGCCCAAAAACGTTGCCACTCTCACCAGTGGCAGCTGCTTCCGCCGGGCGGAGACATGGATTTCCTGAAAGCACCATGCCTCCGGTCGTTCCCTTCAAGGCGTGCCGCGTCAGTCTGATATCCACTGCGCTCGAGCTCGAACAATTGCCTAAGGTTTTGCGTGACAAAGCGCTTCGACGCTTTTGACCCTTAACTGATCTTAGCCCCGCAGTAAAAGATTCAAATGGACTCTGTTGTGTCGGAGTCGACCGAAGCGTTCGCCATGTGGCAGTGGTAGCTTAAGTTACACGATCGATGAGGCAGTGTGAAGCTTCGGTCCTGCTCTCCACTCGCAGGTACGAAGGCAGCTAAGAAAAAGCTGGCGACCGCCAGTTGTCGTGGGGAGGGATAGCCGATTAGATCGACTGAAAATCCATTGTTTGGAGGAGCGTGAGGTGCCGCATGAATCGCGTTGACGGGGTAGAAATATTTACAGGTTCACCCAGGAGCTCCTGCAACTCTGTGTCGAAAGACCATGCGCAAAGTAAGTGCTGGCTATGTTCGCGGGGATCCCAGTGATCCGCGTTGTCGACTGACGGTGCAAACTGCGAATGGCCTACCAACTGCTACCCAAGACTCTAACCAAGCTATGGTCGTCGATGTGGGTGTTGGTCCGGTGATTTAATCCCGAAGCCATTGTCGTTGGCCCGCCAGGTGCTTGTCTACCTCGCCAAAACTGAAATCAGTCAGACTCGTTTGATGCATTAGTACAATGGTTCTTCTTTTCTGTCTATTACAGTCAAGATCGTATGCAGGCGATACCAGCAATTGTTTCTTTAGTCAGATCTGATTGCATCATGGGTTCTAGTCCAGCGTAGGGGAGGAACTGCACTTCAGGTTTGTGAGTCATCACCATTGCAGGATCATAAATTCTGTTGATTATGACTACCCACCCTCACCATCACCGTTACCGTCATCACACGTCAGCATTTTGTTCGCCAACATACCGAAGTCTGTTTATTGCTTTGTTTACGTCCACTGATATTTTCATGTCAGTCGTGATCTCCCTGACCATCATCAGTACCACGTCTACGTTTCGAGATTCACTTCTACTAACGACATCAGGTTGCAAATGTTTCATACTAGAACATGACCATTTGTCCTACGAAATGCAAAAAAGCGCTTTCTAGTGTCGAAGCTTATAGCGAAGTCGTTCAATAAGGTCTATAGGGATGCCGATAACTTCAAAGACAATGACAAAAACTGACCTCAAAGACGATGACAAAAACCGCTCATCTCTTCGTTTTTGAACCCGTTGATGGAAGCCAGCTGATACCCTTAGTTCCTCGGTATGTGCTCACACAACTACATCGTCTTTATACGCGATGTTGGGTAGTCGGTGGGTGATAGTTGAAGCTCTTGAGATGTATTCCAAAGATGTCTCCTTGGACGCTTGCTGTAATTTGATACCAATCTCCAGTATCATGTAGCGTGACTTACGAATGAAGAGCACTTGCCTTGCGTGAATCATGTGCATGAATGTAGAGACTTTGGAATTTTATTTCATGTACATTAGAGCTTCAACTCGCCCACGTAAAATTCATTGACCAAGATTTTTTAGAGTTGGTAAAGTGCCTCTGCTGCCGTTGGTCGCTTCTTGGGGTCCACTGATACAAACGCAATTCCTAGCTCGACGATTGAACTCGACGCTGCGTCTGAAAACTGAATGCGAAGTTTGTCCATAGCCACCATCTGTAAGAAATCTGCGTCAGGAACCTTGTGTCCAAAGTTGGAGCTGCTCTTCGCAAAGGCGTACGGAGTCGAGTGGAGATCGAGTTCTGACAGCACCACTCCAAATGAAAATATATCCGCCTTGTCGTCATAGCGCTCGCCCATCATGACCTCCGGAGCCATCCATAGCGACGTACCCACACCCGCCGTCATTGTTGCGTCAATTCGTTCGCGAGAAATACCGAAGTCCGTTACCTTGGCGTCCATCGCTTCGTTCAGTAAGATATTACTCGGCTTGAGGTCGCGGTAGATGACCGGTGGAGCGCACGAGTGCAAGTACGTTAACGCATGAGCTACATGCAATGCTACTTTGACTTTATCGTGATCGAAGGCGACTGGAAGTCTCTGCTCCTCAAACTTACGAAGTAGCGCTTTCAGGTCAATCTTCATAAACTCCGTCACGACACAGACGTCAGTGAGCGCATCCCACGCGACGCCAATGAACTGCACAATACGCTGATGCTCAAGTGTGGTCATAAGCTTTACCTCGGACAAGAAAGCGTTGACTTGCGTAAGACTCTTTTTTCATTCCGGCAGTAGCATTTTACAGCGACTTGTCTTCTATTGTACATTCCTGCATTGACTTCTCCAAATCCTCCTCTGCTGATTAGGTAATTGACCAGAACTTTTTCTCGTGGGATACGAGCTGCAATAATTGCTTCATCATCCCAAAGCTTACTGATCATGGTTTCACCCGAACTTAATGTTGTTTTCGTTTCTGTTGTGTGTTTTGCAGAACTTGCAGGCAACTGTTGATACTGCGCTGTGGAAGTGACAACCTCCTCATGTGGATATCTTGCAGCACTTGTTGCTCCTGGTTTCGGTTCCGGTTCCGACGTCGACACCAGCACCAACACCCGATTGCAATCAACAAAAGGAAAATGCATCCTACGGCTATTCCGGCAATGAGACCAACGCTAGCGTCAGAGGAATCCGACGAACCACTTCCACTTGTTGTACTATTTGAAGATGCACTACTTGCGGTCCATGTGCTACCAATACTCTTCGGTGCAGATCCACTCAAACTCGAGTAGAATTTAAAACTGTTGTAGCAAGTGTGGCTCGTAAGGAGGTCTTCCGTAATGAAGGATGCGTCGTACGCTGAGGTTGAGCAGACTGAGTCAATGAAGTATTGCAATTTAGCAGATCTGTTCGAGAATAACGTCGCGATGACGTACGTGTTACCACCGGATACCTCGCATTCTCCTGAAGCGAGGTAGGCGTTTTGAGTGTATGGTGTCGTACAATCTGTGTCTAAGTAAGCATCAACTAGCAAGTAGTCAAATCCATCAAACACTTGAGCCGTGCTTAATATACCATCCAAAGGACAAGTTTTCGTAGTGTAATACGTATCCGTCCCAGACATTACAGCATTGCAAGCTGAACTTGAACAACTCGATATGACAGTAGTGACCTCGACATAGACTGAATTCACGCAGTCGGGTCCGAGTTAATATTCACCGATTTGCATCACGTGATTGAATCAAGAATGAAGAGAAGGATATTGAGCAGGTAGGTAGGTAGGAATTGATGAATGACGGTCATCAACCATTTGTGCTGACACCCAAACGTTGCAACTCAGCATTAGTGGTCCTTTACGCTGCGGGAAGATATCATACATCATGTGTCAGCTTTGTTCGCAGCAGCATTATATTGAACAGTACATGCAGTCAGAAGTATGACTCCCGTGCTTCTGCTACTAGTCATCTTCTTGAACGAACATATCCAGAGTCAACATTAGCACACGCTTCTCTTACCTGCACGAAATATTCGAATGGAGCTGGTTACTGAAGCGATATATGCCCTGTGCACATTTAAATGAGCTTACTGATGTATGTCTACGTTTCAATGCCAACAAAGAGAGGCCTTATGTCATCAAGAGTAGACCTCAGCAATAATTTATTCGGGTGAACCTTGAATGAACCCCATCCAGTACAGGCTACTTTTCAGTGCATAAATAACTACACTACGACTTCATTCCGTAAACTTGTCGATCGTGGTATACAGCACCTATGCGTCATGATCAAGAATCGACAACTGTTCAAAGACAAATGATCTGGCATCTGACAAGATCACGTCAGAGTAGATTGCGTATTGCAGCTTGTTACTACAATGAGCAATGCTAGTATCATGATTATTTAGCAATGCTTCACTTAAGAAAGTCCATGTTTGTCTCCCGTATTCATGCGGACGAAGAACATTCAATGGCACTACGCGACTGGCAATTCCAATCGAAGCTTGACCACGTCCTGCAAGGTGATGCTGACGGTTGTAATGTGATGATTTGTCTTAACCTATAGTAAAGGCTTCTCTGACCACCGTGGCGAGCTTTTTGCCTGCAAGGCCATATTTTATTCCGACTTGCGCGTGTATATGTTTGTCGTTGTTGACGGGCTGGATCAAAGGCATTTCACGATGACCTTGTCGATCATGTCAAGGACGTGCTGCTGCAAGGGTGAACGCCGGACTGAAGCTTACTTTCCTGAATGCAACGTCTTCAATATTGCATGCTAATAGAAATATTCGAGGTATCCCACAAACCTCGGTCTATTTATTCAGCTTTCAATAGCCAACGTGTCATCCTCATGTTATTGATTTCAGCTTCTCATATGTAGAATTAATAATGCCCCATGACAACAGCGAGCGAAGAAAATTCATCTGCACGCCGCGGTACAATTTCGCCACGCTTCGACCACGTTCTTGATAAGTAAGCTGCAACGCCTCCCACGGCCCAATAAAAGATTGTCCGTATACACTCTGCATACGTGTCCGTGCCACTACAAACATCAACCCCAACAATCACTTAGACAATATCACATCCTTCAACTCAGCATCACACAAAAAAACTCACCGTTGATAGGATATGTAAATGTACTGATAACAGCGCCCAGCATGGCGCCACTTATAAAGTCGTTCGCCATGATTGTCGCTGTCGTCTCTCCTCTTGGAAAAAGCTCTCGCAGTGGTCCACGTAGGCCAAAAAACAAAATATTGCCCGGTCCATTACGACATAAAATCGCTGAAAGTCCACGATAGTGCTCTTTCACTCCATATTTGTTAATATGAACCATCGCATCATACGCGCCTGCAATCTTTCGATTAAACTTGGGCGTTTGTAGTAACGTCTGTGCTCTCTACCCAACAAATACCAAAAACAACAACAACAACATTAACCTAATTGATCAACAATTCGTCAACAAGGACAAGTAAACACAAAACACGACGACATAAACAATACTAAACTGTATCATACCTCAAATGGTGCGAGCACCGCCTCGGACGTGCCTGCCATCCCTGCTGCAATGCAATGAAGTCCTGGCTGCTCTCCAAACTTCTGGATCAATAATTCATCGTAGAAATTGTATAATCCAAACATAAGAGACTTGGACACCATTGCTTGTACTAACGGTGGTTTAACGCCTCGATATAACATCATCCAGCCTTCATTACGGATATTTTCCATAGCTTGCCATGTATTTAACCCAAGTAACTGGACAGAATATGATACCAAAGTTAGAAGAAGAATAATCAATCCCATTTTAACCGTGTGTTTTACTTGTTAAAGAACCCACGAATTAAGCTACTTTTTAAGGAAAAAATACCTGTTGACGAAACATCACTTTATTAGGTGGAAAAGTGACAACGATATTAATGGCAGCTGCTGTACCACCACAAAAAAATTCACGTAAATGTGGAGAGCGAGCAAAGATACCATCATCATCTTGTTGCTGCTGGTTGGTTTCGATCCCTTTTGAATGCTTCTTCACATGTGCGTCATTCACGAAACTCTCCATGTTAATAAAGGAGTGAGCAAATGAATACCGACCGGTATGACAAATAATGAACATCTTGGTACCATTTAGAAGGTACATTGTACCCTACTAATTTTGTAGCGTTAGTTTTAGAAATATGAAATATGAAAGCTGCAATGTTGTTGAAGCGCATTGACAGATCCCATTTGGCGCAACAAAACCTGATGCCAAGAACAAGTCGCATGTAGCATTTGCCTCATGTATGTATCATAATTACTCCTCTACGTTCAATATTGCTGCATTACTGGCCAAAGCAACAAGCTACTGCTCAAAGACATCGTCTCTTGTTGATGCCGTCGTGCATTGCAGGCTCTGCACCCCAAGAAGCTGCAGCTAGCATACGACACCGCTCTCGTGAGTACCAATGATTCTTGATAGCATTCTCACATCTCCCTGGCAACTCCTCTGCAATCAAGCTCCACCGGGCCGCGTACTTATTGACGGCTTTGATCAGAAGCTCATCTTCAGCTTTCGTCCATGGTGCCTGTCAAGAACGACAGTATCATGAGAAATACAAACCACTGCAGCAACTATTGGCCCCTACCTTATTGATGGACGGATCTAGTTGATTCAAAAACCGCTCGCGGCATTGATTCCCTACTCGACCTGGCAAGAACATTGCAACCTGCCCAGCAATATCACTCGTTAGCTTAGCAGACGTAGCTGGTAGATCAGCGTCTACACCGTTGCAACACATTTACACAAACACACTTGCGTCCACTTTCTTCCAATCTCCGCTACCTTCTCCATCAGCACTCGGTCTTCAGTTTCCGTCCACGTTCCTCTTCCTTTCACCACTTTGTCGTCCAGCGTTCGATACCATTGCTGCAAACACTGTGAATCTGTCCGTCCAGACAGCTGCGATGCAATGAACAGCCAGTTTCCCGTCCCATGCGTCTGTACCATCGACCGCAGCTTTTCCTTTTCCACAGCATTCCATCGTTGTGGCGATCCTCTCCTCGGTCTCTTCTCGGCTGTTCTCCGAGCCAGCAGCAGACAGCGATTCTTGACATTTTCTGCACTTTTCCCTCTAAACTCCTGGGCCATTCTTGCCCAACGAGACCTCATTTTACTCTGCAATTGCAATAGCTTCTCGTCGTCCTCTGGGCTCCACACATTGGACAATGGAGCGAGCATCGGTGCCAAGTGGTTGACAAACCTTTCACGACACCGTTTTCGGTCTCGTGAAGAGAAATGCAGCGCAATATTACTCCAATTTTTATCACCTAATTGCTTCACTAATTCCCGCAGTTTCTTGTCCTCTTGCGGCGTCCAGGATGAGCGTCGTATCGTACACACTGATACTATAGACGTGTCACGCGACGAGCTCGTACGTGGTCTACAGACTGCTTTCGACTGTGATTTTTGTTGGTAATTAGCTAGAAAATCTCCACGTTGAATCAAATGCTCAATACGCTGTCGTCTAGTCAATGGATCAGTCGTTGCAGGCGTCAAGGCGGCCATCACTTTTCACGATATCACTACGTAATTCTTTGGGTACGATACACCCATGACAGTTTATAACGCCTTGTATCAAAAATCTGTTCCCTTCAGACAACCTTGAGCTCTTTTGATGTCCCAAAAAAAGGTCCCACCAACTGACTGGTTGAGAGTCGTCCGTCACCATTCAATGGCATTCAGGAATCTTGCTCGAAGAAGGACAATATGGCTGCTAACATCTCTAAGAAACGTAAATTCGTGGCCGATGGTGTATTTTACGCTGAGTTGAATGAATTGCTACAGCGTGAATTGTACGGTGATGGCTACTCTGGAGTCGAGGTCCGTGTAACCCCGATGCGCACAGAAATTATCATCCGTGCCACACGGACGCAGGAGGTACTAGGCGAGAAGGGTCAACGTATTCGTGCGCTCACGTCCGTGGTGCAAAAGCGTTTCAACTTTCCAGATGGTGCTGTAGAGCTATACGCTGAGCGTGTGGCCAACCGTGGTCTGTGCTCACAAGCTCAAGCCGAGTCACTTAAGTACCGTCTACTTGGTGGTCTAGCTGTGCGTCGTGCTTGCTACTCTGTCGTACGCTTTATTATGGAAGCTGGTGCAAAAGGTGTTCAAGTTGTTGTATCGGGTAAACTACGTGCGCAACGTGCTAAGGCCATGAAGTTTAATGAAGGCTATATGGTCAAGACTGGTAACGCTTCACAGGAATACGTTGACACGGCTGTGCGTCACGTACTCATGCGTCAAGGTGTGCTTGGTGTCAAGGTATCTATCATGCTTCCACATGATTCTACGGGCAAACAGGGACCTAAGCGTGCATTGGATGATGTTGTCACGATTCTTGAGCCAAAGGAAGATGTATATCGTCCGTATGTCGAGCCTACAGCTCCCATTGTGCCTGTTGCTGCTCCAGTGTCTATTGCTCCCGTGGACCCTGTCTACCAACCTACTGCTTAAGCTAATCCTATAAGTATGTTAAATGTCTGGTAATAAACTTCTTCTCTTCCTGAATCATAGAGGTTACTGATGAAAGAATCACATGTGAGATTCAGTATCTATCTCTCTAGATAGACAGATGCATATTCATTCATATCAAATTGGTCAAAACTATTGTACAAGTGTCTATTGAATGGTGGACGACGTGCTACGTCGTGAAGTTTGTGTGACCATCTTGAGTGTGCTACTGCATGTGGTTACCACATGAACGGCTAGTTACTAAGAGAACGCATGTCGTGGTGCTACAGCATAAGCACGAGACACGACGACGTGCTGCGATCTCGTCCGTCCCGGTGCTAGCGCAGATACTGGAGAGTATGACGCTTGTTACAGTCAACGACGACTGTGACTGTGGTCCTGGCATGAGTAAAAAACTTGATGTCTTGCTATATGTTGGAGGTGGTGATGACAAGTTTAATACAGCAATGATTTTATTCCCTGATGAACATGCTCAACCACTAGGAACGGAGACGGATGATGACAGGGTAGAAAGTAGCACTGGAATGAAGCAAGTGCTGCTACTTGTCATCGATGGTACGTGGAAGGAGGCAAAGAAGATTGTACGACGTAACAAAGTCCATTGGAGACAGGCTACGATAGACTGGGTAGCACGAGGGGCTAGTCTCCAGTACATTTGCCTTGACAACAAGGAGAGTAATGATGCAGCTATTGCTCTACCAAAACGGAGTATTTACGGTGACCTGATAAGGTGAGGACAGCGTCGACGCTAACCATCGCTGCTAGACTAATGTTAATATGCTGAGGTGTCTGCAGAGAACCAATGGAAGGTTGCATGTCAACATTGGAAGCGGTGGCGTCGATCTTGGTCGTGTTGGAGCCTAAAGAGACTCGTTGGATTGTATATGACTCACTGTTGCGTGGCTTTAAAGGAATGGTGTCAATTCAAAAGCAGTTCCAGCAGCGGGGACATGAGACCAAGCTGGAGCAGTATGGAGGTATATTCAAAGCTGAAGCTATCGAGACCAAGCGACTCGGGCTACAGCATCAGCAGCTACCAAAGAAATGCGATAGCACAGTAGCTGACACGAACATTTCGACACGAGTCCGACGCGAGTACGTCTTCTACACTAGCCACACGGATTTCCGACACCGCCAGCAGCTCACCCAGCAGGTGAACAGACACACTACTTAGTCATCCATGTGTCCGTCTGTTGTAATCGCAACTAACTCTACCACAACTTTCCATTTGTCAAGGGTGAAATAGTCGTGTGCACATACGATGAGGCGAGAGAGCGTTGCATTGATTTGAAATCGGACCGGAAACGTGGTCAACGGGTAGCGATGCTCCCACTCGATGTCTTTGAAAAGCATCTTCGACAATGCTACGACGACTAATGGTCCACCATTCCAGAGGAAGCAATCAAGACACGCAATGATGATCCCAGTACTTTGAATGAAGTCGGGCCTCGTCAAATATTGGGCCCATGTTACTTATGCAAGTCTTGATGCCTTCCATACAGGTCTTCAAATTTTGTCGAACGTTTGACTCTGGATGAGGTCAGAAGTCACAACGACGAGTGTTCGAGTCTCTTGATCATTCTCGAACGACCATGACACTGCTGCAATGTCGGTCTCTTGTGGTAGTCGCTTTTTTCTTGTTGAATAGTAGCTCGTCTAGCTTTGCAACCAAGTCAAAAGTTGTCGCGATGTACAGGGACAGTAGTTGCTTGACAACTCCGCTAAACTTACAGGTCTCGAATAGCTCGTTAAGCTGTAAGGAACAAAGCTGTAGTGCCGTAGCATTCGGTAGCAATACGTATTATTACAATGTCACTTGTACAAACAGAGAGACTCACTCGTTCATTGCTGCGGCATTCACGGACACGAGATATATCATCTTGGACCAATTCAGACAGCCCAATTGCAGTAGTGACACGTATAGCCAAACCCATGCCGTGCAACACTTGAGCGATTGCGTACCATTCGCAATCGACTCGATTTCAATGGCACAAAATGCTACTACTATCGCCACGATACTCGCTGGAGGATCAGTCAGTATGGTATTCTTTGCTGCCACGAATTGCAGCGTACAACCGTTATCTGCAGCATCACCGAGCAAAGAGGAAGTTGCAGAGCATGAATGTTACCAGGCTAGCAAGTTTTACATTGGTTTCGACATCAGTCCAACAAAAAGTAGCACCGAGTATTTGTCCGCTTCAAGTTGGTACGAGGACAGCAGCTTCACATCAGGATCATCTTCAAATACATCGGTAGATCCTCAATCCGTGACTAGTATCAGACAGGGATTTCGCGGCGCAACGTTCATCAGCGCTCTCACTCTAGCTGCAGTCTTAGTACTTGGTGTCGTTTGCCTTAACGTGTGGAAATGCTTATCGACAAAGCGGAAGTCGCAATTTCCACGTACTATTGATCTCAACGACAGCATTGCCATGCTGGAACCTGATGACATGGGTTTCAGGTTTAAACCAGTATCTGGTCGTACGTTTATCCCTCAAAGCAGCAGCACGGGTGCAACATTACGAGAGCAGATTACTACGTGTTCCTTCGCTCCTGCTCTCTCTAGCTTCGGTTCCGGCTATCAGCGTTCGGGTCACACACTTGTGTCGGGATCAAGTACAAGCTCGACATATCAAGGAATAAGAATGAATCGTCCATGGGAAGATGATTTTGTCGTGGCAGCACGCATTCCTCGTGATAAAGTTGTTGTGGTTCGACTTCTTAGCCGTGGAGCCTTCGGTGTTGTTTACTCGGGACTGTACAATCGTCGACGTGTTGCAGTGAAAATGCTTTTGCCTGAAACACGTCGTAGTATTTCACATGTTATCGACTTGTTGGCAGAAGTCAAGATTATGGCATCAATGGAACACCCGCATATCGTCGAATTTGTTGGTGTAGCATGGGACTCACTAACAAACATGTGCGTCGTTTCGGAATTCATGGCTGGAGGTGATTTGAAAGCTCTGCTGAGTGACTACGATGAACATGATCATCCCATGGGTTTTAACAGAAACAAGCTCAAGATTGCGCTACATATCGCGCATGCATTGACGTACATGCACTCGCTTGATCCTCCGATGATCCATCGTGATCTCAAATCCAAGAACGTCTTATTAAGCGAGAGGTTGGATGCTAAGCTCACAGATTTTGGAACTTCCAGAGAGCGTGTAAACGAATCGATGACGGGAGGTGTTGGCACATGTTTGTGGATGGCTCCAGAAGTGATGATCGGTGATCGATATGATGATAAGGCAGACATGTTTTCCTTTGGAGTCGTACTATCCGAGTTGGATACACACGTATCGCCGTACTGGCATGCAAAAGACCCGAATGACTCATGCCGACCAATGCCGGAACCAGCTATTTTACAAATGGTTGCTACTGGAAAGCTTCAAGTGATGTTTTCAAATGAAGCAGTCAAGACCGTCGTGGAGCTGGGTAAGGCATGTGTCTCAGTGGATCCGAAAGAAAGACCGACCGCATCGGAAGCACTGTATAAACTTCACACGGTATTAGCAGACGACGTGAAAGGGCTACATTTGCGAGTAAATGAATAAATATATTGATACGGGACAAACATCATCCAACCGTTTAAACTTGCCATCAACCGCTACTGAAGCGGTGCAACCAGTTGCAACGACAGCACGCCATTGAAATGTCGTCGTACATCCTGATTCACAAGTGTGAGGACGTAATTGAAGCCACGCTTCAACAGGTCAGTGAGCTCGGCAGGGGTGGTTGGACTTGAACATTTACGGCGAAAAAAGCGGAGCATCCGCAAGGCCTGATCGAGTGTGCGATTCTCCACCTCGACCAAAATACGCGAGTAAATGGCATCAAAAGCAGTCAACTGTGCTCTGGTGTCGTCGATTAGACCCTGATCATCATTTTCATTGTCGGACACAGCAAACTGAAGATTCTCGACAAGATTGACGTATAGGTCTTCTATGGGTGACAATGCTGGTGTCAACGTCTTCTTCAAAACCTGCTCAGGACTGGAATCCAATGAAACACTGCGTTTTGGAATGACTCTTGTACTGGAATTGCGCTTCTTTGCGAATCGATCAATCTCTCTACGAATTGCAAACGGCAGCAAATCATACACCTCCAAGTCAACTTGGGACCTTCGAATGTCATTAAGAGCGTCCACGTTCCTTGATTCTTTGATAGAAGCATGCGCAGCGCGTGCAAGCCGGCTATTTGACTTTGAATCAAAAATATTTCGTGTCGGGTGTCTTCGTCGTAGTGGTGCTTTTCTATTAGTTTTTCGTTTTGGTGAAGGCTGATGAACGTTTTGGGTGACAGTCGTAGACTGTAACCCTCGACCATACGAAGCCATGATTTCACGCTTAAGCTGCTCAGGTAACTCTTCTAGAACCCCTGTATCAATTTGCGAAAATGTTGTAGCTGTAAAATCGTTTCTAATCTCGTTCGCTCCAAGCTTATTCCGTTTTTCCTCACCTTCCTTGCCTATCCTTGTTATTGACTGTCGCGGAGGATGCGATGAAGACATGAAAGCTGGTTGTTGCGCAGAATCATCGAACCAAGCTTTAACAAGCTGCCCACTTCGTTGGTTAATGCTTTGAATATCTGAAACCAACTTGGTAGCCTGCACTCCGACTCCACGGAGATCTTCGCTTGGAAGATTGAGTTGCCGAAGCAATTCAATGCAGACCTTGCCAATCACAACCTGGTCGTCTGTTGCTTGAGCCAACACATGGCTCTTGGAGAAGTTATCGCATATTCCATGACCCATGAATTTTGAAGGCTCAACGGGTGCTTCTTTTGCCCGTTTCTTGATCAACAGTGTTAGGCACTTCGTCCGCAACTTGAGAGTCCGAAGACGATGACTCAGTTCCTCGCCCAACGCTACCAAGAAGACAGTCGCATCTTCCCAATTTTCAAACCGAATTCCAAAATTTACGACTGCGGATACGCTCTTGCGCATCATATTCGACTCCATAGACAACGGACGGACATCTCGACCTCGAGCGTAATTGTACAGCATTTCACCCGAAGCTCTACCAAGGGATTGCACGAGTTCATCTTTCGTCATCGAGAGTAGTTGTCGAACGTCCTCGACTTGAAGGGCTTCAAGTTTTGCTCTTGTTTTGTGCCCAGCTCCAGGCAAGTCACGAATTTTAAGCGATAGCACGAATGCTTCGGCTTGACCAGGGTCACTGACGTGGTAAATTCCATCTGGTTTTGCTTTCTTTGAACACAGCTTTGCAAGAAGTATATTGAAAGACACACCTACACTTGCAGCGCATCCAGTCTGTTGAAAAATCTCTTGACGTATTGTCTTTGCCTTTTCCAATCCATCCGTTCCTTTTCCAAACTCAAGATATGCTTCGTCACAACTCACGGCCTGCACAAATGGAGTATGGGAGAAGAAAATGTCATAAATTTGAAATGAAACGCGCTGGATAGCATCAAACTCATAGGGTAGTACGACTAAATCAGGACACAATTCCCTTGCCGTTTGCATGAACATGCCTGCACCAACTCCTCGAGCACGTGCCAAGTAATTACACGACGAAATTTCAGATGAACCAGCAGTTTCCGAATGAGCAACAGCAACAGGTAAAGTTTTCAACTTTGGTGACCGACCTCGCATTGCAACTGCTACAAAGAAACAGTCCATGTCGATATGAAGTATCACCCGTTCATTTGATAATGTCGATGCTTTAATGATAGGATCACCTTGATATTTCGCCTGGAATTCTGCTGCTTTTTGTTGAAAGGTTGATCGCCATGTACCAATGTGGTGCAATCTCGACTTGGCAAAGAAATGTTTGACAAATTCTGGACCATCTTTTGTTGAAGTTGTCCGTATAGCTCTTGCAGGTGTATGCAATATCGTGTCATGTCCTAATGGTAATCGAGAGTCTTCCAACCTATTCGAACGATCCGCTTGGTTTTCAAAATTCACGATATCCTCTGGAATACCGGTATCTACTTCAGTTTCATTGACAGTAAGTGTAAATACTGAATTTAGATCATTCTTAAAATTTGGAGTTTTATGTAGCCATTTGTCTTCAACTTCAACTTCAAGTGTAGTACTGGATATATCTTCAGATACAAAACTTGATCCGGATAAATGAATGATTGAACGTTGGGTTGGATCGATAAACCCTTTGTACCGAAATTGTTGCACCGAGAGCAATTGCTTTTGTTCAATACTACGTACGATCCAATCTGGATGTACAACTGGGACTGTTTTTTTTGCTTTCCTATATAATTCATAGAATATACAGATATATATATACATCAGGACATTGTCACTTGAACTTCAACTATAAGTAACTGAATGCTCACTGAAGTAGCAGCAACTTGGATACTGGCAAATGAGTGGCTATAATGTGCGTCACATGATTGGTTTCGTAATGTTCGAATCTACCACCATGCAGCAACATAAGCCGTCGAATCTCCTCTTTACTAGGAACTGTATACCCGTCTACGTATACACAAACACCTTTAAAAATCCCCACTGCATCCTCTCTATTAGATAATGCCGATACAAAAGTCTCATTCTGATCACGCAATTTTTGAATCTTATGTGACATGTATATTCCAAAACTGCCATCATGGTGTTCACCCACACGCTTCATAGGAGAACGTTGCATCATGAAACTTGGTACTTTCGGAAAAAGATAAACACAATGTGATCAGTGGTTTTGATTCGATGAAATCAAATCTTATTCCTTCCAATCAAAACCCTTTGAAAACCATGCACTATCGTCTACCACTCAATCCGTCAGTCTCATTCGCTAATTTTCCACTCAAAGAAAGAGCTCTTGATCACTCTCATATGGCTCCAATTACCTCAAATGTTAATGACGTGACTAGTTCGTTTGTATTACTTCAAACTTCCAAGTCAAAGAAGAATCTACAACAACATTCAACTGACTTGATTCATTCCAAGGAACAAAATTTAACTCATCTATCCATGGCACTACCAACACGTGCACCTAATGATTATATCGAAGATCAAGAAAAGCTTGAAAAAATGGCAGCAGCTGTGACAACATTATTGGAATGTATAGGTGAAGATTCACAACGTGAAGGATTAATCAAGACACCCATGCGGATGGCTAAAGCAATGCTGTATAATACAAAAGGCTATGGTCAAAGCTTAGCAGATGTATTAAATGAAGCTGTTTTTGAAGAAGATCATGATGAGATGGTAATTGTACGAGACATTGACTTGTATTCCATGTGTGAACATCATATGGTACCATTTACAGGCAAAGTACATATTGGATATATACCGAATGGCAAAGTATTGGGATTAAGTAAACTTGCTCGTGTTAGTGAAGTGTTTTCAAGACGTTTACAAGTACAGGAACGACTGACGAAACAAATTGCAAATGCTATCATGGGTGTCATTGAACCAAAAGGCGTAGCAGTTGTGATTGAAGCGACACATATGTGTATGGTCATGAGAGGTGTGGAAAAGAGTGGAGCTAGTACTGTTACTAGCTCTGTTCTTGGAGTGTTTAAGAGTGATCCACGTACGAGGAGTGAGTTCATGTCGCTTATTCACAGTAGAAGATAAAGGGGCTGTGCTAGTATGACGAATGTTGTGTTCTAGTGGTTTGAGAGCGAGCAAGACAAGAATGAATGAATGAATGAATGAATGTGTGTCGCAACGCCGTATTCTCGGCAAAGTGTACCAAAGAAACGCAGACGGGGAAAAGAGACGGCTAGTACTTTGCTTTATGATGCTGAGAAGGAGATTTAGAAAATACGCCCTTCCGACAGGTGTTTTGTTCCATATGCTGGGTCTTTTTGTTCTTGTTTTTTGCTTGACCTATGACGCTGTAAGAAGCGTGTGATTGAGAAACGATGCAAGTGGAGTTGCGTTGTTAATAGGACCTAGCTGACGACGCTATGTGTCTAGGATCAAGGAGAAGCATGTGACGTCATTGGTGCTTTTGTCGCTGTCCCGGTGCAAACTGGCGAGTGAATGCTTGGACCTCTGCTGGTTTTAATGACCCTTGCATCATGTTCAGCAATACAGCGAGCTTTACCTAGAAGCATCGAGCTGTTCGTAGTTCTCATAGTACGACTTCATGTGCAAACGGCAGATAGCAGTTCGCTTCGTTCAAACACGCATTTTGATTGTCATCCTGCTGCTGTTTCACTCTGATCCAGCGAAATTGACACGTTGTAAGAGAAGTCGAAGGATGTGATAAACGTGCTCCAATCGATCTTGTTGGGGGACGATCTTGTCGGGGTTCGAGTTTGACGATAATTCTGGATCAAACCAATGTTGTTTGCCTGCCATACTATCGCGATCAACAACCTGCTTCACAACTTTTTATCGACTAACAATAGGGAAGACAGTGCAATCTCAATCAGTCATAGGAGGATTCAATGGCCATGGTTGTTCTTCATAGATGTATCACTAAAGGCATATGGTAACACGGAAGATGTCTACATAGTTCGACGTTTGCTCAAACAGCAGCAACAGGTGATGCTGGAAGTGAGTTGACACCATAGGCACACGCTTATCTGAATGGCCTTATTCGTCCGCAATGACAGGGCATAACGTTCACGCACTTGTCCATAGCTTCGACCGGAGGTAGAGCTCTTGACACTAGTACTGCACGATCACATTCATACAAATAGCTTCTTCATCTTGAGACATGCAGAACGTGGTGTCTTGTCCGTAGTATCCATCACTTGAAAGCGAAGTAGACACGAATATGCTTGATTAGATTGTTGATTTCACACTGTCGATACCAGGACGAGGTCCTAGTGCTTTGTATGCAGACCATTGACAAGGTCTCTTTTACAGTCCCACATCGCAAATCATTCCCAACCTGATCACGGGCTCATTTTGTGTATATGAGTACTACAGATATCATACAGACATGTGCGTTCAACGATTCGGATTGACGCAGTTTTTCATTCATGCAAGACACTGTCAACATGCTGTCGAGGAGGACATTCAATCAGCTATTTGCCAGTTTCAGTATACGAGACAATCAACCACCACAAGAATCAAGTTGTTGTTACTTGTATTACATTGTTGCTCACACCATTAGCTCACTGAATTGTCTATGCTTGCGATTCATGAACAAGCTCACAACAGACATGTCGATTCAGCTCTTCTAGATTGTGACCAACAGTAGGGTATGAAGATGTTGTAAAATGGTCTGGATCTAGTGCTTCGAGCTTTGTAGCACCACGCAATTTGTTAATAGCAACTTCATCTACCCTACGCATACACATAGTAGATTGGTCTTGGACATCTTATTGCAATACCTTTAGCAGCACTTTGTTGGATGGAACTGCTATGTACTGCTCTTCATGTTGTATAGAGAGCAATTCCTTACGGCACCACCGGCAGCTGATGCATTAGAACCCGAATCGTTTAGGTGGAAAGGCCACAGGGTAGAAGTGCTTATAAGCTCAGCTTGTGTGAGAGAAGGGAGGACCATGATCCGTACGCTCAAAGGCATAACCTTGGCGGACCGACACACGTAGACAGTCCGCGTGTAGTCAGCTCCAAATCGACCGGTTCGCCCGTCTTTTAGTGGAACGCACGTAAAAGTGAGCACTTTGTAGGATGCTACGCGCGCCATGGCTTGGAGCGCTCGCCTTGACGTCAAGTGGCGGCTTATCAGTGCTCGCAGACTATTTAACGGTCGAAATCTTCACGGATGCCAACTGTAAATCAATTCCGTTGGTCGTGACTCTAGAAATGACCAACGTGACTTGTCCGACTACGACGAATGACACGTGCATTGCTACCGAGATTAATAATTCAGCTTACTACTTTGCGCAGCGATGTGCGACCGATCGGTTCAAGTACACATCGTCATTATTTAGCGGTGCCAAGTACTTGATGATTGATGGTTTTGCAGAAGAAGGGTGTCAGTCGTACGCACGTTCCAACATTTTCCTGGCTGCCGGAACATGTCAACTTGCATCGTACGTTGGTACACGCAGTGGAATTGCAACGCTTTTCAATGACGGGTCGGCATATATGACCGTCTACAATGACTCAGCATGCGGCACCAAGGCGCAAATATTCGACCTCAGCTCCAACATCATTCAAGATCACACGTGTTACCAAGGCTACAATAAATTCTACACGTCAGATCATACAGGTATTGCTACAGAGAGCGATTCTAGCGGTAGTGGCTCTGATATGGTTCCAACCACAGAAATCACACCGACACCCAAAATGAGCTCGAGTGCGCTGTTTGGTATCATCATGATATGTTTAGTGATCGTCATCCTTCCTGCTCTGCTGATCTACTGGAAGTTGCGTCGAACGAAGCGAAAGAAGAACCGTGATAGCAATCGTGCTCAAAGTCGCGAAATTGCATTGGCCGTTAGTGCCAAGCACAATGACGAAGAGCAGCGATATGCTCCAGAACTGTCCTCTCGGAGTGATCAAAGTAGTACGTTTAGCTCGCGCGTAGGGGGGCTGCTGGTACCAGCACGGCGGTGTGATCCTGTGCGTAGTGATGGGTTGCGTGACACCCCTGTACGCCCTCGTAAGGTCGAGCAGCGCAAGGGGAAATTTTCGCGTGAAGAATCACGTAGCGTAGGTGGGTCGCGTGGTGACAGGTTTCGCAGCGACTCTGTCGACCGTAGTTGTCGGCTGCACTCCGACGACCTTGGCGCTAGTCCGATACGTGGAAATCGGTTGCAACGTGAGGATATGAGTGACAATGCAGTGCAGAGGGACCCGATCCATAACGACAAAAAAATGTCACGTAAAGACCTTGTCAGGAGAGATCCGGTGGACCGGATGCGAAGTGTCGATCAACACAGCCATCAACCCCCCAATGATCCTGTACAGAATATTGGGGCTCGTGAACAGCAACCTGAGCCTCCGATTCACGCTCAAAAACTACGTGGTCCGGTTACTGCGGATAGTGTCTGTGAAGACGACGCCATTTTGTCTTCCCGGATTCCACGAGATAGCGTCTTTGTGGAAAATTTGATCGGTCGTGGAGGATATGGCGAAGTGTATAAGGGCACCTATGAGGGCAGGTTGGTTGCCATAAAAATGCTGTTTCCGGAGGCGCGGAAGAGCACAAGGCACGTGACTGAATTTCTGACTGAAGTCAAGATGATGACAGTCATGGACCATCCGCGTGTCGTGGAATATATTGGTGTGTCCTGGAACAATTTGATGGACTTGTGTGTGGTGACCGAATTCATGGCAGGAGGCGACTTGCGAGCATGGTTGAGTGACCGTGCCGACAATAGTGGTCTCGTTGGCTTTGACTATACGAAAGTAAAAATTGCGACGCACGTTGTCAACGCGCTTGCCTATTTGCACTCGTTAACTCCATCGGTGATTCACCGCGACTTGAAATCTAGAAACATTCTGCTGAACGAGAACCACGACGCAAAGTTAGCTGATTTTGGCGCGTCTCGTGAGCGAGTAGACCGGACAATGACAGCAGGAGTTGGCACGTCGCTGTGGATTGCGCCGGAAGTGATGATGGGAGAACGATACGATGAAAAGGCCGACATGTTTTCATTTGGTGTGGTGCTGTCAGAATTAGATTCCCAGCAGAATCCGTACGCTCATGCAAAGGAGAATAACCCAACAGGACGAAAGATGCCTGAAACAGCCATCCTTCAGCTAGTGGCCATAGGCAAACTACGCGTAGAATTTTCTGCGGGGGCTCACAAGGGAGTGGTGCAGCTTGGTGTGGCGTGTACGGCAATTGACCCGGCGGAGCGACCGACAGCAGCCGAAGCGCTCCAAAAACTACAGCTAATTCTTCGACAAGAGGCCAAGAAAGTTGCCAACGCGAGATGAAAATATAATTAAGAGGGAATTCTCACGATGTTGTGCATTGCAAGTATGTAAACTGTGAGACCGCTTCCGTTTCATGAAAAGGCGTTTACGTAGCGCACGATAGACGAACCCGTTTATACGGCCTCGATAGTGGTAAAGCCGATGAGGATGTCCAATTCTGCAACGAGCTATGTACATTCTTGAACACATCCGATGTAGTTGTACTCATACGAGTGAACGAGTGATCTTGTAGAGCGACTTCGTCTTCTCAATGTAAGCCCGCAAACTTGTCGTTTTATACACAGATATATACACACCAACCCAAGCACGCAAGCATAGAAGACTCACGTATGATTTCCTCTTTGACTTCAGACACTGCAATGTTATTTTCGCTACCAGTCGGGTGCTACCAGAGCAAAAGACTATCGCTATGGTTACAATTCACCGCATTACTTACTTGTCTCTGCTGCATCGCAAGCTGCATAAGCCATTCGTAGCGTAAATAACGCTGTAGTCTGTGTTAGGTAGCACAAGCTGCGACGACCGGCTTCATTTACCAGTTTGTGAAGTTTTCTGCAGAGCTAAACGCTGTTGTGCTGCACGACCTTGCGACAACAGCAAAAATGACATGTAGAACCTTAGCACGCACAACAAATTTGGTCGATCATTCAATCAAATAAGAAAAGCCGTGTATACTAGCGATCATAATCCAACTGCATCTATGAAACGTATCACCACATTCTTCATAGCAAGCCCATGCAGAAAAACATTCACCTATTGTAGTCGTCACTTATCCAATATTCTGGATACCCGTGAGTTGCAGCAAGTAGCCAATGACCCATCCACATGCGGCCGCAATTGTACCGTTAATAGCCATGGAACCACCCGCTTTCCACATCTTTTGTCCAACAAATTTTCCCTTCACAGCACCCAACAGAAACAATGTAACAACTGTTAGGAAGCAGGATAGGTACAATGTTGTAGATGGATTCAAGTCAATGCCTGGCACTAAATTGATCAGATACGAGAGCAGTGGAATGACACCAAAAAACATAAAAGAGAGAAATGTGATAATCCCACCAGTCAAAGGTGAGTCATCTTCTTCCACGGGCATCAGATTTAATTCTTCCACCATCATAATATCAATGAATGCTTCCTTGTACTTGGCTAATGTATGTACAACAAGCATTGCATCATCGGTTGAAATCCCTTTCTTCTCATAGAGAGTAACCATTTCTTCAATTTCACCTTCCGGAAAATTTGTAAATTCCCACGATTCTCGTGAACGTTCATGTTTGGATAAATCAGCTTCTGCTTGACTACTGAGCATATCACCAAGTCCCATACTTAATCCATCAGCTACTAAATGAGCTAATCCAATAATAAGAATCACCGAATGTGGTAAACCAGATCCAGCTACTGACGTGACAGTTGCAAAGGTAGTAATAATACCATCTAATCCTCCATAGACAGCACTTTTAATATGTTCACCACCAATCATATGGTTTTCTTGAGCATGTGTATGACTTCCCATCTCGGTCTTAAGTTGATGCAACAGTCGTGACTTTTCAGCATCTCCACGACCAAATGCATCTTTTACATCAACCATTACTTCATTGTACCTTGTACTACCGTAATCAATCTTATTATTACTTGAGATAATATCACTTGGATGATTACTGTCTAAGGTGTTATGTGATGCACTCATGAGTGGCTTGATGAGATCAATTGAGATCAATTGGTTGGTTGGCAAGTCGTTTGGTTGTCTAATGTGACAGATTCGTGAGCTTATTTTGGACGTTTTTGATTTTCACAAATTTTGAAAACTTTGAAAAATGTTTTACTTGACTTTTTCTGATGTTTTTTTTGGGGGCGACCGACAGCAAATACCGGTGGGATTGATATGTATCGGTATGATTGCAGGTGTTATGTGGGACTGCAAGTGGCATATCCGACGGCGTATCGTTACATTCGTCCTGTAGCGCTTGCTATATACACAGCATTGTTCGTGTTTCAGTATCAGAAACGTCGTAGTCAGCTTACTATTCTCCTATTGTATTAGGTTTTGTGAGGAATCAAATCAGCCTGTGCAAGGGAGTGACTACAGCACCCAATACGGTCTTTAGTGCTACTCAAAAGCAATACTAAGAGCCACTGGGTCTTGACATCTATCAGACCATCTTCACTTGACAAGCCGTTGTTGACTCATGCTAGCTTAGGCTCCTTCTTCTTGCTTTATCAGTCAGTGGACGTGAGAATCTGAAGTTCGTCTTGGATCTTCAGGATTTTCAGACCTATTGAGTACGCCACAACAATGATCAATCAACGTGTGCAAGCCAGAGGCTTTGCGCTATTTACTAGACAAGACACGGTCATTGACGGTAAATGAAATATCCTGGCTCAGGCGTATAGGAATCATGCTCCGGTCATTGAGCCAAAAGTCCAACCGAGAGCGAAACACCATTTCGGGTGTCCAACACAGCGACGGTCTCATCCATACGCTTTGTGCTCAATCAGCACTGAGTCGTCAGCTCCACTGTCGACAGCAAAGGACGTGTGACTACTCACATGCTCATGTCGGGGTGGATCAAGTGTGCTTGCCACGTCTGGACGTTGACATAAAAGACATAGTAGTCTAGACGGGAAGTAGTAAAACAAACCAAGACAAGATGAGCGTATTTGACCATATGGATTGTACCTTTCTCACCCGTGGGGTCATATCATTGCATCGTGTTCATTCCCAAATACGGAAAAAAACAGCAGACTTACAATCCCTCATTTCCGTGCATGTTCTTCTCGCTAAGGCTGCGCTGCTTGTATTTCTTCGCTGTAGGGCTGCTCATCTTCATCTTCGTCGTCTTCATCCTCTTCACTTCCATTCTGCATTTTCCAATCCCGCACACGTTCAAATTCATTGTAGTGACTCTTGCGTTTTTCCTCAAAGTTCGGATCCTTGCGAATTTTCTTTCCTTCGGAGTCCCGAGCACCAAATTCCATTTCTCCTGACGCTGAGCCCACAATCTTGTCATTCTTGAAATCCCAGTCATTTGTCTTGTTATCCTTTACATTTTGTAACTTCGACTGCAGCTCATCCCACTGTAAATATCACAATACACACAAAAGTTATCACAATAAAGACACACAATTCTATCAAACAAAGCTTATAAATTTCAACGTATTATACGGTATAGAAATCATATAAACCTGTATTGGAGGACACTCGCCAGAAAAACTTCGAGCAGGCGAGACGCCGCCCACTCCATCAGCCTCTGCATAGTAATGATAAGGCGTATTAGGCTCGTCAATCTTCGTACGTGTACCACGGTCTAAATTATGCAGAGCAATAGTTTCTTCGTCCCACGTAACACGAGGAGCATCACCATGTGAATGGCTCGGCTCAGATCCTCGTATCTTGGGTTTCTCCTCGTCCATGCTGGAGACGACGACTTGTGGACGAGTGGAAGGATTGATTACAAAACACGGTGCAGTTCACGCTCTTTGGTTTCAAAAGACGGAAAAACGTTGAAAATGTGATAGTCCCTAGAATGAAATTTACGAATTCTGATAAAAATTGCATGAATTTGCCTACAAATCGCAATGGCAACACTGGATGAAGTTTGTGGTGAATGCTGAGCTTTGAAAGGCAAAGAGTGTCGAATAATTACTGAAGATCGGTCAACGGGTTGGACCAGGTTGATAATAGTGAGCTTACTCTTCCTGCTGTGAATATCTAAAAACGTACGCGTTATAAACATGAAAACGATAGCGTTACCAGCAGACTATTAGAGCAGTTTTTTAGTCATACTCAAGGATGACCTCGTCGACCTTGAGAGAGTCTCCAGCAGCACGCGCAATGCTTTTGATGATACCCCTCTTCTCAGAGCGGAGCACGTTCTGCATCTTCATGGCTTCAACGACAGCAAGTTCTTGGCCTAGTTCTACTTGCTGACCAACTTCCACTGCTACGGAAACTAGCATGCCTGGCATTGGGCATAACAGCAAGTTGGACGTATCGGCCTTAGGCTTTGGCTTCATATGTTTACTATACGCAGCCTCCAACTCATTTCGAACAACCACGTCATGCACGGCGCCATGGAATTGAAGACGGAAACCCTCAGGTAATGTCTGCAGCATTTGTGAGACTAACAAAAGATCTGCTGCTCCGCCCTGCTTTTCATGCGATGCCTTGAAAAGTGGCCCATTGAGCGACCAGTCTATATCGCCCAAAACGTGCCACTTGTTGTCTACGAAAGCTAGCGTCATTGTCTTGGCGCGGTGTCGCTTGCTCTCCACCTCAACTTCCACAACCACTACAAGCTCCGACTCTCCGAATGAACCATCGATACTAACGGCCAGATGAGCACCCACGTTTTTGAGAAGATTTCGCTCCGCCAGCGCAATCAATTCATTTGATGACAGAACAGGTGTGAGGGCACGCAGGCGAGGAACGACTCCTGCTTGGTCTGACACAAGCTCCAGTTCATCTTTGTTAATGGAGTCGAACAATCCGAAACAGTCCACTGGAGTTGACCGAATGCTGCCAGAGATCTGGCTACTAGCGCCAGCCTTTTTCAGGTGCATGATCGCACCGACAACTCTGAGGTCCTCGGTCTCAGGTGGTGTCAGCTTAACACCTTGAAAGCCTTCCGGGTATTCTTCCTCAATGAATTTTGTAGTGATTTTGCCGCTCGCAAATCGAGGATGGCGGTAGACATCCTGCAAGAACGATACGTTGTTACCCGGACCGCGAATAATGTAATTGTCCAGTGCTACCTTCATGCGCTCCAAGCACTCCGGACGGTCTTTGCCATAAGTAATGAGCTTTGAGATCATAGGGTCATAGAACATCGAGATCTCGCTACCTTCGTTTACGCCAGAGTCTACGCGCACACCTGGGAGGTGAATGGGCTCCTCGTATTGAAGCAACCGCCCAATTGATGGTAGAAAACCACGCACCGGGTCCTCCGCGTATACACGGCTTTCCATGGCCCAGCCGTGGATCTTCACTGGTCCACCTAGCAATTCCTTAGGCAGTTTATGTCCTGCAGCCACGCGAATCATCTGTTCCACGAGATCTACGCGCGAGATAAGCTCTGTCACAGGATGTTCCACCTGTAGACGCGTGTTCATCTCCAAGAAGTAAAAGTTCTTGTGTTTGTCACACAGAAACTCAACTGTGCCAGCACTCACATAGCCCACTTTCCGGGCTAACATTGCCGCTTGCTTGCCCATCGCCACTCTCGTCTCCGGATCCAGTAGCACACTCGGTGCTTCCTCAATCACTTTCTGATTCCGGCGTTGGATTGAGCATTCTCTCTCTGGTAGCGGCACAATGTTTTCGTGCGAATCTGCGATAAGCTGGATCTCAATATGCCGTGGATCTTCGATAAATTTCTCCAGAAACATCCTATCGTCTCCAAAGCTGCTAGCGGCCTCTTCCTTTGACAGTCTGTAACCCATACGCACCTCCTCATCATTATACGCAACCCTCATCCCTTTACCTCCTCCTCCAGCACTGGCCTTAATCATAACAGGATACCCGATCTCTTGAGCCACTTTAACAGCATCATCTGGTGTGTCAATCTCTCCCAAGAAGCCAGGAATGGTGTTGAGCCCCGCGTCCATTGCCAATTGCTTGGATTCGATCTTGTCTCCCATGGCCTGGATAGCCTCGTGGCCAGGACCAATGAACGCTACGCCAATGGCCTCTAAAGCTTCACAAAAGTCTTTATTCTCTGATAAAAAGCCATAGCCCGGATGTACCGCTTGCGCTCCTGTAGCCTTAACGGCTTCAATGATTTTGGGGATACTGAGGTAGCTCTGACTTGAAGGTGCTGGTCCAACGCACACCGCTTCGTCGGCCATGCGCACGGCCATAGAGTTTACATCGGGCTCCGAGTACACTGCCACTGTCTTGATACCCAGCTTCTTACACGTCCGCATGACACGCACGGCAATCTCACCACGGTTGGCCACAAGGATCTTGTCAAAAAGCTTCTCTCCTTGCTGCTGATGAAGACAGCGCAACGCCGTAGAGACGCTGCGAGCGGACAGCACGTGATGCCGCAGTAGACGTGCGGATAACATGACAGAGTGATGGTCTCAAAGGTTGAACAGCAAAATGCGGAATGGGAAAGGAGGATGTGGATTCAAAAATGGTGCAATCTATTGCAAACAACCATAGTGAAAGTAAGTGCAAAATACTCGGAATAGTGGTTGAAGTTACAACCTTGCAGCAACTTTTTGGTAGTACAAAGACAGACGCAAGCTCAGCCGGATGTAGTCAGCTTTCAATCTATGATGGACCGATGATGTTGGGGGACGAATATACGTTCGGTGACAGAGGAAATTGCTACAAAAGTGTTGATTACCAAGTTGTTCCAAGCCGACTTTGGTCACTAAACGGAACCCATTATGAAGAATCCAGTCATGTCTCTCGTCCTAAGCACGATGTGTTCAAGTAAGCACACAAGCGACAGGATACCAGCTGTTACAATGACAGCCAAATAGACACAGACAGGTAGAAGTTATGCGATGGTGAATCAAGTGAGCAAATGGGAAGTGAGTGTCGTTTTCAATCAAGTTGATCCACCAGAAGGTAGGAAATTGTAAGCTGGTGAACACGACCAAGAAAGGTTTATTTTCAATTTTGATCAACACGCGACAAGTACAAAGAGAAAAAAAACAAACTTGGACTACAGCCATGTCAAGTGCCCCACGAACGATTCACGCATACGCGACATTTGCCAAGGGTGAAGATGCTAAACCATGGACATATCAATCACGTCCATTGGGTCCTGAAGACATTGAGATTCAAATCTCACATTGTGGTATTTGTGGCTCCGACATCCATACGATGGACAGCGGATGGAGTAAGACCATGTACCCGTGTGTCGTCGGCCATGAGATTATTGGAGAGGTGACATTGGTTGGTGAACAGGTGAAGGATATAAAAATGGGTGACCGGGTTGGCGTTGGTGCCCAAGTGTGGGCGTGCCTCAACAAGTGTCCAGATGATCATTGTAAAGAGTGCGCTAATGGTTCAGACGCCTATTGTCGTCATCGTGTGGCCACGTATAACTCCAAGTATCGCAAGACGGACAATGCCATCACATACGGTGGTTATGCCGACTATATCCGTGTTACACACGAGTACGCTTTCAAGATCCCGGACAACATTCCGTCGGATGTTGCTGCACCGCTGCTGTGTGCTGGCACAACTGTCTTCACACCGTTCAAGGAGGTGGGTATTAAGCCCAGTGACCGTGTGGGCATTGTTGGCATCGGAGGTCTAGGCCACCTGGGCATCCAATTTGCCAAGGCCATGGGCGCCGCAGTGGTAGTGGCCTTTTCTCGCTCGGCTAACAAGGAGCAGGAGATTCGCAAATTAGGTGCTGATGAATTTGTCGTGTACACGGATGAGAAGCAGGCGGCAGCCGCGGCTGAATCGGTGAACATTCTACTTATCACCGCCGACGCTAACAATATGCCATACACGTTATTCTTGAGCTTCTTGGCCATGCGCGGTACGGTAATCATGGTGGGTCTGCCAAACGACGAGATCAAGTTCAAACCGTTCCCGCTTGTGGGCAAGGGAGCCAACTTCAAAGGTAGTGCGATTGGCAGCATTCAGGACATCAAGGACATGCTGGAGCTGGCGTCTAAGAAGAACGTCCGTCCTGTGATCCAAAAAATGCCTATGAGCAAGGTAAACGAGGGCATCAAGATGGTACGCAACGGTACGGTGCGCTACCGTGTTGTGCTCGAGAACTAACTAGTTCGAGAACTTTATGAGCGATAGCTTCCGTTTGTTACTGCTACAAGTCGCGCCAGAGTTTACAGCAATTTCTTAAGATAACCCATGAAGCTTCCAGTTCTACTATCTATGCTCCTTCTTACTACATCACGCTTGAAATTCCTCGTCATATTCCACACTATTGGCCCATGGCCGTCTGCGAGTTCTCACCAATTTGGTTATCCGCATGCAAAGTTTCCAGCAGCTCATCCCGCTGGAAAAGTGTTGCAAGACGTAGTTCTTTTTGCACGTCAACAGTGCATTGGACGGATTCGTAACGTCCGCAATCATGCATCAAATCTGTTTCGTCTTAATGTAGACAGCAAGTCAATTGTCAATCGCCATTTGTCATCATGTTCAAAACACTCTTTGATCTTTTCAAAGTCCTTGTCACTGATGCTCTTGCCCTGTTTCCGTACACGATCAATAATGTTGATGACAACCTCATGTCTTTCACACTCCATGGCAGCAATCAGAATTGTCGAGAAATTTCGTTTCTGGAAGGCCAAGTCGTCGGAAAGCATTGACTCGAACATTTTTAGTGCCAGGCCGTCCTCCTTGGCGATACAAAACGCCCTGAAAGCAGCCATGCGGGCAGTTGGCTTAAGAAATATCTTTTGTTCCTTGAAAAAGCTCAGCATCTCCAGACATTCGTCAATGCGGTTATGATTGGCCATCGTCTCAAGTAGCTTCGTGGCAATAACGTTCGTCAGACCTGATCCACTGGTAGATCGGTAATCATTGAACACTTCAAGCCCAAACGATACATTTACAGGTATTGGCGAGGCACCTTCTGTCGTTTGCGTGTCACTGGCTGGAATGACTTGGTTTTCTGTGCTCTTTCGCTCTAGTACCAGCAAATTGTAGGGAATCTCCTGCCCAAAAGACTCAGCACGTAGCCACAACTGCTTGCGCACACGCCACGATGCCGAGTGGTGTGGAATCTCATGCGTAAGATCCAGGGCAGTACACCAGTCTGAAAACTCTATGTGCCAATTGTTTTGCAGCATTTCTTCGCAAAGATGAAGAGCCTCGATGGTATCTCCACGTGTCTGTACATAGTGGTAAATGAGTTCGCCATAACAAGCTGCACTGTTGTTTTGCATGCGCTTTGCATTGCTCTGTAACACTTCTCTTGCCTTATCGATCGACTCATTTCGAATGAGCGCTATCACGACCATTCTGTAAGTAAACGGGGTCCATCTTAACCGATGACTTTTCATGTCGTTTGCTAAAGTGATTATTTTATCAAACTGTCTGGTCTGTAAGAGTGCCTCCATTGCAGCGTTGCATGCATATCCAACCCATTTCGACGGATGGTCGTTGAATAAATCCAGCCCTATTTCAATCAGCTCCTCATCCCCACTTTTCGAAAGTGCCATAACAACCGAACCCAAAGCGGAACCACTTAGTGCTACATACATATCTTCTGGTACGATCTCAAAAACATCAAGAACATCACTCCACCGTTCATTCTTGCCACAAACTTTCAGTACATTGTTATAAAGCTCACTTGAAAGTGTCATTCCTCCATCTTGCATCATGGAAATAGCATCAAGTGCCAACTTGGACATGTACGCCTTGTCTGCAAAACTCACAAGTGCCCGAAGTGTAAATTCTGACATTGGTACTCCACGCTTATGTGCAACCTTCAGCATTTCAGATACACCGTATTTGCCTGTACTCGTCTCAAGATTTCTAGTCACCTGAAACATCTCTCCTTCCTCCTCGTCTCCTCTTTCTTTTTCTTCTTCTTCTCTTCCAACTCGTAACAAACGTTGAAAAATACTTGCAACTACTTCATATTGATTCAACATCATTGCTGCATCCATAGCCCATCCAAATACCCATGGTTCTAGTACAATAGTACCTCGATACAATGTTTCAAACATACACAACGCCATGTTAAACTGTTTGGCTTCACAGAAAGCGCTAAATGCTGTTAAAAGTGCAATTGGTTTCAGTGCAACGTCCTGTTTTTCAAAATAATACAGCATCTCTGCACAACTATCCACTTTCTTGTGTTTTGCCATCATTAGGACAAGCGTTGATGCAATATTTCTCGATACTCGAAGACCAGTACAAGTCCGAAGGTGATCGAAATAGTTCCATGCAATTTTCGGTGTTTGAATTCGATTCAACTGAAACTGGTTTGCTCGAAGGTCTGGATCAATGTTTGCATTCGTTTTAACGTGCAATGGGATTGTCAATTTATTGCGTAGAGGACTTGTGCTGAAAGAACGAAGTCGAGATAGGTGTCCATGACTACGATGGATGGCTACCATTAAAGACGGAATGCTAGCCAATGAATGCAAATTGTGAACTTGTACTGTAATATTTGAATAAACAGGGTTTGACACACAAAAAACCTCGGTAGTTAAAAATAGTAACATTTAGTTACATGATGTTACACAAATTTGAACGACACAAAAATGTCGCAGATAACTGATAATTCGAGCAGCTACGACACTATCAACCATTTGTCACTTGGTCACTACAGCCTTTGAATGAAATTCTTGTGTGTGACGTGTACATTTTATTACTGAGATGTGTCTACTCATGATTCATCTGTCACCATGCTAAGGTCTGAGGCCACGTTGTATTCGATGCATTACAGTCTTGGTAGTGTCTGCTACCACGTTAATCTGTATCGTTGGTGTAGCTGATGGTGTCGTTGCTAATTTCGTCGTTTGCATCTCTGATATACGCGTACATGATTCTCGCAATAATGACGATCACAACAGCAGCAATAGTCAACGGTTTCTGCCTTGCACGCGCCACTAGACCGGCAAGTTTGCTAGTCTTGGCAGTGTCCGTAGCCTTACTGCCCCCCAGCTTTGCATAGAGCTTCCTCTCCAGTGCCTTTTGATCCCGTTTCTTCTTCTTCAGCTGCACCAGCAAGTGACGCACCTTAGTATTCTTCGGATCTATTTCCATCGCCTTGCGTAGAAATACGTTTGCTTCGTCAAACTCGTTCTGATCCAGTGCAAGGTGACCAATGCGGTACATGGCTTTTATATTCTTCCCGTCCAGCTGTAAAACCTCTAGACTTGACTGCCTCGCCTCCTTGTACTGGTTCAGCTTATGCTGCACATTGCCTACATTATTTCCCAGTGCAATCAGTAGCTCTTTACACTTCGTTGCGTCTTCCTCTGAATGTTCCCACGTCTCAAGCAATTTTAGTGCTCGCTTGTAAAGCTTCGCTGCTTGGTCATAGTTTTTCTCCTTAAAATAGCGATTACCACTCTCTTTCTTCTGCGTCGCCTCCATGATAAGCTCCTGAGAGCTCATTTCGGCCGTAATCTTCTTACCCACACGACAGAGTTCTACCACGAGCTTCATCTCTGCACCAGGAGGCACATGAGGTTCAAGCCCAACGTCTCCATAGGCAAATCGAGCATCGCAACGCACTTCACACACTTCGCCTACATGCATCATCTTTGCCACTAACTCAAGTGCTGCCTCATATATCCAACAAATGAGCTTAGTTCTACACTTGTTCTAACAACATTGAAAACTAGCTACCCATTAAACGGGATGAAAAAAATACCGTACCAGGCATCACCTCGCCGTCACCAATTCGAAACTTTCGTGCCTCATCTGTAACCACTTTGATTCCTGACTTGAGCACCCAAATTGAGTAGATCACACCTACTTCTTCTCCAAATTCTGATACCAAATACAACCAAAATCGAAGAATCCATCCATTTTCCACGTGTCAAAACGTTTTCATTCGGATCGTAATTTCTCAATGAATACAATGCAAACAATGATACAAACTCGATCATAGTATTACCTGCTTGAATACCATCAGTATGAACGGTCAACATCTTGCGGAAAATACCGCCACTGCCGAGCACATCGTCAAATTCCTTGCGTTCGGACGTACTGATTGTTACCATTGTCTTGAAAATACAATAATGGGTCAGTTTAAAATTTGGGTATTGTAAGATCTGAGACGTGACTGACTGACTACCCAATTTCCTACAAAAAATATCATTTGACTATCTCTCAATCTGTGATAGCACATCTGATTGAGGAAAGTGTTGTTTATGATATATTCTAGTCATGATATATTTACACTTTCTAAATTCATCGCCCAACTATCATGTAATCTCTATTTTTAGCGCTTCAAAACGGATCTGTTGGTTGTAAAAGACTGCTCAAGATACAACAAACTGCAAGTCCAGCTGTCCAGCTTCAGCTCATGAATCAGACTCGATTTAGCATATTCATACCAGTAATTGATTGACACGTTCATATGAGGAAAAGCTGAGTTGGGACATCTCGTTCATGAGTTAAAATTGATCACAAGATGAGGAAGAGCAACACTCAAAAGGTGTCGTCAGTAGAGACGAATTTTAACCATTGAGATTGTCTCCTTTGACGACAATTCCAAGAGCTTTAGACCGATATATCGCTATCAAAGCTGAATCAATTGGCGTCTATTGCTATTCATATGTAACTAGTTACTTGCTCCAGCAGTCCATTGCTAACCCTCAGCTTCATGTTAATACCCTCCTATTGATGGGACCAGAGATTCTAGAGGACACATGATCAAGTGGCCATAGGAATCAATACGAAAGCTGCAAGAGACAACAAAACTCACAAGTAAACAGCGACGTGTATTTGGATACAAAGTCGACGTGCCCCATTCTTAATGACCACAGGTCCAATTCCATAGCTCCTCTTCTTGCGACTTTTCGTACTCTTGCAAAAGCTTGAGCTGTATTTCTCCCTCTTCTGCCATACGAATGGCCAAATGCTTTTCGCTCGCTTGCTGTGCCATTCGAGTCAGCTCCTGCTGCTGTAGAACCTGCATCGACCATGTTTCCAACTCGAGCGCGTCCATTGCTTCCTGATTCTTGCGTAAACGTTCAAGCAAATCTTTACGCTCATCTTCTAGCTTCATTCTCTGCTCCATCTTTTGATCCAATGTCAAGAATGGCATCGTAGAGAACAAAGATGAAGCAGGTGTGGTACTCAAACCCCACGCAGACGGTGCTGTTGAGGGGAGGAGGCAATGGTGAGCTTGCACAAACAGCATCGGTTGCTCCCTGTTGACTCGCTGGCCACTCTGGTTTCACCAATGCATCTTCCTCTCCTTGTTTCAAGAAGACCAAGCCATTGATAGCATCATCCAAGGGTTTTACTATAACACGATACTGATACTGCTCTTGCACATCCAGGAACCAATCACTCAGTGCATGCAGCCACGAGTGAATTTCTACAAACCAGTTCTTTTCCAAAAATTTGGTCAGCAAGTCTTTTGTGGCCTCTTTCTGCTCCATTCCGCTACCTCCGAGAGCACCGTCACCCATAACTAGCACCAATGTATTCTTGTGCTTGGCCGATCCAGCCGTCTCCAATAGATCCAGCAGCACATAATACAATCCTTTATTTCCACTGGAGCTTTGGCTTAAGGCGTTGACCTCCCAAGTAAATTCCTGCAATGGCAGTGCCAGTTCCCGAGGCATCTTTCGATACACTGCCAGTCTGCGTTTTACAAAAGTCGGCTGCGTTCCACACACACGCTCTGTTAATGCTCGAAAGTTTAGACGCACGTCATAGCCGCTTGTGGCACCTTTAACTCGCTGATACAGCCATTGACTATTGCAAACGGCGCCCGCAATATTGTCGAGATTCATAAAGACATGTCGATGTCGACTACCAACAGCATATTTTCCACTAGGCAGTGATGCTAATTTAGCTTGACGTCGTTGGATATCATCAATCTCTTGTTTCAGCATAGCCACTTTCTTCTCGTGACAAAACTCTTGCTGCAATGGTGATGACTCAAACACTGGTTTTGCTGGACTGGTACAATTGCTGTTATTGCTACTAAAGCGTTGTTCCGGTCGTCGAGTAGGTGACATGTTGTTTACTTTACGCTGGTCACACGTTGCTCGTCCACCATGACGTCCTGTAAGCAGCTTATTAAGATATTTATCAATACATTTCACATTAAACGTATCAGATTCCGGAAGCTGCCAGTTACTTTTTTTGTAGCATGACTGTAGAGTTACAAGTTGAACGTGCCAATGCGCTGCCAAATAAGCATCGACACAGTTTCGTATACTGTTTGTAAGTGCTCCCGTCGCTAAGATGAGCGTCTTTTCAACTCCAATGGTTTTTGTCTTGGTCAAGTGACGTTTCAGCATTTTTTCAAGTGTTGGATGTTGAGGTGTTCCTTTTTGTGTTAATTGCCAATTAATAATAAATCCACCATCATTTCGTACTGCTTGAAGTGCTTTTGCTTCCATAGCATTTGGATTAGCACAGTACGTTCCTCTCCAGCATTGAACTTTAGCAGGTTGTTGATCATTTAATAAGACTGTTAAATGTTCTGGACTTAAAGACACTTCGGATGAAAATAAAGCAAGTTCAGAATGAAATTGAGACTCATGACTTAATACATGGGCACGAACAGATGATAGAAGAGAATCCAAGTCTAAGAATACAAAGCGTTGACTGGTGTCACCCTTTAGGAAGTTACTAGAAGCTCGTGGCATGAGGAAGAAAGTATGTAGAAGGTAGGTAGTAGTACGTGGAAATGGAGAGATAGAGAAGATGATTGGACAGACGTTTAACTGGTTCTTTGAGGCTTATTTAGAGTGAGTGAGTCATAACGTTGCACGAAGGTGGTTCGTATACGAGGGGCAGTCACGACGAGCGACAGTAGAGACAGGGAGTGATAAAGAAAAAGCACAGCCACGTGGTGATTGTGCAAATGCAAATTACTCAATAAAAAGTCAATTTTACGCCTTTGACCTGTGACAATTAATTCGTGGAGTTCTTATTTACTAGCTTTTAGTAATTCTTTTCATGGAAAGCACTTATCGCAATTAACAGATGGATACACTTGTCGCAATCAACAAATGGGTAACACTTGTTGCATGTGTCGCCATGACGTTTTGATCCTTCTCGTACGCCGATTGTAGGACAAGATGATGTCAACTTAAAGCACAGCAAGGATGAGGTTTACTCGCGCTATGCAGACAGTGGCAATCTTACACTCTTCTTAGGTTGCTGCTGTACATTGCGATGTTCAGGCGATTGCTAGATGGTAAAATGCTGCTAATGTATCGGGACACAATGATTGCCAAGGGTAACTTTATGCACAGGTGACATAAAGAGACACAATACTGGTGCTGCGAGATTTGTATGCATTTGGACTAGTGGCCGGTTGTGCTTCAGCACCTGCAAAAACATGGTTGTAGCTACGCGATTGGAAACGTGTCTGCAGCTGTTACGATAGATATTGCTGCGTACAATATCGAAGGGATGACTCTCCACCACTTTGCAGGTATCGATTGACAAGCCCAAACGTCGAGTCAGGAACCTTAGACACAAATTACGCGCAAGAAATGCGCTGTTATTGATCAAAGCTGGCACACATTTTGATAACTGACAAGGTTGCAACGCGAGATAGAGGCTATGTGGTGGGTGACCTTCAGGATGTCGCCAGGCAGACATGTCGCAGCAGAACTTCTTTCGGCGGTGCCAGCTTGTCTTTGCAGGCAACTTCTTCCAGTGACATCTAGTTGACCAACGCGTCCGTGGCCAAGGCGCGGATGAGTGCCACCACCACTACTCTGTTGTGAGAGTAACCAGTGTCACGGAGACGGCTGCTCTGAAAGGAATGTTTGGTTAGCGAAGCGACAGCAGGCTCATATTAACCTGTATGCATGTGCATTATCAAGCTCACTGGCAATGATCGATAGCTAAACGAGTGCACCAAACCTGCTGCTGACAATGACATTGACGATACATCGACATCTTTACACAACGACGACGTCCTGCAAGTACGAGAGAGCCATTATCTGTCCATAATGGATACAATACTTACTGTTCGTTCGGTTGACGAAGACTATATGCGGGCTATAGACAAAGTTAGGCGACAATACATCATCTACCAGTTCGTCTGCCGGTGTTGCCTACTGTATGTATGGCTCCGACGGCAGCTCCGATTGGCACTAGCTTATCCCAAATTCAAGAGTTTCTACTCAATGCCGCCGTGTTGGACCAGTTGCACATGTTGAAGTGTACGTTGCAGTGTGCGTCACTGGAAGGATTTACATCTGCGTGATCAAGTACGCGACAGATTGTGGATGTCGCTCATTGTCGGACTCATGAGTATATTATAGCAGTCTTGTATCCATCCATGCACAGTATTACGTAAAAAACAATGGACAAGACTATCGAGTTGCATGTGCTTTGTTACCAATGCCAATCAATGACATTGGGTAGTCGCCATTGGAAGAAGCACTTCAACTTTGAACTTGTCCATCTGCAATTCACTTTTGAATCGTTGGTTGCAAGAATAATTATCCAATCATCGTCTGATCCTATCACAAAACAACTTTCGATTCGATAAAACCCATTTGTTTTTACCACCCTAGCCCGCCTGCATTTGGTTGGTTCGAGTGAAGCGAGGGCTGTAATAACTCAATGTTTGTATGCTTCATCGTTTGAAGGCTGGTTTGTATGGCCAGCCGTCAACGTCTCGGCCTTCGGTAGACTTATTTTACCCTTCGTTCCGCTCCGTGTTAAAGTCCCAAGCCCGAATCTAAGATGGTATGAGATTCTGTATAGCTTTATGTACAAGAGCATCAGATTGACTGTGCTCCTCTCCATCTCCACTTGTTCATGACGTTCTTAACGTTGCTGGACTCGTTGTCCTGCAGCAGCTACAGCGTTCGATATAGAAAATGTGTCAATCTGCATCATTGCTGCAGCAATAAGCAGCTATAGCAGTCGATACACACGAGAATGGAATATATGGAGATGGAGTACAAGGAGCAATGCACACAACAGCTACAAGAACTGCTTGTGAGAAACGAGAGAAACAAGAGACTGACATTGTTGATAAACTTTTGTGTCAATGTAGACGAAAGGCACGCAGAGTTTTGGCATGCGCCACAACAAGACCCACACCATCTGTAGACGTTGTGGACGTAGCTCTTACCACATTCAAAAGAGCATTTGTTCTTCATGTGGCTATCCTGCTGCCAAGATGCGAAAGTGTAAGTAGTCATGTTTTTGTAATCTGACATATATGTGCTTCTAGCTCTTTGGATCTCGTTGTTTGTATTGTTTGTAGCTATTTGTTATGATGTAGACTAATTGTGCTTCATATTGATGATGGTATCTACAGACAACTGGAGTCAAAAGGCTTTGCGTCGTCGCACCACAGGAACTGGCCGCATGCGCCACCTGAAGAATGTTCAGCGCAAGTTTAAGAATGGTTTCCGTGAGGGATCGTCCGCTGTGTCGAAGAAGGCCGCCACCAACTAAGTACACTTGAGAGTATTTTACACACTCGAGGGGAACAGGGAAATAGGCAGTTTGGGGTAACAAATCAACAAGTAGCTAGCGAAGCGACAGGTAGACGGTGAATGGGAGTGTGGAAGACGTTGGAGGTGAAAGTAGAAAGTGGAACGTGGAGCTTTGAGTGGAAGCAGCGATCGACTACAACAGGCAAAAGTGTGTGAAGACGACCGTCTCGACCGGTTGAGGATACCATGAGACGCCTACGACCTTTTGATCCAATATTCACATCCTTTAGCCGTTCATCCTTTCGAGTTGTATTGTTGTGCTTGTATCATCTACTTGTCTCTGCTGTTGTAGTATCTTTTCGTATATGCTCTTGAAGATGCTGGCTTACAGTTGGCCGTGCAAAGACAACATACTGTCGAGGGTTTCAAGATCTTGTTTCTTGCATTTTCAGCACAGTGTTGTACTCACGGCGCCCAAGAACCTGCATGTCCTTGACTTGATGCTGCTCAACGCTGCATTGTCAACATCCATGACGTAGCCGACCTCTTCTTCTAGACTTTGCAAGCTTGGCAACACAAAACAAAACGGTGCACAGTGTCACTGCAGAAGTTAGTGTCGATCTTGCACTAGTTGCTACAAGGTCTTCTTAATTCGCGCTATTGATGCTCGCATTCTCATTGTCCGATATCTCGTAATGCTATTTCAGTTTTGTGCTATAATGCACACACTGTAGCTTCTCGATGCGCTTCGAAAGTGTAATGCACGCAGAGCTTCAAAAAGTCCCTGCACTCGTGTCGTCTAATTGACAACAAAGGAACAGTAACACGCAATAATGTCCAGTAAGACAAGACCTAGAAAGGTCGATTCCATACATACTGTTGTTCATACTGATTGATTGTGTTGAATTGATAGTCGCAAAAATGTTTGTAAGACATGGCTTCACAAAAGAGCAAGTTGAAGTTGAATGGTACATTGTACCGTTTCTATTTTTAGTGTGGTACACGTTTCATGCGCAAAGACAAAACAAAGAGCTTCGGTCCAACTCGAGAGCTGTCTCTAGGCCAGTCACTTTAGTGCGCCCAGCGTCCCACTAGCAGTACAGGAGCGTCAGTTCCACGTTCATTTTGCGTCTTAAGTAGCTATTATAGCATGGGAAACGAAGAGAAAACGGTGACCAAGCCGTAAGAGCCGTTTTTTGCTTGATTCTTGCGCTTTAATCATTGCAACTATTCGTCTTGAGAGTTTATGACGTTGTTTTTTTATCTTGTTTATTGGATGAAATTATGGAACGTAGTGTGAAGGAACATGCTGGAGAGAAACGTAAGGCAGTAGATGAAGCAAAGATGACGTCTTCTGGCAAGTTTGAGAATAAGAAAGAGGAGATTACCAAGAGCAAGAGTCAAATGGAGAAAGAAGAAGATGAAGACGAGGAAGAAGAAGAAGGGAGATGAGGAGGACGAGGAAGAAGAAGGAGATGAGGAGGACGAGGAGGAAGAAGGAGATGATGATGAAGACGAGGAAGGAGGAGATGAAGAGGAGGAAGGAGATGAGGAGGACATGGCCCCAAAGAAGAAAAAGCGGCGGACGCGAGATAACGACGGCAGCGAAGGGAGTGGAGACGAGTCGGAGCCTGAGATTAAGATGACGGAAGACGACCTTGTGGGCGTCGACACGACCAACATCATTCCACGCTCACGGCGTCGAGCGGCTGTTGCTGCGATGGCACTGGCATCGGAGGAGATTGCGGCTGCTACGGGAGTCGCACCATCTGTTGCTTTTGGTGCGGTTGATAACGAAAAGGATGACGGTGAATCTAGCGACGAAGCCGAGTTTTGAGCAGAAAAGCACAGAAGGAGTGCAAAATAACACTAGTGCGCTCATGCAGATACATATAGTGCTCACTGTGCTTAATAGATTACCGTGAAACGGTCGTCACAGTTGTATTCAAAAATGGTCATGATTAATGGGCAGCAAAGTCTAGGTAATTGTTGCGATAGGGTCCTACGGAACCGGGCCAAGCAGCTTCTCAAAATGCCAGTAAGCTGCCTCCGCTGCACGTGCTCGTGCTAGCTTGTACGATGGCGCCGCTGCTTTTAGAATTGGCTGCAGAAAAGTATAGCATAGTAATGACAACAACGTCAGTATCAAGACCTGAAGGGTTATTGTCGTGTAGCCGTACCCTTCCTTTCACGTAAAGTTCAACCATGTACTCAGATGCATTTAGAGCGGCCGGCAGATACCTGCACAGTAAATCAAGAATAAGAGATCAGTCCTGCATCACGCATCACACGTCGCAATGTCCAGAATGTATTATACTTGTAGACAGGATGACCATAATAGTGTCCCTGTAAGAGGTTCTGCAATTCAACAATAGGTTCCCAAATGACATCACGTGTTGCATACTCAATCGAACGAGGAATAATATGCGTCGCCACGAAATTCAGTGCTGTCTCCATGCCCTACGAAGCAGCAAAAAAACCATCGTCGTAACCACCACCACAGCATCAGATAGCAACCAATTTTGACACCTCATACCTGATCCAGATAAATAGCTGCAATAAGTGATTCTACCGCTCCAGCAGCAATCGTGACACGGCCTTTGACAACAACCGGTGCACTGCTCGCCTCATTCAATCCAGGAGGCCAAATAAGAAGCTTTGTAATCCCTAAATCCGCACTAATCTTGGAAAGCGTGTCGTTATTAACAATTGCCGACTTGGCACGCGAAAGTTGTCCTTCTTGGTGCTGCGGCATCATCTGGTATACATAACTTGCCGCTGCTGCACCTAGCAACGAGTCTCCAAGAAATTCCAGACTACGATTCGACAATCGAACTACCGGCACACCTTCCAAAACAGGTTTATTCGGAAGACATCCGTGATGCGTCAGTGCACTCTGCAACAATGCTATATCCTGAAACTTGACACCAATCCGTTCTTGTAACTCTTCGAGTCCTGCTTTCCAATCAATTGGAGTAGGGACCTTCTCAAAGTGTTCAAGCTTGATTAACTGCCAATCTGGTGTCTTCTTAGGCTGCAGAAACTGATCTACTGTAATAATCTTGGTTGAAATCATGTCTCCATCCAAGCGACAACGCTCCAATTTAATCGTTTGACTCGACTCAGCTGAAACTTGATCTTTGCTCCTTTTAACAGCTCTCTCCACATCATTTTCGGACGCTAGAGCAGCTGCAACAGCATCTGCTACAGCCTGTGGACTTCGAAACCCATCAGGAAGTGAACTACGTGAAGAAAATACTCGTAAATTGCCTATAGCGACTCGGACACGACGACACTTGACGTGCCACACATTGCGCATCATGCTTCGTACGTAACACTTTTGGTGTGGTAGACAAAGAACCTGGCAAAAAGCATTCTTTTGTCAAAATTAGCAATTGGCACGATATTTCAAATCTGTATGTCATCATTTCACAAAAATTGCCGTAGAAAACAATAAACTTAAACTATTGCCAATAAAGTACGAAATACTGCATCGTCAACGGTAGCTGACCGCCATCCATTTTGACTAAGCCAATTTAAATGAGACCGTGATACGATATCGTAATTCAAAGAAGAAGCGACTGAGATTAAAGAAACGTAATCATTTGAGATTGAACAATGTGCACGAATGCAACAAGAATGATGGTGATGACAGTCAACAGTACAACCGCTTTACTCAGGACAAGAAACGTAATCAGTTTCAAGTCCAAGACGACGAAAGTATCAAGAAAACAAGCGAAACGAGGACAAGAGCCTATGAAACAAGGACAAGAGTCTATAAAAAACAAGGACAGGAGGCTATGAAACAAGGCCCTACACTGAATGGCACTGACGGTTATGATCCAAGTACCTTTCAAGATGAAAACCATCAAGTACACGCTGAGAAACTCGAGTGTATTGTAATTGATGGTTTTGATCATCAGCAAAGCTACACGTCGATTCAAGTTGATGCTGACAAGGCTCAAACAATCGAAGACAATTGCAATCAACACGATCAGGAAATGACAGAGTATGAACGTAAACGATTTGCACGATTCTTCGCAATCAAACCTTTATCCAACAGATTGGTCTGACAGCAGCTACGACAGCAGTTCGCAAAGCAGCAGAAGCACAAAAAGAAATCAAGAGAAAAGCGTTGATAATGAGACGAGCAAGAAAAGTTGCTGAGCTTTGATAACAGCCAATACGCAAGTCCCGACGCTTAAGCCGTGAAAAGTGGCCATGGCTACTTGCTCTACTGCACACGGTCAGCCTTTTGGATATTCTCTATGTAAAGTCAATGCGTCAACCACACGGTAGCAAACTTGATGTGATGGATGTTAGTGATGAAGAAGGTGCAAGGTGTTGCAAGGAACTTGTCAGCCATTCGGCCAAATTCATGGCACTTGCAGCTTTGAACAGCGATGATGAGACCGACTATTCGTTTGCGAACAACGATGTTGTCAAGATTGTGCCATATTGCATTACGACATTGGCTTTTCTTCCCCGAGCTGACCGAGTCGTTGTAGCCTATGGGGATAAAGAGGGTCATATTGCCTTCTGGTCGCCTTCTAGTGATACCAGCAGCTCGTCATCGGCAATATCGCGACCGCACGGATATCCTGTCACCCAAATGATCTTTCCCGACCCGTCAAAGTTGATTTCCAGCAGCATTGATGGCACCGTGCGTGAATTTGACCTTGGCGCCGCAACATTTTCGTTATTGTGTGATATCAGCGATGAAACCGGGATCACTTCGCTGATTGGATCAGGTAGTCCTCAATTCTATTACGCCAGCTGTGAGGATGGTACTTTACGCCTAGTTGATCGCCGAGCGCGAAAGGCGCACGGTATCAAGCTTGCGCTGCATAAGAAACGGATCAACTCCGTGGATCAGCATCCAAGTCTCGACTTGTACGGTTTGTAATCGTTGGTCATGTGGTATTGGCATGTCATATATTAATCATTGTGTTTTGTGAATTTGTTGTGTGCTTAGCTACGTGACAACTGCTTCACATGATGGCACCGTGTGCTTATGGGATAAGCGCAAGATCTCTTCTGAGAGTTGCATTCCTCTGACAAGACTGCATCATGGAAACTCCATGTATTCAGCACACTTTTCTCCAAATGATGGATCTTGGCTAGTGACGGTGGCCCAGGATTCCTACATCGATATGTACGACACGTCAAGTTTTATCAAGTGCAGAGTTTCCGATGCTCCAGTTGCATTACCTCAATCAATTGGCATTCCACATACAACTTGGACAGGCACATCCACAAAACTTCGTCCATCGTGGGACCCAAAGCGAATCAATCGTTTTGTGATAGGAAGTTTCAATCACGTCTCGAGGTTGCAATTCTTTTCGCCTTGGCCATTCTTACCCGATTCACGAGCTCACAAGTATCAATTGTACCAGTTTCAATGTCGTGAATGTATATCATCCACATATCGATATCATTGCAAGTGGGAATCAGAATGGTCACGTCAACTTCCAATCACTCATAAAACCAACTCAAACCCCTCGCGTAAAACAGAAAACAGTCATTAAACCACATATAAACCAAATAACCCAAATGAAATATATCGGTCCTTTCAAAAACGGGTAATTTAAATATAAAATACATTCGTGCACACCACCCGTCAGAACGAAGAGCTCACTTCCACCTCTTCTTCTTCTTCTTCTTCTTCTTCTACGATGCGTCACACTCGTTCTACTGCAATAAATGATACTCCTGCACCTTTACAAAGGTTACGTTCTTTTCGTACTTCAATACAGAATCCACCACTTTCTCCACCACCCGTTACGTCTTTGCGTCGTTCCTCACGTCGTCGTCTGAATCCCGTTCCAATTGAATTGATACGTGACGATACAAGTAAAATATGCGACAATAATACAGATAAGGACCATGATCGTAGTGATCAATCAGGCTTAACCGACTATGAACGTAAACGTCGTGAGAATATACAGCGGAATTTGGCTTTTATGCAGCAAATGGGTGTCTCGACGGCGAAAATTGCAGCAAGAACAGCAATTGACAATGTTTTTCCACCTGCAATTGATAGAGTCAAGAAACAAGAGCCACAACGAAGTGTTGATCGAGCAATACAAGCAGCAAGAAAAGCAGATCGAAGAAGAGCTCAACCGGTTCGAAAATCAAGACGTCTTGAGGGTAAAAACGTCGAGATGCAGCCGATTGAATTAATTGATCAATTCGAGATGGAACAGACACGAGGACGTTTGTTTCGAAGTAAAGACCGTCATGTGTCTCGTCGAGAGAGTTATCTTCATGTTATGGATGCAATGGATAGAGAGAGTAAATGTTTCTTAGGAGGTATTACAGCAGATGTTCTTGATGAAGAAGACGTACTAGATAACGACATGAACTTGGAAGACGAGGATCGAGTCGACTACGTCTTGGCAAATGATGATATTATCAAGGCAGTGCAAGAACGGATTTACTCGGTGGCTTTTTTACCACGGACAGACCGTCTTGTGGTTGCATGTGGAGATAAAATGGGTCATGTGGCTCTATGGACACCATTGAAAGGAACGGAAGTAAAGCAAGAGAACGCGGTCGCACCACTTGTGGTATACAGACCTCACTACAGTCCAGTGAGCCAACTGATCTTTCCTGACTCGTCTAAACTTGTCTCAAGTAGTTTTGATGGAACTGTGCGGGAATTTGACCTGCGTGCTGCAGAGTCATCGGTCGTGTATGATACAAGCGACGATGCCGGTATTTCATCGCTTGTAGTCGCCGGAATGGCGCAGTGCTATTATGCAAGCTGTGACGATGGCACAGTTCGACTAATTGATCGGCGCGCGCAAACGGTGCAGGGCTCGAGCTATCAACTGCACGAAAAGAAGATCAACACTGTGCACCAGCACCCAAGCTGCGACGTGTGAGTGTTTGCTGACTGTTATGGCAAGAGAGGAATTGCTTACTGATTTGATGTGATTGTAGAATCGTGGCAACAGCTTCCTTGGACCGCACAGTGTGCCTGTGGGATGCTCGTAAATTGTGCTCAACGAAAAGCACGCCGCTCGTAACGTTACCACACTATCGTAGTGTCAATTGTGCCTACTTTTCACCTCGAGATGGCGCATGGCTAGTGACGGTAGGCCAGGACTCGTATATCGACATGTTTGACACCTCAAGCCTTGTAGAGGGTAAAGCGTTGAATAATAAGTCTACGATTACCCTGCCGAGCTCAATTCGTGTTCGCCACAACAACATGACAGGACGGTGGCTCACCAAGCTTCATGCAGCTTGGGATCCCAAACGACCAAATCAGTTTGTGATCGGCTGCATGGAGCAGCCGCGACGAATTCAGATCTTCCGTGCAGGCCGTCGCCGTCCCGTCAGTGAGCTGATGAGCGACAACTTTGCTTCGGTTCACTCTATCAATGCTTTTCACCCTCATCTTGAGCTCATTGCAGGTGGTAATTCTTCCGGTCGTCTCGCGCTATGGCGTGGCAAGAAAACACATAAAGGCGACGATGTCAAGGCCGAGACCCATGTAAAAACTGAGTAAGGATCATTCTATCTGGCAATCTCGTACTACGTAAACATGTAGCAGTGTTATTCTACTCTTTGCGCTATCGTATGTAAATTTCGTATGCTGTATCATTCACTTCGCTTATCCGTTTACGTGCTGGCTTCATTTTGTTCCTGATCCAGCGCTTTGTCGTATATTCCTATCAGCACCCGCACAACAAAACAAAATCAGCATTCTCGTGACGCAATCAACAGCAGCACTTGCAAACTCCGCACCTTTCCGTCGCAGTTCCGTGTGCTTCGCTTGAACACTCTCAAAATGAGCGAGCAATGCGTCGGCATCAATACGCGTAGTATCCTTTTTGGACGAGTTGAAGGGTGCGCCTCTACTTTTACGTAGCGGACGCGAGTCACCATTCAAGTCGATACGGCCGATAGCTGTAGCCATGCTTGTCACGCTTGCGAGCCGGTCCCGTAACACCCGAAAGGCAGCACTCTGTGGAAGCAGCATTAAAAGCCCGTACAGACTCTTAACTAAATCTGTGTGATGGTCCTCCTGAATCTCAAGAAGCTGTAGCCGCATGTGAATGAAGATAGGTGATTCCAGCAGCTGCACCAGTTTATCGATCTGCATGAGGAACCCGACGGATGCGTCAATGTTGGCAAACTTGCTAATGAGCGCTGCCGAGAGCGTGTAAGATTGGGCCAGCAAGCAAAGGCTGAATGCTGCAATGGGATTGTGGCACCACGATTGAAAGAGCGCCGTAAACACTTGGACGTCATCTTCCGATGCTTGAGGCTGAAAACTGCGACGTAAGACATCACGTAGATGCTCTAATTCATTTGCTGTGAGCAAAATAAGATTCAATGTTTGCACCATGACAGCAGCAAACTCACTGTCCGTTTGACTATCCAGGTAGACAGCTTCTGTGCCTAGTACCTTTGCAAAAATGAGATATATACTCTTGGAATCCAAGAGCACACACAACTTGCGCACAACCATACTGCCACGCATCTCAAGCAATCGTCGGTCCTGTGCAAAGAGCAGTAAGATCGCATTGAGCACCTTCTCGAATTCAACTTTGTTAAGTGATATGCGAGCAAGCACTTCCAAATCTAGTAGCACAACACTGTCTGAGATATCCGAGAGTGTACGAAGTAGAGCTGGCAACAACTGGCCAATATGTGCTGACAGCTGATTGGGGTATTTTTCAAGCAGCATCGAAATCCACCGCAAGGCCGCCATACGAGTAGGCACATGGTCACTACTCAATTCTGTCGTGAGTTTCTGCATAAGTGGTAGCAGTTCAACATCTTCTGTGGTTGATTTTACAAGCTGTAGCAAATCATCATTAGCACGTTCAGCTACCTGGCGTATTTCATGCTCCGCATCCGAGATGCAGTGCATGATCGCAGCAAGTAGATCCGCATAAAACTCGACAAGTTTTTCTCTTCCAAGGTTCACAAACTCGTGCACCCAGCTCACAGCTGTTAATCGATTGAATCGTTCCTTGCTATTACATTGTCCCACAAGAATCTCAACCATCGGTCCAAACTCAACATCGTCCGTCTGTTTAATCTCTCGTAGAAATTCTGCCAATGCACTATCAGCTGCTTGTCGAATTTCTCGATTCCCATCACTCAACATATTAAATAATCCATCTAGAAATTCAGGCAACCAATCCAACATATCAATATCCGGTACGGAATCAAGTACTGTGATCCATCCAACCAAGAGTTGACGAATATATGGATTTGTCATGCGAATATACTTGTGTAAAAGTGGTATAAACATATCGACATCAAAATATTCACTCTCCGTCACAATGTCTTTAACTAATCGATCTAATAAATTCGCTCCATTTTTTACATCCACATCCACATCGGCAAATAATTTACATAATCCATCAAATATCTGATTAAAATACTGTAAAATATGACCACGTGCGACTTTTGCAATATTGTAGAGCGATTCACACGCATAATATCGCACTCGACTTTCCGGATCATCAAAACAATGCAAAACAGGTGGTAATAACCTATCCAAATACAAATGAGCATCATGCATGAGACCAATAGCAGTAGCTGCTAATCCAATTAAACCACCTTTACGATGATTGGCATTGGCAGAACACGCAAAATCATGACCGAGCAATTCAATAATTGCAGGAATCCGTTGACGACTGGGATTGGCTAAAAATAGCAATGTACTGTCCATGCTCTCACTTTCCGTCCCGGACGCGCCAATGTCAGTTATTTCTCGGGGGGACACTGGATTAAGTTGCTGCTGTAACTGATGTTGCTGATGAAATTCAATGGACGCAGCATTTTCTTGCAGTTGCTTGATTAAATTTTCTAATTCCATTGCTGCACCTTTACGTTTATCATAGGACCGATCGCCTAAGTTGCGCATCAGTGTTGGCGTTAATGGAAGTTGAACGGGATACCCATGGACATCAGGAAAATCACTACTATCTAAACCAAAGGGCATTGCAGCAGCAGTAGCAGCAGCAGTAGCAGCAGCAGCTTGAGTAAGTGCTGACTGTGGTAACATGGGTGAAGGATCACTTGAGTAACTCATGGATTCACTGACTATGACTCGGCTTGGACTGGAAGATAGAGAGAGATAGAGAGAGATAGAGATGGATAAGTGTTCGACTGAAAGAAAAAAGTACAAGACGACAATGGATTGGATAATAAAATTTGTTTTTTTCAAGGAGGTGGATAATATCATGTACAACCCTTGAATTATCCAGATACACCGGATTATCTGCCTTTTTGTAAGGTTCTTTCCCTCTCTTTTAGCAACATTCCTTCCGCCACTCGATCCTTATTGATGCCAATCATAAACATTTGCTCCAAGAGATTTATGCTGTTCGTAATACGTCTTTCCACCCACTGCAATAGGACCACCACCATAACAAAGTCCATCATGACGATATAATACTAAAGCCTGTTGCGGTGTGATCCCACGCTGTGGCTTTTCAAAATCAACGCGCAGGTAACTCCGTTCATCATATTGATGATTCTCTACAAGCTCATCCAATTGCCAAGCATGGAATGTACTTGCTTCTTCACGTGCATTGCGACTAGAGACGACTGTGATCAGACATTCATCCAAATCTTGGCGATAACGTACGCGATAATAGCAGCGCATACGACCGGTGTCATGAAGCTCCTGTGGCAAATGTCCTGCTATCCAGTTAAATTGCATGGCAGAGGCAAAGAGAGTGTTTGAGAAAAGAGCTGGATGTCGTGTACCCTCTGCAACGATCACGGAATAATCAGGTTTGTGTTTGCCCACTACAAACCATTTATCATTCATTCCTTGCAGTCGTGCTCCTTGACCGACAGTATATGCTGAAAAACCGTGATGTCGGTGCAGTCTATTCCCTTCAACCGTAGTAAAGTAGCCGTCTTGACGTTGGATATACTGATGAATAAAGTCTGCAAAGTTACGCTTGCCAATGAAGCAAATGCCCACCGAGTCTTTTTTCTTTGCCGTACAAAGACCCTCTTCAGCTGCAAGACGTCTTACTTCTGTCTTGCACATTCTTCCCAATGGAAACAACACATTGAAGAAAGCTTTTCCATCCACACTTGACAAAAAGTAGCTCTGGTCTTTTGTGTCATCTTCTGCAGCATAGAGACTTGGAGGTTCACCCTTGTTCGTAGACTTTAACACTGCATAGTGACCAGTAGCTACATAATCTGCGCCAATTTTCTTTGCATATTCGGTGAAGGCTTTAAATTTGATCTCCCGATTGCACAAAATGTCCGGGTTTGGCGTCAAGCCTTCTTCATACCTTTCCAGACAAGGAGAAAACACCTGATTCCAGTACGACTGCACCAAGTTTACCTATAACAGCCACATTGACTGCATTAGTACGTATAACAACTCTATTTGCGACAGCTACACCTACCATGTGAGCCTCAATACCAAGCTGCTTGCAGACTTTCTGCACATCCGAATACTCCGAGACAACGGGACACACTGAATCTCCTTCTTCATCATTTGGATCCCAGTTTTTCATGTAAACTCCAGTCACACGATATCCTTGACGCTTTAGCAGGAGTGCAGCCACAGACGAGTCCACACCACCAGACATTCCCACCACCACGTGTTTGTTGCTATTGTTTGAAGTCATAGAGACAGTGGAGCCAACTGCAGTACTGAATAGACGTCTTGATGACATTGAAAAGCATTCTAAACATTCAACACGAGCTTGAGACTGTCTGCATAGAGCTATAGCGGCAGCGCGTGACAATGGACGGCGCAGCATTGACGACGAATGGTTGATTGGCATTGTGTACACCAATGACACATAAACCTGGGACGATAGGACAACATCCGATATTTTTGTCGATCAGCGAAATGTAGCCATGTTATATGTTACCATGGGTAGAGTGCAATGAGACGAGACCCTAGAGCTGAGAAATGATGGGCGGAAAAGTCCTCACGAACACGAGCATCAACATCATTTTTTTGCCAATGATCAACGGGAAGCAAGCGGGCTTTGTATCGACGTAACTGTTCTTGCACGTAAGTACGGTTTATGGGCGTATCCGGGATAAAACCCGTGTAGATGACCTCGCGCGGGATACTACCGACGTGCTTGTAGCTGTTGGCATGTGGAATACGCCAGTCAAAGAAAATCACACTACCAGCTTCGCAGCCAATGTGCTGGTAGCGATCGATCACTTCGCGGTCCTCTTGCATACGTAACGGTGAGAAGTCACCTAGACAAACCTGCGGGCGGCGTACAGGTGCTGTTATTGGAGTTTCAGTCATTGAATCTGGTCTCTGTTGTTTGGTCGCGTATGCAGCAAAATCCTTGTGGAAACCAGGTACAGCTTCAAAACCACCCGTGTTAGGCTCCGTGTTGTTCGTGAGCACCGTGATACACTGAATCGGTCGCCATCGAGGCGTGCTTTTGTTTGATTCATACATCTTCGTCGGGCAACAATCCCAATGTGGCGTCAATGAACGCTGCAGTGGACGCGACTTCTTCGCACCAAACTTTTTAGAAATCGCGTCTGGTACACGGTAGCACACACGGTTGATATACATGTATCCTCGTTTCCCATTAAAGTCTCCAAATGGATGTTGGAAGTATGGGTGATTGCACGCATACGTTGCTTGCCACAAGTCCGTCATGGCCGCAAAGATATTTTCATGCTCTGCTACTTTCAATCTCCATGACGGATAGAACAAGTCAAGGATACCACCAGCACCACCAGTACTCGATAAGTTCTTGAGTTTGTCACCTGTTTCTGCCAAATTCTCGTGATCCTTTTTCACACAAAAGCACAAGCGCAATGTATCGTTAAATACTCATTGCAACCATCAAGTGATACTACACCACAAGCAAAAAAAACACACGTACCACTCCGTACTTGGCCAGTTCATTATGCAGTCCTTGACGCAATTCTGTCACTTCTTCTGGAGTTAAAACATTTGGAACTACTAATACACCTTGGTCAATAAACTCATGGAGTTGGTTATCGGTTAGAAAACGTTTGATAACCATTGGAATGGTCGCATCACCAGATATTCCTTGCTCCATCGTTGATACATGCACCCGTTAGTGCTTGTTCCTACACTGTTAACCAATGAATAAGCTTAGGATGGGTGATCCTAAATCCTAATGAAAAGTATTCCTATCGTCCTAGATCCTAATTATTAAAACTATTCCGCATGTTCTGAGTCCCCCTAGGACCAAAAAGACGCTGTAAACAATGCTGCGCAATGTACTAATCATGGCGTCTAGTGGAATCGTACTCTTCTCTAAGGAATATGTAAATGCTGTTGCCCAGGTACTTTTCTTTGCCATTATTCTAGCTTTCTATTCATGCAATTTGCACTCTCTACTTTGCTCTCTGTCTCCAGTTCTTACTAACAATAGGATTAAAATGCGACTGTCTTTCATATATACTCGATCAGCCTCGATTAGTTGGCTCGTTAATCACTGCAATGCTTGAGTTCTCGAATAAAGCAAGTGGTGCACCAGTATCGTACATTCAAATGTCTTCCGGTGCGTCAAATTGCTCTCGTTGCGATGCTATTTGGATTGAGGCTGAGGGATGATTAACGCTCTCATGTTTCTTCTTGAACGTATTTTCATGCTTCTAGTGGCTGTGACGGTAGTGACTGACGACAACCATAAAGTATTTTGCGCCATGTTTCATGACACGACAGACGGTGCGAACTTCTCGGCCTTTGTGGCGCAAGAATTGCTGGCAGCATTCATTGCACAACACGGAGACGAATTGGGCAACATTGGACATAACTTGAGGGACTTTCACCGTTTTCAGTACAAGATTCTCACCGTCATACGCGAATCAGTCAAGCCTATCGTCAGAAAATGTGCGTGCAGCGTGAAGCTTGATGGCTTTTAGTATCTGAGGGAGCAAGCTAAGAGAGTGGTGACTGAACGCTTGGCTACCTGTGTAATGATTCACGTCTAGTGCAAAAGCAGCGTGGTATTTTGAAGGCAATGCTTGTAGTGGATGGTGCAGTAACATGTGCAACAGGAGACGTAGATCCAATTGGTGTGTTGGCGAACCTTCAGGCGCTCGTGAACAGCTCGATTGATACCAGTACGGAAAAGACATGGGAACGACCCTGGACGCGGTATGAAACCATTAACGCTGTTGCTTGTGATTTCAGTGTCATTTTCAGGCGATGATGTAAACTCCATGACAATTCAAAGCGGACGCAACTCGTGCATACAAGTGAGTGTTGTAGAAGGTAATGACGCATTAGTTGTAGTCTACAAAAAGGGTGCACAGGCGACCAAGAACACGGCGGCAATAGGGGGAGTGTGTTCGAGCAATACGACATGGTATGTACAGCTCCATCGTTTGTTAAGGTGTTGATGCCATCTAATAATTTTGTATGTGGCTTTGACTGCTGTAGTTTGTGCATTAGCACGCACATTGCAGCAAAACTCACGGTGATAGACGACACTTGGTTCCAGCTCACCGGTATGTAGCATTTCCTAGTCACGATAGAGCAGAATAGTAACCACAAAGCCAAGTAAGTGGGCGTTTAGGTACTGTTTACCCTATCCTGTTTACAAATCTGTCTGTGTGCATGTCCGTCGTCTGTCTTTCTACTGCGTTGTTTTAGCAGGAATATTGACAACTGGATGGTTCGTTATTTGCTGCCGCTTCGTCATCCTCACTCCAATTGAGCTAATCACATCTTTTTATCATCCTAGTCCACCATGAGACTCTGACTTAAACTCATTGCATACTGAACAGCAGTCAAAACACCCACGTAGGACATGCAACGGATTTCCTATCGGCAAAAAAGCTGATTACGAATCCAAGCCAGTAAGCGCAGGAACATTCGATCTGAACTTGACGATCTGAACTCCTTTGCTCATTGCCACACCTACCCAAAACACTATAATTTACTACAGCCTAAAACACAAAACCACCACACAACACGTAAACAATAATGCATTCCGTCTTACTAAACAATATCCATCGTCTTAGTAAATTATCCATTTTATCGTAAACTAATCAGACTCTGCTTTATTTTGCATATTTATTTAATAAGGTTAAAAACATCCGTAATATTATACCAGAATGTACCGGTTTTATAAATGTAGTATGGTGTAATCAATTCAAGACACAGTAATATAGACAGGGTCTTTCTGACTCATTTTCTGACACTCTACTTTCCAAGCACATTCATTCTTGAATAATTTTCAATGCGACGAGTGGCTTCAGTAGGTTCATCCATAGTATGGACAAGACACATTACGTATCGATACAACTCAACCCTAGCAATATCAGTACCATCAAGTGAACATATACTTCATAACGTGTACAAACAACGTGCAGACAATGGCGAGGTCACGTATGACCCAGTTCAAGTGCGTGCTGTGCATTATTTAGACGCTTTATACGATGAAATTATACGTTATGGAGGTCCAAAGACTACTGTATGGACTACAAATTCATCGCCATCATCATGGTGGCGCAAGTTTATAATTCGCAAAGAGAAGGATCACGCCATCAGTCCCAAGTCAATCATGAATGGACCCAAGGGACTATATCTCTATGGTGGTGTCGGCTGTGGCAAGACGTATGTAATGGACATGTTCTTTGATCTTGTACCAGTGACAGAGAAACTTCGTGTGCATTTTCATGCATTTATGCTGGATATTCACAAGCGAATGCATGAATTACGACGACAAGGTCATCATGGGGATCCAATTCCACAGATTGCAGATCACTTACTGATGGATAGTTGGTTATTATGTTTTGATGAGTTTCAAGTGACGGATGTAGCAGATGCACTGATATTGCGACGACTTTTTTCAGCCATGTTAGAACGAGGTTTTGTTATGGTAGCGACGTCAAATCGACCACCTCGTGATTTGTACAAGAATGGACTACAACGAGAGCTGTTTGTGCCCTTCATTGACCTGCTTGTAGAACGCTGTAATGTCGTATCGTTGGAAGAATCGACAATTGATTATCGAGTGCTAAAGAGTGCTACGCAAGCTGCTAATGTGTACGAGTGCTTGATCACTAAGGACACGCGTGCGGCGTTTGACTATGAATTTAAAACCTTCTGCGGTGGAGAAGAGACTGTAAGCACCCATGTAATGACGCAAGGACGTAAAGTACACATTCCAGAGGCTGCAGTGAAAGCTGGTGCATGTCGCTTTTCATTCAATGATTTGTGCGATGAACCTCTGGGAGCAGCTGATTACTTGGCGATTGCTGAAGCTTTCTCGGTCGTTTTCGTAAGCGATATACCTTTACTCAATGCCGAGCGGCTAAATCAGGTGCGGCGTTTTATCACATTTGTCGACTGTATGTACGATCAGGGTGTGCGGGTACGTTGCTCATTGCTGTTTGCTGTATCATCGTCGGTGTATTATGCTGACATATTATTGTACGATCCTTGTGACTAGTTACATTGTCTTGCACCAGAAAGCCCCGAGCATCTCTACCAAGTCGACACTGGCACGAAGTCGCACGTTGACGAAGTCTTTGCATTCGATCGCACGGTTTCTCGCTTGCTTGAGGTACACCATTTTTGTAGCCCACCTGCTCCAATTTGACATGAGACTGATACTATTGCATTTGCAGATGGGAAGCGAGGCGTATCTGTTGGCACATAGCGATCGACAGGACAAACTGCGCATTCAGCCTCATGAGCATTTGTTTTTAGCTCCTAGCACCGCTGAAACTGTGAATGAGTCTGAGAGCATTGGAGAAGAGGATGAGCATTATGAGGAAGCTGCAAGTGCAGGAAAGTAGAGACACCTCGGCAAAACGCAGCAAACAATGACGATGCTGTTTTGTATACAGTGAATGTTGCAGTCGTATAGACATCGGTGCTTTTTGCACGCTTTATGATCTACCAGAGCTTCGTCGCTGTCTAATTGGCTTGGAACGTAGGGACATGGCCATGGTTGTGGTCAAGCCGAACAAACTACCGGCTTTGCGTTTGATGGCGTCTTTGTCCATGCGTTAAACATGGCCAAACGTTTTGATGGTCTTGACTTGCTAGCTATCGTGCCATCCTTTTGCTGTGAACGTGACGGGTTTCAGCTTATTCATGTACACCAGCGATCATAAACAGACCAGCATGCTCAGTTGCCATTTTGTTTGACGATATGTTGCATCGTATCGATTGAGCGTCGCCCTGTAAAGCTTGATGATCATCGACAACTTCAGTTTCATGCGGAGCTTGGAGAGCTCAGCGTGAACCTGCATCATCTTATCGTTCAGGTTGCAAGCTGACTGATGCTAATGCAACGCAACGTTTTTCCACGCACAGCTAGGTAGAGCTACCGTCCAGCAGCTAGATAAATCAAGCCAGCCTCATGATCTGTTGACTTTGCGTGCTCCAGTCTTGCTTCAATAACACCACTTCACTTATTTTCTTGCTGCGCAACAGCGTTCTACAATACAAACTGCTAAATAGTTCAAGCATATTCTGCCATCCTTTCGTTGCTCACAACTTCTCATACATGTACAACTACGCCTTTGATCCAGCTTTTCCCTATCAACGGTAATCTCGATGCCTAAATGGACCCACTAAGCGCAATCTGGATAGTCAGGAATACCATGAAAGCAAATGCGGTGGCCGATACTGTCGTAGAGATTGACTTGGTGTCTTCAAGCGACTCGGGCAATAGCTCCTGTACTGCCACGTAAGCCATCGCGCCTCCAGCAAAACCTAGACCACACGGCAGGATAGGCATCCATTGTTCCACAAACAGAAAAGCTGGTACAGCAAAGATTGGCTGTGGTACACTAGACATGATGCACCACAGTACAGCATAGAAAATGCTCAATCCACGTGGCACGAGCGATAAACTAATTGCCACGCCTTCAGGGATATTATGAATCGCCATGGTCATAGTAACAATACGACCACGTCGAATACCACCTTCACCACCAAACGACACGCCTACACCAATACCTTCCGATACAGAATGCAGCGTCATAACAGCCATAATCAATAGTGCTTTTCGTGCATCCAGACCTTTTAATCCACACACTGACACGTCTTCATAGTCTTCAAGGAACAGCTTGGTAAATTTGATAAACAAGACACCTAAGAAAGAACCCAAGAGAAGACGATAGGTCACTGATACTTGATAATCTGTTGCTTGTGGTAAATACAATCCTTCATGGAATAAACAGCCCGTTGCAGCAATCATCATGCCTGCTGCTAGACCATTACATATACCCAACCAATACTTGTCCATATCTCGAATCCAATAAAATGGCAGTGCTCCAAGGCCCGTCGCAACAGCTGTGAGCCAACCACACCACCATACGTAGCGAGCATTCTTACCTCCATGGCCATGTGACTGATGATGCATTGGAAAGCTATAGAATGTAATACAGATCAGAGTAAATGCTAAAACATAGGCACATCGTTTTGTAGTAGTCGATGATTCTAATAGAGGTATTGGTCCTTCTTCCTGAAATCGAGTCCTTTCATCTACATGTTGCGTATGTAGCGCTACATTTGACGCTATTTCCTGCTTCATGTCATGGTCCACTGGAATTCCAAGCGTTTCGAGAGGTTTCAAATTGGTCATGACTATATAATTTTTGTGTCTTGATATTCAAAAAAGGGCACACAAAAGACACAAAATGTAAAGTCACTTGAGATGTTGACGACCTAAAGCAAAATGAATGATACTGACTTCTTGTAAGACGGAAAAAAGACTAAAAACCATCATGACAACGAGGCGCAAATTAGGTAAAAAGACCCATTCTCTGCACCATTTTCTTCCATTCTTATTGGTTTAAACTACCGCATTTACTGGTTTTCTCACCAATCGCTGATCGGCATTACTACTACATCATTTCTATCATGTCGACGTTGACGAGCACTGATATGGGCGAACTCAAACGCCCTACGACGCGTGTACATGCGCCTCCAGGTGGTGGTTCCACCTGGAGCTTTGACAATGATCCACTTTCTGCTACAACAGGTCGTAAACGCTTCAACCACACTCAGGTTCATCATACCCAACAAGATACCAAGATGGAATCTCCACGTGTAGCTCCTGCTCCAACACCTATGATAGCTCAAGAAATGGCAGCTAATGCTATCGAAGGAACTATTCGTATTGCAATTCTCAAGACAAGCAGTGATGCGGAGCTTGTGAATCACATGGTACAGAACTGTATTGAGAAATTGGACCGTCAAGCCGTGAGCTCCGAGACGTTTACGGTAGCGTCACTTGAGCAATTACCATATGGAGCCAATAAATTGACGGTGTCTGGTGGATTTGATGGAGTCATTTGCTTTGGTTTCCTCAATACACAGGACTTACAGTATGTGGCTTTAAGCACGGCCATAACGCAGAGTCTTATTGACATTAGTGTACAAAATGTACGTCCTGTACTGCGTGCCGTTTTTGTCGGTGAACCACGTGTGGCAGGAGTCAAGGTAAAAGGAGGATGGGGTGCTGAGTTTGCCAATGACGTGATGTCATTGGTTGAATTAGGAAAAGTGAAGGAATTCACGTAAAAAGAATGCCCATTTTAATCTTTTTCCACCAATCAAAATGAAGCATTGGAAATCCTGACGTTTATTTGAGTCATAAATCTCACTTCTTAGCTACTATGTCGACCCTAACTAGCACTGATATGGGTGAACTTAAACGTCCTTCAACACGTGTACATGCCCCTCCTGGTGGTGGCTCTAGCTGGAGTTTTGGTCATGATGTACCATCGACTAAAACAGGCCAAAAACACTTGAATCAATCTCAATTATCAACTCCAGACGACATGAAAATGACTTCACCGTCTCTTCCTTTCCTACCGACGCAGACTCCGATGGATGGTGCTGCTTCTGAGTCCATTACTACAATGCGTATTGCTCTGATTAAGACCAGAAATGATGCTGAGATTGTAGATAAGGCTGTACAAAACTGTGTGGATCAATTCCAGCTTCAAACGCTGAGCTTTGAGACGTTTACAGTAGCGACATTGGAGCAATTGCCATATGCTGCTAATAAATTGATGGAACGTGGAAGTTTTGGTGGCATTATTTGCTTTGGATTTCTTAACACACAGGACCCACTGTTTGTGGCGCTTAATGCTGCGTTGACGCAGAGTTTTATCAAGATTAGTATCAAAAACGTACGTCCAGTGGTGCAAGCAGTGTTTGTTGGAGAGATACGTGTAGCCTCAATGAGGGTAAAAGGTGGATGGGGAGCCGAGTTTGCGCAAGACATTCTGCCATTGGTCAATTTGGGTGGCTTTGTTGGACCGATTGCTCACCTGGTTCCCAGTGCGTCGGTAAAGAAGCATTTTGAAGTTAGTCGTGGCAATTTACTGCCTGCAAAGCTGTTGCGTGGATCGAAGAGTGTATTGCAATCACTGCAAATGTTAAGAAACTCGCTGTATGAACACGGAGCAAAAGGGATCCGTGGATTGGGACGTAAATTTCGCATTATTGACGATGATGGCAACCGTTCATTAAATTTGGACGAGTTCAGCAAGGCTTTGCGAGAACACGCACTTGAACTTAGTGAAAAGGAAGTAGAGGAGTTGTTTCATTTTATTGATGCGAACAACTCGGGTGGCGTGGACTTTGATGAGTTTCTGCTGGCTGTGCGCGGTGAGCTGAATGAACGTCGCACGCAGTTGGTTCTTGCCGCTTTCAAGATTCTAGATGCTGATGGTAATAGTGTTGTGGACCTCAACGACATTAAGGTCAAGTACAGAGCTAAAGAGCACCCTGATGTACTACAAGGTCGCAAGACGGAAGACGAGGTCCTGCTCGAATTTCTCGATACGTTTGATGGTGGCGAGAAGGACGGCAAGGTTCACCCCAGCGAGTTTGTGCGCTACTATGCCAACGTAAGCGCGTCCATTGATGACGACGACTACTTTGAGCTGATGATCCGCAATGCCTGGCATATTAGTGGTGGTGAAGGGTGGTCAGCTAATACAACCTGCCGTCGTGTGCTTGTGAAGCACAGGGACGGCTCGCATACGATTGAAGAGGTGAAGAATGACATTGGCATTGCTGCTGGCAACGTCGAGACCATCCGTGCTAATCTTCAAGCACAGGACATTAACGCCATTCAGTCAGTAAGCACTTCTGGCAACGTGCAGGCTGAGAGCGATGCGGCTAAGAAACGCTCGAACGAAAGCTTTCACCCTCAGATTGCACGAAAGAAGCAGCACGGGGCCGGCGCAAGCTCCATCATTTTTGGCTAAAGCAACATAGCAAATTTTAGCAGGAATCAACTGCTGCGAACAGCTTGAGAAATCTCGACTGAAACAAGAATACAATGCGCTTGAACGTTGATAACCATTCCTTTATTACTGCTATTCTACTACACTGACAAGTTTATCTAACTATCATACACACAGCATTACATGCATATCGAATGGATTTGCATGCCTCAACTTGTTGATTTTGTCCTCATTCCGGCTCAGAGTATATTAAAGTATTTTGTAATGGCAATCATCGGCAACGCAAATCCATCCACACATGCAATACACCACGTACCTTACACCAACTCAGCACATCAGCAACCTGAACTCATAAACAAACACAACCAATGAACTACAACACTCTAATGACCTCGTCTTCGCTCTGTAAAACAGTTCCCAAAGGTGGTATTGGTTGAGTGAGTCAACCAAACAAGCAGCAGGCGTTGCCTCCCGCCAGCTCGTCAGTCAATCATCACCTATTACATTTCTTATGCGTATTCGTAACGCACTCTCAAACGCATGAGTGCTTAGTTTTCTGGAATGTCCAGCTCACCCTCGGTGATGAGACGCTGAATCTCTGTCGGGGCCTTACCGTTAACCGTGCAGCCAAGCGAAGACGCCGTACCGAGAATCTCCTTGACCGTTCCAGCAAGGTGGCGAGCCATCGAGCGCTCACGCATAATGCGGGCGACAGCAATAACTTGGTCCAGTGACAAATTACCGTCATGCTTGATGTTCTTCACTTTTTTGCGGTCACGCAGGGGCTCCTTGAGCTCCTTGACCAGAAGCGACGAAGCGCTGGGGATCAGTGTGACAGTAGCCTGACGGTTGATAATGGTAAGCTTTACCGTCACATTCAATCCTTTCCAGTCCTGGGTGGCCTTGCAAATGTCCTCACCAATTTTCTTGGGAGACAGACCAAGCGGGCCAACCTTTGGGGCCAAAGCCGAAGCGGGGGCAACCTCGCCGCCCACCGTACGCAAAACGACGACCTTTTCTTCGCCAGCTGGAGGTGGAGCGCCCATGTTGTTTATAGAGGATGCAAGTAAAGACGAAACAAGCTTCGGGAGATTGAGAGCGAACTCGAATGACCGACCGGCGGGACACTGCCGGACAACGTAGCTCCTCGACCAACCAACAGCAGATATCGTTGTAAGTACGAAACCCTTATGTAATGCATGAATATGCATCTGGAAAGGCCTACGAAAAATCTCGTATCGTCGCGACCGAAAATAAAGATTTATTGTATAAGAGGTACCGGTATACCGTCCAAATCTATCATCACGCGGTATATTGTGTCGCTCCTTTATCTTCCTTCAGCTCTAATAGAAGATAATTAATTAATTGTACATCCTCAGCTCTATTTAAAAGCGTGATTGGACGAAACTAGAGCTGTACCGTACATGTAGAATTATTATTTTTCACAAGGATATTTCCAGTACCACGATATTTTCGTAAGATAAAACTTCAAGTTCCGAAAGGTTGCAGTCATTATCAAAAACACCATGGAAAGTCTCCGTAACGTCTTTAGTACAGTACCCACTGAAGCGCTTATGCGAGTTGTACGTATTAGATTCAACTATTGATTGCAATTGAGAAAGTTTACTATGATAAGAAAAATACTAACCTACTGACATTGTTTTACACTTGATTGCCTTGCAGCTTGAAATGTGTGGCCAAAATGTCGTCATGGCATCTGCTTGGCTACTCGAAAACGACTGGCGGGATGTCATGGATGCAGAATACGACCATGTTGCTGCTATTTCTACCAGTGTGATGTCAGATGGACCTTCATCACTGCATACTGCAAATATTGATGCGATGGATGCAACGTCAGTAGTCTCGGAGCACAACCGAACAATGATTGTATCGACGGAAGGAAATAACAGACAGGAGCGAAATGACAGTAATGATAATCACTATGATCGTCGCTGGGTACTTGGCAATGAGATTCAAGCAGATGATTTTGATAGTGAGGAGGAAGAAGATGAAGAACATGAAGACGAAGATGAAGAAGAAGAGAAGATGAAGAAGAGGACGAGGAAGAGGATGATGATTTGTACTATGATGCAAATGAGATGACGGTGCCGCCTTTGACTAAAAGGACAAAGATCAGCAAGACGAGAGAAACGAAATTGCATGCTAATGAAGACGACTTTTGGGTCACTTTTGACGGCCAGGTTGTGGTCAAGAGTATGATAGGTGAAGTGCTTTAAGAAGATGGATGGATGGGTGACAAATGGTGGACTGAATTTTTGGACTGTCATGAAGCAGAATTGTTGAATACGACGCTGAGCAAGCTGGCGCATAGCAAAGTGGTTTTGTTGAACCAGCCAGCACTGGAGTTGGATCGAGTATGTTATCTTGTGGATTGCTCTTGTATTTAGTACGCCTGAAACTAATGAATGATCGCGTATGAGAATTATAGGCGGCAGCAACAAAGAAACTGAAGTCAGTACTAGCATTAGAGGAAACAGTTGATAACGATTACGATGTGACTAGCGGACAAATCCAGTCTCCTCGACATGCGATCAATCGAATCACTATGGCTAATTTGCTCAATGGAGACACTCCTGCTGGTGAAAAGTCTAGAAACTCGCCATCTTTGATTTTAGCAACGAACGCGATCTCTGAAACATCAATTTGTCAGAAACGAAAGCGAAGAGATATAGCGAAAGCAGGATGTACTCCGTGCCAAGGTTTTTTTGTACGTTTGCTCATGTCTGCATGTTGTTATTTTGGTGTTACGGCTATTCATTTGTGGTTGCTCCTGTTGTAGGCTCACTTCTTTCCTGTAGGCGAACTCGATATGGTATGGCGCACTGTGATGCACGCACACTTATTAAAGAGACAATTTGGGGAGAAGATTGAGTTTCAAACTGCATCAGGGGGGCTGTAAGTGTTACGAAAATACTAGTATTTGAGGATACGTTAGTGAAACGTTTTAGCATACTTATTGGCGGTTGCTGGCGTTTTGTGTTTGCGGTACGCTAAGGTTTCGGAAGCGGGATTTTGACGAGCTCATGCATCTTCAGAACTCAGTAGCACCGTCTCGTGCCGCCTCAATAAGTTTCTCTCCATTGTCAATGCTTAAGTGCTGTATAATCCTTCCATGCCCCGCAAATGAAGGAGAGATGTTTCGAGTCGGAAGAAACATGCACAGCATATTGAAGGTGCAGGGCGGTCTGTATTACAGAGTGCTAGACACACCACCCTTCACAAGCACTTCCAGCCCTTGTGATGATCGTCATGAGCTGCTGAACGAAGCCGATGAGATGACTGAAGAGTATTTTCGCCGATTTGCGCGATATCGTATTATGGAAAAGGAGGTTAGATTGCACTCCGACTTCAGTTCATAGCTTTGCTGTTGAATGAAACTGACTAATGTGTTCTTTGTCTCGCAGCCGATTACTACAGGGACTACTAAGGTTGGCGGGGATCCTTTCATGTCGTATCAAGAACCCCGCAAGACAAAGTATTGTCTTGAGGTGCTTGACACATTCAAATGGACTTTAAGTCTCGATGATTGACGCAAAGAAAGGAGAGGTGTCCATAGTGATCACTGTAAGCGTATTCTTTATACGCGATCAAACTACGGCAGGCGTGCAAGTTTGTCGTGTTTTGTCGTCTGCAAGTGCCTTGATCTGTAACAATCAGATCTTGTTTGGTGGTACATGGACTCCGTGCCTCTTACGCTTTGTTAAACAGAGCCAAGATTGATGTTATCACCGCCAAAACTTTCCAAATCTCACCCGTGGTGTAAGATATCGCATTAAGAAAGTCACAGAAATTATTTTGCCTGGAACTGCGACGAAAATCAGCCAACATGGAGGATACGTTATCGCCCGTGTTGCGAGGTAACGTTAGAATATCGTCCACCAGTTCCTGCACACGTATGATTAACCGTCGTGTCATCTTGCGAAGAAGACTTGGAGAGATAAAATCATGTACGACATATGAGCTCGAGATCCTCATTCATACATTACTTCCGTATTGCTTTTAAACTGCCAAAAGTGACATACTCTTCTTCTTCCCTTCTATTTCGGTGGAAGTAAGTCACACCAAATGTCTTCGCTTCTGACATGTCTGTCTCGTTTATGAACACTTGTCTCAGTATGAAACCTTGTGGTGTACCTCTGTAACAACATCGACTTCTAAGATATTCGTCTCGTTTATGAGCACATCGCACGTCCATGTACTTATCGTTGGTGTACCTTCTCAGCATATGCAAAAGATACTTCCAGCACCGTCTCTAAATTAGATACAGATGAATCGATTCATGGATCTTCTTGTATACAAGATCCCATCCAGTGGGTAGGAACAGACCCGCTCAAAAAAGGCAGTGACCAAGTTCAGATTCCCGGACACTTCACTCGTAGCGTTGCTCCAGCTCGGACGAGTCAGCTAGATGACGATGCCCGACAACCCATGTGTTACATTTTGCAGCCGAACCAAGTCATTCAACTCAGCTTTCAAGGCAGCGAGGCGTATTGAGATGAACCAGTGTGATCATCTTTGTTTATCATTTTATGACTTCTCGTGCACGCCGTAATTGCGTCACGGACACCAAAACACAACTTGCTACCTTTCGCACCTTTGTGCTGCTGTAATGTGGTTACCATAGAGCTTAGTTATTCAAAGCAAAGTATACAACTTGTTGCAGAATGTTTTGACCGGTGGTACACAGCTGATAAACTGCTGTTTCGCTCATGTCAGGATAGCGATTAATTACTAGTATAGCGACGATTAATCGTGTAACGTGCTGATTAGTGGATGAGTAGAGAAAACACGCACAAATCGAATTAGATTCATTGAGAAGGGATTGATACGGCTATGCTTGCGAGAGACGCCAGTCCTCAAATCTCAAATTCTTATCAGCTTCTGCACTCGTTATCAGAACCATTCTGCGATTTCACTTGTGCTCCCTACATCATTACATCACATTTGTCAAGCATCGTCATGAGAGTCTACCAGGCCTTCTTGGTTGTGATCACTTTTGCCCCCAGTAACAAAGCTATTTCGACCGCAAGCGACGCAAAGGTGTTAAGAATTGACACAGCAGATACTGTACAGTCAAGCATTCCTGATCTGAAGGTAGTTGGCCAAAGGTTTTTTCGTCGTGAAAATTCCATGCATGAAGACGACGACAACGAGGAGAAGATGTCCGGGTCGCCGAGCAAAGATGAAGCCATCAGAGAATTTTTCGATCGCGCGGAATCCTGGAACACTTTCGTGCATACTGCGGTGAAATTGCATGAAATAGAGGAGAGACTTAAAAGAATAAGAGAGATTGAACGTTTGCGGGAGGCTAATAATGCAGGCACAAGCAAGACAAAGGGGGATGATGCTGAAAAGAAATCTAGGAAAGGTTAGATAATTATTTTCCTTCTTCTTCTCTTGTGTTGTCTGTGCTATCTGTTTATTATTAACGTTTTACATGATTAACTGCTGAGCGCATGCGCATACAGAATTCCTTTGGGTCGTAGCGAGTCGTTAACGGTGGTGCAAAGTACTTCAGCAACTGGTCGAGTCCGACACACTGAGCGGTCGCCTAAGCAAATGAAATATGTTGCATCGCGTTTGTGGGCGGATGGTGCGACAACACAAGTACACCAACACTGTCGGCATGTCCTTTGAGCGACTTGAAACAGAAGCACCACATCAAGAGAAAAGAGAGGTGGCCTGCAAACAGCAAGTAGCTAACGTTTACCGGCTGCGTCAGGATGATGACTTCTTTTTGAAAATGATAGGTACTCATAGTCCTTGAAGCTCGTTTATAAAATCGAACTGGTGCGGCTTATCAACATGCTACTGCATGAGCTTGCAACTCATCACCAGGCGTTAACGAACAAGCTAACTTTTCACAAGTATTTTGTGATCGGCTTAGCTTTGCTTTAGCAGAATCCGTTTACATCACATTGTTTCCCCGAGAAGTTAGGTAATAGCGATCAGCAAAAGCATGACCAACTATACAAGATTCGAGCATTCAAAGTCGGATAACAATTGAGCGGACAATCTAGATATGACGGTGAGAGGCTCCAGAGCAAACTGACTTGGGCAACTTTATGATACCAACACTTCGGTAAAACCACGGTGTGTTGTCAATTTGTCTTTGCACACTAGTCTAGCATTGCGTCTAGTATTTGCGTGTCTGTTTCTTATATATTATGACTCCGTGTCCGCAGGTGAGCGGGTGTGGACGTTGAAAGCGGTACAGGCATCATACTTAACAATCCTGGCGTAGCAGCACGATTGCGACAGAAAACGCCTAATATCTGTCCTGCCATAAGGACTTATGCAAGTCTGCAAACCGTAGTAATGGCGACTATCAGAGTCCACGGTTGCAGCCAAGAACTATTGCTCGCTTAATTCGTTGTTAGCCTCGCTCAAGGCACTTCCTATTGCCGAGTCACAGCTGCTCATGGTCGCATCTTGGTCGGGATTTATCATCTCGACACAGTCGAGAAACAAATTCGTCGAATTGCTACGTACACGTCTCAAAGTTGTCTGACGTACAAGACCGCAACTCTCGACTTCTCCATCCGCCTTTTCTTCTTCTCCTTTCATGGATTGTCTTCTGACATCGGAGACGTCTCTGCTGCGACTCTCATGCTTTCACAGCTATCAGCATTTTCGTTCATCAGTTGCTGCCATGCTGATTCATGATTCTGCAATGTCGGTTCTTGATGTGGTAAACTTGGATCCAACTTCACTGCCTCGGAAGTCTCATCTGCGATATGGATTAGCGCTGACGCTCGCTCTCGATTCACAACAGATTTTTTGGCGATGGCAACAACATCGTTGGCATCGGTGTTGCCGTTTCAATATCCCATGGAGACAACCCCAACGGCGACAACAACGTCGGAATGCCCGACCAAAACTTGGCATGAGTGATCATCGTTGCAAGGACTTTCTATTTAGCGCCAACGTTGGGCCGTACGGAGATATAGCAAGATTTCGATCTGCAGTGTTTCCGGCTGCGTGCGAGCTGTGGCGTTTCGTAGCTGCATCGACGCTTAATGCCATCTGGGTCGAGCGGCTACGTCGCATGGAGGACTCAACACTCCCGAACGAAGCACACTCTAGCCAAGCACAGTCTTATCATTGACGTGCGCTTATACGCTTCCGCAGCTCAACATCCAGCCCGGGGACGAAGAGAAGGACGAAACCTGGCACATGTGCGGTCAGCTCTTGCCAACACTCTACTCCTCTCTGAGGGCACTCACTGCGGCGGGACGAATGCGCTAACGTTTTATTTACTTCTCTTCGACGGTGGAACTCGGGGTACTTCTGGACCGGGAGATTTTGGATCTGTCTTTGCTCACCTTCCGACGCACACAGCCTGCGTCATGTGAGTGGCGAGCATGGCCTACGGTCATGCATCAACTACCAACAACATCGCTGAATATCGAGGTCTGGTTCACGGCCTCCGCCAGGCGAAGTCAAGCGGGTAATCATCACTGCATGTAATCGGGGACAGCGCTTTGGTGCTTTTCCAGCTTAGAACTTATCGCTCCCCACGCAAGACACATTTGGCGTTCGTTGATTTACCGGGAGGCGCGAGCCCTAACCGACGATATCGCCGTCGCCAGCTGGGCTCATCACTACCGTGAGTAAAACACAATGGTGGATTGCGTGGCCAACATCGCAATGACACGTGCGCTTCAGTTCAGTGCACCCACCGTCGGATCGCAGTATCGTCACGGAGATTGCGGCATTCCTCGATAACGACGTTAGCCACTAGCTAGAGACCTCCGTGGACGAGCACTCCAATCTTACTGGTTCCGCAATGACCGCAACAGGCCGCGCCATATCAGAACAACACTTCGCGCGGCGCAGATTAGCTGCCCCGGGCCTCGTACTTACATACTATTGTAAGCAGATGTCTGTACGGTGCTTTCGAGTAACGTCATACAGGATATAGCGGGTCGCTCGCGTACCTCACATTCTCTCTCTTCAGTGCCCACTTGCCTCTAACGATGTATGCATTTTCTGGCGACCGAAAAACAAACGGAGTATGGGAGCCGAACTCCGTGTTCAGCAAGTGAAAGATATTCGCGACCACGGCTCACGCAGTCTTTTTGCGTTGGCGGACTGCATCGCAGAATGGTACGTAGTCGGCGTTCTCCCTTTCTCCTCAATGTCTTAAAATGTTTCGTCGCAAGGAGCAGTCATGCAGTTGTTACAGGTTTTCAAGGTTTTGTTCACCGCTGTCGCTCATGCCGTGACGCAAAGTACGCCCTCTATCCATTCTACGTGCAACAGAAGTCATAAAATGATAAACAAAGATAATCACACTGGTTCATCTCAATACGCCTCGCTGCCTTGAAAGCTGAGTTGAATGACTTGGTTCGGCTGCAAAATGTAACACATGGGTTGTCGGGCATCGTCATCTAGCTGACTCGTCCGAGCTGGAGCAACGCTACGAGAGAAGTGTCCGGGAATCTGAACTTGGTCACTGCCTTTTTTGAGTGGGTCTGTTCCTACCCACTGGATGGGATCTTGTATACAAGAAGATCCATGAATCGATTCATCTGTAAGAGCGGTGCTGGAAGTATCTTTTGCATATGCTGAGAAGGTACACCAACGATAAGTACATGGACGTGCGATGTGCTCATAAACGAGACGAATATCTTAGAAGTCGATGTTGTTACAGAGGTACACCACAAGGTTTCATACTGAGACAAGTGTTCATAAACGAGACAGACATGTCAGAAGCGAAGACATTTGGTGTGACTTACTTCCACCGAAATAGAAGGGAAGAAGAAGAGTATGTCACTTTTAGCAGTTTAAAAGCAATACGGAAGTAATGTATGAATGAGGATCTCGAGCTCATATGTCGTACATGATTTTATCTCTCCAAATCTTCTTCGCCTACCAATCGCGCGTCTCAAACAAAAACGTTGCATTAACTATGTGATACATCTGATCTTTTGCTCATCTCACTTCAGCCTACCTTGAAGTTATACACATCACCATCTGTAAAAGTGCACAAAATGGATGAGAAAGGAACGACTGTTGATTTAACGTTACGACTGACAAGATGTCTGAAATGTCCCAAGCCGTGTTAGCAACGTCAGTGTCTAAGGAAGGTCCGATGGTTGTACCTGCCGCCACAACCGGCGTCTCTTGGGCTTGGCCGTCATTGCTACTTGCATCTGCCTATTGTTATGTCCGAGAGGCCGCTCTAGAGCGGTCCGTTGTTCTGACGTGTGCGGTCGTCTGAGCGACAGCACGTGTCGTGGGGCGAGCCTCCGTGGCTAACGCTACTTTGACCCTTCGAACCGAATTGTGTGACCGCCACACGATCGGTGGCTACGCGAGAGGCATGCTTGAGACAAATTTCTACCGACTTGACTTCAGTGGAAGATCCCCCCTCCCCGAATAGGGAAGCAGCCGAGGCTTGGAGTGTCTAAGCTGGACGGCAAAACGTTGGTAATGTCTTTGGTACCGTGTGTATACCGCCATCTCAAATTGATTTATTAGCGTACATAGATCGAAAACACCGCAGGGAAGGATCAAGATCCCACAACAAGGCTAACTGGGCGTTCATGATGACTAGCCCACCCTGAACAAACTGCATGCTTACACAGTATCATAGTTCCGGATGGCAAGCGCATGTTTCAAGTTGCAAAAATACCCTATGATGACCACTTTAGTATATACTTTAATCGGAATCAACTACGGCAGCCGCACAATCTTTTCGTGTCCTTTCGTCCTCAAGTGCCTTAATCAGTGACAACAACAACTCGTTCGTTGGTGTGGGAACTCCGTGCCGCTTTCCGCCCGCAACAATTCGTCCAGTGATAGTATCAATCTCGGTCCTGTTTGACGTAATACAAAAGATTTCAAAGAATTCAAACCCAGGTGTGAGGTCCCGCGCAAAGAATGTCACTAGAATTATCTTGCCTGGAGCCGCGACGTAGATCAGCCAACATGGAGCACACGTTATCTCCCGTGTTGCGAGCCAACGTTAAAATATCTTCCACTAGTTCCTGCACACGTATTAGCAAACGTTGTCAGCTCACATAGATGACACCTTAAATACCCGCAAGCATCACTCTTACGTTTTGGGAGCAATTCAGCAGCATTTTCTCACGGTTTGCAACTTCGAGAGCCTCCTGCACAACCAGAGTCACACAGCGGCGGCTACCTTCGCTACTAGCCACACTCTGACAATGATACAAGGTGGAACTTGTGTAATGAGAATGCAGCTAAACACGGCATATTTTCTTTACTAAGACGAAAACTCACCCGGTTCGATGTGTTCAGTATAGATGCTATAGGATTGATTGCAGCGTTTACAATCAGTTTTCGCCAGAGCATAGCTTGCATTTCATCTGCACCCAGCACTTCGCAATGCATCCCTTTCACACAACCCAAATATCTCGTCATCGTAAGAAACACAGCAGAGACAATAAAACACGATTCGTACCAGCAGCAAGAAAGACTCTCAATAGCATCTCAATCTTATCATTACGCTTTTTTTGCAACAGCATATCGTCTCTACTAGAATGATCCTCTTTCTTCACCCTTAACATATTAAGAGGTGCAAGGTATGTCTTCCCCACGTCCAGTCCACTCGTTACTACTTCCCCAAATTGCACCACTCTTCCACCAACAAAAGTCACTCCACACGCAAACTGCCATTGATCTCTACTTTCTCCTTCATTATCCTCTTGAGGCTCTTCTCCCAATCCATTCTGCAGTAACACACATAGTGCATCATGTTTCAACAAGTGTCCTTTTCTCTCTCGAAACTCTCGAATCACACGAGCGCTATCGTACGCCTTTACAGCAACTAACAACACATCCAACTTGTTTTTACCGTCTTTGTCTTCTGCTACAGCTTCAAGCGTGCATACCCGGACGTTCAATCCACTAGTTGTTGCCACTTTTTCGTCTGAATGTATTTGAAATTCCAACATCTCTTTCCTTTGTCCTATAAGAGACAATTCCAGCTTTTCTTTTGAGGTCCAACTATCAAACTGCTCACGTTTTACAAAAGCTTTTACTTGAAGTGTTGATGTTTCATTTTTGGCCTTGAAATTAGTAGCCAAGAGTCCCAGTCGAGTAAAGAAAATAGTCCCTATAGCTCCCAATCCCAATACCCCCACACATAATTCATCCCGACATAAATCTCCAGCGGCGTTTGGACAGGTTGAACTGGAGTATAAAGAATAATCTGTAGCACGAAGTACGCGAGAATAGCTACTGCCAAAACCCCATCGTCGTCCCAGATCCATAGCATTAGCTAGTATCACCTTCACCATATCCCGACAACGTCGATTTAAATACAATCTAACGTCAGTTAAAGCTTAACTTAAGTATTGGCACTGGCATGTTATAAATCCAGCTCTAAAATAGAGTACTAACTTTGTGCTTTCGGCTCTTACTGCGTCTTCCTCAGGGACCTCAATTATATGCATCAAGGTTCAATTCAAACAGCACTATGCCACACCTCAACTGTTTTCGACTGACTTTATCTTTTACCCCTTAAAACTTTTGACGTCATTACAAAATAGTTAGTGCATGCACTGGACAAATTTCACAAAAGAATTTACTCGAAAGAATGTCCCGTGGTTCCTGGAGAATATGGTCACCGCACTGTTTATTGTGCACGTAACAGAAAAGTTGTTTAGTAAGTTGGAGCAAAGCCGAAGTAAAAATATTCTGCAAGGAATCCTTTACTTCTTTCATTGTTGTTACGCCTGTGTAGCCGAGCTACTGTAGCTACGCTACTTATGCACTATGTGCAGATGCACTATGTGCAGAAGAAGTAGTCAAACTACTGTAGCAAAGCTACTTATGCACTACGTGCAGAGGAAGACAAGCTCAGAGAGCTTCTACGTCTTAGGGTGTTTAACCCTCCTAGGCTAGCTCGTAAGCTTGTGCTTATCGGTATTAACAACCAAGTCTCAAAGAGAATAGGTTATAAAGGTACTGATTCCTTCAAAAGAAATCGATCGCTCAAGCTGTAAGGCTTACAGAGCAGGTTTGAAACTGTTTTATATTTAATGTTTACCGTTCCACCACTAAATATAGAAGCACCTACT